TGTCCTGCACATCAAGCTATCGAGCTATGTCTCCGGACAACTGCAAAATCCTTCATCAACTTCTTCCTCGTGAATTATGGGATCTCGTATTTACATTTGTGAGTCACAGGCTTGCCACTTCATCGCGACGCGCAATTAGTACTAACGTTCAATGTCATCAACTTCAAAGATTCGCTGGGATTCTTGGTCCAGCCTGCTGTCGTTGAATCTGGCCTGCCGGGATTTCCACCATCTCGTATCGCCCGTCTTATTCAGGACTATCCACATCCGCTTCCCTCATGATAACCGCAGTCCGGAATGGAGAACTCCACTTCCCTTTCCTCCCACCCCTGTCGCTCACCTAGTAGGGGCGTTTAGGAGATACAGGGAGATAACTACGACGTTATCTTCTCTTCTTGACGGGGCCGTAGGTGTGGGAGTATATCCTTACGTTCGCATCCTTATCCTCTCATACGGAACGTCCTACGACAAGCATACCCACGACGAATTGGTCGGCAGGTTGCTGGAAAATCTGCCTAACCTCAATATCATCAGGTGCGAAACATTCTATTTATCTTCATTCGAACTAATCTCTAAAGTGAATACGGTTAGATGGCGTAGCATCTCTTTCCCACCGCGGCTATTCAAGATTCTTAATGATAAACCGCCAGCTCGCTTCTTTTTCGAAGGCGCGCCAGAAAAGCTCGTTGGCCATGATCTACTAATGGGCGCATCTTATATGAGATCACTTGACATTACTTACACGCGCATACCAACTGATCATACTGACGTCAATCGAGAACTCGGAAAGGTCATTGTTTCTCTTCCTAACCTGGAGTGCCTGATACTCAAGCATTATGCCAACCCCTACATTAGAGGTAATTGGCTAATGCCGGTTCTCCTTTTGCCACCCGGCAGCACACTACCTGGTCCTCGATTCCTTGCCTTTACGAATTTCGATTTCGATTCCGAGCAGGCTGCCGCATGGGCACAGTATCTCCAACATCGAAACCTACGGCATCTAAGTCTAGACGGCACGACCGGATTATCTGAGCTGATTCACGCGCTCTCCTCTGGCTGTCTCTCGCACTTAGAATCCCTTCTGATACGGGTTTTCGATGGACTTACCCTCATCAAATCTTGGTTCGTTTTGATTTTGGATAAACTCTTACAAAGCATCATCAAGCTGCAAGCCTGCACTTTATGTGATATCCCTAAGGAGGTCCTGCACTCTGTGGTTCGCCACCAAGGGGGTCACCTGCGTCAACTTCGCTTTGTAACAAGTCACATGCAGACTTTCACACGTCTTGGCCGTGCTAAAATGCATGGCTTACTCCCACCCGAAGAGATAGAAGCTTTATCGACCGAGCTGAAGTGATCGAAAGATTGGGGATTGATCTTCTGATGGGAGAGAAGATGGTAAGCTAAGTCGGCCCACCGTATTATACCGGGAGAACCAGAACTTTTACAGATCAAAAATCGCTAATCTTTCTAACCAAGCAAAGCCTGAGATTCCCTCCGAGCTATAGCGCGCCTATCGAGCCCCAAGTACTTGGAGTTAAACGTATCTGCAAGTTCTACCCTACGCCCCGGTAGGGACAGGACGACCTGGTTCAACGCATCTGTAGCAGGGGAGGCGTTTCGCTATGTTGACATGATGAAGCAGGGCTCCCCATTGAAACAGCTCAACATCAAGCTAGCGCAAATGCAACCGAACCTCAGATTCTACCCTACGGTGATGCCACTAGATTTCTGGTGTATCTATTTATGCTGGCGGGAGACTGAGACATCGAATCAAGTGCATGTAGTTCGCTTGCCGGCCAAGGTAGGGGGCCTTGCGCCCCTGACTGTACAAGATTTGTATGAGCGAACCCTGGACTCGGCAGGCCTGGGGCATTCAGAGATGGCAGGCTTTGATCCGGGGATATATTGATTTTCTTTTCGCTGTCTTCTCTTTGTGTGGTAATCAATGCTTTTGGCCCCTTCGGAATAGTGTTTTCTAGAGTATTTATGGCTCTCGTTCGATTGTTTGTGCGTAGCAAATGATCGCCCACTTGCACGCTTCGTCTTTTGTAGCAGGTATGAACTAGCTAAAGCACTAGGATAATGGACCTTGCCTATGAAAAGGAATCAGGGAGCCTCATACTAATCCAACCCAATCTATCGGAGCTTCATTATCTACAGACAGCCTTCCACATTTGTTTTCATCACTAGTATTATTAAAAAAACAGATTTCCTGGGATTATTTGGACACTTTGCAATATACTGTTGATAGCAATCAATAGTCGCTCTCCAGACAACGCATTCTGAAATACTCCTTACCAGCGTTTCCAGAGTACATGTTGTCAAGTTCATCAAAAGTTAATGCAAACCCGGTATGCCAGTCCTACTTGTCCAGGTACATCGCTTGTTCAGGCTGGATGTTAGCGATTGGTGACAGGTCTTTGGTTTCAGAAGAACTCACCAGCTGCAAAGAATGCAAAGCTATCCGCATTATTTCTAGCATCATCAGGGCTATCGGAGATCTCAGTGACTGCCTCCCAGCCGTAGGCCGCAGAATTTATACCGTTGGAGTACGCAGTATCCCCTGGAAGCACGGTCAGTCTCTTCATAGAGAACTAGAGAAGATCCAACCCACTATAGAAAGTTTGGCCCAGGACTTGTTTCGAGTGCGATAGCTCATAGAGAAAAGTAAAGCCCATCGATAGAACCTTTACCGTCGAGACAATTCTCCCGTACATCCAAACTGAGCTAGGCCAGTAGATTCAGTGTATTATCCTGCAAGATTCCTCATTACTTGCCCTCCTCTTTCCGCGTCTCGGGTATCCCAATACTCATAGCCTCCTCTTTCGTCAAGCCAATTTTCGTCACAGTGAAATTCCAGAATTAATGGAGAGGCCCCTTCTGAGGGATCGAGTGCCGTACGAAGAGCGTCTGCGGCATCTAGATACAGTCATCTCAGTCAAGCGTCCTGTTAGAATGGGACCAATTGGGCAGTTAAAAAGAGAACCTACCAATCTGGCGCCTTATGGCTCTGACCCCTTCCACGTTGCGCTCTGGCTCTTCTAAGGCCCACCAAATCTGTCCGAAGGTCACTGAGAAGGAAAGACGGAAAAAGCAACAATATCTACGGGAGGGCTGCTGGGATTGTTGCTCAGCCAATTCGCGAAATGAGTGCTCCGTTCGCTCATTTTCTCAAACTGCAAGTCGGGCACATATCAGTTAATAAAAGACGGCATCACTGAATATGGCAGCAAAAAGAAAGATATACTGCGTGGCGGGCATCCTCCAGAGATTCTGTCACCTTCTAATGGTCTTCAGTGCACATATTACCAATCTGTGCTCGTTTCAAGTGCGGCGGGGACAGAGTGGCATTTCTACCATCTTGCAGCCCATGCGTGGGGATAACCTGGCTGGCAGGACCATGATCATGGCCAGATCGATGAGAATGAAGATGCTGATAACCGTGATCTGCTGGTATACCCTGGCATAATATGATACTGACTGCCAGAAACAGCACGAGAAATCCGCGGTCCTTCATTTTGCAATCACAGTGGTAGGTCTTTTTCGTCCCTAATCAAGCATTGTGCCCTGTCCGGTCTTTACTCCCTCTTATACGCCGAGGAATCACATGGCCCTGGCAGCCTCGGAGCTGATTGAGGTCAAGTAAATCAGATCCCATCCAATTACTAGCTCAAACCGAAGGACTTGATAACACTTATTGGTATCTTTACAGACAAAATTACCTCACTGCAACACGGGAGACTGGCATCCTTCTCCTGGCGGGTCTTTCGGGCTGACGACCCCGGTCTATGTAAGTGCTTACGGTAGTTTGATGTCTTGGTCTTCATTTAAAACCATCATTGTCGGAGTTACATCGTTCTTTTTGGTGCCGCCCGCCGCCATCTACTAGTTGAACGCGCTAGTGTGCACGGCTAGTGGTACCTGCAGCTCTCATTCCCTATCACACAATCACAGGAAAGGTCTCGATGTACTTTTCTTCCAAGAGATGAAGGAATTTTCTGCGGCTCCTGATATTGCATGTCACGCTTCGGCCGCTTGATGGGACTTCAATTTCCCACGCCAGTCTGGACTGGAAGCGCTATAAAGAGCATCTCATGATTCTCCGAAGGGATTGCATGATCTGGTACCTAAAGACTGGACAGGCTCTTCCTCACTGACTCACTAAGTATGCTCGGCTCAGCACTTTTGGCGCTAAGCTGCTTTTTATCTCCCCTGGTCGAGTCCTAGCACAGCACGGGGCCACTTGCTCTGCCAACTTGCCATTGCAGCAGGCCGAATACTAATTAGTTGGCAGGGTATCTGAAAGGGTTTGACCTTCCCGGTATGAGTCCCTACGTGGATTTGTTCAATATAATGGCCTATGATATACACGGCACATGGGATGGCAACAGCCTTTGGACCGAGCCTGTTGTTAATACTCACATGAACCTGACAAGTAATGGACCCCCAAACCTGCTTTATGTATTCTATTAACTCCTGGACCTGCCTACAGAGGTCGCTAATGGTTTGGATCTCATCTGGCGCAATAATATTGACCCCGCTAAAGTTCTCCTGAGACTTGGGATTTACGGTCGGTCCTACACCCCGAAGGACCCATTGTGTACAAAACCTGGATGTCCATTTGCGAATAGCACAATTCTTGGAAGTAATAACGAAAGAGCTAACCCCGGACGGTGCACATTGACCAGTGGGATACTGTCGAACTACGAAATTGCCCGGATCAAAGACCTGTACTCCCCAGAAGTACAATATGACGCCGACGCCGGGGTCAAGTGGATTACCTGGAACCGAAACCAGTGATAGGTCTTGCATCGCGCATTGGGAGGTCATAGATTGTAGCTTACTCCGACAGAGTGGGATACGACGACGCCGAAACCCTTCTTCAGAAACGGGATTTTGCGAATTCCCTGTGTCTCGGCGGCACTTTTGCCTGGGCATTAGATATTGGAGGCCCAGGAACCCTGTCCGATCTGGGTAACATAGATCCAGATGCGGAGATGGACAGAGCTACTCCCGATGGCTCGGATAGTGGCTCTGGAAATGTCTTCATCGGACAGGACACCTTCTCGCAGAAGTATCCTACCATCCGCTGTATTCCTCCGTGCAACTTCATCTTTCCTCCCATAACCCTGTCCTCCGCCACGACGATCTCTTTTGAGCTGTATAAAACCTCACTAGAGGTCGTATGGGTCACAACAACGGCGACTACTCTCGAAGAAGGCGTCGTATCCACCTCGATAGGATACTCTTGTACAATTCAAACCACTACGTTGACCGTGCCGCCGGTGACTACCACGGCGATCGACGCCTGGAACTGGAATATTACCAGCACTCGGCCCCAAAATCCCGTTTACAGACTAGGTATCAAGCAGCATCCTGCCTCCACCGTTCCGCATTACAAATGACATCAACACCGACTTGACCACCCCGGGGGTAACACCGACCCCAGTGTTTCGGTCAATAACGCCGCCGCCCTACCCATGGAGCACTAATGATGACGATCAAACCCCTTTCCCCACCGTCTCGTTCACCTCCGGCCCTCCGGGCCCCCTTTGCACCAGCGGGTGCGGCCAGCGATGCCGCCTTTTCTGCGACGGGCCGTGCGCGCGGGATTGCTCAGATGGCGGGAAAGGACTTCTACGACCCGCAGGACCCTGATCCCCCGGGCAAACCGGGCTGTCGAGGGCCCGATTGTGAGAACGGGAAGTGCAGGGGCGGATTGTGTATGTACGTTGGCTGCGAGGGCGACGACTGCGACAAGAAAATCTGCTCCGGGGGCAACTGTCATCCCGTCGGCTGCAGCGGCGACGACTGCGGCACCAACGGCCACTGCTCCGGATCCGACTGCATCGTCGCGGGGCGGCGCGGGGCCTGGCTGCAATGGTCTCGGCTTCTGCTTTGGTCTCAGCTGCTTCTCGTTTGGCTGCGTCGGGCAGGACTGTGGTTCGAACCACGCCTACTCCGGGCCGAAGTGCCGTATCGTGACCTGCACGGGGAGAAACTGCCAGTACGGCGTTTGCACGGGCAAAGGTTGCACGCCTGGCGGCGACCAGGACGCCTGCGACTCGGACAACACGGCTCCCTAGTGTACCGAGTACGTGGAGCCGTCAAGGCTCAACGCCGGGGGCACAACCACCACCACTTCGACTGCCCGTCGAACAATCACCGCGTGCGGAGTCGAGGCGACAACGACCACCACCACCTACCCCGATTCCAACACGATAACCCAGCAGGAGGGGTACTTCAACGCAAAGTCCACGGGGAGCAAGCTCTGGACGGAGATACGGTCCAGTCTGACGTCGAAATTATCCGCCTGGAACGAAGCAGCCATGAGCGGCGGCACAAAACCTACCACTACCAGCATCACAAAGCCTCCCTCGATGACTACTACCGGCTCGAACCCGCCGAATCCAGTCGCGGCAGACGGCTGTGCCATCATGGACGGCACGCAGGGCGTCTGTTGGAAGAAATGTGACCCGAAGACCTCGAAACCTGTGAATGACGAATATTTCGAGGGCGATCCATGGTGCTGGCTGAAATCCGGCAATATAGGCGCCTTCTGCAACAAGGCGGATGACTGCCCGTCGGAATTCGAGTATCAGCCAAGTGACTGGGAACACGGCGGATGCGCAGCCCCCAAGCCAGTCTCCGGTGGAGGCGCACTCATGGACGGCACCCAGGGCGTATGCTGAAGCAAATGTGATCCTAAAACTTCGGAGCCAGTTACGGAGCAATGGAACAGGGGCGACCCATGATGCTGGCTCAAATCGGATAATATCGGTGCTTTCTGTAACGATTCGGATGAATGCTCGGCGGATCTCCAGTGCCAGCCAGCTGATAAAGGAGGGTGCTCGATAAATACTCAGTCATCCCTCTTAAGCCTGTCCGATAATAGAACCTCAAACGTTAGTGCCAAACCCCATGGCGTACGACTTGATTTATATCAAACCACCTAGGACTTTGCGAATGTCATTCCGGTCCTTTCCGCGGTGAATCGTTTCTACGACTACATTCGCCGAAAATATTGAGCAGCTGGCTACACTAATAGAATGATGTCATACATGGTCCGGTTTTTGATACAAGCTACAGAACCTTTATCGCATGGAGTTTCTGCAGGCGTTCCGCAGGGACCAGGTGCACCGCAGTGGTCCAAAGAGCTAGAAATCAAGCCACATATTTTTGGTCAATAATGAATTAAACTGAATGCATTGTTTGCCTATTTGAGAGGTGCCTTGAAGGAGAAAGTAACCTGCGAAAGTTTTGGCTGCTTGCCCCAAGCCTTGAAAAGCCTACAATACCGGTCAACATAGAAGCACAATAATCCTGGACATGGCAATTGATCCTCAAATGGATCACGTCTATTATTAAATGGTTTTGCGTCAGTATTTCAGTGTTATTCTCCACGTACCCAATTTAAGGGGCTTTGGGAATTGATAGACATGTTACTACGGTTTTCGCTACAGCGCAGCTAAGATTACGAAGGGGCTTCTATTTTTTCTTCCCTTTTCTTTTCTTCTCGATTCTTAATGAGGTATTTAATATTAGTTTTATACACGCAAAAAGCCATCTTCAAAGAATGTGGGAATGTTTAACACGTATTTCGATCCTAATTTGTCTTGAGGGAAAGCTATATCGGGAAAAGAGGGCTTGCTGTCCCGACCGTTCGCTGTCCCATTATGTTAAAGAAATAGTGTTAAGCTAAAGGATCAAAGTAGCCGGCCGTGATGGTGCCTGCAAGATGGCACGCCCGAATGGTGGGATGCTATCATGGTCCAACGACAGCCTGTAGACCTTGACTCTCTTTCATCTTCAGCCAAAGGAAGGTGGCGTCGGTGCTTTTACTGTCGCTCATCGCCTTGAGAAATTCGTGAAAGGCTAAATCCTGCCGTTCCCATTGCTTGTGCAAATCCAGATTAGGGTCAGCTGGACAATGGTCAATCGTCAGTCAAGCTAAATTGAGTGTATCGAGACCTCTTCAAGAGATGATCTCACCTGGACGAGGGTGCATTTTCGACTCCTCGAATATCGAATCCAGCTTTTGTTTAATCTGGCCTTCCAAATTGTGGTCGACTATGGCTTTGCGCAGCGCCTCGGTGCGAGCAACTGCCGGGTTACTCATGCTCGGAGGCCCGTTCGGATCAAAATCCTTGAACTGGCCGTCTTGCGTAGTGGGGATCTTCCCTTCTCCAAGATGCTCAACAGCGACCCTTTTCAGGAGCTGATAGAGATTTTCTCGCTCCTGTGCAATATTCGGCCCCGCATACCGAGTCTTTGTAATCAAACAGCCGTTGCTACGATATCGCAGCACCCGCTTACTCTCCGGGATCTGACTCGGAGAAAGATTCCTCGCATCCTCCGTGTTCTCCGTCAGGCATTGCGCATACAGCGCCCAGGATCCATTCTTGTACTGCATGCATGTGGTGGCTGCAGCAATCTTGCGACGCGTGGGGTCGTTGTATTCCTCCGCATAGTCGCAATAGTCGACGGCCATGCGGACATTATCATACAAAACGGAGCTACAGTAGCGAGAGTCATGGTAGACACGTATACCATCGCTCCGGCCAACAACAACCAGCGAGCAACCGACCAGCTCGCCGGTAAAGAGGAGGTCCGCGCCCGGAACGGTCGGAATGTCGACGAACGGGACATTGCGCCCCTGCAGGCTGATAGACTGGTAGCCAACACAGTATGCCGCCGCACAGTTGTTTGGAGGTGTAGCCCACTGCAAGTTATAGACAGTGGGAGGGACCTCATTCGCGGGTCTACTCTTGACAAGCTTCACAATGGCCGGCTGGGCAGCGGGAGGAGGTCCCATATTCTCCGAACCCACGGGGTGGGCTTTGAGAAAGGACACGATATCCTGGCGGAAATGGTGAATATCGGGGCTGGGGTCGCCACCGGCTCTATATCACACGGTGAGTATGGGTACATGGCTGCTTGGGATTTGTGACGCACTGAATTCCTTTAATTGGGCGCTGCATGTTGATCAAAAAAGTCGAAGATGAACAGAAGTCGAGAGGTGCTTTCTCTCAGGTTGGTGGGATTGACGGGTGGATTTATAGGTATCGCACCGTGTGGCTCTTGCAGGATCCAATATCTAAACCGCCCTGAGAATTGGAATGAGGCATATGAGCCAAGCCAGTCAGGCGTGTTGATACGAGCCCGTAGACCTCAGGCCGACACACCGGCCGACGTGCTCGACGCCTCGGAGCCCCCGTAGTCAGCCTCATCTCGAGTGGCGGTGGCTTTGACCCTCCTGGCCCGCGCTGAAGGCTTGGTTATTTGACCGTTGCGATAGTGTCAGCCGTGTGTTTGTCCTCGGGCACTCCAGTCAGGGGAAGTTGTTCGTCGAGGAGAAGGGTTCCCGTCAGATCAGTACATGAAGACCCTTCTTGTCTGACCTTACTCTCTCTGAGAACACGGAACACGAGCCAAGTTAGTCCGTTTGCAGAACGCGCCACCTGTTAGGGCCCTCTTCAGAAAAGTCTGACTCGTGTCACAGCTCAGCTCACTCATAGTCCTCGGTCGGCCACCACCGTTCGTCCATACTTCGTCCACCGCTCTCCTACTCGTTGGACTTTGCACTTTAATGTGCCCTTCCTTGACATCATGGACCGCTCAGCGTCATGGTAGGCCGTTAAAGCATATTTCCGACATTCATTGCGCTTGGCAGACGCCATGTGGGGGCTCGCCTAGAGGCAGCATATTGCCGTGAAGCGGTGGAGGAAATGCTTGGTTAGTGTGCTGCACTACCTTGTTTCTAGTGCGTGCAATCAACAGCGAGCCCAATCAGGAGTTTACCATGGACCGAGACTGGTTCCCCGGGTCCAGAGCGACCAATTTGAGAGACTTTGTTCGGGGGAAGAGAACTTCCACGCGGTCGGCACAATTATTCATGACGTCACGCGAGCCGCCCCGGAACGGCATCGATGGGGTCCCCATGAGAGCGTCAAGATAGAGAGGCACATACAGTCATGTTGACTGCTAGTCTGAAAGCGAGATCAGACTGAACATGAGGGTGCAACTGCATTTGGCTCCCGTAACGGTTGTTGAATCGGTACACCTGCCAGCCTACTGCGTATTCCAGACTCCGTACGGCCGTCGGCGACTCTCCGGATCGTCGCTCGCTCGGTGGAGAATGGCGCTGGTCGGAGTCAAGAATGGGCAGATTCATTCAGTCCATTGCCAGATTGTTGCCGAGGGATCCACCCGACGCTGCCATCGTGAACAATGGGGAATCCGGGGCAGCAAACTGCAAGTGAGCCGAAGCCACCGAGTCAATGGCTCGCTTACCGAACGATTGATGCTCAGAACGGTGCGGTTGAGAAGGAAACGAAGAAATCTAGGTACTCGCTGGTGGATCTACCACCAGAAAAAAAAGGAAAGTTGGCCATGAGGCGATCCACAACGAGGTCATCGCCAGAAAAAACTATGACGGATGAACGATCGAGTCGAGGAACGAATCGAGTATAAGAAGACCAGCGAGCGCAGGCTTCTCCCCTACCGCACTGCACAGGTCCATCATCCTCAATTCCATATCTGCTACGATGCGGCCCTATTCCCACCTGGCGACCCTGGGTGCGCTCGCCACGTCCACTTTGGGACAGGCGCAACCCAGCTGGCCCTTGGGCAATGGTTTCCAGCTAACCTGGCAGGACAATGCGCCGGAACTCGCCTTCGATAGGAACAACCAGACGATCCTCACTACCGTGCCGGGTCAACCCTTCCTCAGTGCAAGCGCAGGCAAGGACAGAATTGTCGATGCGAACGGCAACTTCAAAATCTCCAACGTGGACCGCAACCGCTGTCAGAGCCAGAATGTGACCCGGGTCTCGCACGTCTCTCACGACAGGGGCTTGCACAGCCAGGCCGTCTCCATGAAGGGTTTCCTGCTTGACTGTGGCAACGAATCGGTCAGCTATGCGATCAACTTCTATGTTCCGAGACAGCTTCCGGACCGTATTGCCTTTGACCTGACCGTGGATTCTGAACGAGAGGCTGCAGCACCTATCGAAAGAATCTACCTGACCCTCGGATCCGATGCTTCGGAAGACTTTTATGGTCTCGGCGCCCAGGGCTCCTTTGCCTCGATGAAGAACCAGACCGTTCCTATCTTCTCTCGTGAGCAAGGAGTCGGTCGGGGTGACGAGCCGGTCACGTCCATTGAGAATGCTCAGAGCTTCTTCAGCGGAGGTAACCAATTCACGACTTATACCGCCATCCCTCAGTATATCAGCACCCTTGGTCGCGTGTTCTACCTGGGAGAGGAGGACACGGCCTATGCCGCCTTCGACTTCCGCGAGCCCGCCGCCGTCACTGTTCGCTACGACGCCCGGTCGGTCAGCGGTCACTTCATGCAAGCCGAGAATATGCTCGCGGGAATCACGATGCTGACGGACTACGTCGGTCGCATGCCTGCCTTGCCCGAGTGGGTGGATCACGGTGCCATCCTGGGTATTCAGGGCGGCCAGGACAAAGTGAAGAAGATCGTCAACCAAGGCTTTGAGCAGAACTGCCCGGTGGCTGGAGTGTGGCTTCAAGACTGGTATGGCCGCCTTTTTGAAGCCCTTCTGAGATATGTTGCTAACCCGTGCTAGGTCCGGAACTCACCTTCAAGAGGCCCCGTATGGCAAGGTCAACATCTCCCGCCTGTGGTGGAACTGGGAGTCTGACTCCGCGCTTTATCCCCACTGGACCGAATTCGTCCAGAGCCTGCGCGAAGAGCACAACGTGCGAACGCTGCACTACATCAACCCTTTCCTCGCCAACGTGAGCTTGAAGGAGGATGGATATCGTCGCAACCTGTTCCTTGAGGCCTCTCGAGGAGGCTACATGGTGCAAAACGCCACCACCAACTCAACCTCGATCATCTCCAGCGGAAAGGGAATCGATGCCGGAATCTTGGATCTAACAAACGAGCACGCTCGCGCCTGGTTTGGCGACGTACTCCGCACGCAGGTCTGGAGTGCTAACGTCTCCGGCTGCATGTGGGATTTTGGAGAGTACACTCCTATCTCGGCCGACACGAGGCTTGCCAATGTCTCGTCGGATGCTTTCTTCTATCACAACCAATACCCCCGCGACTGGGCTATCTTCCAACGCTCGGTGGCCCAGAAAATGCCTCTTGCATCGGAAATGGTCACTTTCCATCGCTCTGCATCTCTCGGAGCAAACCGACACATGAACCTCTTCTGGGTGGGAGATCAGACGACCGTGTGGTCGACCAACGACGGCATCAAGTCGGTGGTAACCCTCATGGGCCACATGGGTATGTCCGGTTACGCCCATAGTCACTCCGACATTGGCGGCTACACCACTGCCTTTGCACCGCCGACCAGCAACAGCTCCTCCGGGGCCATCGCGCGCTCCGCTGAGCTGCTCGGACGTTGGGGCGAGCTGGCCGCGGTTTCTAGCGCTGTCTTCCGCTCGCACGAGGGCAACGTGCCCGAAGTGAACGCTCAGTTCTACACTAACTCCACGACCTACTCGTACTATGCATACAACGCCCGCTTGTTCCGTAGCCTGGGTCCCTATCGCCGCCGGGTATTGGACACCGACAGCAAGGTCCGAGGATGGCCTTTGCTGCGTATGCCCGTGCTTTACCACTCGGACGACCGCCGGGCGCGTGAGATCAGCTACCAGAGTTTCTATCTCGGATCGGACCTCTACGTGGCGCCTGTCCTTGATCCCGGACGCAAGTCGGTGGAGGTGTATCTCCCCGGAACCGACCCCAAGCGAACCTACACTCACGTCTGGTCGGGCCAGACCTACCGCGCCGGACAGACTGTCCAAGTGGCTGCCCCGTATGGAAAGCCTGCGGTGTTCATCGTCAACCACGCGAAGAGCCCCGAGCTGGATGTGTTCCTGAACTTTGTTCAGAAGGAGAACGGCACGGCGATTCACGTCTAACCACCCTTGTTCCTGGACAGATAGTCCATCTTCGACGCAGAGCATTTCTTTCAGCTTTGAATCAAAATTACATATAGACTCTAGCAAAACTAGTTAGCAATGTATCATGAGCCATGATAATATCGATGCCCGGGGGTAACTCTAAGTAATAATTCCATTGGAACTGATCGTAGGACTTGCTTGCTGCCGCAATATCGGAGGCAAAAAAGCACATTCGAATGCGGAAGGAATGAGCCAGATCGCACGCCTCAGTGGCTCTTTTCAGCCCTCGCACCTTGACTCTGGTGGGAATTTTTCTGGTCGACTTGTGAAGCTAGGTAGGATGATTTGATTTAGTCCAGAGACCACCACCTCCAAGGCGAGCGTACTAGTACGACTGATTGCCACGCCTTAGTAACTATGGACTTAGTTGCTGTATTCGTCTGTCTATCGTACAGAGTACTTTGTCTGTTTTTTCCTCGAGGTGCTTTCTCACTCACCCCCACACAAGAAAAAAGAACACACCCTCAATGGGTGCCGGTTAGTTCACACGGGAGATGGAATCCACAACCCGCGATGGTCTGACTGCACGGTGCATTGGTTGGCACATCCGATATCCACATCTACAACGACGATTTGGAATCTCAGTGAAGCTGTCAAGTCGATTATGACTTAAGTCACTCCATGTTCTTGAGGTCTTGACCTTCAGGGGTCTTCTGCCCTGTTTTTCAGCACGGCACTACCGGGCACTAGTGGACCTGGTCGGAAAGTCTTCACAGTGGAGACATAGCGACGATCCCAATGTAGGAGATCGTCGGGGGTTCCTGCAAATGCAGCATGCCCAATTCGATTCCTGGCCAATAGACATTGTCAGGTACCATTCACAGGACTTGTAGGCTCGGTATTTGGGCGACATCTGCTAACTCGAAATAGAAATCTCAAATTCAACCAAGATTGAACCTCATCGATCGACGACCATTGGAATTTATGTTCGGTGTCTGGACTGACTCGATCAGATCGGCCCGTGGTTATTGACAAATTGTTGATGCGATCTACTGTGTTGTGTAGTTTATTCGCGCCCGATCGGCAAGTCCCTCACAACAATCGCTGGTTCTTGGACGGAGGATGCTCGGTTTGGCTTTGCCTTGTGGCTAGGAGAAGACTTTCCATGTAGATCTAGATTGGGACTCAACGTCAACTGTCGCCCCAACCACGGTTCGAAAGCTATAGGCGTAGGCAGAGACATATATAAGGGCTCCTAGCCCTCGACGAAGCCAGACTGAATCATCCCAGGCCAGTCCTTAATCCAGCAGGCCCTATCAACACCACGCCATTCATCATGTTGTTCCAGAACCTCCTTCTCGTCTCCTCCATGGCTCTTTCGGCCGCTGCCGGCTCTTACAACGGCACCTCTGCCGCCGCTGCTATCCAGCAGCGGTTCCATGAGCTCGACCTCGGCTACAAGTACACGACGACTCTCATCGGTCACATTGCCGCGAAGACCGAGTCTGTCACTGCCGATGTAAGCGGCAAGATTTGGTCACCGTTTTAAAAAGAGCCATTGTTAACGAACTTGCTCGATAGGATGTCGTCTCCACGTACAACCAGACCGCTCACGCCGAAGACAAGAACCTGAACATGAAGCAACCCACCGCTGCCTTCCCCGATGCCATCCAGCTTGTTCTCTGCGAATCTTTCCATACGGTAGGTTCCTCCTCCGGAGTGCCTATGCGGCCAGAAACAACGGGATTCGGTCTAACAATTATCCAGCTCACTCTGAACGGCATCGAACTAAACAACGCTTTCACCGACAACGCCGATCTTTTCAACAAGGACCAGCGGAACGCTCTGCAGGACGCGTTCACCAAAGTCAACGACGAGACTGGCGTAAGTTCTGCCCACGGTCGCACTCAGCCATAATCAGTCTTTGGCGTAGTGCATATGGTGACTAACATGGCAACTGAAACAGAGCTTCTTCATTCACGTCGCCAAGGTCGCCCTGCCTGAATGTCTGGCTTCCCTGAAAGCCGACAGCTCCGGCATCTACAAGTCGTTTAGCATGGTCGTCCGCGCTTTGGACCCCGCCGACGCTTCCTCGTAAACGTGGGCCTCGAGGATGATCTAGGGATAGTATGTGTCGATAAAACCAGGGGAGATAATTAGCGGATGGCTGTACAGATCACTGCAATGGCATCTTGATTGCAATTCTAAAGATCATGGTTAATAGAAGCTCCTAATAGTACTTGAATTAATTTACTCACCTCTATTGTACTTGATCATGATGATATCAATTATGTACGCGCACTTTTCCAGCCGTATTCTCTGGATTGTTGAGGGAGGAAGGAGCAAGAAGGAAGGACCGCGGGTGGTCGGCCGGCGGCAAAACAGTATCACCGCCTCTAGTCCTGATTGGGTCTAGTGGGGATGAGTTGTTGGTTGCCTGAGGTTGTGACTTCGCTGCCTAAGGTCCTAAAATGACAGTTGACACAGTGTACGGAGTAGTTATCACTCAACGTCTTTTCCTCCCTAATAGTCTTGAGCGTTACTCGTCCCTTTTCATTTCCTTATATTCCCAGGGCTGGCAAGTCGGTCATCTCTCGGAGAGACAAGTTCAACATGCATTTCCCCCACTTTGAAACAGCCCTCCAGCGGCACATTGACGACATCTCCAAAATGAACCTCGACGCGTCCATGCAGGCTCTGGTGGACCTGTCGCCTAGTCTGACTGCCTCGATCTCCCCGCAAGGAAGACGACTAGTCAATCATCCTGGTTACGAGGGTCTAGGCGATCTCGATACCATTGGGAGCTTCTACCTACTCGCCGCGGAACGCTGCACCACCGAACACGCCTCATTCGACACTCGACTTGCGCACCTGTCATTAGAGGGAAATATTTATGATATATACTGCAGCAGTGAAGATACTCTTAAAGATGGCGTCGAGTCAGGCACGGTAACTCGGCCTAAGAACAACAACAATGGCTGTCTTTGCTGCCAAGGACATCCCCCTTCCGTGATCCTAGCACGGTTCCATGAAGGAAACGCCTTGTTCTTCGAAGAGGAGGAGTATAGAAGACTCTGGGGTGACGAGGATCCTATTGGAACTCGGATTGGGGTAGACCATAAGTGGCTCATGGGTTCCAAAGAACAGGTGGAAGCAGCCAAGCAGCGTCAGGGCGAAAGTCCGACTGACTCTCGGCTATAGTTTGACTACTATTCTAGTCCTTATGATCAATGAGTTGGGTTAGCTCTCGCATATTGAGGAGGGAATTCCTCAATGTCTCAGTGTATGTAGATGGATACTGACGATGGGACTGTATCTGGGGTGTTGCCCATGGTTTTTCCCTTCATTCTTTCGCCACCCTTCCTGGTAACTACGTTTATCAAAATCCAGATCTTGGAAGCCTTCATGTTACTGATTACTCACAGAGAGAATCCCAGGATGTTCAGACCCGGTTTCAAACATTATCATTGCGGAATTAATTTCTTTATATGCGATGCCGAACCATCAATCTGTCGACAACCCATCTGACCTTCGTCTGCACCGCACCACTAGTGAAGAATGAGAAACTTCTGAGATGAGCCAAATATCTGACAAATCTCTGGATGCCGTCACCCTTCCCCCTTCTCGACTATGTTCTCTTATTGCGTGAAGGCAGCCGAGCCACCGAATGGGCCTGAGATGGCCGTGTTGCGAACCCGCACAATGCAGACATTCTTGGCGGAACCGACACTCCCTCGGCACTTAACACCTGACGGGACCTGCACCTTGACCTCATAGTCCATCGTGCTTGATGTAGAGAATCCTGCAACCCCGGGTATGTTCTGGGTGACTTTGGCTCGAACAAACGCCTTCGGGTCAGTTCCGCCACTGGAAGGGTCAATGTCGGCAGTTAGAGGGCCCGCTCCATCTTGGTTCACCTGAGAATATCAGTATCGAACGCCTTCGACAATTTGCAGTGAACTAGGTCCTCACCTGATGGTATACCATCGTCACGATTCCATCTTGAGATGCGGTCGGAAGACCATGGGCGGAACCCTTTCCGCTGTATAGCTGGATTCCGTTCTCCTTCGTGCCCGTTGCGGTGACTGCGCCCGATTTGAGGCCAGGGAGTATGCTAAGGGCATCGTCGACCGCAGATTGCGCACCTGGATGTAGCTTTTCAATATTCATTCTCCCGGAGGAAAGGTTATCTTACTCTTGATCGTTCCGCCAAAGGGCGTCTTATCTGCGATATCCTGCACACCTACATGCATCTCAGTCCATGCCATATGTCATTGGATTGCGGAGCCAGTAACTACCATTCAAAATTGTTCCCCCAGCATTCGTGACAACACTTGCAGCATCGTTAATCAATTGTCGGCCTTTTATGAGTGTTAGTTCGTTAAGGAGACATAGGCAAAGGAGGAACGGACGTCGATCAGCAGAAGTAGGATGGCCACGTCTGCCTTTGGGGGTTCCCATGAACTTATCAATGACGCGAGCAGCATCGACTGGACCCTTTCCAAGGGTTCTACCCAGAGCAGAAGCTTTGATACTCCCCATCTCCTGATCACGAATGACTGCGGTGTCCTTTTGCCCACCGCATGCGGCGGATGGACAGTCCCGGGGCATTCCATCCACCACTGAGTTTTGTTAGTACTCTTTTCATGGCAAAGATAGACGTGTAGAAAGGATAACTGACCAGTCAACCCAGGCATCACGACCCCATTCGCGCCCTGGATGCGAGTAATCAGACCATGTCCAACGGCCTGGCTCACCAGGAGCCCAGCGATGAACAAGTAGTTTCCAGCAATCATTGTAAAAGGTATTTGATATTGAGACAGGTGAAAGAAGAAAGTGGATGGACTGCTGGTAGGACATTGTTCGAGGAGACCTTCGTTCCCTTTATATACGTCGTCCGACCTGGCCTGCAAGGTTCACATCCCAAATCCCACAGCTTCTCATTGACACGTGCGCTTCCCCTGATGCCGTTCGGAAGGTCGATCCTTTCTGTTTGATCAGAGAATTTCTAGCGTACCAGTGTAGGGGAACTCCTATCTGGCTAGAGTTCTCGCTGTTTGTCAGTAGATTATCGATAATCATCTTGAAATCCGGTTATTCCGTGAAACCAGGCCGGCAAAGTCTAATCGGCTAACCGAGCAGTTGAGTTGAGGTTGTTTGAGACTGAGACCTGAATACGAGCCGATTAGGTAAATTCATCGAGGGATCTACCCTGAGGTAGATAAGGCTGGGGTAGATCAGGAGTATGAACCGTACGATTTACTCCATAGTAAGTCCTTTGCTCTAACCTCGTCTGAGCATTAACTAGTGGCCTATTCCCGGAATAAGGAATATCTTATCTTCTGGGATGTTAACATCAGTTGCAACCAGTCAGACCCATGCAATCGAACAGTCCAAAGGGCACATCCAGCTTTGCATGTGATCGCCGACCCTTCGGCTGTCAGGAACCCGTGTCAAACTCTAACCTTGCGTGCGTTTCAGAGTTCTCAACTGTAAAAATAGCAACGACAGGGTAGCATCGGGAGTGGAACCCAGGGAAGAATAGTTCCTCATGTGAATGCCAAGACTGGTGCCTTGTGGTGCCTGATCCGGCTTGGCGCGGAGGATCGGCAGGCCGAGAATTGGTGCCTTATCCGGATGCCATCCTCTCGGAGCCGACCGTGAGAGCAGAGATGATAAAGGCAAACAGATAATTGCGAATTTCGGGGCAACTAATGGAAGGTTCTCCTGCTAATAGCAGCTCCTGCTTTTAGGATTGTTCCTTTTTTTTTTCTTTTTTTTTTCTCCTCTTTGTTTGTGTGGTCATAGTAGTAGCAAGAGTATCACACTTTCGCCTAACAAAGATATATCCATGCATCTACTACTATATCTTTAAGGTCGCAGGAACAAGAGACTGCCAACAACAGGGAAGGCAATGTTCCCTAGAAAACACAGATGTCGATAACCACTCTGATTTAGCAAAGGCTCATAGTAAATTGCCATTTCAGCGTCATAATTCTCTCTGGAAAAAATCAAAGCACATCATTATGCTTGCATGGTGAATGCACTGGGCCTTCACGTACAGTGCAAACGCCTCTTCCCAGACAACCGGAAAAAGTATGTCCGGAGATCCAGTCCTTACAAGGAAGATAGTGAAAGATTCCAGAAGCAAACCTGAACTTTCCCTGTGACCAGTGAATAAGCGAAAGCAACTGAGTCTTACATTTATGTCCCTCCTGTAGCTTTTCTTGATCATTTTGGACTTCTTTCCTTCTGTCCTTGATTCCACATCTTCTCTTCCTCCCTGTACAACAAGTCCGGTCATGCCCATTCCACACCATCGTCATGGAAGTCTTTGTCCGCAACATCCCTATGGAGCTGAGTCGCGATGGATTCAAGCGCGAATTGGATCCGCTCATGGCACACCTGCAGATTGTGGATTTCATGTGCGACAAACCCAGAACAAGGTACTTTGGCTTCATAACCTTTCTGTGGAAGGATGACGGGAACAGGTTCCTTACGGCATACGGTCAGGAAGAGACCCCAAGTCCGCTTCTTGGGCGCCCCCGAGCCAGGCCAAGGTTATCGATTATGGGGGTGGATATCTTTTGCAAGCTAGGCGACCGCCACCCAAGTCCCCTGGTCCTTCGAGCCCTAGAGCACCAATCTGAGCAGAGGAGAAAGCGTCTTGGAATAAAGCCGGAGACAATTGTATCCTTCCACATGACGATGCTCAGCTGTGGACGCTGCGATTTTGTCGGGCACCGATTGGTATACACCCCGGAAGAGACCTGGGAGATGGAAGGGGTCATGAGATTCAGGAAACGAGACATTGTGGTCAGGACGGAGTCGCGTATCATCAGAATGCCGTTGATCGCCGTCGTGGGCATGGTGTGTTCGCAGGACGGCGTGTTAACAATCACACTTTCGGACGTGCCATTCTTCTTCGATGTCGAAACGAGCAAAGCCGTTGGCCTCGATTCCGATTTTGTCGCAATGAGCCTAAATGGACAGTCACCTCCTGCTGGCGAGAGAAGACTTCGTGCCTGTGCTCTCAGCGAAGAACATGCCAAAATCGTCGGGCAGTGCCTAGTTTATCAATTTCATGTCTCGCGGGAAGGGTTCCACGAAAAGACGGAGCAGCTGAAGGAGTGGGATTTTACTATGGTGCGGGATCACATAGTCACAGCCCCTGTGCCGACAGAGAAAGAAGCAAAACTTTCCACCCAACTCCAGGCTTTGCGAGCAGTGCTGAGTAGCTACACGAGATTTGCCTCCCTTCCATTTGGCATTTTATTTCAGCTCCAAGCGCTGGCGTACAACGCATATCTCCACCCGGCCACAGTCGTTGAGCTCACCAGAGCAATCATTGCGATGACTAGGAATGACAAGGCGACTGGGAGAGCATCAGTGTCCGTTGACGCGGTGAAGAAGCTCATGGAAATGATCGGCTGGCCGTTTCCCCACGAGAACCCGAAGAACTTCGAAGTTAGCACACTGATAGAACAGCTAAGGACAAACCAGGTGCAGACTCAAATGAACCTATCGTACAGATACGGGCTACTCAATCCGACCCCTAACCTGGCACGCATCAATCGAGTGACGGTGACTCCTACTCGCATCACGCTGCATGGCCCCGAAATCGAGCCAATGAACAGGATCCTAAGAAGATTCCCTAATCACCACGAGTACTTTATCCGCGTCCAATTCTGCGATGAGAATGGCCAGGATCTGTTCTTCAATTCCAATGTCAATTACGACAACGTGTTCACACGGTTCAAAGAAGTGGTCACCCATGGAATTCAGATAGCTGGCCGCACGTTCACATTCCTAGGATTTTCACATTCATCGTTGCGTTCTCACTCGGTCTGGGTAAGTATATGTCTCATATCACTGTTCAATACTTGAATCCTGTGGTCGCTAACACTATTCTCGCACAGTTCGCATCTCCCTTCATCGATCACAACGACCGCCTCCAAACATACTTCAACATCATTAACGCCCTGGGAAACTTCGCGGCAATAACCTCCCCGGCAAAATGCGCCGCAAGAATTGGTCAAGCATTTTCCGAGACTCCATTCGCGATTTCGCTTTCGGGAAATGGCATCCGCCTCCGTAACATTCCGGATGTCAAATCAGCAGATGGATCGCGAGTATTCAGTGATGGAGTCGGGAGAATCTCCCCCAAAGCTATGGAGTTGATGTGGGTAGTATTACCGGAAAGCAAAGGAACTCCGACATGTTTTCAGATTCGCATGGGTGGAGCCAAAGGGCTGCTTGCCCTGGACAGCAGCCTTCCCGGCTGCACGGTCGAGATGCGGCCATCCATGATCAAGTTCGATAGCAGAGACATGGACAATTTGGAGATCTGCAAGGTATCATCAGAGCCACATAGCCTGGTTCTGAACCGACAATTAATCAAAATTCTTGAGGATATGGGCGCGCCGGGGACATGGTTCATGGATCTGCAAGGAGCTGCGTTGCATCAGATTCGCTCTGTTACAACCAGCACCGACAAGACTGCGGCCTTCCTGCGCGACAAGGGTATTGCAGACACCATTAAGCTGCATCGCCTGTTCCGACAATGCTACTGGATGGGTTTTGATTACAAAAAGGATGGCTTTCTCCGCTCTCTCGTCGAACATGTCGTGCTGCGGGAACTGCGCGTTCTGAAGCACAAGGCACGTATCCCGGTGACAAAGGGGATGACATTGTACGGAATCATGGATGAGACAGGGTTCCTGCAAGAAGGCGAGGTCTACGTGACATACGATACTTTGGAAGGTAAACTTGCTTTGCCTCCTCCACCGGGGAAACTTCTAGTGACGCGCTCACCTGCGCTCCACGACGGAGACGTTCAGTTTGGCATCAATACGATTCCACCATCTGGTCATGCGCTTCGGGCGCTGAGAAACTGCGTGGTTTTTAGCCAAAAGGGAGAGAGAGACTTACCTAGCCAGCTGAGTGGAGGGGATCTGGATGGCGATCTCTACCATGTCATCTGGGATAATGCTCTTGTTTCCAAGCTTCAGACCTTTGAACCCGCCGATTATCAGCGCGTGAAAGCGATGGACATTAAGCGAGCTGTCACCGTGGATGACATGGCTAACTTCTTCATTGACTTCATGAAGACCGACCATCTGGGAGTTATCGCCACAAAACACATGGTTGTGGCCGATCAACAGCCCCTCGGAACCCGCGACTTTCTTTGTCGAAAGCTGGCAGAGATGCATTCTACCGCTGTAGACTTCTCAAAATCGGGAATACCTGTGAGTATGAAAGACCTCCCTCGAATGAACAATTACCGTCCGGACTTGTAAGTCTATCTCTATTCCCTAACTGAAACAGATTTCGTCGCTAATTATAGAATCAAACAGCTTAGCACCGGGTCCCCGAGTCAGTCTCAAAGGCAGAACGCGCATCAATTTCGACGAGCTCGTCTCCCATCCGGCATTCAATGACGATGACGACATGGAGGAGCGTCGAATTTACTACCGATCGGACAAAATTCTCGGGCGGTTATATCGCGCGGTGGACGAAGGACATATTTGGTATGGAGATATCATATCGAAATGCAAGCTGGACGAGGGTCCATTTTGGAACGCATTCATCACGGATTGTACATTGCGATGCAATTCTATGGGACGAGGTGGCTGCAAGCACCTTGCAGACGAAGCCAACCGTCTCCGAGCAGCGTAAGCCTGTTATTTCCTTTATGCCCTTTTCTCCAGCATGACTTTTGTTCACTAACCACCCAACCTTTTAATAAACAGGTACGAAGATGCTGTTATCGCTGCCATGAACAGCTACTCCGATCACCCAACCACCCCCATCACCGAGATGGAAGTTGTGACAGGCTGTTTGGTTAGCGGGACAGGCATGCTCAGTCGCCGGCAAAGAGATCAGTCGATCAAATTGAATGACGAATATGCACGGATCTGCGAATGGGTCACTAACCTGATGCGCCGACAAGGTCCAGGGTATGAAAATGGGGCACATTTTGCCTCCGATGGACTCGAGCTCTGCTTGGCATGTCTTCATGAAGGGATGGAACTGGTGACAACGCGTCGCAGCCATTATTACAGAGATATGAACAGCTTCAGGGTTGTTGCAGCATGTGCTCTCCTGGCTGAGATGGATGTGGTAGGATTGTTCAACAGAACGAAATAATTTTGGATAACTAGAGAATGATTATCTATACCGACAAAACGAATTGGATCAATTTGCCACCCAAACAGTCTTGCAGGCTTTCCGGTGTAGACCCAACCTATACAAAGACAAAAAGCCTCCACGACGCTGACAAAAAGCAGATAGCCTCACCCTGGGCTGAAATTATGCGAAAAAAAATAATACTCACTAAAATGTAATAGAGATTGGATGGTCGCTTTATTCGTGCTCCACCTTCCATTGGAATTCCTTTCTAACTTTGATGGAAAGTGAATTTTGATCGAAATCTTCGTCGGTGGTCACATCGCGAAAAGATCAGATCACCTCAACGTTAGTAACGGACTTGAGGAGCACCATCTCCTTATCCCCAGAATTCAAGGTCGCCTCCAGTGGGGAACAGTGGCCAATGGATACGGGTCGTTCAAAAAGTTGGCGATGATGCAGCTCGTTAACGTCCGCATCGGAGCTACTGGGTCCGAACGTTTGCTCAGCTTTTAGCGATCCCAAAAGACGCCGGAAAGCCGACCGCAGCAGAGGTCTAATAGTTGGAAGACAGGCACAGAGAATTCCCACGCAAGGCTCAACGCTGGACCATATGAAAACGTCGCCCATAATCCAGGTGATATCAACGGATGACTTAAGGAACGTCATAAAGTAGATTCTGACGAGGCTTGCGATGCAGACACTAAGATTCGTCAACCTATCGCTCAATGACCAAGGTTAGGCATATAATAACTTACAACCCCCCGAGAATGAATATCGACGAGATCATCACCTTCAGTGTCGTCCGCATCTGGAGTTTCCAGATCAACGGGATGGGAACAAGCAAGATGATGACGTCGGTGACCACGTTGGCCACTGCGTTTCCAATGTAAAAGGAGTAGAGGTCGAAGACACATTTACCGCCGCTGGAGTCTCGGTATTGCGTCCAATAATAAGACAGTGGGCGACAGCAGGAAAGAAATGTTATCGTGCAGGCAACGCAGTAGCCCAGAGTGAGGAAAATACAGAACCACATAGCCGCGTTCATACCAAATATTCGTCGGTAAAAGCAGATTATTGACATTTTGATCAGGGGAATAGTGAATATGTAGATGAGAACATATGCGAAGAGTACCTGTACTCATTTCTGTTAGTAGGGGATGAGTGTGATATGATGTGTCAGATGCTTCGACTCACTTGCATGACGACAATCACATTATCTAGAGGGACCACCCAGGCATGCCTTCCAAGACCATAAGTGCCCCCTACCCGGCATCAGAGTTGGGATGATAATCAGCGATCAAAAGGGATACTTACCCAGAACGGTGCAGACGAGGGTTGCCATGACCGGAAGCTTTCCCCATGTCAGCCCAGACGACCGATTTAACGCAAAGCCGAGGACTAAACGTACCATTGCTGCGAAGATAAACCAATCGTCAGCTGCGATTGGCGCATGCTGAACCCTGACCCTCGCAATCACTCGCAGAGCAACTGCCGTCGCTGCAAGCCCGAACATGCAAACCACAGTGGCATTGTTTCGAGGTGTGTGGTTCTCACCTAGATTGATGTCTATCGGGGGTTCGCCAAAGGGACTCGGCATCACGGATTGTTTCGGGTACTGTAGGGGGTGCGTCTCTGTTGAAGAGGCGTGTACGGCAAAGGGGAGTTCTAATATTTACTATGGGTTACCTCTCTCTTTTACCAAGTCCATCTGCGCTTAAGGGGAAAGCAATAGTTGATCTGAATCCCTGGTTCTGGGTGCCTCGCGGTATGATCAATGTCAAGCCAGCTTGTGGTTCTTTGTTGACCCATGGCGATTATGGTCAATATCCCTGTCGTATGGGTGTTCGGGATCAGGGATCAACGGCTTTCAATAATCCGTCCTTTGACTAGAGACCGTTTTATGCCTTATAGATTAATTCATTTCGATGGTGATAGTGAACGGTCCCCACAAAGGGCGCACGGAGCCAATGTCACTCAGGCCAACCGCTCTAACAAAGTCCCCCGACTGCTAGTCTGCTTGGCTTCTAGCGAGAGCTCCAGCCAGAACTGTTTTGGCAAGGATTTTGACCGGATGGCATCCGTAACCGACCTAATCAGGCAAACGCCGAGGACATGATCATCTCGGAGCACAACTTGTTGTGGAATAGCGGAACGGCCGGGCTATTCCGACGGCGCCTGTCACAAATCCACTTGCGCACGGCACCGCAGCAACAGGATGCGATCCCCTGTCATAGACGGACCGGACGCCTCATGGCTATCTTTTGATGGTTGCGTCTTGTCCCGCTCTAGGAATAGTTCCTGGTCTGTGTGCCTCTGAGTCCCCCGCGGAGAGTAAACCGCCGCCGAAATTAATATGACAGGGGTGATAACTATAGTAGCAAGACATTACTAATTTAGTCTATTGTGCCACCTGATAGATGATCGCTCATGGAGACGGTGCTTTTGCTGGACCAGCATTAAAGGGGTGATGATCCGGGGGTGTGTTTGTCGCCTTTCTCATTCTTAAATAACCTTGACCCTGTGTATCTGTCTGTCACGCTTCCTTGACGCAGGAAATTTACACAATCCCAATATGCCATCAAATGAATCATACGCAGTATCCGGTCATTCCGAAGGGAAGAGTATTCGGATCGACGAGACCCGGTTTGCGTTCACTCCCCGGAAGATTCGCGTCGTCTGCATCGGTGCCGGGTTCTCTGGTCTGAATCTGGCATACAAACTGAAACACGAGAGGCCACTTGACTACGTTGACTTTCAAATATATGAGAAGAACACGGAGGTAGGGGGAGCCTGGTGGGAGAACGTTTATCCCGGGGTAGGCTGGTGGGTATACTCTCAAAGTGAAATGGGAAAGTCCGAGCTGACCAAGTTCTCCTGCCTAGTGATATTCCTGTTCGTAAGTCAGCATCTAATTCTAAACTTCGCCCCCGCATTGACCTCCCCTAGACAGCTACCAATTTCCGTTCGAGCCAAGCCCCGACTGGTCAAAGTTCTACGTTGGAGGCAAGGAGATCGAGGACTACATACTGCGGACAACAGAAAAGTACGGGTTGAAGGAGAGGATCGCATTCAATACGAGGCTTGTCCGAGCGACCTGGAATGAGGAACAGGCCAAATGGAAGCTTCAACTGGAACGAGGCGAATTCATGATCGGAGACGAGGCGGATATACTGATTGACGGGAGTGGCATCGTCAAGTAGGTATCTATTCTGACAGGTGATATCAACAGCCCCGCTAATACTGAAGCCAGCAACTGGAAGTGGCCGAATGTTGAGGGACTCGATCAATTCAAAGGCAAGATTGTGCATAGTGCAAAATGGTCAGTCCACCCATGAGATCTGTCCGTTGCGCGATGTTAACATCATTATAGGGACGCCGAGTACCAGTGGGAAGGCAAGAGGATAGCGGTTATTGGAAATGGATCGTCAGGATTGCAGCTCGTTCCAGCGCTTCAGCGCAAAGCTGCGAAGATAGTCAACTACGCTCGTCGCGCCACGTGGGTGTCAACGCCCTTGTGTGGCAACTTGCTCAGGGATGCAAACGCGACGAACTTCGCATACACTGAAGAAGAGAAAGAGGAGTTTCGGACAAATCCAGAAAAGTTCCTCGAATATAGGAAGGTCGTTGAGACGTCGTCAGTATAGATTGCCCGCCTTTTGGAGCCTTGCTAACTTGCATACGTTATGCAGTGTCAACAGCGTATATCGGTTGATGATTTCGGGATCCGCCGAAAACAAGATGCTTTTCGACTTGGTTGATGCAACCATGCGAGAGAAGCTGAAAGACAACCCGGAGCTTATCGAGAAACTCATTCCCAAGTACGAGCTTGGGTGTCGCCGCCTGAGCCCCGGCAATGGGTATCTTGAGGCAATCCAAGCCAATAATGCACGAGCCACGTTCAGTCCCATTCAGAGAATCACGCCAACCGGCATTGAGAGCGAAGAAGGCGAAGAAGAGTTTGATTTGATAGTTTGCGCCACGGGTTTCGATACTAGTTTCGTTCCTTCCTGGGATCTCGTCGGTCGCGATGGGCGACGCCTGGCAGACGAGTGGAAAGAGACGCCTTCTGCTTACTTCTCCACATGCGCGGGTGGTGTTCCCAACTACTTCATGTTTGCCGGTCCGAATTGCCCGATCGGCCATGGTTCTGTTCCGCAGATGCTTGCATGGACCGGGGATTATATGTTGAACTGGATCGAGAAGATGGTCGCAGAAGACATCAGGTACCCTACTACTCCCTCTCCCTGAACTTGCAGCACGAATTCTGATGAAGACAGATCCATTGTGGTCAAGGATTCTGTCGTAAGGGAATACAACGCCTACGCGCAAGAAAGCCTGAAGCGGTGCGTATGGTCGAAGGGATGTCATGCCTGGTACAGCAAAAAGAATGCCGAGGGACCCAACACGGTCACGGCGATGTACCCAGGCAGTGTCCTACACTTCAAGGGTGAGTCTCCTGATGACAACATTGAAGATAGAATAGACCTATTGATGGCTTGTTGCAGAGTATATGAAGACCATCCGGGGCGAGCACTTCGACATTCGGTACAACAACTCGAACCAATTTCTATACCTAGCCAACGGAGAGCTGGCCTTGGAGCGCGACGAAGGAGGCGATATGGCATATTATCTCACTTTATCGGGTTCTTCATAGACCTAGAGGTCGATTTGCGTGTACAGGGAACCGAATGATGACTCTGGAATGAACCTTTGATTCCATACATGGGCTTTCGCTGCCAAATCAACCTGTAGGACTTAGGCTAAATGACTTACTGCACCTCGCATCGCTGCCAAGGTCTATGAGACTCGGTAGAACAGTGGCCGACGGGGAAAATTGCATAATTTCTCCGTTAGCTGATGCTCCATTAAACCTGCAGGATCACAACCCCGCATTGAGTCTTTTTCATTTGCGATGCTGTTCCGGATCCCCAGAAATCTATCCTCGTTCCTTGACACAAGCACTAGGGTCATCATTGAGGCCCAACATGCTATTACTATCTCATATTCTCAACTTCTCCCTCCTTTCAACGATTGGTGTGGTGTATGGACAGGAATGCGAGAAAGCCGAAGACTGCAGCCTCAATGGGGTCTGCTCCGATACCAAGACATGTATCTGTGATCCAGGTTGGCGTGCTTCCGACTGCAGCGAACTGGACCTTCGGCCAGTAGAGCGATGGACAGGATATAATCACACCAACATCACCCTGCCTGACTTTTATCGTGAAGGAGCAGGGAACTCATCCTGGGGAGGCCACATCATTCAAGACCGCGAGGATAATCAACTCTTTCATCTAGTAGTCTCGCAAATGGATCGCGGATGTGGTCTTTCTGGATGGCGACCATTTAGCACTGTGATTAGGGCAGAATCGCGAACGGGACCCCGTGGGCCCTACACATGGGCCCAGGAACTCTTCAGTACATTCCACCACAACCCAACAACGATGTGGAGTCCATCAGACCAGAAATATCTGATGCATTTTATCGGCTATGACTGGGAAACCCCCGACACATGTCGCTCGATCAAACGAAACAATACCATCTCCGTGTCCAGCTCCCCAGATCTGCGAACATGGGACACCCCAACAGAGCTACTCATCAACGTCACGAACCCAGCCGCTTGGCCTCTTTGGACCCCCAAAAGTCAAACCCCGGAGATGCTCCTAGCGACCGAAAAGAACAACATATACCTTGCAGCCAACTATACGGGTCCATACACTCTGCGCGTAGAGCCGGGGAACATCGAAATTGACCCGTCGCTCCGTAGCGAGGATCCGTTCCTCTGGCGTGACAAACGCGGCCACTGGCACTTTCTCGTTCATCACATGGTGGATATTGCACTGGGAAACAAGGGGCCTCGCGTGGGAGCCCATGCTTTTGCAAATAGGTGGGAAGGACCCTGGCACTATAACAATATCACTCTGGCTTATAACACAACGGTGAAATTCACTGATGGGACGAGCGTCGACTATTATCGGAGGGAACGGCCAAAGCTGTATTTCAGTACAGATGGGGAGATGACCCCGTTGTATTTGATCAATGGCGTACAGGAGTTCAATAGCTCGGCGAGCTATACACTCATTCAGCCGATCGGGAGCGGATGGAGAAAATATGAAAGAGGTTTGGGGTTTGACTGATCCACCTTAGAACAAGCTTGGTCACGAGCCTTGGAGTTAATCTCTTTTGTGCAAGGTATCAGCATTTACATGACCTCCAGAGGTCGCAAAAGTGTCAAGACAGGATATCCCCATCTCATGTACAGAAACAGTCAGTTATGTAGAAATGCCAGGGCATATATCTACTTCTCCTGACTTCGTCCGAAAAAGTGCAACAATCTCATCCTTACTATAGGCGGCGGCAGTCACAACCTATAAATGAGTTTGTTAACAAACACTGTCGGATCAGGAACAGAGCACAGAGAACAGAGCACGTACCAAAGGCGTTCTCTGATCATAGTCTTCCTGGAAAGGATCTAAGCCCATGTCCATCAGGCATTTGAATGCGGCGACACTATAGTCTCCATGGTTTCCGGAAAGAATCACGTCAAAGCTAAACCCGTTGGCATCTGTATCGTCATGCCAGGGTATCCTAGCAGCCAGGTGCAGCAGGGTCTCGCCGACCGTGTTCACGGTGTGGAAATCGGCCCCATATTGCTGAACCCCTTTCAGCTGGTCAACATAGAGATCACCGAACAACATCTCCGGCTAGTCATTGAAGGACAGGATGTATTTAGAGAGCGGTGTGTCACCGTCATAATTTCTGGTGTTGAAATTGAGCGCAAGTCTCATCAGCCTATGGGCGTAAATGGAATCTTCGCCCGACAGGCTACAAAGAGGACTCGCTAAATGGTGCAGTAGAGTATTGCCGCGGGGATCGCGTTCTAGGATATTGGCTCCGGTGTCCACGAGGGCGGCAGTTGTCGGCACACGTTTTTTGGCGGCAGTCAAAAGGAGCGGCGTGTATCCTTCCTTATTGCATTCTGCAAGAAGCTCTGGTCGCCGAATGGCCAAATCCTTGATGAGTGTCGTCAATTCGATTTGGTCCTCGGGGTTCTTTCATGGCTATCACTAGCAGATGAAGCACGTTTTGTCCCTTGCTGGCAATGGCGGAAACATTGGCACCCATCGCGCATAGCTGGCGGATAAGCCCAATTGTGAAACTGCCCAGGCATCGATTGAAGGGAACCTCGTCTGGGTCTTCCCCTCCACAGGCTGCCAACAGTAGCGTTCTACCTTTCTTGTCTCGTTGCTCTAGCTTCAGCGTGGAAAGGCTTAATAAAGGCCCCAGTGTACCACCGTAGTCGATCAAGGCATGCAAAATCGTCGTGTCTTCCAACGGTTCATAAGGAGTCGCGCTATGCTCCAACAGAACCTCCACAATTCTCACCACCTGTTTGTGTGTGAAGCTCATCCGGTTTTTCAAAATGCATTCTCGCCGCAAACCAAATTAGGGGAAGCCAAAGACTGTAGTTCTCTTCTGCTGCTCTTTCATGCATTTTATTCTTGTGTACTTTGGGGACTTTGGGATGAGGTGGCGGCTTTTTGAACGGAACATTACAGCCGACACCGGCCTCAAGAATTACCTGGACCAGCTCTGCATCTAGATTCTGTATAGCGCGGAATAGCGTCGGTTCATTTCCAGTGGTAAGATCTGCGCCATACTGAAGAGATAGCCGAAACAGTGCGTGATCTCCCGTCGTGGAACTGAAAGGAGTATCGCCATTATTATCAGTGGCATTTTGGTCGGCATCATGCTCCAGCAATGCTCTGGCAATACCAATGCGTTGAGGCTGGGCAGTCATTGCGATGTGGAGGGGTGCGCATCCATGCTCGTCTCGCTCTGTCACGTCGGCACCTTGGCTGAGGACGTAACGACAAGCTTCAGTTTGCCACCAGTGCTTTCCCTGTGCCAGTATGTGTAAAACACTCGGCTTAGATAACCAGCCCGTTGCAGATTATCGCAGGTTCACATCTGCCTTGAAATTCTCAACCAGAAGCTTCGTCAGAAACAAACTTGGGAGTTCCCCGCTGTCACAAAGAATGGCATTGAAGGCTCAGCTTTAGGCCAGCTTTCAGGTAGCAACAAAGACTCTGATTTCGATGCAGTAGGTCCAGGCCAACATCCAGATGGAATAACAGCATATCTGATTTCCGGGAGTTTTCACAGACCAAGTGCAAAGCATTGTTTCCTTCATAATCAGCTAGCTGCATGGCGATCTGTTCCAAGCTCAAGTATCATTTCTATGGGTTCCATAGAGAAGTGTGCCTCCATGACGGCTCATAAAAACCAGGTTCGGCCGTTATTATCCCGGGCTTCAATATCAGCTCCTACGGCTAGCAAGGCTCTTCCACTATCACTAATGTCGTAGGTTCCATGATCAATTTTGTGCAATGCGGTCTCCCCTTAATAGTTTTTGGAATTAATGTCTGCCCCAATACCAACCAGCTCTTGAATCAAAGACTTATCAGACTTTCTGATGATACGCAAAGGAGTATTCCGTCACGATCGTGAACATTTCAGTCTTTGACATATGGTTTCATCCATTCAATGTTACCACTTGAGTTTTCCAAGCGAGTATGAAGTGCCGTCTTCCCATCTCTGTCTCGGACTGCATTCCATCGAGCACCGTATCGAATCAGCGCCTCCACAGTTTCTTCCGAGGCAGGGCTTAGCCTCAACAAATGCACGGGCACATTTCCTTGAAGGTCTCTATCATCAGCCCTTGCCCCATGTTTCAGAAGCCTTTCGACTACCGGGATCTCTCTCTTAATGCAGTAGTGCAAGGCAGTATTGCCCTCTTCGCCGTGGACATTCACATCACACCCCACAGAAAGGGCTAAGTCCAGACAATGTGCAACATCTGGAGGCATTATCAGAACTAGAATGATCTGATCCGCAGATAGCAAGTACCAAAGAAGAGCGCTCAGTCTTTGGTTCATTTCCTATAATAAACACATGCGCGTCAGATAAGGGCTGCTGTTGGTACATAGGACCCGCTCCATTACGAAGAAGCAGCTGCAGTATCTCAAAGTTCAACTCGGACCCAGCTTCAGTCAACGCTTCCCCTTCATAATTGGACTCCATGTCAAGAAGGCCTGTTTCCAGCAGATACTGAGCAACTGACACGTGCCTCCGTTTTATTGCTCGGATGAAGTTATATTTGAGGTTCTCCTGACTCAGATATGGAACCATAGCGGCGATGGCCTCGACGCAGCCAAACTCGGAGGCGTATTGCAGTGGGGTTTCGCCCATGGAGATACCGGCATCGTAGTATATTGAACACCAATAGTCCTTCGTTCTTCCTGTAATTGGGCTGACTCCAGCATCAACTAACACCTGCACGGTTGCATGATGATTGGATTTGGCGGCATAATGGAGTGGCTTCATTCCCCTTTTATCCGGGATGGTCGGCGCGGCGCCGTGTTTTAGCAAGAGAGACACGGTGCCACTGTGTCCTCTTTGTGCTGCCATCGCAAGCGGTGTTTCATCATTCTCCGACATTACGTTAAGGTATGGACAAGACATAAGTCTCGTTTCCATGTAATCCGTGAGTTCTCCCCAAGCAGCAACATGCAATGGCGTGATTGACTCCACATCATAGTGTGGCTGCATCATGTAATTTGCGCAGCACAAGAAGGTATTTGTTTTCGGTCGCATGAGCTGGTCTAGAACGTCTTAGAGCTGAGCCTTTTATCTCCGGTACGCGTCGAGTGTGGAAAGCCCAATTTTTCAGGGCGTAGGCCAAAAAAAAAGGATGATGCAATTGCCGCTCTTGTGTGGCGCTCTTCCCTGGGTTTCGGTGTCCACGAAGATGAAGAGCCCGACAGCAATTATCTGACACAGATCAAGGCCATCAACTCGTGTGTTTCACTCGATTTGAGGATTGGAAATGGAGGGCTCGCTTCCGGATCCAGCATTCTGTCCTTACGCCGGTATCCGTCAAGAACTCGGTGAAAGAATGATGGATGACAGATACCGTCTCGTCCTCAAGGATCTCCAGCAACGGCCCACATGACATACGCGCCATACCCCCCCGTGTCGCCATGCTCTGTCTTTCCTTCATTCATATCCAAGAAGTTGAGGACGGTGGAGATTTCCAATAAACGGAGTGGGTGGGAAGCATGGGTCGCGAGTTGCAGGATCAGCACTTGTCTCTCCGGTGGCACAGAGGCGAGCTGGGAGTGATCATAAGGCATGTGAGTATACATGTCTTCGAGACTAGCAGGAAGAGACTGTAGTGCATCTTGCACCATATCCCATATCCATTCCCAACGATTCGGCTCTTTCTTTCTTCGGGAGGTCATTCAGGGTCAGGCGCGCGTAGAGGAAGGACGGTTGGACACGATCTTCTATCAAAAGCTTGATCTTGTCTTTCAAAGACAGACTAAGCTCCGGTGCTCGAGGTAGCCGGTGCTCAACAAATCATGCAATGTCTTGGTTGACTTATCGGTCTTCAAGTCTCACCTGAAGAACGGAGGGACGATTCAAATATTTCTGGATCTGCGGCAAGGGTCGACTGGTCATGATCAGTTTGACGGCGCCCGGTCGCATTTGTTCCAACGCAATGAGACGTGGGAGAAAGCCATCGGCTTGGTCAGTATCCAACTCATCCAATGCATCTACCACACAATAAACCTTTTCCACGGTCTCAAGAGCGACTAGGAGACTCCGCCACAACACGGAAAAGGCGACATGTTCCACGTCCGGATTCTGTTCTTTGACTATCTCAAGTTTCTCCCGCAGATCTAGTGAGAAATCCAGCAGCTGATGCAACCAGTCTCGCACCAGGGACTGGCACCCATGGTTGGCCGTGACGATTCGACGGAAGAAGAAGAACAAGAGGGGCGTTTTGTCCTGCTGTGTCTGTAGCTCGGAGATAAGATGGGTGGCCAAGACGCTTTTGCCAGCACCGGCGACGGCTTTCAACCACAACGCGCCTTGGGTGGACGAATCGTGCCATTGTTGACATCCAGGGCTGTCAAGCAGTCAGCATCCAGTTCCCTGGACGTGGGCATTCAGGTGTTTGTTGAAGTCGGAGGCTGCGGCCAGCCTCGGAGATCGGCCAGCTTCCTCGGGGAATTTCCGGGGAAACCTCAGAGGCTGTACCGTACCGTACCTCCAATACCCAGGTTCGCCGGGTTTGGGTGGCCGGTCGGTGTAATTTACGGTATGTCGGTTACGTTTCTGCCTCAGGCCGCAATGCTTCCTCTTTGGGAGGCACAAGTATAGGTAGTGTTTCTGGTCTAGAAATCTAAGAAAAATCCGACAATTACATTAGATGAGCAGGCACACCGGAGTATTCCCGCGGAGGAAGAAACTATGCGATCTAAACTCGAATATACAAGCACTATACTGTCAGCATTACTCTGTTCCTGGCTACATATTCGGCGTCTCTCGAATCCCGAGGGAACCGGGAATATATATCTTTGGAGGGGCCGTCGTGACAATGAATCAATGTGAACCACAACAGTGATGGACACACAAACAAAGTGTCTGGTGCTGACATGGATCAGGTCCCTGAGCAAGAACTTTGCTTCGAAGTGAACCTAGTCTCTATTTCAGCCTTGACTTGATCTGAGGAGATGCTGTAAGTTAAAAAATGGTGGAGTGGGCATAGAGAAATTCAACATCATTTATGAAATATAAATTCAGAGCGGCTATCATAAGAAGCGGTTCCATAACTCAGTCGGTTAGAGTGTGGTGCTAATAACGCCAAAGTCGAGGGTTCGACCCCCTCTGGAACCAACTTTCTTTTTTTTGCCCTTTCAACTTTCCCCTGCTTTTCCAAGTCCATCCCACTTCGTCGAATATTCACATCCCCCCCAAGACAAATCCCATCTCCATTAATTCCCGCTCAACCCTTTTCCCTTGAACCTTTCCAGCAACGATGGCTAGGCAACAGAACCCAACAGTTACGTACATGGATGGCGGACAAGCCCCATCGAATCCTTGTGGAGAGGACCCTTCATTATAATTTGCCCATCATTAACTCCGTACCAACTGATAAGAATCAATGACAGCCCCTCGCCCACGTAGTTTGGGCTCAAGCCTAGACAATATTAGTGCTTATCACGGAATACGGAATAGTACCCAGTTATCCCGATCGGCATGACAACCTCGCGCCGTGTCCCATATAAGACCCAGGTATCTCCGACCCGGGTTTTGATGGCCATTGAATTTCATTATGAATGAAAACACGCCGCTACTTTCTCGGTCATCCCATCAAAGAACCCAGACATACCGAGACCTGGTCTCGATCTGGCAGACATGGCGAATTCCGATCCTATGCTACGCTGTTGCACTACTCCTCAGCTTTGCAGAGACGATGCGCGCGACGCCAAAGACACAACTATACGAATCAGTTCTTTGCGAACGATACTATAAGTTGAAATCCGAGAGCCCCCCTGGACTGGCCGTCGAGATCACAGATCGCACGTGCAAAACCCCGGAAGTCCAGGAAGCCCTAGTATCGATGCAGGCCTGGTTAAAAATGGGCGAGAACTTGATCGGTAGAGCTCTGACTTGTAGCGTACTTCCAGTCGGTCGCTAACAGTAACTCTCAGCTCTCATTGTGGCCATCCCTTTCGGGAAGCTCTCCAATACGAAAGGCCGCACGCTTGTTCTGATCATTGGCATCTTTGGTCAGTTCCTCGCGGAGACCTGCATAGTGCTGGTGTGCTATTTCCACCACAGCGTACCCCTCGAATTACTCTTTATATCGGTAGCATTGCGCTCCCTGGGCGGAGGATTGATGGTGATGTCAGCGATCGTGCACGCCATTCTCGCCGACGTGGTCTCGGAGGACCGACGCGCTCAGGCCTTCTTCTATCTCATATCGACGCAGTTGGCATGTGAGGTGATTGCACCACTCTTGGGCTCTTCGTTGATGAAGAGAAGCGTCTATACCCCTTTACTACTCGCCTTCCCGTTACAGATTTTTTCCATCGCAGTCGCCTGGGGAATTCCGAACTCGACGCGGTTTCAAAAAGAGGGCGACGAGGAGGATGAAGATGGCCAGGCGGACTCCAGGCAAGAAAATCAAACAGAAAGTCTTGCATCGCGTATAAGATCGCTCGCCAGGTTCATCAAGGACCAAACAGGAGTCATCTTGATTGGGGTGTCGTTTCTGTCGTCAATGCTTGCGGGAGAATCGCTGGACTATCTGGTCCAGTATGCGTCGAAGAAATTTGAGTGGAGTCTTGCAGAGGTCAGGCTCACAGTAACTGTCTGTATGATAGAGCGAAAGGCTAACAATGAGCCTACAGGCAAATTATCTTATCTCTTTCCGAGCCATCGCCAACTTGGTCCTCTTCCTGCTCATCCTCCCAAGCATCACGCGCACCCTGACATCCCGCCACCGGTTTTCGCCCAAAGACGTAGATCTATGGACATCCCGAGTGAGCTCGGTTTTTGGAGTTCTCGGCGCCGTCCTTTTGGGCGTGTCCCCGTCCACAACGACCGTGATATTCTGTACGTTCGCCTCACATTCACCCCAAGCTCGAAAGAAGGAGAACTGACACCCCGCTCAGCCCTCGTAATTTTCACCCTCGCCGCTGGATTCACCCCATCCATCCAGTCTTACGGGACATCGCTCGTGCGAGCCGTTGACATTGCACCATTCTATTCCTTTCTAGCGGTGGCCCGAATTGCCGGAACGCTGGTTGGGTCACCTCTTACTGCAGCAGCATTCAATTTGGGATTAAGGGTCGGAGGGGCTGGGCTGGGGATGCACTTTTACGTTTCGGCGGGATTCTTCAGCATTGCAGGAATGGGAGCTTGGGTGGTTGGACATTTTGATCGTGGGGAGAGGCGGGAAGAAAGTGAGAACGGGGTGTAGAGAGTAACTTTCGGCACGAAAGAACAGGGATCAATAGAAATAAGCGATAATATGATGTCTTGAGTCCTGGTACTGTATTATATGGATAGAGAGGCCTGCGTGTGAGCCGTCTAGGATCAAATCGACCAATACAAAAATAAGTGGTTCACTACACTGGACGGAAGATAAGTAGGGCTATATCCAATCTCAGAGACAGTGAAAGAAGCCATAGGCGAACTTGTTGCCGTTTTCTAAATCCCTGTTCTCCATATCTGATCAGCTCACAAGTGACACCATCAATAAGCGTGAGTAGGTACTGCGATTCATGGTACGTTAGAAAGGCGACGCATTACACACACCAGTCAAGTCTTCCTTCGCAAGGTATGATTTCTGTCTGGGTTTGGGTTGATGGCCCTGACTCGGAAAAATTGTACAAATAACGATAAAGATCACGCGATGTGTTTATTCCGACGTGTTTATTCCGATCCCCATTCCGAGAAGGGGCTTTTATTCCGCGTCGGACAGGATTAACGATGACGTCATTACGAGCCGAGCAGCTAACTAGGTCGCCAGCGTTTATACCCTGAAAGATATAAGGTAAAGAGTGAGAAAGGAGACACGGACTTGAAGTGAGGAAGCAAAAATGAAAAGATCATAGGAAGTTACGCAGGGAAGAGAGAGGGCTCAAATCAAGCGGTAGAATTTAAGACAAGGTACTGTACCTTGAGAGTGAGTATTGCTTATGGAGTGACCTGATTGCTTGATGGGATGATATGATATGCTTTATTATCATCCCAAGTCAGCATGCCGTTGCAGAAACTTAGGTGTAACAGTATACGACTTTATAAAATGCCAACAAGCCTTCCACTGTTGCCTGAATCTTCCTTCCCATTCTACCGACCGAAAAAGGAAAACTGGAAATTAAAATTTGCGAGTGGTACCGGAAATCCACTAGCATTACTATTTGCTGAGCCTGCTGCCTCCGTATCACACACAGGTGAAACACCCCGACAAGGCGTATTCGGCCCTGGCATAAGGTCAGAGCCGAAATCCGAAAACAGATTATCAAGCTAAGGATATCATTATGGCACGGAAGAAAAGCTTGGTTGACCTGTCCCGACAGAGAGTAACCTTCAAATCCGAACCACCTGACAATACTGAAAAGACATGATTGAAGAGTGATAAAGAAAGCAGGTACGCGCATTCTGAACCTAGTCGTCGCGCACTTTGATTACAACCTTACCCCTGGAGCGTTTGGTAGCGATGCGTTCATAGCCGAGCAGTGCATCCTCCATGGCGAAGACAGAGTCGACAGGGATACGTAATTGTCCCTCTTCAACCAGGCGGGCTAGGTAGATCACGTCGTCGCGCAGTGGAGGCGAACTGAGCATGATATAGCGACGGGGTACGCCGCCCAACCAGGCGGGCAACAGGGTATTGAGAAGGATGTGGAATGTTGTCACAAGCATGTTCTCGAGCATACCAATATTGACCAGGGCGCCATCAGCCTTAAGATAATCTGGGGAGTGTACAAAGAGGGGCTGGGCGCCGACGCAATCGAGTATAAAATCGAACGGTTTGTCGCCATACTGATCAGCTAAGAAAGCTGGTAGCGGATCGTGCTTTCGGTAGTCGACAAACTGCGCAGGCGTTAGTCAAGCGGCCAAAATACCAAGCAGACCATTCCTACCTCGTCTACGCCCATGCCGCGCACCATGGCCTCGTTGCCACCGCTGGCCACGCCCACCACCTTCGCACCGCGCAGCTTACAGAGCTGCACGAGCAGAGAACCGACCGAGCCACTGGCCCCGTTGACCAGCACAGTGTGACCCTCTCGCACACCCACCGCGCGGATCATCTTGAGCGCGGCGGACCCGGAGCAGCTAAGGCCCGAAGCCGACGCCATGTCAACCGTTGGGTCAACGCGCGCGACTTGACTACCGGGGAGCCGCACATACTCGGCCAGCACGCCACGGCCCAGGAGTACTTTGAGGGGAAAGGCCTGGAAAGCCACGACGTGCGTTCCCGGGTCGCGTACCTCGGCGGGCGCGCTCTCCCCGGCCGCCACCACCTCACCGGACAGCTCGAGCTCCGGGATGAACGGGCCGGTCAAAGACAGCTTAGGCAGCGCTTTCAAGAACAACTCGCTGTTGACTTGTAGCGACACGTGCGATACGCGGATCAGCACGTCGGGGGATGATTTCGGCGGGACTGCGGGTGTGGGGAAGTCGGAGATCAGCTCGAGGGCGCCGCGGACGGGGCCGCGCCGCATGCCGACCCAGGCGCGCATGGTCGGCGGAATGGTTGCCATTTCTTCCTGCTGGTGTGGAGCCAAAAATGCGAGTTTTTTTTTTTTTTTTCCAAGATGGATTGCTTCAGAGACCAGCAGCTATCTGTGACGAGAACCAGGTGTACACCGTCAGTCCGGTAAGACCACCTTTGCTGTTGGTTTGTTGCCGCTCTTTGTTGGGGCACCAGCGTATTTTAGGAATAACGCATCTCGCTTCCTTCGGGCCCTTGAACAGTTTAGGATCCGAAGGATTCGGAATTGGTGGCTTGGATCAGATAGAATTAGCAGTGACCAGTCCAAAGCACTGCAAGGTAGGCTGTACAATAGTTGGACAACGATAAGTTGGGATTCATTCTAATCAGAAAGCAAAACATCCCTATACTATAGCCTGGATTGAGAGTTTAGGTATTTCCGTCCTTTACTTGTATTCGTTTGTAGAGATCAGCTTGGAATCTCGACCAGTCAAACCGATGTATTGCAATAAGAGAGCGCTGGTGAAGTTGTTTCAAGTGCGAAAATGAGTCACTAATTTAGGTATGGCTTAAAATAGAAACGAAGGGACTGTTGGATTTGTTCAACCCTCAACCCCCAACAAAAGTCCAAAACAGACAACCCGCATTGCGGAGGGCGCCAACCATTCTGGCTGAATTGAGGCGCAGTCCACCCTCAGTCTCGATGGCTTTCCCCGGTGAGACCTTTTCGCGAATCTATTCATTGAAGAACGCCCCTGTCCTATTAGAAGATAGGCCAGGATTAGATAATTGACGACCATAACAGGAAAAAGTAACTCAGAAGTACAGATTGCCCGTCTCGCTGCATGCAAAAGCCCCATGTTGTACTTTATTGCGGAAAGCGTTGATCTGCCGTTTTCGACAGGTAAGAATGCGCTCCAAAGTGTACGTTTTCCAATTCAGAAATCCTGCCAATGCTTGATATTGCTTGGCTCTTACCGTCGACCTACTTTCTAGAGAAAAATCTAAATATAACGCTAGTAATTCTCTAATGCTCCTGCAATATCAGTGCCATGTGGCGCGAAACACGGCCTTGACTTAGCACAGGAAAACTCCGGATTAGAGCCAGGCCTACACTCGCCAGATGCATTCCCTGCCCCGTACACAGCAGGGTTAAGGAACATTGAGAACACGAGACGTCAAGCATATTGACTCATTCTTTCAACCAGCTTTAAATGCGCGATCCAAGTACCATACACTAGAATATGCCCGCTGCATGAGGTAATACACCCACAGTTTCTTTCTTGGAGCGCCTGACAGCGTCTGGGCTCAGGAGAAGATCTCTTTGTGTCAAACTGTATTACCCTCCCTCACTGGGGAATGGGGCTATGTACATGTATGCCTGATGGATAAGACCTATCATTGCCCGTTATATGGTGTAACAAGAGAGGGGCCTACGTACGTGTCCATCTGAACCTGTTGGATGACTAATAGTCGCCCACATAGCTGCGAGTCTAGCTAGGGTGTTCCCTCCAGCAGTGCCATATCATCATGTTAAGGCAATATGAAATTTCATGGATGGCCTATCGATGTCGAGCTTTTGACGTCGGCGTTGCCGACTGCGACTGGAAAGAGTGCTTTTGGCCTCGACAGGAGGGATCCAATAGAAGGCCGTGGGTCCTGACGTACATAATATATAATAATAAATAAATTATTGGAAAAAAGCTGAGGGTGTGTATACCATATTAAAATAGCTAATTGACGGCAATTTGGAAGATCAGCCCCCTGGGTATTTAGTCCCCAGACGGCCCTGGGCGGCTGTGACTACTATAAGGATGAATGACAGCTGTTACAATTAATCCCACAACCAACTTTTTGCATCGTCCAAACGTTATTTTAACCTCGTTGGAGCAAGGCCACTTTATAGCCCGTCGATAGTCACGGAGAAACCTCTTCGAATAGGTTCCGCTGGTATGCGTTCCTCGATTGCCACACGCAATAGAGAAGTAAGATACTGACAAGGCAGACATTCCATATAGAACCAAAGGATGAATCAGACCACGACCTCCTGCTATATGCCGAGTGCTCTGCAAACAATCACCGGCCATGAAGATATTGACCTTTTCGATGAAGGGTTTGGTGGACGGATGCGCCTGACAGAACGCTACGGCAGGAATCCAAACCCCACTGCTGGGTCGCCCCGTTATGACTTTAAAGATCTCGCATCGGCGGCAAACGACAAGACAGGCTGGTCTGGACGATCCAGACCACTATCTATGCCGTCCATCCCATCGACGTTGCGCCCGGAGCAGATCGATCAGGAGCCAGGGGTATCCCACCTTGGGGACATGCAACAAACCTGGTACAACACCCAACCAAGTTCTCCAACCAGTAGTCCGAATACGGGTCTCTACAATGGCAACCCATTTGCCAGCTCATCGGGAATATGCTACGACTCTATGTGGTCGACCACTCGAGCGATTTCTTATAATAGCTTGGGTGCCCTGAGTGGAGTAGATGAGTATAGGTGCGTGCCCACTATGCGTCGTTAATTCCTAATAAGCCAACCTGTTCCTCAAGGGCGGACGTTAAAGCCCCGTTGTTTGTCTGCAAGTGGGAAGGATGTAGCTACACGCGGGGCTTCAACCGAGAGATGGACCTAATTCGCCATGTTCGAAGCTTGCATATCTCGCCCGGATCGTACAGGTGTTGTGTGCGAAGATGCTCTAAGATATTTAACAGGAAGGACAAACTGAAGGAGCACCTTGACAAAGCTCATTCTGATCAGCTATAGAGGTTTGATCATGGGAGACATTGCTCACTGTTTTCGTCGTCTTTGTCTTGTGATGATAACTGTCTTTCGATTTATCTCTTGTTCGTCTTTGTAGTTACCAGGGACCATTCGCTTATATTCTGTTAAAAGAGCTATACTGAATATTCGCAAGCACCACGTGTCAGTTGTTCCGTTCTACGTGTGAATTAATTGCTTTCATAATTTTCTTCGATAGCGCTAGAACCACTACCAATAATTGGCATTGAAAGATTTACACAAGTAATCGTTAACAGCCAAGTCCGCCATGAATGGTGGTAGTGGATTACGATATCGCCAAATCCCAACTAATAAACAACCGGTGACTTCTTGTTGCACTGTCCGCACAGACGAAAAGACATGCGCCATCTGAATTCGAGAAGAAATGCTTAATTTTTGTATGAACCTCATCGAGGTCTGCTTTCCAAGCCCAAAGGTTGTGGGTTTAGAATGCACCCATGTCGCCGACCGATAACGCTATTCATGATGCTCTCGTCTTCAGCCTCATGGGAAGACCGCCTTTAATTCCCTGTAGAGATGGTGAAATTAGTACTCAATCGTAGCGATCCAGTTACGAAGAGAAAAGAAGCATACCATATTCAAGGCAGCGAGGGGCTCATAGGTCTTAACGGTATCGGTCAAAATAACGTCGAAATGTTGGAGGATCGCAGAAACGATAGCGATGCCTTCATAGGTGGCCAGGGCTCGGCCTAGACAGCTTCGAGGTCCGGCGTTCCATGAATGATACTCTAAATAATATCGCGTTAGTTAGTCGGAGTTATCCACAAGGACATGGATGTATTACTAAAAGGGCTGTAGGAGATACTCTCCCCATTGTCTTTAAACCACCTGTACGGATTGAAGACAGCGGCATCTTCCCCCCAGACTTGCGGCATTCGAGACAGCACATAATTTTGATAACTCACAATATCACCTCTAGATAATAAACAGACTGATTAGAGAAATGCCTAGGAGGCGCGATAGTGAGCCTACTTCTTAATATGTCGAGGAGGCATGTTGAGTTCAGGCACGGCAGGAAGAGTGTCATCCTGCGCCGCCTCCATTTGACCAGCTGGAGAAACAGTGTTAAGGCGCGCGTTCTCGTCCCACATCGCATTCGTGAAGCGCAATTTCTGTGTACTATTAGGTCTGGAGGACGATGCGAGATGTCTATCTAGGCTTTAGTGAGGAACATACCGGGGCATCCCCATAACCCAGAAAGCCACTTGTAAATCCGAGCTCCTCAGCTTCGGCTCTGATCTTGTTGGCGGCATCTAGATGTTTGTTGTCTCGGTGATGGATTTCCTTCATAAGCCATGAGATGCTGTATGCAGTCGTGTCACCTAGTTGCATGAAACCGTTAACGAACAACTCAGATGCCCGAGGATAGAACTTACGGCCTGCAGATAGGAACGCAAAGACCATGCCACCGAGAGTATACAAGTCCTGAGTCGATTGCAAAAAGAGGTCCAGAAGGTCCACGCCGGCCTCTGGGTTGGGCTTGTAGCCTTGCCGCATTGCGTCAAGACGTCTCTGGATAAGACCATCAATCTGTTCGTAGAAAAGATCGACCGCTCTCTGACTGATGTTATGTTCGCCGGATAGTTTCTCATTCAGCTTCCATAGAGGGTCACGGCGCCGCCGGTCGAACACTGTCGGACAGAGGGTACGGATATTAGTTGTCGTAAAGTCGGGGCGGGAGCTTGGGTAGGACGGGAATCACATACAATAGTTGGCTTCATCAAATGCTTTCACATAAGCAGGCTTTGACTTAAGACTCTCTACATTCTCGGACAATATGTATAAAGCCATCTCTTCTTCGTGGAAGGCAATGCGAAGGAAGAGACAGAACATTAGACGACTCATCAGTTCTTGGAAGTCGAACTCTTCCTCCTGCTTTGCTAGGTTGGATAGAAGCTTCATGAGCACCCCAATCCAGTGGTGAAGAGATCTGGTGATGTGTCTCTCAAAGTTTTGCTTGCTAAATGCTCGTGTCGCAGCCTTGCGCTGTAGTTGCCAAGCCTGGCCATCTGAAATAAAGATGCTCGACCGGTGGAGAGCCTGAAACACATTGCGCGTAAAGGCACCGCGAATGTAGTTCTTGCTATTATGCTTTTGGATATGCTCGAGATAGGTTGGATGGTTGATGATATGTAAGCGGAAGAAAGGAATCGTCATCTCGTAGGCAGGTCCATATCTTCGGTATAAGGAAAACCAGGCCATACAGCTCGCAGCACCTCCGGTCTGAAGCTCTTGAACACTGCCCCGGAAGGGCTTGCCTTTGGGCCCGGTGATCCATTTTGAATTGGCAGAAGAAGACGCCCAAAACCCTTTGTTGCGGTACATCCAGCAGATCACTTGAGCACACGTAAGCACTTGACATCCTTATAAAAGGAATAAGAAACGAACATACAAGTGATTGTGAGGAGGGCGATCAATGATGCAACCTTGGCCGCCGCAACTATAAGGGCTCGCTGAGCTGGCAGGGCCTCCGTGAAAACGATACTCATCTTGTTCAGGTTGAATCTCGACTGGGAACGATATTAACGTGCTTATCATCTGGACAGCGGAATGCTCGTCATGCAAGCTGACCCATGCTACTCTTTTCAAGCTTGCCACCGTTTCCTGGATATTTATGTTCTCCACTTGCGACATTTCCGAAGCAAGGGACACAAGAGACGTAAGGATTACCCGGCTCGGATAAGACAAAAGGACAACACGAAGGCGTTCAAGACCTACCCCGCGAAAGTTCCAGGTGGTTAATTGCTTGATGTGCACGCTAGCGCCATAATCCATCTGGACTTGACGTCTGGGTAGGAAGTACGGATGGTCCACAAGGCCTCCCCAGCTGATGGTCAATCCGATACCGGATAGGATGGCTATTCTCGGATGCCTCGTTGGACGCTGCTTCTCGACCGAATGATACATGCGCCCCTCTAATCTCTGGGGTCTCCAGGTTCTGGGGTCGTATTTTGCGGGGAAATTTAGTTGCCGCAGCGGCTTGGACAAACCGTGATACAAATAGCCCTTGGAAAGTCGATGAAGAAAAAATGCTCCCGATTCCTGGATCTCCCTAACTACTGATTTTGTCTCCATTGCAGCACCTAGTACCAAGTCTGTATTGGTAGAGCCACCGCAAAGATGGTACAGCAGAGGGGCCACTTGGGTAACTCCTTCCGATCACTGACTATAGCTATGGGCATCTCCATGGCCGGGTTCGTACTCTACCGCTTACCTCTCATTCGAATTTTTATCGTGGACTGTCTGAAATTAATGACCTCTGGATAGACTGCTCTACGGTCTCGATAGTGGCATAATTGCGTCTACCATGGCCCATGAAACATTCACGGAATACTTTCTCAAAAACTCCCCGGACAGCTCTGTTGCTCAAGGGGGCATTGTCTGCAGCTATTACGCGGGATCCTGCCTTGGAAGCGCCATGGCTTCCTGGTCCATGGATGCCTTATCCCGTCGCTGGTCAATCCTTCTCGGCTCTGTTGTTTCCATAGTTGGCGCTATCATACAGGCTGTCTCTCAAAACATACCCATGATGGTTGTGGGTCGTCTCTGTTCAGGCTTCTCGACGGGAATGGTATATTCCGTGGCTCCCGTATATCTCTCGGAGCTTGCACCGCCCGAGAACAGAGGCTTTCTAGTCGGGTTGAAAGGTTTGATGAACACAGTTGGCTACTTTCTGGCTGGCTGGATTGGCTACGCCGGTGCATTTGCCCAGGGCGATTTACAGTGGCGGATCCCCCTTGCTATGCAAGCCCCACCGGCAGCGGTGCTGGCCATACTCACCTTCCTCCTTCCATATTCGCCGCGTTGGTGTAAGTTTGCCCCTGATTTCCCCCAATTCTATGACAACTACCCGGATGTAATGAGATTGCGTCCTAGGATCGGGCTAATAGTATCGGCAGTAATGATGAAGCAGCGCTACGAAAGTGCCAAACATGTTATGTACTATTTACATGAGCAGCGCGGGTCAGAATTTATCGAACATGAATTTTCTGAAATGTATGCACAAATCCGGCTGGAAAGTGCACGAAAGGAAAAATCACCGTTCCTGATGCTATTTACAAGACGCTTTATGCGACGCACACTGCTGGGCTGTCTGATCATCAATATGGCCAAGCTGTCTGGTACCAGCGTCATTCAAAACTATCAAGCAATCATGTACCAGTCATTGGGCTTCGAAGGTCGTAAAGTGCTTCTTATCACCGCACTTTATGGTTTTTTAGCGATGGCCGCGCAGTTGATTAGTATTTTCACACTCTCCGACCACTGGCCACGTCGGAGGACAGTGATATGCGGAGAAGCTTCAGTGATTATGTGCCTCTCCATTCTTACGCCGCTGTCGAGAGAGTTTCCAGACGATCACAACTTGTCGGGCAGTCGCGCAGGCGTGGCCTTCATTTTTCTTTTCTCCTTTTGCTGGGCATTTTTCTTCAACTCTGTCATGTGGGTAATCGTATCCGAGATTTTCCCGCTGGACCTTCGAGCCACCGGCGTCGGCTTTGCAATGTTTACACAGTCTGTGACAGCAATTTGGCTGAGTTTTGCCGCGAGTATTGCGTTTGACAAGATCAAATGGCGCTTTTATTTCGTGTTCATTGGCACCAACCTGTTTGCCATCACAGCGTACTACTTCTTTCTACCGGAAACCAACCAGTTGACACTGGAGGAAATAGGGGCGAAGTTCGGCGATGTGGTATCTGAGCCGGTGGTGAAGAGCTTGGATGACGCTGATGGTAGACCGACCGCCCCCATTGAAATCGGAAAGACCGAGGGAACCGAGCACATCGAATTTGCTCGGAGATAACAGGTACAATACTGGACTACTATCTATTGAATCCAAACAATTTACACCGGAGGCTAAATATGTCGACGCGACTATTTATGCCCGAATTCTTGGAAATATGACTAGTTACTGTCTGAAGTCCTTCGTTGAGTACAATCAGCACCTCAAAAGAGTTCATATTTTAAGACTGGTGAAGCCTTACTCAGATCAGATGTAAGTATTGCCAGTCACAACGAGCGTGTAGTTGTGTTCATCGCTCTTCTAACCGACCCTCCATTCCCGGACAGACACGTAGTCAGGTCGCCGATCAAAGAGGGCAAATGATATCACTCTTCCGTAAAGAGCTCAACAAGTGAAGAACAATAGGCTCTGTTATGGCTCCGCCAAAGAACTGCAGCGTGGACTAGATCCAATATTAACAGTGTGGTGTGTAAACAGCACTGCATCATTGGGCACGGTGTAGTAGACTCCAACCGATATCGGCCTTGCTCTGGAATGATCAGCACAAGCTCACTTTTGTAAGTTGCAACCCCGCATCATCGTCACACCTAACCCGAGTTAAGACATTAGGTAATAAGCTACAGGCCAGGGGGTATTTTCAATCAACTCATCTGACCTTATGGCAGAATCCGGAGAAAGCGACGTTTCCGAAGCTTCGGATGTCCATTTCCTAATCGGGGCTAATCTACTTCCGGGTTTTATGACTATCAATGAGAGTGCACCGACACCAGCCGAAGGTGCAGGGCAAGGACACAATGACAGAATGCTAAATTCAGGGAGTATAATGTTAAGCTAAGACGTTAGTGAAGACAGGTCAAATATCCCAAAAACGTGCGCAACTTGGTGGTTGCAACATGGAGTTTGAGGCAAGATCTCACCTTGAGTGAAAAGGACAGGGAATTTTTCAAGGTACCAACTTTCCAAAATTCTGATCAAGTAGTATCCGTTTATCAATCATGGGAATAAGTAGGCTGTCATTTCACTCGCCCACAGCCCGAGCTATTGTGGATTACCTGTGTCTGATCATGTTACTAGCCTACGACGTGCATGAATACATCTTCGAGGTAATTGATTAAAGCTGTTATTGAATCTTTGGGCTAGTCCCGGTCGGTTTGAGTTCATGTATGATAGTAAATGGCATGGCTTTAGCATCCTGGATGGGACTTGGTCTTGCTTGGAGAGGGCGGAAAAGACGCGACAAAAGCATTCGAGGATGTCCAGCATAGCGATGAGGCGAATAAATTGATGGAGCAGTATCTGGTTGGGTGTTGCTCTAGGGTAAGTTATCTGGTACAGGGTGCTGCTGTCTTACACCTACTAACGTCCTTCGTCTGCTCGCTGGCCAAGGAACCCTTGCAGATTTAGAATTCTGATCCGATCGTGAAACCTAAAGGCGAGAAGCCATACAAAAGGCGCGTCTTCCTCCTGTGTTAGAATGATACGATGAAAAATAATTGATCGAACCATCAGACCGCTTGCCATACCCTTTCTGTCCATTCTCGGAGAAACGTGTTTAGTTCTCTTTCTAAGATATTTTTACCAAGGTATCACGAATCAATGGGCCCGAATAAACCATATCTAAAAGACCGATCGCTTTTGTCCCCCACAATCTACTGCAATCGCTGAGATAGTTTTACGATGTAGATTGCAAGCTTGGCTGTGACTAGCAGACATTTAAACGTTTGAACATGTGCTAGAGTGGCTAAGTCGTTTCACTTACACAGATTAAGGTATTATATCGGAAGCTGGAAGAATTCATTTGTTGAGGTGCTCTATTCGACTATGTGGTCTATCAACACAATGACTTAATGTGATGAAACCTATTCACAGATTGAGCTCAGAGAAAATTATACTGCATTGTTAATTCATTCTAATTCCGTATACCCTATGCAAAACATGCGAGTACACTATGCGATGGCCCAGTCCTGTCGCCACGAGTCGACAAACTTTTTGATGATGCCACTAGAAGATAAATTCACACCACCCCTCAGAGAGGGACAGATCTCTTCTGTCAGGTCAGTGCTGTAGACCAGGCCTGCCCGGCTTCCCTCGTTGTCATATTTCCCAGCATAAAATTCGGTCAGCTTGACGGTCGGGTTTTTGGCAGGGTTTTGTTCGCCTGTTCTCAAACGCCTGATCCATTCTCTCTTATCCACCATATCGAAATTGAGACCCGCATCTCGAAGAGCCGGGAGAAGGTCATTTGTCCAGTGAAAGACAGAGGGATTCAAAACATGATATACAACATCAGGATCCTCAGAGTACTGTCTGGCTTTGACAGCACTGTCTTCCTGTGGAGGCTCCAGCGCACTCAGCTCCAACACTGCCTGGGCGACAATATCGACCGGGGTCCACGAAGGTGTTTCATCGAGGGCTGGTAATGCCCCAAGGGTAATGGCGCTTCGAATCATCAAAGGGATACCTTCCTGGGGATTCCAGCGACCATACACAGTATCACCCACGATCTGTCCAACGCGAAGCACTTTGGCAATCATGCCGGTTTGTTCGGCGGCAGCATGGACTATGTGCTCAGCGACTAGTTTCGATCTGGCGTAACCCATAGGGTGAGCGTGTGATAAGTCTAAGACAGGCCCTTCGGTGATCTTAGCTGGTAGAGGAGTACCGGCGGCGGTCGAAGTCGAGGAGCAGAAATAAAAGTCGGCTGGAGATTGCCGATAAGAGGAGAGGCATAGATCGATTAGGTGTCGCACGCCGGCAATATGCTGCTCCTCAAAACTGCGTACTCCGATGTTGAAATTTACCACCCAAGCACTGTGAATAACCTTGGTGAGTGTGCCTCGAAGCTCGTAGATAACATCTGAAGCCAGGCCTAGGTCTGATCTGGAGAGATCTGAAGGCAAGGCCCGAACTTTTGATAGATAATGCATTGGTAGTTGCCTGGCAGACAAGGTAGAGACTACCCTGTCCAGCGCAGCATCTGCTGATGGGGCTCGGACTAGGCAGTATGCCCTTCTGATGGACGGCTTTGGAAGGATCTTTGAGAGTATGTAGCAACCAAGCGAGCCAGTGACACCGGTAAGAAGCTAAGGGGGTTAGTCAGAAGTGAACATATATGGTGTTCGGATAACGAGGGAGGAGACAGGAACCAACCACTACTTCATCATTCTCGAATGTTGGTTTCTGAAAGCTCGAGTACTTCTTGATGAGTTCGCCCATGATTTCAACGTCGCCCTTTGTATCACCTTGCTCCCCCGTTCTCAGGCTGTGCAAATGAACTGCCAAGTTCTTGGTATTGCCAAATTCATACAAGACATTTTGATTGAGATGGCCTTGTCCAAGATCTAAATGCCTCTTGATAATGCCATAAGCTTTCATGGCTTGCAGACTGTCCATACCGGCCGTAAAAAAATCCATGTTGGGCTCGATATGACTGAGACCCAGATCTCGCTGGATGAGACCGGTCAAAAAGTCTTCTATTCCAGTGATGCTCAAAGCTAGTTTCATTCCGGATGCTTGGTCTGGAGCAAGATTATTTGACCCATTTGCACGATCAAATAAGCTGTTGATCTCCCCTTCAAAGTGATTGTAGCATGCTTTCCGAATTAACGTGCCCTTCTCTGTTTGAGGATACCAGACAGAGACAGGAAGTATTCCGACCATATCTTTTGAAATCTGACTGAAGCCCTCGGCATTTAAATTTGCAGCAACGATGTCTGGCCACACTTCATCCAATATCTGTCTCTTATCCAATCCTCGCGCATGTTCACTGGGCATAATGAGCAGTCCTGGTAACAGCCTGCCAACACCAACCACGAGCACTTCCTTGACCAACCTGTTTTGCCTAATCCGATGCTCTATCGGAATTGGGAGAACTTTCTCACCATTCATCAGATTGACTCGGTCATCAAGGCGGCCGACGTACTTCCAACGGTCCGGCAGGCTAGGATGTTTCACGAAGCGGTCGCTGGTCCGATAGGAATTGGGCGGATTGTCCGAATTGCTTTTGTTTTTGGAAGGCAGGCCATCCAGCACAACACACTCGAAGGTATCATCGTCAAGAGGGTCAAAAATTAAATATGGCGCGGCAGTCGGCAATGGTCGGAGATAATCCCATTCCTTGTCATTAAATGGCCTATCCGAAGTCATGACTTGACCGAGCTCGGTGGCACCGTAATGACTTTTCAGATGAACGCCGGCCTCGACTAGCTTATCTCCCAAATCATCGGGACAGCTGCTCCCCCCGAACAGGACTTGCTTGGGACCTGCTAATGCCTCAATTCCACCATCCGTCTCAGCAATGAGTTTCAATGCATACGGCACACAGTGGAGACTCTCGGGCTTGATGCTCCTCAATGCCTTAACTAAGTGCCCCCCGGTCAATGGCAACGAAGCGTTGTACAAAGAAATTGGCTTGCCCTTAAACACTGCTCGAAAGAACATGCTTACTCCGTGACCGTGGTAGAACGGCAGTGTCACAAAGTAGGACTCATAGGCCTTGCCAACTGTGTAGTTCGAGATGCCGGATTTGTGCGTACTAGGTATTGCTTTGGGTAGACCACTTGACCCAGAAGAGTGGATTATGTACGCTATTTTGGTGCTATCTTCGACGGTGCTCTTGAACCGATACTCTGAAGATTTGGTGCAGCGCATATATTCGGCTTGAGTTGTGAAGACGAATGATTGTAAACGACTGCTTCGCGTACGCAGCTCAGAAACCGACTTGAGTAAGGCCGGTATATCTGCATGTACAATATGGTTGCAGTTTGTTTGATCGAGAAGGCTCAGATAGGCTTCTGTACTGAGTCGTGTCGAAAGATAGAAGATAGTGTACCCCATGCGAGCTAGAGCGAAGACAGCAACAACATAATCAAGATTGGCTGGGCCTAAGAGAGCAACGACTGGATTCTTTTTTGACGTTATTGTTCCACAATGAGCGAGCCCTTGGTGTTGCAGATCTTGCATGGCCCCGTTTACGAAGCAATCGAATTGTCTTGCAGTGTAATAGACATATGACTCCGCCGTGTGTGGATTGGCAGGGTATCCAATCAAGGGAAAATCTGGGGTCGATCGACATCTTTCAATCAAAACTTCTTCAAGTCTGTAGAATGTGTCTTCTGCTTTTTGCGGAGTTTTTCGATGCTCGACCGTAACCGGGAGGGATGATGCTACCTCCTGGTACAAGCCTACTTCGGCAATTGGGGGTGACATGGTGTGGAGCTGTTGGGTATATGTTCACAAAAGGATTCTCGTCTCTGTCGCTAAGGTATTTGTTTTTGATGAGCAAAAAAGGCACAAGAATTTGAAAGACAAAGAATTGAAAGGCATTCCCACCGTAGAAAGGGGAAGCACAAGTACATATAATGAACCAAGGACAAGGAGAAGAAAGAACCGAGGGGTTAATATACCATGGATATGAGTGACTGGGAAACCTGAAGGACTGGATAGCAATACAAGCCAAAGGATATCCATAAGTCAACCAGTCCTTCATCTATAGAGGGAAAGTACCCAAAGGGGTTATTGAATTCCGAGTGCGTTGTCGGATAGGAATTGCCTATAAGAGCCAAATTGCCTTTTACCGGAAAAAGACTCATCCTTACGGCGAGATGCTCAGGAAGAGACTCCAAGATTAGATGATAGGACAAGAAGAGGAAGATCCTAGACACGACCTGGTGAATCATAAAAGGCTTATAGCAGATGTTATAACTGAGCGGTATGTTCGAAACCATCAATTAATACTTAGCTTCAATGGTATTTAGAAGGACGAGGGTGCTAAACACTAATGATTTGCACTTTAAACGTGTTGTGGTCAAATAATCATGAACTATTTCGTAATGACATAAAATAGAGGACGTGGGCGCTGGCACGGTATCTGCGTAAGCTCTGGATGTGTTCAATAAATTGTCCTCTGACGTCATATTATTGGCGGCATTTCCGAATTTTGCGGGGTAAGCTTTTCCGAAGGATCGTCGGATCAGACTGTAGACCTTCATCAAGGAATGTCAGTTTTGAAACTTAAGTGTGTTCCATTTCGAGGCGGTAAATCGAACTTTAAAGATAGCCACAATCGACAGTGAGTACCACATCCTGTGTAATACATCAAGTGCCATACTCGACCGCAATTACGCCTAAATCTGCGGACTTATTAGGACCCACGTGGCAGGATGGATGTTTCTGATAGACACGAGGGTGCGTTTCAATCTGTTCGCCAAAACCAGCGTTACACCTGATTTTGGGGGCTCACGCAAGTGCCGGATCTAAGAACTCACATCCAGCATGCTTAGTTGACGTGTCGTCTAGAAACACTAACAAAGTTGCGCAGCATCTACTAGCGGGGCCAAACACAGACAGGTTCATGAAACAAATGTTGAAGATCAACCATCCTCAAAGAAGCGGCGCCGAGATGGGACAAGAGTCCGAGTGACTCGTGCATGCGACTTGTGCAAAAAGTGAGTGCGTCTTGAAAGAAACTCTGATATCGCATGTCGGACTTATAGATGGAAGGAAAAAGCTTAGGTGTACTGGAACCCAGCCCTGCACGCTATGCGTACAGGCCAAGCGAGACTGTACCTTTATGTCCGAGTACAACAGAGGCAAGCTTCCATACATTTTTGTTACTCCTGCAGGAACTAGCAATTCGAATCGAACCGCGAATAGGGGCCGTGTCAATTTAGAAGCCGTGACACGGCAGCAGGAGGTTAGCTTGTCTTCGATAGGAGAAGAAAACGGATTGAGGTACAACAATCGGCAGGGTAGCAGAGATCAGGAAGATCAGCCCAATAGATTTTCACCCTCAAGCGGGATGCACGACGATTTCGCTGGCACTGGAAGCCGTTCCAAATCCACTTTGCCCGAAAAAGAGATTCATTCATATATCCGGGATACCGAACTCTCGTCTAAAAATTCCCCTGAGCCATCGCACATCGATCAGGAAGGTCACTATGTTGGACCTGCCTCGGGTGTCTCGTTCCTATCCCGTGCCCTGAAGAAACTCCACGAGACCAGTCACTCTGTCTCATCGACTCAACAGACCTCCATTTTCAATTTTGCAGATGCCCCTGTGCCCCCGTATGACCCTTACTTCTTGATCCTACCGAACCAAATAGAAGCAGAGGCTTTGATCCGTCGATATTTTGACTTTGGCTCCCCAACACATCGTTATCTACACCAGCAAACAGTGGAGAGGTGGTGTGCAGAGTTATATAACAGCGTCAGAAGTCCTGAGCCTCTTCCACCTGGTGCCCACGAGAAACGTGCTATAATACTGGCGGTATTCGCTGTATCTAAACAGTATAGTCCTAGTCAAGGCTCGAGTTCGGATGACACAGTTAACAGGTCGGTACGGTTTGGAGTAGCAAGGTAAGCGCTGACACAGTACTAGTACCGCATTCTTCGCTGCTTCTGAGCATCATTTGCTGCTAGAATCTGGAGGGATACGTCTCACAAGTATCCAAGCACGACTTGTCCAATGTTTTCACCTCTTATCGCAATCTAGAGTGAATAGTGCCTGGAGTTTGTTCGGGACTGTTGCAAACCTTATTCTAGCCATCGGACTACATCGCCGGAAAAGGCGCGACACAACCGTTGAGACAGACCGTATTGAACATGAGTGTAGCAAACGAGTTTTCTGGAGTGCATACATCCTCGACAGCTATCTCAGCGTCGGCCTTGGTCGACCACGAAGCTTCCATGAGGAAGATATTGATCAGGTGCGTACTTTTGCTTTTCTTTATATTTTTTTTGGCTTTCTCGCAGAATGGTCTAAGTTAGCTTGGAGAACTAAAGTCTATTCCACGCAGGAGCTGCCGTTGTGCGTTGATGATTGGCAAATAACGCCAATGAAAATATTGCCAAGCCAAGGGGATGGACAGAGCATTACAAAGGCATCAATATACCATGCCAGGTGAGAGTGTGACCCCAATATCATGGACTCCGCTTATGTTCGGAAGACTCTTGAGAATAGTCAGCGGCATCTTGCGCGACCTTTACGGCCTCAAGCGCCCGTCGTATCCAAGGCAGGAAGAGGTGACGCAGTTGTATGACAACCAGCTGAAGCAATGGCATGATGACTTAGGCGATTTTCTTGAAATAACGAAGACTGAACTTATGATGCCAATCTTTCGCCGACAACACACGGTCCTACAACTGGCCTATTCGCATGCCATCATCCTACTTCATCGACAGGCTCTACTGACAAAGCCTTCTACGTCTAATATTAACCATGAAAATGCAAGCCGAATGAGTCTGCAGTATAGTACTGGGAGATGCTTAGATGCAGCGACCGCAATTGTCACGAAACTTAGGGAGCTTATCCTAAAACAGGAGATGTATTCCGCATACTGGGCACGTAAAGTCTCATTGTGTACTGCGAGAAAAGCGCTAACATATGTGCAGTTTACTCACTACTACGTGTTCTCTGCGCTCGTTGCACTCTATGTGTATGCTGTACAGAGCCGCTCAAAAGCGTCTCACATCTGGAAAAGGCACCTGGACCTCGCGCAGCAAGGTCTGAGCGATCTAGCAGCATGCTCTACTGACATGACATATGCACAAAGATATGTCGTGGTTCTTACAGAGCTTCAGAATGAAGCCATGAAGCCGATTGAGGAAGGAAACCGGTCAGCAGTACCTGCCAATGAAGCCCTGCCGTCATGTGAACGGCTTTGTCCAGCGCCAGGAGATATCTCGGGCACCGAACTAGGCTCGCATGCTATCTTATCTGTCTCCGAGGATGGAGCGGTGTCTTCCCAAGAAATCGCAATAGACACTGATCTTGACAACTACGTACCTAGGGACTCAATTCGTCGTGGCCAGCATGATGTCTACGATAGCACTGACGACCCATGGGCTCTTCAGACACTCGAAAACCGTGAAGCCTTCCGAAGCCTTGGCATAGAAGGACTTGCGGATCTATCATTCATGTTTTCAACCGAGAATACTGATACGCTTCAAATTGATGAAGGAATTTTCTAGTTATCATATACGAAATTGAGATGACTGAAGGCTCGATCAAAGCTTTCGGTTCCATTTAATGCCTGGAAAATCTTTCTCCATAATTAAAAGTTATTCTTCCTGACACCCTGCAAATTGAAGAGCAATTGACGAATGATAGTATATCTCAGTTAGAAATTTAAACCACAATGAATATCAACATAAGTTAGGTATGTCAGGTCTTAGTAAAAATCTATAGTTAGTATCGCCTACAAATGAGTCCAGATAAAGAGAATAGCTACTTGCTCCACTGATAACTATATCCATTATACGGTCGGATCTACCATCTGGACATACCCCCTTTCGTTATCATAGACATGAACCAGGAAACTGGTCGGAGTGGACCACTTCCGTTGCTGATCATAATCCGTCCCTTTCCCCCCCTTGCGTCTGACCCTCATCCTCCCCCTCCTTGGCCCCCAACCTCTCATCCAGTTTCACATTCCTCAAAAAGAACATCACAATCAACATCGGCACTAAAGCAGCCAGTCCAGCAATGCCCAGCAACCTCTGCGATTCACGGTAGCTGCGGTCGACAGCTTTTCGAATGGGGCTCCCAATTGCGTACTTCTGGGCGACCTTAATGGACCCGAAAATAGCTTTTGCTTGCGACTTGGCATCGTCGGGTAGATACTCTTGAAGTTTCGACGGAAGAGTACTGCGCCATATTGCACCGGCCACGCTATAATTGCCAAAGCTCAGTAAGCGCATACAACAGATTGACGGAGGGAGAGATAAACCACGAACCTAGTTCCAACAGCTCCGCCTACACTCATCGAAGCAAAAAACACGGCTGTAACGACAGACACCTCCTGCCGAGTTACGACCGCTTGCACAGAGACCTGTGAAGCAGTCTGGTAGAATCCTCGGCCGATACCGATCAGTGCTTTTGCCGTCACAAACGCTGCCTCATTGCCTGTTCTTCCGTTTCCCATGTCGACAAGGTATAGCAGGACGCCCATACCAAGTACGCAGAGCGGGACACCGGTAAAGACCCATATCTGTGAGCGTTTGGTATATTTCATGAAGAACGCCACGAATATACCGGAGACTTGGAAGGCGACTCGCAGAGAGTTGCTATTGTCCCATTAGCATCCGGATTTGGAAGATGAGCTGCTCAGAGGGCCGTACTCGATTCTGGTTGCATGACCAGCACTGAAATGTCCTGCTACCTGCAGGTAGCTGGTAAAGAAAACCGAGAACACAGAGTAATGGAAGAAATCCAATGCACCAAGAACACATGCAGCTGCCACGGTACGATTATTGATCATTCGGTACGGGACGAAGGGCTTTTTGGCAAACCATGCGTCCCATACAAGAAAGGCAATGAGAAGAACAACGCCAAGTACAACCATGGCAATGAAGGATCCTTTATGCCAGGCGTTGCTGTTGTTTGCGCCTGTCAGTGATAATGGGATGAGGAGGAGAGAAAGACCGGCGACTAGGAGAAATCCTCCCGGAAGATCTAGCTGAACCCAGAGCAGATTAATTGATTTTTTACATAGTGGTTGATGGGACGTGGAATTGACTCTCGAAGCTTTAGGAACTTGCTTCGAAGCTCGATTCTGATAAATCAGTATGGTAGCAATCAATGGCACCGAACACACTGGCAGAATGATCGCCCACATTCCCCAGCCCCAGCGCCAAGTTGAGTGATCCAAAATGCGCTGGGCCACGATGGTGCCAAGGTATAATGTGGGAACCGTTGTTAGTGAATCTGGCAGTGTCGACCAGATACCACGGTTAATCAGGTTCGTCACGTCGGCCACGAAAACCTGTTGCGTGAGGGCGTAGCCCGTCGAACCGATGGCCTCAAATATTCCTGCTGCCTAAGTTTCCATTAGCCTTGTTATGTTAGTTGTTTGGTGTTTAGTACAATATACTGCGGAATATCCTGACAAGCCGCATAGATCACATATCCCAGGACAGAGGCAAAGATCGAAAGAATAAACATCTCGGCTCGACCGAATACCTGCGCCATGTCAACGATAGCTCGGCACATAGTATCAAATATCATACGTCACCAAGCTTGGCAATAATAGGGTAGGCCGAGATTCGCGTGATGTTCATAACCACACGAGCAGCACTCATGGCTGAGTGCTGTTTGAAGGCACTGGTGGTATAGGGAACGTAGACCTGGGTGGCGTAGTCACCAAAGTTGATGGCAAGGGTTGCTAGGAAGAGTCTGTGTAAAGTCAAGTGCGTGATCAGTATACTTGGTCTTCTGTTTCGTGAGCCGGATTCGTACCCCACAAAAGCTGTGATCAAACCTTGCTTGCTCCAGGTGTTGCGCAATATATCTGCTCGTTGAACACCAGCCTGCAGGCTCCCGGGGTCGGATGCTCGCTCGGAATCCTTAGTCGGGGAGGGAACTTGATGAAGAGCATCCCTATTGGAGATGTTCGGAGTAACTTCGTGAGGTTGGTCAACCGACACCCCTACCACGGTCCCTTTATCCATACCGTTCGCCATGGTCAGCCTTACTGGCAACAACAGAGCAATTGCAAATAGAGAATCAACGCAACTACGTGGTTTAAAACCGTAATGGGAAATCAGTGACTTTAAACAAGCATTTCCTTCCGTAAAGCCGGGACCTCGTATTGCGGAAGTGGATGCATTGCGTGGTATTCGATTCCATGCACAAGTCCTGCGCAGTATCTAATCTAATCGATCGATCGCGGGCTAACGGGATCGAATCAGATAACGCGTGCCAAGCCGCCAAGCCCGGAAGTTGACCGCCTTCTAGTGAACGAGTTACACCTTTAGTCTTGCTCGCTGCTGCCCACGTCGTGGAGTGCTCCGCTTTCGGACCTCTCATCCCCATCCTCCAGAGCTCAATTGGTTCTCCCTGCTCCAAGCTCTTTTCCTGTCTCGGTGCTATTAAGCGAATTCTCGGGCAAAATGGTTGTACGAGTCTTGGCGCAGCAGCGGTCGTTGTATTTGACTGTCCTTGTTTTCCCTTTCACATGGGACCATAGGGCTGCTTTTGGTTATTGTGTTTCCTAAGTCCTGGTCGATTTTTAGCTATGGCCGAGCATTTGCCGACAGAGTCGCCGAAACCCGCTGGGGGTTGGTCTTTCACTCGTTCTGACGAGTTTTCCGTGCGGAATATATCCTCGTGGCGTGTTGCGGAAGGGGCGGCCAGTGACTCCCATCTAGTCCAAGTCTCCTGGCCGCTCGACTGGCCGACCGATCCATGTACTCGCGCCAATGTGCTGTAAGTTCCATCCTGCATGAAACTCGATCATGGTAGAATAATGATGTCGCCTTAGCTATGTGGTGGACGGTAACGCCATGTTCCTCACCGCCACAGAAGTCGTGCGACAGCGACAGGCCCTGCAACCGCAGAAGCCCGGCACCATTGTCGTAGGTATCGGATATCCGCTGGCAGACACCGCTAGTCTCTGGGATGCGCGAAGAGGGTATGACCTGACGCCTCCCTGCGAGAAGTTCACGCCGCCAAACGGTCCCGATGGTCAGCCTCAGCCGCATGATTATGGTGGCGCAGATAAATTTCTGCATTTAATCACCACGGTCGTGCAGCCGTTTCTACTGGGGTCGGTATTTCCACGCCTTGAGCTCGCGCGAACAGCGCTGTTCGGACACTCGTACGGCGGCCTCTTCGTGCTCCACTCCTTGTTTACACACCCGGCTAGCTTCGACACCTATCTAGCGGCCAGTCCCTCGATTTGGTGGAATGACCGATTTGTTCTCGCCGAGGAATCGCGCTTCCTTCTAGACCCGGGTCCGGTTTCTCGGCCTGCCCTTCGCCTGTGTTACGGGTCAAGGGAGCAATTTCCTGTTCGTAACAAAGCCGAATCCGACGAGAGCTTTGAACGGCAAGTCCTAGGCAAAATGGAACGCCGCATGAATGACAATTGTAAGGAAATGTATGATCGACTGGTGTGTGCTGGTCGATTGCGATCAGTTGAATTACGGGAGTATCCGGACGAAGATCATGGCAGCGTAATCGCGGCGGCACTGAGTGGCAGCATTCTGTATTTCTTAGACTTGGAGGGTTGAGAGCTCGACCTATGGAGTAATCGATGGTCTGACCGGCGGAGAATTGTTTTTTCTTTCCTTTTCGTACTTTTTTTGTCCAGGCCAAACTGCATCCCAATCACTTGCATCGCACAGCCTTGCCCGTTATGTAAAGTCTCCGACCAGCGGCAACCCCCAAGACCCTCTAAAATGCCTCGAGTCGCGCGCTACCGACGCCAGGTTAACCGGAATCCGCAAGTGGGCCGAACTCAATCAAATTATCTGATCATCAGATAAGGGAAGTTTGTCCCTGCGACCCACCAATCCAGGGAATTAGCCTCTTTGACAGGGGAGATTGCAACTGCCATACTCCGTATTTTGCCCCTAGAGTGCACCGGTCATCTAGCGTTCTGTTGGTGTGCCTAAAATGGCCCCTGGTTTCCCTGCTATCTCTTGGCACTAGCGCAAGCGAGGGCTTGGAATGTGACTCGGATTCCCGTCCGGATTTTCCCACACGGTGGGTAAGCATGGCAGTATTTAGGAATGGATCATCCCGTGGATTCTCAGAGTCAGACCAGTCCGAATTCCAGAAAGTATTGTCCGTGTGTGGGCCGTCAAGATGAAATTCAGACTTCCTCTCAAGCCGGACGAGGTCCCTGTGACCGAGAAGGAAGTACGACACGACAATGAAGCCGTGCCAGTGCCCGACAGCAAGGAAGCCCAGGTATCGGCCCCTGCGGTCGGGTCGGATAGTGAGAGTGAGCTGGTAAATCCGAACTTTCAGCATGGTGTGCAGGCGGCACAGGCCATGACTCAAGTTTGGTCAATGCAACATATTGTTTTGGCCTACGCCCTGTGAGTGATTTCCGATATTAAACACCAACTACATGCGGCTAACAATACCCGCGAAAGGATCTGGATCATTCACTTTGTGATGGCCTTCGCTTCGAGTATCATCATGACCCTCACGCCATATGTCACAAGCTCCTTTAAGCAGCATTCCTTGACCGCCACCACGCAGATTCTCTCTAGTCTCATGGGCGGTCTCATGAAATTGCCTTACGCCAAACTCATGGATATCTGGGGCCGACCGCAGGGTTTCGCAGTTATGCTCGGCTCCCTTACTGTCGGATTGATCATGATGGCTGGCTGCAACAACGTTGAAACATATTGCGCTGCGCAGGTCTTCCACTCGATTGGTACCAGCGGCATGAACTTCACCATGGATATCTTCATCGCCGACACCTCTGCTCTGCGTAACCGAGCCTTCTGGTTCGCCTTCGTCGCATCGCCTTACATTGCTACTACTTGGGCATATGGACCCGCTGCCGAGAGTGTGCTGAAAACGATGGGATTCCGCTGGGGCTTTGGCATGTGGGCGATTATCCTGCCTGTTGTTTGCTCGCCTCTATTCTTCCTCTTCTACTATAATCAACGCAAAGCCATCAAGGCGGGGCTGGTCCCCAAGCGCAACAGCAACCGTACCTGGTGGGCGTCAGTCGTGTACTACCTCAAAGAATTCGACGCGCTGGGCCTCTGTCTCCTCGTGACTGGTATCGCGCTCTTCCTCCTCTCATTTAACCTCTATACCAAGCAGGCCGAGGGATGGCGCTCGCCGTTGATCATTTGTTTCGTGACTATCGGCGGACTTCTCATTATCGCATTCGCCCTGTACGAGCGCTTCTGGGCCCCAGTCACCTTCATTCCTTGGAAGCTGATGAAGAACCCCACCGTCTTCTTTACCTACACCATGGCCGCCTCTATCTACACGGCCTGGTACATGTGGGACAACTACTTCTATTCTCTGCTGATCGTGGTCATGAACCAATCTGTTACCCATGCCACCTACATAACCAACATCTACACCGTGGGCTCGTGCTTCTGGAGTCTTGTAATGGGTGTCCTGATCCGATACAACGGACGCCTGAAGTGGACGGCGCTGTACTTCGGCGTGCCCATCACCATTCTCGGCGTCGGCCTCATGATCAAGTTCCGTGAAGCAGACACCAACATCGGCTACATCGTTATGTGCCAGATATTCATCGCCTTCGGTGGCGGCACGCTCGTTATCTGCGAACAAATGACCGTGATGGCTGTCTCTACCCAACAAGACATTCCCGCCGTCCTGGCCATCGAGGGTGCCGTGATCTCTATAGGAAGTGCCGTCGGTTCTACGATCGCAGGTGCCATGTGGATGGGCATCTTCCCCGAGAAACTAATGAAGTACCTTCCTGTGAGCGAGCTGGACAACTTCGCCAGCATTTACGGCGATTTGAATGTGCAAGCGGCATACCCCATTGGAAGTGACGCGCGTAACGCGATCAATCGCAGCTACAGCGAGACGCAGAGGCTGATGCTGATCGCGGCGACGTGTTTGTATATCTTCACTCTTGGATCGGTGATAATGTGGAAGGATGTCAATGTGAAGAAGATTAACCAGGTGAAGGGACGGATTCTGTAGGAGCGGTGTTGCTGGTCAACGGCAAGATATCCGGGGTATCCAAGGAGGTGTTATATAAAAAAGTCTTAATGTCTTATCTTATGTTTGAGGGTGTCGTGACCGTCAATGATGCTATGTAATTACTGGTACTCCCTGAACCATTCACATTTCAATGAATTACTGTGCAGGGATTGCTACAGCCTACTCTCCTCCTTGATTCGCTTCTTCTCAGAAGACACAAACTGCCCGATCTGGTGACTCACTGCCACGAGCTCCATCCCTTGATTAAAAAGCAGCGTTTCCACATTTATTCCCCCGTTCCGAATACTCTTGACCTCATCCCTTAAGTACAGCCACCGGACACCTTCCTCCGGCAACTCTTGCCTGATGTCAGTTGAGATAGCCAAAGTCACGTTGAGCATAGATCCATCAAATCTCCCGGAGCCATCGTTGGGTAGATCTCTCCAATTAGGGTCACCTCGCTCTCTTGCTGACTTCTGAGCCGTGGCATAGCGTAGAAAGGAGGCCATACTGGCAATATGCTCCTGTTGATCATCTTTCTGTGATAGAAAATTACATTCTGGAGGAAGACTTGCATCCATGATCAAGGGTATCATATCAGTCGTCCAACGTGGACACGTGTCTTTGCCAGCTTTGCCATCGTGCCGGTCCTCTGTAGCTGAACCAGAAGGCGTACAATTCCAGCCCGGGGTGATCCATTGCTCGATGAACGGGGTAGCAGGGCGCCAGTCGACCGGAATAAAATGTTTCACGTACGAATGAGCACGTTTGAACCCGGTCGGCTTGAATGCGGTATGATAGCATATCCAGCCCGGGTCAGAGTATGTTTCCAGTTTGGCGAGGTCGACGGAACGAGGTGGTGGATGGAGAGTCCAGTTGGTAGGTCGGGTCAGGGATGAGATCGATTGATCGGAAAGACTGACACGTCGTTATTGATCGAGGTCTGGGCTAGTATACACCCAGAATTACATACAGCATATCAGCAGAGACAGCCATCTCCTGACACTTTGCAGGCTGGAACACCTCTACACGTAGAGTAGACCATGCCTTTCCGACGCTGATCTCCCGGAGCACCATCCGAGCTGGTCCTCGAGCCGGCAGCAGTGGTCGATAGAATTGGGCGTTCATCGTCCGGAGACTCGCCTGAGACTTCAAGCGAGGATGCTGCGATGCGTAGTATACGGCATATTTTGCTGCAAGGGCAGGCATGTAACCGCCCATCGCCACTGGACCGGTTAACCGAGTGGCTCCTTCTGAGAGAATGAGTTTGGGGATCCACTCACCTGCTCCGAAGCAGATGTCAGGGGAAAGGGGAACGGTGCATTCCTGGGAAGCAGAAAGTGATGGCTGCAAGGCCTCAGACAGACTAATCTGCTGCATTATGGTTAATTCAGAGACAACAATGCGTTTATTGAAGATATAGCGCAGTTTGGAGAATGGCGCTTGCTGATCATGAGTAGATCGTAGCAAGGGTTTATGTAGTTTTTGGATTTTGCGCAATTCATCACACGAACCTCATGCAAGACGACGTAACTTTAATTTATCGTAATACGTGGGGAAGTAGATTGACACATCACTCTGAGTTTCATGTCGCAGAGTGACGCATTTTATGCGCAAGATTCGATCAGCACGCATAAACAGGGATTGAGAAGCTTATCCCACCTCCTCGGGATTTTGGAGAAAGAGGTGCCGACTGAGAACTATTTCATCTCCTTCTATGAATGGACCTTATTTTGAGCTTAAATAAGGTTTATTTAAAGCTTGATCTGTGATGTCACTGGATACAGGCAATGACTACAGTGTTGAATCATGGCGAGTTAGTTCCATAGAGGTGAACACCCTTCAAAAAGAAAATCGAGTCAAGTAAAGTTAACTCTACTGCTAAAAAGAGCAACTCTCCGGCTTATCCTACACCGGGGACTGGATACGATGAGTATCATACAAAGCATCAACAGCCAAGCCATTCAGCTTGCTGGTCACAATCCGCCCGTCCTTGACGATTGCGATGAGCGATGTGTCGACCTTATCCAAGACTGTGATATCATCAAGCGGATTGTTCTCCAGGACCAGAAAATCTGCAATCGCTCCCTCACCAATAACGCCCAATTTTCCTTCCATCCCAATATACTTCGCCGCGTTCACGGTCGCCGAACGCAGAATATCCTGCGCATTCAACGCCCCTGAGAGGATGCTAAACTCTTGATTTTGTAGTGGGTGCATGCCCGCCAGAAGATCCGACCCATAACAGATGGTTATGCCGGCGGAGCTAAGAGTTTTCAAGGCTTTCAGTCCACTAGCCAGCACCTCACGGTTTTTAGCCTGGCTGAACTCATCGAGAAAGTTATCGAATGGAGGCTCAGACATGCCCTTATACGTCACCAGGGTGGGTGTGAACACGACGCCCTTTTCCTGGCAGTACTTGGCTGTCTCCGGGTCGATGAAGTTGCCATGCTCGATGCCGCGGACTCCATTGTCCACCGCATGACGTATCGCCTTTGTGGTATAGGCATGCGCCGTGACGTAGGTGTTGGAGTATGCTGCAGTGGTGGTAATGGCTTGAATCTCCTCGGCCGTGAACTGCAGCATGTCGAGCGCATCAGTCGGGGTCGCCACTCCACCGCCAACCATGATCTTGATGAAATTGGCTCCCTGCCGCAGCTCATCTCTGACAGCTGCCAAACACTCAGGAACGCCATCACAGACCCTAGCCAGTGCCGGCGAGTGACCTCCACAGCACTTCGCCTCGTCTCCCTGATACGGGCCCCTAAAGTCGCCGTGTCCACCGGTCTGCGAGAGAGCCTTGCCAGCAATAAACAACCGAGGACCGGTGACTAGACCTTCGGCTATCGCGTCTCTCAAAGCAGCATCGGCCCCGCCGGTATCACGCACGGTCGTGAACCCGCGCAGCAGCATCTCCCGGGCGACATACGCGGTGCGATACGCGATCGCGTTCGGACTGGCAGCAAAGATGTCCTTGAGCAAAGGGCTACCAGGCGTCGCCGTCAAGTGGACATGGCAGTCAATCAATCCGGGACATAGATATCGATGTTTCAAGTCAACTTTGGTGGACTCAGGACTGGAAATCTTCTCTGCTGGTCCGATTCCCGCGATAACCCCATCGCGGACCCGAACGCTGCTGCTGGGGATGACGCGACCGGCTTGGACGTCGACGATATTGACATTGACAAGTGTGAGGTCTGGGGACTGGGCTCGATTAAGCCAGGGTTTGTTGTAGGGGTGCGCAGGCATGATGAAGGTATCTCCAGATCCGTGAGACAGAGAAGAAGACGAAGGAGAGAGAAGAGAGAATCGAGAATCGACCATGAATGGACGATCGCTAGGACCGTCGATCGACCCCGCACGAGCAAAATGCGTAGCACATGATAAGTTGATAACCCTTAGTTAATCATGAGGGGATAGGGCCTGTGCAACGAGACTAGTCAAGATAACCGATAAAGCGGCACTGTCTTCAGTCGAGGAATTGTCCTGCATGTCGAATACGCCCTTTCGGAGACATCTCCCGGCGCTCGGGATGGAGCCGAAGCCTCGGGGGAGTCTACGTTCCTTGTTCTCCAACTGCCCCTGTCAAAAGAAGGGGTTGAAATCCCAATATACCAGAACCATCTGCGAAAGAACATTCTGGATTACAGCCCAACTTCGCGCGAGACATTTCCTGCCCTTGATGGAAACGAACTTCGAGTTATCGTGCGACTGTCGGAACTCGGCCCGGATCCGAAATTGGTATGTCTCTATCAATATTGTAAAGAAACAAGAGGCTCAAACGAAGTTCTTAAAGTGGTGCAAATCGATACATAACATCGCTTCAGCCTTACGGAATAACATATGGGGAGGATTTTCTGCGATGTCGGGCAATGATAAAGACTGCTAAGACTAAATGGAACCCGGTTGCTTCATTGATCTATCACCGTAGAATATGGGCGGGGAGGAAGGCACGCCCTGTACTCTTGGGTTTTCGTGCATCTCTCCTTCCTGAGTTTACTAGCTGGGCAAAATATGAGTTGTACGTAAGTTTCGTAACCGTGATTTTCTCTCTGCTGCATATTTAGATTTTCATGTCTTTGGCGGTACTTGAACCTTGACATTTCACATCCATGGCTCTGGATCTACCGCTCCAAGCCAGACAGTGGTTTGAAAAGACGACTGCTTGGCGGACTCGCCCGTTATCTCAAAATCTTGTTGTTGGGTAAGTGAATCTCCGCGACTACTGTCGGTAGGCAGCTGTTCACTACCGAAGCAGGTCCGTCCTGTTTCTTTTACCAGGCATCTATCTAGCCCTGACTGGCCTCGGGGCCGGCGGTGGGAGACCAAGCTCTGAAACCCTAGCCGCCAATGTTAATGCGATATTGTATGGCGTCTTCGCCTGCACGGGCTGGCTCGGTGGCATCGTCATGAATCTCCTCGGCCCAAAGCTCACCATAGCTTCGAGCGCAATCGGATACATCGCTTACACCGGTATGTGATCTAGAAAGCTGCCCTCGCACAACTCAACTCGCTTATACCAAGCAAACAGCTGGGCTATGTTATTTCGACACAAGCGGTAGACCAGGACTGGCATACGCGGGTGGTGTGCTCGAGGGGGTTTGTGCCGGACTGCTCTGGGCATCGGCAGGTGCCATTGCATACTCGTATGCGGAAGAAAAGCGGAAGGCCTCCTACGTGGCTATTCAATGGATATGCTGCGTTGGCGGGTCGACGATCGCTGCGATCATCGCACTGGGCATCAATTTCGACAGCAGGGAGGAAATTGCCGGAGCTCCAATCAGTGTTTATGGCGTGTTGATCGGCTTGCAGGTATTTTCCATCGTCCTAAGTTTACTACTGCTTGTCCGGCCTTCCGACATTCGCCGCAGTGACGGACTCGGAATCGCCAACTTGTTCAATTCCTCCGCCACGGATGAACTACGCGGTACCAGAGAAATAGTGAAAGAATGGAGGTTTATATTGCTTCTGCCGGCTATGTTTAGCGGCGAGATCTCCCTGGCGCAACAGAGCTCTTTAAATGCCCACTATTTTGATCTACGCACGCGATCATTGAACAGTATCCTGTTTAACTTTATTCAAATACCAGCGACTCTTGGGATTACTTGGATCCTCGACGGCAGGTGTCTGGCAAGTCGCAAGCATAGGTCGCTGGCTGCCATCTTTATCGTAGCAGTTTTCACGCTTGCAGTTTGCTGCGGCCAAACTGCTTGGCTAGTACAGCATAGGATCGATCGGAAGGATAGGGGAAGTTTGACGGACTGGAATGACTCCGCATTCGCAGGAGCATTTGCTATCTATATTCTCTATGGCGCCGTATACGGGTAAGCAGCATCTCCTTTCATGCAGCACCTCCTAGTCTAACAGTGTCACTCCAGTGCCTTTCAAATGACAACGCAATACCTGATCAGTTCATTCACTAACGAACCGTTGAAGCAAGTCCCTCCCCAACATGATGTACCCCTGAGGTATATTAACCTGCCTCCAGGCTCGCTCGATACTCGGGTTTATTTAGAGGAGTGAACGCACTGGGCATGATGACTTCGTTCTCGATCGACGGTTTTGGTGTCAGTTACGTTCATCAGATCATTTTCCAATTCGCCTGCTACTTTGTCGGGTTCACATCGTTGGTTGTTGTAGCTTCAAGATATGTGACCAAAACGAATTATGGAAACGAGAACAATGTAATTGCACCGCAGCACATCCGGGGTGCTCCTGATCCAGCGTTTCCCTTGCAAGATTTGAGCACCAGGGACAACAACGCCGAAATACACCCGTGATAGGATGTTGAGTACAAGTTATGGGTCTGTAATTACTTTCAGTTCGTATTTGCAACACTTGAAATAAATCGTGCGTCTTGGGCTATAAGACACAACCGATTAATCAGGTTGGTTTATAATTATTAACATAGCTTAAACGGTCAATGAGAGAGCTTTTAGCAATGTCAAGTTACACAGGTTGCACGCGATATGTAGTCTCTTATGCCAACTGTTCTGGCTTGCTCGTTTGCAGCTTCCAATGGATTCTTAGACTGCTCCAAGCAGTTTGGTACCTAGTATAACAGGATGATCCCTGAACTTCGTGGCTTGGTCTCACGGCCTTGAACAATATATCTTAGTTATGGGCCAAAGCGCCCGAAGGGGTCGAACCTTCAGTGTGTGAATCGAGGTAACGTGCTAATGAGTCAACCAACTAATAATCCAGATATACGACAATAGCACCTGCTATTTAATTTGAATTAATAATGCTGAACAACTTTACAGCGAAGTGATTGTGCTCTGCAAGGTACTATGTGGCAGACATTGCCACTGAGTAGAGCGCCCAATTGGGAGAAATGCATATCCAACCTCGCGTATCGCTTCCTCTAGCAAAAGAAGACACTCAAATCACCCTGATGGCCAACGTGCGGCTGGATATGAGGCAAATCGTGCCCTGCCTCCATCCCCCTTTCTCGCCACGTTTGCTGGCTAGACGCTTCTTGGCGTTGGATTGATCGCAAGGGCGAACAAAGAAGTTAAGAACCCCTGCCTAGGACCCATTTTTACAGGAATCAGGGCAGGGATACTGGTCTACAGAATTTGCTACCGCCGACAAGCACCGCGCAGCCGAAATGACTTCACAAGCAAATCCAGAAATTCGCCGAGCGCTAGTGAAACCTGACTCAATGAAGGCTCGGTGCCGTGCGGTTACCAGCAGCTATGCGACCCACTTCGTCCACCATCGTCACTAATGATTGATCACTGTTGCCTACTCCGTTGTCCGTTCGCAGTGCACAGCCGTGGAAGTGAAACGATGATTGAAGCGGGGATGTGTTCCCGAGGCATCTTCGGCCGGGCCTTCCTTCTACTAAATCTTTAATCTCCGCACATTTTGACACAGTGAATCTTCATACCCCAATCTCCCTCCCTGGTTTCCAGAACTTTGAGACAGTGGAATTCAGAGCGCTGGATGGCTACGCCCACAACGTCGTTTCCAGCGATGTCCACAGACTATACTCCAGACTCCCAGGTGGAGACTGCCTATCAAACCCTCCGCGACACCTTCCGATCGGGTCGCACTCGGGAGATTGCCTGGCGCAAATGGCAGCTGAAACAATTGTGGTGGCTTGTCGAGGAGAATGAGCAGCGGATCCTCGATGCCCTGCACCAAGACCTTCACCGACACACTTTCGAGTCCGTTTTCAGTGAGTTGCGAGGGATCAAAAAAGACATTCTCGACCATGTCCAGAACATCGACAAATGGACCGCAGACCAGGTACCGGACTCCGGGCTGGTCATGAAGTCACTGCTGCGTCCGACCATTCGTTATGAGCCCCTTGGCGTTGCACTAATTATCGGGCCCTGGAATTATCCCACGTCGCTGATCCTTCAGCCCTTGACTGCCGCCATCACAGCCGGCTGCGCGGTGATGCTAAAGCCGTCGGAGATTACCGTCGCTACCCAGAACCTGTTGGTCGAGCTGATTCCGAAGTACATGGATCCCAGCGCTATTCAGATAGTGACCGGAGGAGCAGCTGAAACTGGGCGTCTCATGGCGCGGAAATTCGACCACATCTTCTTCACCGGATCAGTTAATGTAGCCAGATACGTGGCTGCCGCTGCGGCGAAAAACCTCACGCCGACAACGCTGGAATTGGGAGGACAGTGTCCGGCTATCGTCACCAAGTCGGCCGATATTGAGGCAGCCGCGCAGGATATCGCTTGGGTCAAGTTTCTTAATTCCGGGCAGATCTGTCTCTCGGTTAACCATGTGTTCGTCCATCCGGACGTGGAGAAGCAACTTATCGAGCGACTGACTTTTTACTTCAACAAATACTTCGCCGAGGGAGAGGAGGGTATGACCAGGATTGTGAACCAAAAGAATTACGATCGGCTGAAGGGTCTGTTGGAAAAGACGGAGGGCTCGGTGCAAACTGATGCAGTCTTGGATACCGAGAAGCGCCAAATACCTCTCTCCCTTGTCACGAATGTCAACATGACAGGTACGCTTCGACATAATCATCCTCCTATCATCAACCGCTGATCCCTTTAGACACGCTTCTTTCCGAGGAGCTCTTTGGGTCAATCTGCCCCGTCATCACGTCGACTACCCAAGATGCCATTGACTCAATAAACAAGTAAGCAAACATCGAACGATATTAGAAAAATGCTGATTCTCTCGACAGTCTTCCCGCGCCACTTGGGCTTTATATCTTCAGTCATGACGAGCAGGAGATTGAGCACAGTAGGTTATGGATTATTCCCGATTCAAGCGGCTCTAACCACGAACAGTCCTTTCATCCACCCAATCCGGCGGTGTCACCATCAACAAAGTAGCCTTACATGCTGCAGTTCCTGGAGCTCCCTTTGGTGGCGTCGGTGAATCGGGCCACGGATACTACCATGGAGAATGGGGATTCAAGGCCTTCTCCCATATGCGCACGATCGCCCGACCGAGACCATTGATGTCCAAGCTTTCTACTTTCGCGCTGCCGCCATATTCGATGGACAAGTTGAAATGGCTGCAGGTGAAGAACGGCCTGGGTTTCAAACGAGAATGGACACTGGAAGATGAGAGGAGAGCAAGTAGCCGAGGCTTATGGCAAAAGCTCGGTGCGCGCGCTACTCACATTCTCGCGATTTTGGTATCTCTTGGCTTGATGGACTACCAAACAAATCAATGCTTTGGGCTTTTACGTCGAGCTATCGGGGCGGTTGAATATCTCCGAACGTGGTTTAGATGAGATGACCGATATTAGGTTGCTCGATCTTTTAGGAGCGAGATTGTACATAGGCCATTTGGCGACGAGACTTTCGCATCGTACATCCTACCGTTGATAGGTGTCCAATTGTTTCAGGATTGTAATTATGACTTGAAACAATACTATGCGACTACCTCTGCCTTCTGCCTCTGAGACCAGTCCATCGCTCCTCCATACGAGCAATTGTAGTCCATGAACTCCGCCGGACTCATCTTCACTCTTGCATCTCCTGGCTCAGTCGCTGGCTTTGCGGCTTGTCGACTATAAGCCTGGATGGTGGTTGCCCGTTTATACCGACATTCATAGACGGCTCTATTGAGCCCTTCAATCTCATCAACCGACTTCGGGTCGTTCTTCCCTTCAAATCCGGCGAAGAAAGCACCGACTGCTTCCGCATCCTCAATCGCTTGGCTGGCGCCCTGGCCTTGAGTCGGCAACATCGCATGTGCCGCATCGCCAATGAGTAACGCTCTTCCTCGATACCAAGTAGGCAAGGGATCCAAATCACGCAGCTGCCATAGTCCGACCTCACCGGCAAGCTGCAGCGGCCTTTGCGCCCACTCCGGGAAACCGGAAAACGTATCCAGCATTTTAGTCCGGTCTCCAGCCGTGGTCCAACTCGTGTTACTCGAAGATTCCTGCATACTTTCGTCCGGGACAAGGGCCACGACGCCATAGATGGAGCCATTTCTCGCCGGACCCATAATCAACCGACGATCCATTCCCATCACCATGGTCGTGCACGCCCTGCAAGGATCTATCACATCGGCGAAGTCGGTTTTCTGTAGCTCCTCCGTCGGAACCATCATTCGATATGCGGATAGCCCTGTCCTCTTCGCCTCGACGTCCTCCCCAAGCACGGCCTTTCGAAGGGAGCTCTTGATTCCGTCAGCTCCGATAATTAAATCAGCCTGCATCACTTCCCCGTTTTCCAGCTCCACCCGCCCGTCCTGGCAGTCACATCCCACCACTCTCGACGAAACCCTCACGGTGACCGGCCGCCCGGGGTACTCTGCCGCCGTGGCTCTATGCCTGAGCACAGAGTGCAAATCCGCGCGATGATACATCATCCTCTCGGCGCCGTATTTCTCGCTCGTCGACAGCGAAATGTGGATTTGCATTTCCCCATCCGTGTTGTAGATCTCGAACGCCTCGTCGACCATAGATCCATGGGCACGGAGCAGGGTGGAGAGACCCCATTGTTGCTCGACTATCTTCGAAGCATTGGGTTGGAGGGAGATCGTGGCGCCGATTTCTTTGTTAATGGGGGATTGCTCGAGAATGGTAATTTCTCGATCTTCGGCGCGGAGAGCAATTGCCTGGTGAGTGAATATCTTAGGATAATGTCATAGAAGGGGAGTGAAAGGACGTACGGCTGCTAGGCCGGCGATTCCGCCGCCTACGATGATGATTCTAAAGGGGTCCATATTGTCACTGTTTTTACTTGGTGGTGTCTATGGCATTAGGATGCGATAATATCTATATGAATTGTGATCGTCCTCGGCCCCCGCCGCGGGACTTCGGGAAGTGGACGTGGATAATACCCGTGCGACCGAATAACCCAGCTATGATCCATTTTCCTTAGGATGAATAGCTGGATTTCCTTCATAATTGGATGTTCTCATGTGGGGGTCGGGCCATGGCAGATGATACAACTCGGAGCATGCGGGCGGGTCTCGGTGAGCCCCGAGAATCACGGCAGCTGTGAGTCCACCGAAGAAGATCCTCCGAAAATCCCTGGGTACCGTCTAATTTTCTGTTCGGGGCAGTTGTGTCCCCGAAGGCTCTTTTGGGGTGACATGTTCTACTCCTAAACAGACATCAAGATAGAAAAGGCTGTATCGATCGAGCCTGACCCAGGTCCAATACCAGTCATTCCTCCGAGAGCTCGAATTCATCATAGCATCAGACTCACAATGTCCACCACAACCACCACCACCCAGCCCATTACCGTGATGTCACCCAAGGGTCGCATGGCCCTGGATGGTGAGCCCACTAACTATGGCGATTTTCGCGACGACCTCAACCGCGATGGATACGCCGTGATCAAAGGCGCTGTGCCGCGGGACCGAGCCGACAAGTACTCCGATGCGTTTTTCGGATACCTTGAGGGATTGTAATTCTCATCTCTCCTACACCGTCTCAAATTTCCTTTGCGATGACAGCTAATTGGTGCATACAGTGAGCTTGGCTACGATCGAAACGACCCATCAACCGTCCGACGCGCTAAGCTTCCCGTTCTCAACGAGAAGGGCATGATCTTAAGCTATGGCGTCACGCATGAGCAGTGGGTCTGGGACATTCGTGGTGAGCCAGGGGTCGTGGACACATTTGCGAAGGTGTACGATGACGAAGACTTGATTGTGTCTTTTGATGTTGTGAATGTCGGATTTGCCAAGTGAGTCATTCACTGTGCTATTTGTCCCTGTGGGTGACTTGGGGCTAACATGACGTTTCTGCAGTCGAGAGGACCTCCAAGAGAAGTAAGCGCCTGCTTTCACTGACCGATGTGAAACACAACTAAGACAGCAACACAGCAAACCTTGGCCCCATCAGGATCAGGACCCAACCAAGCCCGGATTCCGTTGTACGTATCCATTTCCACCCGACTCTCGTCAACCGTAGTACTAAAGTGCAATAAAATAGGCCTCCAAGGCCTCGTGAACCTCAATCCCTGTGGACCCAACGACGGCGGACTCATTGTATGCAAAGGCGGACACAAGATCTCCGAACAATTCCACCGCGAAATGGCCGACGAGCCAAAGATCCCAGCGTGGACCCCGGAGTGGTTCGGATTCACCGAGAACGGCATGAAATGGCTCAAAGACCACGGTCTGAAATGGGAAAAGGTCTGCGTGGAGCCCGGAGACCTGATCGTCTGGGACAGCCGCACCCCGCATTATAACGTGCCTCCGAGTGGGAAGCAAGACCGGCTGGCTGTTTACACGTGCTACACACCTGTTCGAGAGGCGACCCAGGAGGATCTGTTGAGGAAGAAGGGGGCTTTTGATAGTTTGTTCCTCCCACTCCCATCCCTTTGTTCTCAAGTACTCGGTCGGATAAGTGCTAACTCGAGTATAGAGCGTCTGGGAACGACCCATTGGCCGAACGCGGTGCATGTTGCGCCCACGAATGTCGCGATGAGAGATGGAAAGCCATGTCCGAAAAGCCGAGATGGTCCAGTCCAGGATCCAGTGCTGAATGAGAGGACGTTCAAACTGACTGGCATTCCGTATATCAAGCAGGAAGCTTAGTGGTTGAAGTGATTGGGGGATGCCGCTGTTTCAGAAGTTTACATAGTTTGGCTCCTGTTTTTTGATGGTTAATCACCTTTGGACTTGAGTCTGTAACCTTCCTTCTGGTTATATGTTAGTAAATTTGGTACTTTTTTCTTTGGCTTTATTGTGACTGTTAGTAGAACTTCCTTTAAATACTGGTTGGTCAAGCCGTCATTTCACGCAGCCCTTAGAATTTTGTCGCAGTAACACATTGAAACAGAACGACCCCTTCTAACCGCTGCAACCGATAGCAAATGCCTCGCAAGGACACAGATTACATTGCATAGCGAAGCATAATGGCCATCGTATCATACTTTGCACTCAATAAAAGCACGGAGAAAGACAAATAGTACATTGTTTCAACTATCCATCCGGTCGCTTCGGTCGCTCAAGCTCCATCTAATCCCGTCGGACTATCAAAATACAACATCCAATTCCACAAATCCTCCACATTATAACCCTCGAACGGGAAGATGCCTCCATCGACGGGGTTGGGACAGTCGCCCAACGCCGCAAATTGGTCCATAAATGAACCGGCCTCTTGTGCACTATCCTGCTCTTGAGTCTCCCGAGGGTACCGTCTCCCAGTTTCGGGGTCTGCAGGAGGCATATAAGACGTAGTTCGGGAGGGTTCATGCTGTCGTGAATGAAGTGTTGAGTTCACAGATGGATGGGAGATACCAGGATGGGAATCCATATCTTTTCTCCATGGGGCGGGTGGATTATCCTCGTAGGTCGATGGTGTGAGAAGAGAATGTTCGTTGTTGCTGCTGTCGCGTTTGTGTGTTTTGGTAGATATCTGTGCTCTTGGAAATCTCCTCGGCGAGGTAAGAGAGTTTCTTTCTTCTGATCGTGCACGGGCTTCAAGGTGAGCTGCGGTCTGATCGTAAATTACTGCTAAACCTGTTACTGACGTGAGTTATCCAGCATCAACCATAAAGCAAGCATGGGTGCGACGGACCTTCCAGAAATTGAACGTTGCCGTTGCAACTAGCAAGTCGTGTACTGGAGTACTCCAAACAGGCTTTCAACAGCTACGTCTTTTAGCGGGCGTCCTACTTAGTTGGAGTGACTGAGCACAAACCTGTAAGTCCATGGCCTGGAGTTTTGATTCTGGGTGTTTCATCAGGTAGATCGCCAGAACGATACAGGCCAGCAGCGAAGGACCCGCCGGGATAAGCCTCGAATCGGCGTCCCTTTCTGAGAGTTCGATGCTAACTTTTGCAATAGCTCGGGCGCTATTGACACAGATTGATTCCCCATTGCGCAGCCGAAACTGTGAAGGCTCGTCCGCACAGTGCCGTGCAATTTCCTCATTGAAGCTCGCGGATGGCGCAATCAATGCCGCGCGGTGTAGAGCAATCAGAGTCTCCTGATACTGAATGGACAAAAAGGCGAGCATGTGGAAATCTGAATCCGGGCAGAAGAGATCGTTACCCGGTCGCAGTTCAGGGGGGATTTGGTTGGCCCAAGAGAGAAGCGACTGGTCGAGTCGGGCCGTGTCCACAAGGATCTGGCGAACGCTTCGGGATCCGGCGCGATAGTTATAAATGTGCTGGCTAATGTTGCTTTGAAACTCTGCGAGCCCAAGATGCCAGTAAAGCAACGATGACTCGGAAGAAAGGGATTTAACCGGGGTGACATGTTCCCGGATGACAACTGCTGGACGTCCCGACTCGATCTCCATCATTTTGTCGAGACAACAGCAGACTGTCCAAACCTGCCTATACAGGCTCTGGTCTTCAGATTGCAGATTTGGTGTATGACGGTAGATCCCCAGAGTATACGCAATGCGGATTGCAATCCCAAGGGTCTGCCAGGCAAGACCTTCTTGGTTGCGCCCTCGGTAAACGATAGTGAAAAGCAGTAACGCTTGGACAGCAGGAAAGTAGGGCGTGACTATGACATGAGAAAGCACACCGGCAGCAGCGCGGCAGTACTTTTCGCCTTCCTCTGTGATACATTGTGCTGCTTCGTCGGCCCCGAAACTCATCACAAGGTAGGCGGATGCTAAGACTGGAATATTATCCCGAGGGAGCTCCGCGTAGTCCGACAGTTCGGCGAGCTGTTCAATACCGGCTCGGATAGTTTTAGGGTTGAAGATTGGATAAAGTGGGTGGATTCGAGACACGTAAATATCCATATATCGGTCACGCATCTCTCGATTCGGTAGTGTCGGCAGCGATAATTTCAACGACAGTTCCAGTTCTTCTGCGTGTCGCATTCCATGTCGAAAGGAACCCGACACCGGTTTCAGGCTTGCTGCTTTGAAGAACACATCCAGAGACTTGGCAAGACACTGCGAGCTACTGCCTCCCATGATCTTCATGCGATTCGTCTCATGTTCCACGTTGACGGAAGTAATAAACGGCTGATGTACAGGCGAGACGCCGTCCGTCTCCTCGGTGGCAGTCAAAGCATCGTTCGGTGACGGTTGTTGCTGCTGACTCTCAGGGACCAGATCCTCCCTCCCGATCACCCTATCATCCTCTCTCCTTCCAGTAAAAACTGCCCCCTTCTCCGGTAACTCCAGCCATTCTCGCACCCCTGTCACTCCTGGTCGTTGAGGGTCAGTCGTCACGCAAATCTGGTTCCGTTGTCGACAATTCCGACATTTAGGATACTCTGCGTCGCATTTCACTTTTCGCTGCCGGCAGATATTACAGGCCATCGACAGACGAGGCCGTTTAGCGGCCGGGGGTCGATCCATCCCGAGGCACGGTGTCCGATTCACCGTCCTTGACGGCGGCTCAACAGGGCCCGGCACATAATGATCTTTTGGCTTTTCTCAACGCTGCCCCGACATTCTCATGCATGCATTCCAGGTGTCAGTGACGGCCGAGAGTGTCCACATGTCTTAGGAGAGAGGTGCAATGGGAGCAATAGGAGGCGCTAGATTGTCAATCCCGGCTATAGGACTGGTGGAGAATGCGGGGTCGGAAACGCGGGGGATCAGCCTCCTGAGTCCTGGTCCCGGCTAGGCAGTGACTGCTATCTGGAACCCTCTACTCCGCCAGATCATGGCAGCTTGCGAGTCGTGCACTTCCCTTGTCCAAACAGTCCTGCTGACCTCGGCTCTGGCTTTGGGAGGATCAGCCCCCCGCTTTCGGGTCCAATCGGCGCACACCGTTCACTAGTGCCCTTCGGCGAGAGGTGTCAGCATCAATTCGCGGATCTCTGCTTACGGGAATTGCATTAAGAGCATTTACCGGGCTTATATATCCTATGTCATTGATTGGTGTTCTCCAGCTTGGGTGTTTGGAAGGTGGCAAATGTAACTACAGCACAGCTTCCTAGGGGATATATATCCTCATCTCGGCTAGTTTAAAAAATTCCACGACAGGTGTTTTCTTCCGTCTTAGAAGTATCTGACGAGCAAGTGGAACATTCATAGCACTATTGACTTTATAAACTAAAACCATTTACAAATGTTGACCAAACTGGTCATCCGAGCGTCTCTAACTGCCGGAATCTGCCTGCCATTCTACATGCCCTACACGCGATCCCGCGACTGCAGAAAAGCCAGACTCGATATCCGCGAACGTAAGAAGCCTTAAATTTTGCTTGGAAGCTTTTTGAATAACAGATTTGCAACTGGTAGGCTATTCAGAGCTGGCGCGAACACTCTCGTGAAAAGGCCATTGGCATCGATTGTGTACTGGACGCTTCAATCATCTCTCGAGACTCGGTCGGCAATTGAAAGTAGATTGTGAAGACTCACATACTGAGATTATTCATGAGAAGGGTACTCTGCCGGGCGCGTTTAAAGTGTATATAGATAAATAGGCCACAGCAATTCCAGTGTACTATATCTCTTCGCATGATCAGACAAGACAGAACCCAGCTTGACGAAGTCATCTTTCGTGCGGTATTTACTAAAGCACTGCAAAAGGCCATAACATAATAGAGATAGATTGTTACGAAAGCTTTCATTTGCTGTGTAAAATAAGGTAAAATGGAAGTTCTAAGTACAAATAGTCTTCAAGCATTGCAGTAACATTAGCACATTGCCTAGTGCAGCAATTATGTTCCAATGAACAGTTAGGTAAATGGCAAGATGAGACAGCTGGGATAGTCCCCGCCACAGTGAACCACATGCTTCCCCTTATTCAACTCATGTTCCGGGCGCGGCTTCGACCAGGTCTTATATTCTGCGATACTGGGAAATTGACCAGAGACCTGCGAAAATTAGTACAGTATCCATGCTTCAGCGCCCCTTCCATAGACGAAGGAAACTTACCCGCAGGCTTATCGATTCACCAGCGTCAAAGTCAACGCCCATTGCCCAGATACCAATCTCCAATTTCACAATGGTGCCTGGGTTCACCTTCTCCTGTTTTGTGTGCGGATGGAATGGGAATTGTGGATGAATACTCTTGGATTCATCGAATGCGCGATGGGACGCCCTCAGAACGCCCATCGATCCCAGGTGGAGATTAAGGCTCGCCTGGTCGGCCTTCGGAATCTCATCGATGGCGTCGACTGGAGTCGCATGGATGGGAAAGTTCAAGTGCATGAGAGGCTTGCCATCTTTGTCCTTCTTCCGCAGAATAACGAACACGACGAAGTCATCTCGATCCTCACAGGACATGTATAAGACAGCTTTGGGTAACCCAATGAGTCGGGATGGTTTGTCGAAAGTGTAGGAGAATTCGGCGAAGCTGGAAGTGTCCTCGGAATTGTAAGATACCGTGTGATAGTCAGATGCTGGATTAGAGCCGAGTTGATCATTTGAAAGAAAGAGTTTGCGGTACTCAGTGTTAGGCACTGGGAAGTCACCGAGAACAATATCGTCAATAGCCTCCCGATCGCCAAACTGCAGCGCTGACCACCGAACCCTCGGTGTCTTTTCCCACTCGTTCTGGACGCCCTTCAGGTAGCGATCGAAAAACAAAGAAAGTTCATCCATAGAGTCAGGACATGAGTAGAGCTCGTACCACTCTTGTTTACTGCCCCAGCGAATCCATTTCTGCTCGTGCGGCAGCTCCAACCACGCGCGAACGGATCCCATCGTGTGAATCGAGCTGACATCCGATCCGCGGATATAAACTGGACACTGTACTTTTGAAATCTCGGCTCTCTTGTCTTCCCAGAAGGCACTTGAGACTGGCGACCGACGGTACATCTCCTCAAAGTCCTCTATTCCGGAACCCTCGGGTCCACGGACGATCTCATTCGTGATCAGGTCGAAATTGCTCATCGAAAACCAGCCGCCACGACAGAACTGTTCACGATAGATATCGCCAGATCCTTCCCATGGTGCGATGGCCTTTAGCGATGGGGGCTGCTGTGAGGCAATGAACCATTGCGAAATTGCCAGCGCTGAATTACCGGCCATACCGATGGACCCATTGCACCAGTCCATAGCAGCGATCGCTTCCACGACGTCGTATCCATCCTCAGCGTCCTGGGAGCCCATGACGTTTATGAGCCCGTCGCTATTGCCTGCGCCACGGGTATCGACGCTCACGATGGCATACCCTTGTGGACACCAGGTCTGGGGATCCAGGCCCTCGAACTTTTCGAGACCGCTGAGATCGGACCGCGGAACACAGCAGTTCCATGTACACATGGGGAGCATGTCCAGCGCGCTGTACTTCTTGCCATAGAATGACCAGCTCAACACGGCCGGAATTTTGCCCGTCTGGTCGGCCGGTCGGTAGATGTCCGCGTAGAGTCGACAGCCGTCACGCACGACAATCTCGACATCGTGGTCAACGCGAATTGGGCTCTTCAACGGTTTCGCATTGAATCCGTTCCATCCGCTCGGAAGGACTTCGGTCTTTCCCGGCTGGAACCCAGAGAAGCCATTCTCGCCAAGCTTGGGCGCTTTGATGCGTTTGTAGGCGGATTGGACGGGAGGAGGCATGATGAACAATGGGAATTGATGTGCTCGAGATACCGCAAGTAATACTGATGCTTCTATTATTCTTCATGTTAGTTCGGTATTTCAACTGATTTAAATGACAATAACAGAGCTACAGCTGATTTCTTCCTCCGAAGCCAAGCCGTGGAGATCACACAGTCCTCGTCTGCGATCGGATGTCGACCTCCACCCCCTCGGGCAATTAGCGCCCGAACCTTCGGGGCCTACTGGACCTTAGCGTTGGTCTCCCCCAGACTCTCCCACACTTCGGGGGCCTCCGAGCTCCCTCGGCCAGCATTGATGCCGCCGAAAAGGCTTCGATCAGACCGGGGTCGTTCCTCCATCTTGTGGGGTGTTTACTTAAGTGAACTTTGAGTTCCCCGACAGATGGACAGCATCAGACCTCATCCAAGCAACAGAACAAACAGAAACCAGAAGAAAAAAAAAGCAGACGCCAATACTAAACCCTCTTCTTCTACTATGTCAACCACCACTGTCCAAGAATTGGCCGCGGCCACCAACGAATCTTACACCATCAAAGACCTCGTTGACTTCAGCAGCCGCACATACGGCGATTGGCGCGATGAGTTCCATAAGAACGGTTGTGTCGTCATCAAGAATGTGATCAGCCCGGAACGCGCGAAGTACTACTGCGACAAGCAGATCCAGTGGCTGAAGAACTTTGAACTGGGATTTGATGAAAACGACGAAAGTACCTGGACGGCGGAACATCTGCCCGTTAGTTTCAAAGGAGGGTAAGCGTCTCTCCCTTTCTCTAGTCCGGCATGCAATTAACAAGCTCTAGCATGTACTTCGCCTACGGCTCCACTCATGAGAAGATGGCATGGGAGGCTCGCTCCGAGCCTGCCGTTGTGGAGATCTTTGAGAAGCTATGGGAGACCAAGGAGCTTCTTTGCTCGTTTGACGGGCTGAACATCTCCATGCCCCGCCGCAAGGATCTAAACTGGAGCCCTTGGCCGCATTGCGACCAGAACCCAGACCGAAAAGGGTACGAATTATCCATCCCTCGGCAGCACCTCCCCCCACATGCCACTAACAACCTGCAGAATGCAAGCCGTCCAAGGGCTGCTTAACTTCGCACCGAACGGTCCGAAAGACGGCGGTCTCATGCTCATGAAAGGATCGGCCAAGCTGTTCGATGAATTCTTCGCCCAGAAGCGTGAGCAATACGACCACGAGGATGCCCCACCCCCAGAGCTCAAGTACATGGATCTTTTCCTGTTTCACGACAAAGACCTGAAATGGTTCCAAGACCGGGGATGCGAGCTGGTGAAGATAAACATGGAGCCCGGTGACTTTGTGCTCTGGGACTCACGCACCATGCATTACGCTTGTCTACCCGAGGGCGATCAAATTCGTCATGTTCAGTACATCTGCATGACCCCAAAACGGTTCGCCACTCCCAAAGCATTGGAATTGAAGAAGTATTGCTTCGAGAATTTTATGGGCACCACCCACTGGCCGCACTGGTATGTTTCCTTCTGTCCAGTCTTTTGACAGAAAATAACGTGATCTAGCAATATTCGTCCTGCCAGTGAAAAGCCTATGCGGAACGGAGAGGTGTGTCACAAGTACCGGACCGAGCCATTTGAGAAGCCCGAGAGGACCGATACCGTGCTTCGCTTGGCTGGTGTTAAGGATTACTAGAATTGATGTTTGATGTAATTACGTGTACTTATTGTTGACTGGGTCAGAGTTAGAATGGAACTTAGTTTTTGAATATCTTCAGTGTTCTTAACATGAATCTAAACATCCATCTTCATCCTCAAACATATGACATTTAGACAATCCTGGAACATACATCATGGGCTACACTTTGGCGTTAGAGCAGGGAGACACCACGTGTTGAACAACAGGTCAATTTCTTTCGTCCACATTCCGATATGCTTGGATACTGCTCTCTACAGCAATAAAGAAGAATATTGTGGAGGTGGCGCTCGGTAGCCCCCGAGTCACAAGCGCCCTTCGGAGCGGGGGTTTAGGCTTCGAGTTAGTGACCGAGCAGCTTAGTGTGGATGCTGAAGACCCAGTCCGGGGTAATATGGGGCTCTAGGCATCTTCTTATCATCGACTGCCAACACCATCGGCCGGACATCAATGCCATCTTCTATGTATTTAACCTGCTGGATGTGCAGTGTTCCGGACGATTCATCAGGACGCCTATCGTCTTTTCATTACATTTTGTCGTCGATTGACTTATCCGTGTTGAATTTCCATCCATCATGCCAGACGGCGATAAAGCCTCCGTCGGCCATGTGGAGGAGATTGAAGCGCTTGGAGGAGCCAAACAGAATCAAAAAGCCATGGGAACGGTGAAGTTGACAGAAGGAGCAATTGTCTACATTCCCACCCCAACGGCAGATCCACGCGGTCAATACCTGTGAATACGGCTCACCATCATTAACAAGACTGACCTGGTCTTAGATCCTTTGAATATGCCACGCTGGCAGAAGACTGTTGTTCTCATTGTGATATCAGTTTGTAAGCTCGAGATCTCCCAACTCTCGTAGACGTTATGCTAACAAGCTAGTCTCCACTCTTGGTCTCGCCCTTGTCTCCGGATTCGGTGGCCTACTCGGCTTTTATATACCTGAATATGAAGCGGTGGGAAAGGGGTACGACGATATTACACATTTGATGACTTATCCGACGCTGTTCATGTAAAGTCTTCTCGGCACGCAGAGAAGGCATAACGTGCTGACCGTAATGTAGGGGAATCGGCAACCTCATCGGAATGCCTCTTGCCATCGGAATTGGGCGTCGCATTGTTCTTCTCGGCTCTACCGTGGTTCTGGTGGTTGGTGCTGTTCTCTGCGCAACAGCGAAGAACTACGAATGGCATCTCGCCTCCCGAATGGTTGTTGGCCTGGCCGCTGGACAGAGCGAGGCCTTGGTTCCCATGATAACCCAGGTAAACCAACCCGACATAGTTGATCAGAGCAGTTACTCACCTTGTTCTGAGCATGTCTAGGAGATATACTTTCTCCATGAGCGCAGTAAAGCTCTCATGGGCCAACAAGCTATTCAAGTCAGTCTGACTTCAGTATGGGTACTTTTCGCCGGGCCTATTGCCGGGGCCGTAACTCCAGAATGGTGGTACGGGCTCGGAGCAGCTTTGGCAGGTCTACTTCTGATTGTTGCTTTTCTATTTCTTCCTGAAACTAAATACGACCGGTCGCTTGCTTCTTACCAGGAGGACACGTCCTCTGGCGATGACGCCCGAAAGAACTCTATGGGAAGTTTCCAGAAGACAGACTCCGATGGCGTCTGCACAGAGCGACCACCCTTGGACAACACCCGGTATGCACCGCGCACATTCAAATCCGACCTTCGCCTTTGGATTGGCAAACCAGAATGGAACAAAGTGTGGGAAGTGCTGAGAGTATGTGCTTATTTTTCCCAGCGCCGAAGATCTTCGCTAATGATGACTAGCAAACTTTTGAACTGCTTCTTTTCCCAAACGTCCTCTGGGCCCTTCTCCTAAATGGTCTCACAATCGGCGTGAATATTGCCATCGGAACCACGTACAGCACCATCGTATCAAGCCCGCCATATAACTGGCCTAACAGCAGCGCGAGCTACGTGAATTGTGGACAGATCGTGGTCGCAATTGCGGCGCTCCCTCTTCTAGGCCACGGGTCCGACTACTTGATCAAATATTTCGCTAGACGCAACGGCGGGATGCACGAGCCAGAAGTTCGAATCATTCCTCTGATTATCCCCATCGTTGTGGGTGTTTTTACATCCGCCCTCTACGGTGCGGCTGCCGCAAATCCATACCAGTACCACTGGTTCACCTATGTCTGGGGAGTTGCTGCGTACTATTTCTGCTTCGTCGGAGCAAATATCGTGGCCATTACCTACTTACTGGACAGTTATCCTGCCCGAGCAGGGCCTTTGCTGGTCATTATTTGCGCCTTCCGAGGCATCATCTCTTTTGGTACGAGTTATGGAACGGCACCGTTTGTTGAACTGCATGGGTACGACGGTACATTTGGAACGTTTGCCGCATTGACAGGATTTCTAGGGGCCCTGGGTATCCCGGTCTTTATTTGGGGCAAAAAGATCCGACAATTTACGGGACGCTTTGCGAAGGATAAATCTGACTGATTCTCATGCCCTGTCTGCACATAGCTCTCTTTGGATATTCACACCGCCCATAGGTATCTCACATAGCCACTCATGAATTTCCACCTATGTCTTTTCGAAAGAACACTCTCTCATACCCATCCTCCTCTCGCCGATCTATCTCAACGAACCCGAGTTTCGGATAAAGCGCCAGGTTTTCATACATCTTGATATTGGTGAACAGTGTCATCGCCTCATAGCCCCTTTCCTTTGCCAGATCCTCGGCGAAATTCATCAGTAGCCTCCCATACCCCTTGCCCTGTGTCTCGGGGTCAACGACAAGGTTATTAATGCTGACTGAGTTGGTGTCGCTGTCTGCGCGGAGAACGATGGAACCAACAATTGTATGGTCTTCGAGGCGTTCCAAGACGAATATTTCTCGTGTATTCAAAAGCTCGTAGTAATTTGCCGCCATAGGAGCAGGGGGCTTGCCGATTCGAGGGATGTATTTCGAGTACGCCGCGGTAACCATGGATTGGATGAATGGAACATGGTCCGGGGTGGCCTTGATAATGGACAGGCCATGTTCGGAGGACATACTGCCAAAATCTTGTAGATCTTGAATTTTTTTTCTCGTTTTCTTGCGGATAATGCGCCTTTTCCGATACAAGAACAGAGAATGGTGATATTTGAGGGATGAGTCACAGAGGCAGAAACTGTGTTTAGCATGGTAATCGTCGAATCCATCGCGCCGAAGTAGCGGCGGCGGACCCTTGTCAGTGTCCAGCTTATCTGTTTTCCTCTTAATAGTTAGTATACCAAGTCTCTAGCGCCTTAAGGGAGCGTATAATCTCAGCCACAGTGGCATAACTCGGCTGATGTCAGTTATAGGGTTATGCATACATTATTCTACTGCCTCAGGTGCCAAGGTATCAAGGTGTCAAGGCGCCCAGGTGTCGAAATGCATATGACCGATAGCCTCGGCTTTCTCCTTTCTCCCCCTTCCTCAACCCCATCCCCGAGACACAGGCCATCCGTTAATCGGAGCTGGAATCGAAACGAGCGGGATTTGATCTTGTAGGGAAACCAAGATCTTTCACCGGAGGTCTCTTCCATTCCGGTCTTATGACGTTATCCCGCCGACCATGGTTTTCCCGAAGCCGTTGTTTGCCTGATCGGGCAAGAGGTTATTCGACACGCAGAGCCTGGGTTTCGCTCGTCATTGGATACCACGAGTGGACATGGTGACTCTGGAGCTAGGCACAATCCCCGAAAACTGTCATTGATGATTTCTTCGCTGCGACTTGATTTCCGACGTATAAGAAGACATCCTTCCTTGGTTGTCCCGCGGAGATCACTCAGCCTGGCGTGCTCACGACCGCAGGTATCAATTCAGGATCTGGAGTAGTACTTAATCTCACTGCTGCGCTAGGTTTCCCTTTGTTATATTTTTTTGCAGTGTACATCTATACCTCTTGAGATAGGAACAGTCTCGGTGAAAGCTCGGGGATTTCCTCAATCCCGAATTGCCCGATAGGCAGCGACCATCATGGGTGAAATCAGCCCTGCTCAAGTTGATGGGATCTCGATCCATAGAATCCCCAAGCCTACAAGTCCTGTGCGCGATATTGAAAGCGAAGTGGAAGATCAATGGATTGGTCTGATGTGTATCTTACAAGGCCTGCGGCGTGTCACTACACCAGATCTTGACGAACCCATCATCAAAAAGTCCACTCAGCAAGATATCGCTGATATCAGAAGCCTCAGCACACCGGATATCCCTCGACCAATATCCACTGTTATTCAGGAGGCCCATGCTATCTTCGACCACCGGTCGCGAACCAACCATACCGGCTTCTTCTCCTTCACTCCGGCAAATGTCACGCCACTTACATGGCTTGGGGATGTCATTGTTTCCGCGTTCAATGCCCATTGCAGTGGCTCGCTTACGGCCGCTGGCCCTTGTGCCGTTGAAACAGAATTGATCAAATGGTTTTCATCTAGAATCCGCTTCTCATCCACAGCAGGCGGACTCTTTGTCTCCGGCGGATCAATCGCAAACATGATGGCTATGACAGCAGCTCGGGACCAGAAGCTAGAATGGCAGAATTATTCCAAGGGTGTGATCTACATCGCGCGTCAAGCGCATTATTCAGTCTTTAAAGCAGCTCGAATCCTGGGATTCCATAGCAACCAAGTCCGTACCGTGGACTCGGACAATTTCGGTCGCTTAAACTCCGACTGCCTCAAGCACCTCATCCAAAACGACAAGCGAAACGGTCTAATCCCCTTCCTCGTCATTGCTACATTCGGGTACACGGAAACCGGGTTAATCGATCCCCTTGCCACCATCTCCGAGATCGCCCAAAGGGAGTCTCTCTGGCTCCACATCGACGGAGCCTACGGCGCCTCGCTCTCCTTCTCGCTCAACAGGTCGAGTCTAGCCACGCAGCTCAGCACCGCAGACAGCGTATCCTGGGACGCGCATAAGCTTCTCTTCCAGACCTATGGGTGTGGCATGCTCCTCGTCCGAGACAAGTCGCATCTCGTCTCCAGCTTCCACGCTCAGTCTTCTTTCATGGATCATACATCTCGCGTCAAGGAAGACGAACCCGAGCTCTGGGATATGGGGGTGGAATTGACGCGTCCGTCTCGGGCCATGAGTTTGTGGTTCACATTGCGTGTTTTAGGAACTGAGAGGATTGGACAATTGATTGATCATGGAATGGACCTTGTGGGGTTGATTCAGCTGAAGCTGGAGGCAATGCATGGGTGGGAAATCATCACTCCAGCGTCGTTGGGGATTATCACATTCAGATATAATCCGACACAGCGTAAGGGACAGGATGAGAAGCTGGAGAAGATGAATAAGGATATCTCACGGATTTTGCTCGATACAAACACGGCGGCTGTCATGACAGTTAGGGTGAATGGTGTTTTAGCGTTACGGATTTGTTGTACGAATGTGCGATTGACGGAAGAGGATGTGCTAGAGTTGATGAGGAGTATGGGTGAAGTCGCAAGCAAGCTGAGTAGTGCATGAATTAGTTATATTGTTGAGATATAGATGATCACAAAGTTAGTCCTTAGAATGAACGAGCTGGTACGGATCCTCATGCCCACTTGCATTCAGCTTTATGGTATAACTTCGGGGTGGCTGGTCATTATGGCCTACATTCACCTTGCTGCATACATAAATATGCTCTTACAATTCGCGAATTGATTTATTTAGTCCAGCAATAATCTATACTCAAGGATCTTTACCAGGGGAATAGCCAGAAGCTGATAACCCGACAATATGGCAGACTAATCCACCACGCCCTCAGGGAGCAACACCACATAATCCAACGGCGCCGGCTCAACACCATCCGCTTGACCGACAATCTTCAACACGTCCCCCTTTTCGACCTTGACATCCCGGAAGGTGATCCGTATCGCCGAATGACCATCCAAATAGATCGACGGCGTGTGTCCCAGGGTATCCTCGGCGTCTCCTCGCCATTTCCCGACAACGCGCTTGTTCAAATACACCGTCCATTCAGATTGTCCACCATATAGATCATAGTAGTTGATCCCCAGATCATAAGTGCCAGATGGGAATTTCAACTTCGTCGAAGCGGTTCCCGTGGTGGAGTTGGTCGCCGTGACGATGGCGGTTGCATTTGAGGCGGTCTCGTACGGATGAACCGTGTATTTGGTGTATCCATTCAGAGTCATATCTTCGGCTTCCACACGCCATGGGTGATGGCGTACTCGACCCTCTTGGTCCTCGATGCCGGACAGGTTGTAGTAGAAGTTATTGATTGCATCGCGCCAGACGATCGAATGGCCCGCCTGGTAGATCAACCGATGACGCACCTCCTCGTATCGTTGCTTGTCAATGCGCCCCTTCAGCGCCTCCCATTTGGGAACAAAGGTCTGAGCGGTTTCGGCGCCATCGTAGTGTGCGTCGTAGAAATGCTGAATCACAGTTTTCCCAGAATGCAGACGATGCGAGTAGGGGACATGGTGGAACCAGAGGAGCAGATCATCGGGGGTCGTTTCTATCTCCTCGTACATTTCCGCAATTTCCTTCGGATATTGGCCCGCGTTTCGCGTTCCATTCTTCACGGTACGGTCCATGCCGATGGAGTGGCTGTTAGCACGTGTCCACTGTCCCCAGCCATTACCATCCTGTGAGCCGGGATTGGGCCCATAGTGGGTGTAGAGGATGTCGGTTAGGGTCTGAACGCCCAGGTTTCCACTATAGTTCTCGTATGCCGGCCATGAAGCCATTGACAATTCCGTGATCGTGTTCAGAACACGGCGATCTTGCCCAAATGTCAGACGCGTCCAGTCTTCTAGGATTTCGACGGAATCATCTGTAGGGCTCCATGCTAGACGACCGTAGGCATACAAATTGGACATGGCCAGATGGCTTCCTAGCCAGGTGTTGTTTGTGCCGACATTCACCACAGCAGCCCACCCTCCGAGCGGCCGCTTGAAGTGCTGTCCTGACACGATGTCTCGGACAGGAGATGGCTTCTGGTCCACGCGTAAGTCAAAGTCCAATATTTCTTTCCATAGCGGAGCAAGATAGACAAGATGACACTGTTGGCCGAGATACTCCTGCGTGACCTGTAGCTCGATAGCCATGTTGGTGTGGTACATATTGGCGAACAGCGGAGACACGGGCTCGCGCACTTGGAAATCAATGGGTCCATACTTTATCTGAAGAACGACATTGTCTTCAAACTTCCCGTCGAGCTCCTTGAAGAACTCGATTTGCGCGTTGGCTCTGTCATTAGTCCAACTGTCTTCCGTCAGGTGGTGATCATAAACGAAGGCACGGAACATGAGTATGCCACCATACGGCTGCAAAGTCCGCGCGAAGAGGTTGGCCCCTTCTGCTAACGTTCGATTGTATGTATCTGGACCGGGCTGACCCTCGGAGCTCGCCTTTACTACGTACCCGGCCAGGTCAGGGACATGCTCATACAAGCGATCGGTGATGTCTTGCCACCAGGAAATGACCTTCGGATCCAAGGGATCATATGTGCCCAGACCACCCAGCGTATCCGGAGAGGCGAAATTGAGCGAGACTCCGATTTGGATTCCGTACGGTCGGAAGACGTCGGCAATGCGCGTCAGCCCTTTCATGTTGGCTGGCGTGAGGAGTGTGGCGTTAGCGTTCACGTTGTTCACGACAATGGCATTAATTCGGATCGAAGCTAGAAGCCGAGCGTATTGTTTGACGCGATCCATGTTCTCAACTATTCGGCCTTCCGAAAAGAAGATAGATGGGCCAGCGTAGCCCCGTTCTATACTTCCGTCCATGTTATCCCACTGGTTCACCCATCGGATCGGAGCATGAGGACTAGTTGAGTAATCCACGTCGGAGAAGTTTCCTTGGCCGAGCAGCGAAATGTATTCGAAGGCACCGTATAATGCACCGCGCGCGTTCTGGCCGATAATTTGGACGCTGTCGCCCTGCGCTCTCAACCAGAAACCATCCTCCTCTAGTGTCGGAATGTCCGAGAGTTTGTTGCATGCTTTCCGGTATTCTTCAAGAGTAGCCACCACAAGTGAAGAGCGAGAATCGCATTTTGAACGCGCAATGGGGAGCTCTTTTCCAACTATATCATGCAGCCCCGTCTTCAATTCCTGGGCGGCAGTGAATACCGGGTTGGACTGGTTGTTGGTGAACGTCACGACGCGAGATGGCAGATTGCGTTGACATCGTTCGTCGCATCGAACGGGAGCATACCGCAGCCAGCCATCGAGGCCCTTCTCTGCAGCTACTGCCGCGAGAAGCAGAAGCCAAACGAGACGCAAAATCAATGGACGCATTGTGAACAGCCTGGTAGCGTGCTTTTCCAGTCCCGCATTTCCACACTTCAATGGCGGCGAGTTTTATAGTTTTCGAACATGACACCCCACGCTCTCGCCGTGGCATGACGTTACGGACCGACAGTCCATGCTAAATTTGCATTCAGCCTATACTCGCCATAGCTCTGGAGGGACGCGGGATGGCAGCGGATCTAAGTTGTCCGCTTCCTAACCCGTCCATCCTGAGGTCGAATAACAGCTGCTCTCAGGGCCAACTAGCGGCAGCACGGAAGCTTTATTTTGATATCCACCAGCCAACACAAGCAGCAAGGAGGCGCAATTCCACTCATTGTCACGCCTGTAGCCGACCGTGACGGCCGACGAAGACCATTTCGATCGACAACCTGAAGCCGAGACCAAGCAATTTAGCCGGATTGATTGCGGGGATCAACATTCGATGCGGGGATACCTTTGCACCTAAAACGCGCCAATCATATCTGCACTAGTCTCTGCAATTGTCGGCTACTGGCACTGTGAAAGAGAGGTAGGCTGGGGAGTTCATCCATGCCGTCCAATGCTGCATTCTTCCACTCTGTAGGCGCAGGTGGCACTTGGCCCGATTGGGCAGGTCGTGACGGGCGACCCGCTATTCCTAATAGGGCAAGGCTCGGACGGACATTCGCACTATTCCCAATCGAGCCGCGGCGCTCATCCGGCGTTTGCGTTACTTCGGCCAACTCTACCGTCCGTCATCATCTCCCTCGGTGTTTCGAGGCGTTCCAAGACTCTAGGATAAATGGCCGAAAGGACTCCGTCTCGGAACTCCTTTCGCCCCCGCGCTGTACGTGCACCTTTTCCAATGTCCCTGACTCCAGCGACCTGACCCTTACCAGTGTGACAACTGCCGCGTTCGAAAGGTTGGCCGATCATTCGCTATACACCGATTCAATGAGATGCTCACAGACGCAAAGATAAAATGCGACAAAGCCGCTCCATGTTCCAGCTGTGGCGCGTTGGGAATTCCCTGTAAAACCGCGGGGGTCTCCTCGGGTGTCTCTGATGCGCAACGCGCTGCGCCCAGCCAGTAGTAAGTCCAGGCTGCAAATGCTCCTAGTATCGGTTACTAAAGTGTGATGACAGCGAGAATAAGATTGATGCAATCCAAGAGCAGCTACTCGTGATTCAGCAAGCTCTTCGTGATGTCAATCAGTCCGCATCTCCTGCCCCGACCCACCCGGTACCTCGCCCTGTACCATCTACCGACCCTGTGCCTCCATTTGAAGGCCAGTCCTCCTTTCATCATGAATCTATCCTTGCAAAGGACGCTGCATTTTCTGCGGTAGCTGGTGCGCAGGGGAGGAGGCTTGATGATCATGTTTCGGCCGCTCTCTCATCCCTAACTCACAGCCTTGATCGAAATACGGCCGTCTCGCAAGACGATGCATCGCGGGACAATGCGTCGGCATCTTCATTATCTAAAGAGGAACTGCTGCCGGTTGACCTTGCTGTATCGGTGGTCAAGGCTGTTAAAGGTATATATGTCTCTTCTTTCTGTCTTGATCTCGTTGACACATGCAGCTCAACCTCCTTTTTTCCTGGTCAGCCACTCCTGGAGAGATCTACTTCAAATTGAGATGCTGTGCCAATCACTCTACTTTCCCCTTCAGCCCGTTCCTGCAGGCTCCGTAACTCTTTTTCATGGCCTCTTCTTCTATATCATCCGCGATTATCTGCATCAAGGACACCCAGACCTCGCCCACTACAATCTCGCCGCGAGTGTTGAATTTTGCGAGCGCCACTTCTTCGATGGCCTCAACAGTTATGAAATGATGACTGCACCTACTTTGGAAAAGGTTCAGGCTTTGCTGATCGGGGTATGGCTCTGCCAATACAATCACGATTGATGCTAACCGCCGCAGATAATCAAAGCACAAGAAGAATTTGATATTCAACGCTGTTGGACCTACCTATCGCTCGCCTTCAACATGTGCCAGACCTTGGGTTTTCATAGGAGTTCGACGTTGAAAGACGACGATTCCCCCGCTGCAGAGGCAAAACGACACGTCTTTTGGTCGTTATACACAATCGATAAAAACATTTCGCTCAACATTGGCTTCACTTCGCATTTTCAGGACCACGATATCGACGCCGATCTCTTCAAGCCATCAAATAAGCCCACTCAGCACCCGTGGGACTTGATGGCCATTGTAACCGTGGAGTTTGCCGCAATTCAAGGACGCGTCTTTGATCAACTTTATTCGGTGGGAGCAATCAACGAGACAGACGAAAAGCGCGCACGCGCTGTACAGCAGTTATCACTCGATTTGATCGCCGTTCGCGACAGGCTCGTTGCAGTACGTCCCTTTTCTCCATTCCGCGTTGTCGCGTACTCACCACCACAATAGATTGATGTCAGTTCTGGATTATATGCCGATTCCTTGCACGGAATGGCAGCCTGTGCCGACTTCATTGCCTACTCAGTAATGACGGTGATCTACCGAGCCCAGTCACGGCCCACCGACGCCATGGCTGTATCGTCCCAATGCTACGAAGCCGCCAGGCTAGCTCTGGATAGCCACCTGAAATGTTTCGGCTTTTTCCGTGGCCGTCAGACGCACAAACAACTGGAATACGTCAATTGGTTCGTCGCCATGACTCCATTATTTCAATCATTAATAATTGACTGCTCGCCAGGATCCTCCTCTACCCCTCCTTCGCCCCATTTGTCATTGTCTTCACTCATGCCATCGCCACGTCCAGCTCAACCGATCTCTCTCTTCTACAAGACACTGTCAAATCCTTAGACCTAATCAAAGGTCTTTCCCGAGGCTCGATGCATTTATTCGCTATCTGCGAGGCGTTCGCAAAGACCGCACAAGTCCTCGTCGACGCACGCCAAACCGTGACGGGACTTGAACATCATCAAGACGGGTCCTTGTTTATTCCAGCTACAACCGACGGCCCCGGAAACATCGCGCTACCGGATTTCCCTTGGCCTGAGAACACATTCGACTCATCTATGAACCAGGAGGATATTTCTCTATTCTTGAACGATTTTATCGGTACAGGGCGATCCGTGATGGAAATGTTAAACTCGAATTCTTTGAATGATTCTTTTCGGTGATACAGGTTTACATGGCTAGAGATTTCCGCTCTTGTTCCTCCACGGTTGAATCCATTGCATGCAACCTTCTTTCGCTAGAGACTAGCTTCCACTTAAATCGCCGGTCGACTAACTTAAATGACATACTGTATTTTATTGTCAGTTGTGCACACCTTCGAAAAAAAGACAACAACCTACCGGGATAAACAGATACGGCACGCGACGCTCATACTCCATCCAAGCCTCTCCGTATCTCTCGCGACATCGCTGAATGTCACGCGTAGCGCGGTGGATAATCATCACCGTGAAGAAAACGGGATAAAACCATGGGAACGGCGAGTTGAAACCAGTGATCAGGCCCCACGACATCGCGAAGAACCAGTCACAGGTATAGTGCACTTTACGAGCCATGCCATCTAGAAAACACGTTAGCCAATACCGAGAAGACTTTCATGTCGGAATTTCACGTACACCATCCACTGCACAAGATTGAATCACCGGTCTCGGTCCGGATTGTTTCAGGGTTCTTGACAAATTTCCACGGCAGCTGCGGGAACGTCTTTCGGTCCACCGAAACGCCGCGCTCCTGGGCCCTGAAATAGTTCTTCTGGCTGTTGCACGTATCCCAGACCCAGTACATGAAGAGATACATCACAACCAGAGCGCCCAGCGCAACCGGCGACCATTGGTAGGTTGACGGGTGGTGAGACGCCAGGTACAACGTGCAATGGCAGTAACTCATGGGAACGCCGGCCAAGTTCCAGAAGATCAACATGAATCCCCATTTTTCGTAGTACATATCCCTGTCCGAGACTCATCAATACCGATGTCATAAAGCCTTTGCGGGAAACAACATACCAGCTAGTGATGATCAACTCCTCGCCCTTGGCACACGCATTGGCATACAAGAAATGAGCCATCAGCAAGAATCCAATCTCCCCGGACACGTACCCCAGCTCTTCCCATTGCTTGAGTGCCGTCCCCAGCGACAGCAAGAAGAGAATATACCAAGGGATGCGAACCTCGAAGAACATCTTCATATCGAGCCACCGGAAGAGCCTCGGGTTCAGCTCCGCGCCCATAAAGAAATCATACACGTGAGACCCGGTCATGCGGTGGTCTGCACCTCTCGCCAACGCAGAGAAATACGCCACAAACGAGACAATAAATCCCGAACAAATGGCCACCGACATGAGCGGACCGAACTCATCGATCAGAGTATCCAGCCTGAAGAGCCCGCTAAAATGCAAACCCAACGAGGCCAAGATCGTGACATACCAAGACGACACGGCGGAGCAGTAATAGTCCAGTTGTTGTCCATTCAGATGGGGGAGACGCTTGCCCTTCCCATAGACACCAGGGAGGCACACGTATCCGATACCTTCAAGGATGAGGAACGTCCAATAGATGATCCATGCTTTGCGATGAGGGAAGGCGTGCGTATAGGCGAGATCGAACAGGCGGGTCAGGAAGTCCGGGATTGTTTCTCCCTCTTGCGGCATCGGTGCCTTGCCATCGTAGAACGTTGTCCCGATGTACATGTAGTACATGAGCAAGGGGAATCCGACCATGAGGGCGCTCACACCGAAGGCGCCCCCGAATTCAAACTCGGGTTCATCTTCGGTTTTGGGGGACGCTTCGTTGGACACTCCGTTGGGCTTGGATGACCGATTGCGAGGCATCGTTTCACTAGACCAGTGATATCATTGTTAGTTTCGTCGCAACAATTGAACAATGAACGGAGAATGAAGAGATATCTTGAATGTCACCTTTTCGTCGCCGAACTCTGACCCGACATGATGGCTAATCAAATCTTAGAGTATGCAGTTCTGTCGACAGGATGCACACATAGCACTTTAATAGATGATGATGGATCTTTCCATCTCGGTCACCGCCGCGGCCTCCGCGGTCTCCGCGGTGGAAGTGGGTCCGTTGAGCCCGCAGCCCACCTGCATACATTGGAAATCAAGATCGAAGTAAGGGGCTCTCATACGCGCATTCCAAGGGGTAAATGCTTGTTCGGTGCTCCGAGGAGATCACCTACTCTAGTGGCTTCCTCCAGCCTCCTGTGAAACCGTCTCGCTTATTTCGCAGGTACTACTCGTGGGTCGATCTGGCTGAGAAACTCGGGTCAAGCCACCCGAAGAGTTCGGCTACGCTCACGACTGCCATGGAATACTGCAATTTTCTTTGATGCTTCATAGCCTGGTCAACCAGTTGCATCAGCTTCCACAATCTTGCGATGAAAGAAATGGAGTTTCATATTGTTAGATTTGACTTTTTTGCGCAGAAAATGAACATCTTCGCATGCGCTCATTCAATTCATTCCACTCCCATGATAACTAAGCACTTGAAAAGTGTTGCGATATATATTCTTACGGCCTAATTTCAGACAACTCTGCCTGCTCAAACGTGGCATCCACGGGGCTCATAATGATGACATAGCAATTCATAATCTCTATCAAATTAATGTATACATTGTTTTGTGGACTAGTTACTGGCCCTTTCTTCTGTTGTTAAGCAGTCATTATATATTTTAGAATGACGTTGATTATAGAAATGCAGAACAACGCAGTTACACCGCCCGGTCCTCAGATCCAATGAGGACATTGATGATATGCATTGCTACGCTTTAAATTGCATCGAATAGACGAATATTTTCCTGGGGAAAGGGGGAAGACAAACAGGGAGGCCCCCTTGCATGACTGGGACGACCTTGCCGACAGGCCGCGGCAGCTCGGCAACGCAGACTATTCCGTTCTAGTCAGGGTGATAAGGGCCTGCAGAGCTTTTGCGACATTCACAGTGAAGCCAATTTTTTCCAGGCTGGCTGCGGACGATATACTTGAATATAGCCCTGATGGTATACATCGTCAACAAATATTGTGTAGAAAAAGGTGATAGCTATGGTATGGGACGGCCAGTGAAGTAGGGCGGGAGTTTCCACATTTTGAATCGCGCTAATGCAATCCAGACCAGTATAATTCGGTCTTTGAAGAATTGTGACGAAATGTACCAACAAGCTAACTGTAATAGGAGCTATATATTGTGACAACGAGCAAATCACCACCACAAGATCATCCAAGCGCAGTGGATCCCACGAAAGCGGGGAGATGATTAGATATCCTGGTGGACTGGAAGATTCCGTACCACAAAGAAAAAGAATGAGGGGCTGAAGCTTGCTCCTTTGAATATTTAACCACTTCCAACATCAAGGGTCTTGTCGCTTTGATAGAGTCAACCGACCGTCAACCAACCCACCATGACCCTGCCTGATTTCGACAACCTGCCGCCCGTCTCTGGAAAGCCGCAGGGCTGTGCCTGGGGTGTCTTTGACAAAGACGGCCAGAAAGACCAGTATGGGACGTTGAACCTGCTCACCCCAGAGGTGGTCCAGGCTGCCTCGGCGGAGATCAAACGGGGTGTATCTGTGTCTTTGAAGTACGCGCCCACCCAAAAGAATGAGAGATGGCACTAATTCTGGTTGTAGCTGGCCCATCGGGAGTTTGAAAATGCAGGGGTTTTTCCGGAAAGCACTTGACCACCAAGTATTGACGCACAAGACAGAAACGGGAGAAGTTTTCGCTTATGACGATGAGGTAAGTGCTTCCAGGGGAATTTTGACAAATATGATGCTAATCATCTAGGAAGGTGGCATTCAATACCCAGGCTAGCAGTCAATGGGATAGTCTGTGTATGCATATTCCTCCCCGGTCAAGCATGGTAGGTAGCACAGCATTCCTAACGCATATGGCATAGGCCACGTCCGACTACTCCCCTCTGGAGAAGTGTACAACGGTACTCAACCATCGATCGAGGGTCTTCAACGTGGTGATTCCGAGCTCCCAACACTAGACCGTAAGTCTTTTCCCCCGGCACACAACCATGAAAGCTAACGAGGATAGACTGGCACGAACGAGGCTGCATAGTCGGCCGAGGCGTCCTCATCGACTTTAAAAGCTACGCCGACGCCAAAGGAATCGAATTCTCCCCTTTCTCGTCGTTTCAGCTCAGCATAGCAGACATTGAAGCCGTGGCCGCCTACCAAGGCACAACCTTTCAAACCGGCGATATTCTGCTCGTCCGATTCGGATTCACGGAGGCATTGAGCGGCAAGACAGGCGGCGAGCAAGGAGCTGCACTTTCGACAGGACATTTCTGCGGACTGGAAAGCAGCGAAGAGATGGCCAAATGGCTCTGGAATCAACACTTTGCCGCTGTTGCGAGTGACAATATAGCGGTGGAGGTGCTTCCGCCTATTATCAATGGGGAGGAGAGGCCGGTGTGTGAGCTCGGTGAGTACAACCCAATCAATTCTATAGAAAGGAACAAAGAGACCCTCAAGCTGACCATACTAGTGCTCCATAAGTGGTGCTTGGGTATGTTTGGGATGCCGCTGGGCGAGCTCTGGGATTTGAAGGCTCTAGCGGAGGAGTGTCGCAAAGCACAGCGATACTCGTTCTTCATCACCTCGTCACCCTCGAACCACCCTGGTGCTGTTGGCAGTCCGCCGAATGCGATCGCCATTTTGTAGTTTCCTACCCTAAGGTGTAGAAATAAATCCTTTGTGATAGGTGATTGGGGCCTTTGGCGGGTCAATGACATTATCAATGGAGATTTCTCAGTGTGGGTATATTGAGTCCGGCATGAGTGTAGAGAATTTCCCTCAGAGCCACATTGAACTTTATCGCATTGAGTTTGAGATGTTAATAAAGATTAATCAACATACCCGAATGACACATGTCAGTGTAGTGGAGTGTATTTGTGGCAAACTTTTGGGGAGTGCCGAGGTGGAGGTTCATTTCTATCTTACTCCACAATTTATCTATTTGAGTTCAGCACTACCCACGAGGACATACATAGTGAATCGAATACGCCCAGAGAGAATTATTGACATTAGAAGAGGCCCCAAGGCTTCATAGTCCCAGACCATCTAGTACTATTTACATGGGGAAATTAGGCCTTCTGCGCAGCAGGAGGGTAATCGATATAGTAGGCGGCGTTATCTTCGAACGGCCCGTAGAAGCGAGCACGGTGGTACGGCTCAAAGGGGATTCCACGCTTCAGTCTCTCAACCAAGTCGGGGTTGCTGGTGAAGTGACGTCCAAAGAGCAGGGCATCGTAGCGTCCGTCTTCCAGAACACCCCAAGAGTTCTCCTGGTTCCAACCACCCGCCGAGAAAAAGGGCGTGTCGCCGAAGATGGCCCGGAAACGCGACAGGTCCACGTCCTTCAGGCCCCAGCTACCAAGGAACTTGTCCTTCTCCTCGTAGCTGAAGATTTGCTCGTAGCGCTGCAAGCAACAGTTAGATTAAGCAATACCAGCACAGGAAGAGGGTATACTAACAGGTTCAATAAAGCTGACGTACGACAACTTGGGCAAATCCTTCTTCAACGACTCGCAGAGGAAGGTCCATGTCTCGAGTCTCTGCTCGCCGCGAGCCTGGTTGAACAGTCCAAACGGCGACAAACGGATCGACAGATTCTCCTCGCCAATGCTCTTGGCCAACTCGCCCATCAGCTCGAGAACAAAGGTGCACCGCTTCTCCGGCGACCCCCCATAGGCATCGGTTCGCTTGTTGACATTAGAACTCAAGAACTGCTCGGGCAGATAGCCGTTACCCGCATGCAACTCGACGCCGTCGAAACCGATCTTCATGGCCGTCTCAGCCGCGGCGCAGTAGTCGCGAATAGTCTGCTTCAGGTGCGGGACGGACAGCTCGATCGGCGGGTGGTCCGCGTAGGGGACCTGGGAGGTCGACCCCACCGGGGGGTGGGAGTAGCCTTCCGAGGGGTCGTCCCAAGGGGTTGCGGAGGCCGAGACCGCCGGGGACCCAGTCATCTGGGGGATGGTGGCACGGCCGGCGTGCCAGAGCTGCGCGTAGATGACTCCCCCGTTGGCGTGGACGGCATCGACGACTCGCTTCCAGCCGTCGGCCTGGGCCTCGGTGAAGAGACCGGGCACGCCTGGCATGCCATTGCTCTTTGGAATTGGGTTAGCACGTCATTCATTCATCATAGAGTTTTGGGTAGTCAATGAATCGGAAGGCGAATTGTCAAATGAACACAACCAAATTAGAAATTGACGTGGAAAAGTGGACTGAGGTGACAGCCGCGGAAGACAGGGAAATGGGGCACCAAAAAGAAAAAGCAAACACAAATAGGTTGACCCAAAAATGGGAACATTCATGTTCATTCTTTGGGTCAGGAACGGAAAAGGTTTCCCCGAAATCTGCAACCAAACATACCTCAAGCGACGGCGGAATTCCTTCCGAGATGATCAGCCCGCCAGGGGTAGTGCGTTGACGGTAGTATTCGACCATCAAATCGCCAGGGTACCAGAGGCGATTAGGATTCTCCGGGGTGCTGGTGGCGTTGACAGGCACGCCACGGTTCCTCGTCATGGGGGCATGGACGACGCGGTGGGAGAGGTTGATCTTGCCATTGGCGATAGTCAAGGGCTCAAAAAGCTTGGAGCTCTCGCCGTCCAACTTGCGAACCGTCATGGTGATAGATAGGGATATAATAATAAAATTCGGTAGAAATGATACTTTTCCGGGGTTGTTTTTACGTACCGAAAAAAGGCAAATACGGGGGAGAGAGGGACAAGCGAAGGTGGAAAAAACTTAACCGTGGCGACGACGATACTAATAAAAGTGACCGGGAATAACGTCGGGGTGTTATGATGATCAAATTATAATTATAGCAACGGTCACTGCGCCAGATGGTCTTATCGTGCTCGGTAGGGAGGAAGACGGATGTTTAGAACAAATCAGAGACTTGAATCCGATCTGTGCTACGTTGCTTCGGATTCTGTCGCGGATGTTGGATTTGCTGATTCAAGGAGTACTACACGGTGTACTCCGTATTGCCCCCCTTTTTTTGCCCTGTTCTTTTCTTTTAGGACGGTGGCATAGTGCATTTTGCCTCTTTGGGGTTACTATTTGATTTTTAATTTCAAGAGACGGAGTACGCTTGGTCAACGGTGTCATACCGAGTGGCTCGTGAGTTGTGACAGATGGAGCCATGTGAGAAATCCAATGGAAAACCGGAGAAAAGGCAAAAAAAAAAAAAAGAACAAAAGAAGGAAAAACCAAAGGCCTCGGCGAGTTGCCTTCGTGGATCCAGAAAGTCACAGCAGGGGTTGACTGGGACACTAGGTGACTTGGATATGCAACTTATGCAGCCAAAATGTTCATCAATGGTTCCGATGGAGTCGTATTCCGCCAGTCCGGAGGCAGCCTGGCGCCGTTGAAACCGCGGTGGTGGGAGGGTTCCATGGATCGTAGCCGGCGGAATCAACATGGCTGCAGTTAGTTTCAAGCCACGCGTATTGACATTCGTTAGAGTGGTTTCTAGCGCACGAGGGGCCCCACGGCCAACCTGCAAGCGAAAGGTAAATCCATTTAATCGATCCTTTTGGCTGGTTGGCAAGGGGGTCCACCCGAGGCCCGATACTCTCCTGGGTTACTAGACCGATGCCAAAAAGACTTCCTAGACAAGGATAGTCCAATAGCACCATGCGAGAACAGACTGACGGAAGAATCTGCGCCTTTCCCGTCGGTTTCTTTGACTGTGCCGCTCGGAAATTTTCTTTTCTATTGTTTTTTTTGTCTTCTTTCTTCGCTTTCTTTTCCTTTCTTTCTCCGTCTCCTTTCCCTTTTGTTATTTTTATTCTGACTGTCCTAGACTCCTAGACCCATTTCTTGATGATCCGCTACGTCTGCATTCCGGGTGGCCGGCATCATGGATTGCCTATAGTGGATGATAGTATAGAGAGGGGTTGCCACTGCTCGAATAGTCCCCCCAGTAGTTCATAATCCTGCATATCTAGTCGCTGTGCTCGGGTTTACATCGGCGTCTGAGCTTTAGCACGGAAAATCAAGAGGGGGGCAGACTAAGGATGGAGAATTGAAGGACCGGGTTACAATGGAAGGTCGAGGAATGGCCTTCAGATTGACCACAATGCGAAACTCGCGCTCCAGTTGCACCTTGTAAGGTCCGACAGCTCAAGGTAGCATGGAACAAGTTTCCATCAGTCATCAACCGTTAGCGTTCCGTATAGCCTTCCGGACAGAGTTTGGTGACAGTCCCTGTACCAAACAAAGGAAAATGTCACGGCGGCTCTAGTCCCTTCGAAACACAAATCAGCATGCGTCGTTCCCCTCCGTAGCCACCGAAGCCAAAGAGTGAAAGACCCATCGAGCCTGAGGTAACATCCCGTCCGGCCTGCATCTCTCCTGGCCGGCTGTTTCATACGAGAAAATCCCCCGGCGGAGCCCTCGTGCACCTATTACGATCGATCTTGCGCTTGCTCCCCAGTTTTCTTTGCTTTTGCCAGCCAACCCAGATCATAGGTGATGCACTCTGTTAAAGTTTTTCCATGCTGCAAGTGGGCCTTATCCCAATGCCTCGGTGATCAAATTTCATGCGATTCCACTTTGGCTTTCCAAACTAGAAAGAATGGTCATCGATCCCTCGTATCAATTGGGACCTGAGCAGGCTGGGTCTTCCTAACTGGGTCCGGTACGAGATGGCGATTCTAAGGGCGGGGGAACGACGGGGCACGGTGCCAAGTAGGGGTTGGGCTTTCACTTTCTCTGCCTTTTAATCTATTATTACACCCAGTTTGTTTAGGGGAATCTTGTTGAGCTTTTTTGTTTTTGCATTTTTCTCCGGCTGTTGTTTAACTAATCCGGAGGTCGCTCTTTGGCAGCTACTGCTTAGTTTTGGCTTGGTTGTAGCATCATGCTGGCTCGCCCTACATCATGACTGTCGAGAACCCTTATGATTACCTCAACACAGTGAACCTTGTCACACAATGTCTCTGCATTCCTATTGTGACCATCTTTGTGGCCATGCGGTTCAGCATCCGTACATACTACAAGCAGTTTGTTGGCGTTGAAGACAGTAAGAATCCATGTCCTTGTCTGAGGAACACGCTCCTTGCTAACGAAACCAGCGACATGTCTCTTCGCATGGGCAAGTACTCTCTTTCCAGCGATATGGATGACCCGGTTCTAACCGCCAACAGATCCTTTTCATGGGATATTGCGGTATTGGCATAGTAGGTCAGTAGCCACCTCACACCAACCATGTCAGCGCACATAGCAAACCTAACAAGCAAACAGTGGGCAAGTATGGCGGCGGGTATCACATTGACGACGTGTCTGCTCCGCATCAGATTCAATTCCGAAAGGTACCTTTAACCTGCCGAGTCCTCCGCGGCTCCATCCCTTCCGATAAGATCTAACGGCGGCATCAGTACTGCTACATCGCCACGGTCCTCTACTGCCCCATGGCCCTTCTCACCAAGATCGCCCTCCTCTCCATCCTCATCCGTATCTTCTCGCCTTACAAATCCAAGATCATCTTCATCTACGTCTTCCTGGGCTGTCTCGCAATCTACTACACCGTCGCCGAGATCGTGAAAATCCGCATGTGCGACCCTGTTCCCGGGTACTGGGACCAACGAATAAACGCCTCCTGTCTGGACCAGCGCGCGGCGCTCATCGCCGATTCCGTCATCAGTGTCGTCAGCGATCTCATTATCCTTGTTCTGCCACTGCCCTTGACGTGGTCGCTACAAATGTCTCGGAACAAGAAACTGCGAGTGGTGGGCATGCTATCGGCCGGAGGGCTGGCCACTGCATTCAGTATCTACCGACTAGTGCTGGTGCTGAAGGATGGAAACTCCGCGGACCAAACAGTGATGTTTACCTGCGTTATTCTGTCTGGGTATGTTAAACTCCCATTCAGCGTCTACACCCCCATCCATTCCAGACTAACCCAGGACACACAGAAACGCCGAAGGTGGCGTCGGACTGATCTGCGCCTGTCTCCCAACATTCAACATTGTGATTCGCAAGCTGCGCTCGAAGGCCTACAGCTCGAATCGCTACTACCAGCCCGAGTCGTCCGTACCACTCAGCAAGATGAAGGCCAGCGCGGGCAAAGGCTTCTCGATGGCTTCGAAACGCGACCACGACTTCGGTTCTGATCAAAGCCACCTGATCACCTACGCCGGCACGGTCGACATGGGCAGCAGCGCCGGCGTCGCGGCTGGATCGCCAGACACAAACGGCATCCACATCCACAAGACGGTTGACGTGTCGCAGACGGTGGAGGTGGTGGACGAGCATGACCAGGAGCAGGGGAGGGTCTCCTCGGGGTCAGGGTCTGATCACCACCGAAGATTCTGAAATTGAGTCCAGTTTTCAATCTCACTATGTTTAATGTTTTATTTGGTTTAGGTTACACATGGTTGGCTATTTGTTTTGATTTTGCCGTGGGAAGCTGGATGAGCTGGTTTGGATGTATATTTTGGTTCTGTTAACGGGAAGTGTAAGGGGGCTGGCGCAGTGGGATTTTTCATTATTCGATTCGGTCTTTCCTTTCTCCTCTCAAAGACTTGATTGATTTTGGACATGTCTTGTTGTTATATTATTATTGATAATTGATAATTTTCGGTTCATCTACAGGACCCTCTCTATTGGCCAGCAACCCAGCAGTGGAAATTAATATAAAACCCTGCTAAAAGGAGACCAACGGGGATGCCAGGTCGCACGAGTCATGCTTCTTCCTGGAGGACTGTGATTCCTGTGCCACGCGTGCCATAAATATCATAAGGGAGGGGAGTTACCTTCGAAATTCAGGTGGAGAGGCGGTCCTATCTGATTGCTGCCTGGTCAATAAGAGAGGTTATGAGCGATTGTTTGATTGACAGTCTGGTCTGACCCACCGCCATGTCATCGCCGAGTTTGCACCCGCCGAATGCCGAGGCTGGAGCGACGAGGCAGGCCAGTTAATAACTTAATTGCTTAATATATTTGGCACCGGACATAAGGTATTCTAACGGCTTGGGGTGCTCCAATTAATTTATTTACCTCCATGCTCCAACTGATCATCTCCGGCCTTGGTGGGTAGCAGCGAACACCGAGTGCAGCGGACTTGCAACTCGAGGAGGAAAAAAATCTGCGCAGGGAATGAAACATCGTGGGTCGAGGAAATTAGGCTTGCGAATGTGAGGCTGCAAAGGATTGGAATTGATTAGATAACTAGGGGTGACACCTCAGGCAGCAGAGAAGAGTGTGACATCATCACAGCCCTAAATTCCGTCTCCAATCTGGTTCTCTATTCTCTAGCACCATCCCATCGCATCCCGGACGACGCGTTAACTGCCATGTCTAAACGAATCCAATCCTTCTTTCAACCGGTTTCCAAGAAACCAAAGATTGAAAAGGTTGAGCGCGAAGAACTCACCTGCAGCAAGCATGCTACGTATCCGTTCCCCATCGCCGACCTGCCGTCGCACATCTCCAATCCCTTGAACGACCACCGGCCCCAACCAACGCAGTCTATCACCGACCAACCCGACCTCAATCTCCTCTACTTCCAACCGCTGCTGCCATCGTCCATAGCACGCGATCTCTTTCAATTCCTCCGCGCCGAACTACCCTTTTATCGCGTGCAATACACGATCCGTCGCGGCGGGATCGAGACGCAAATCAACACGCCGCGATTCACCACCGTTTTTGGCGTCGACGAGACCTCGCGATTCCGCCTCCCTTCGAATTCCCTTCAATCCACCTCGTCGCCAGCAACACAACTTACCCACGAACTCGAGGACACGCAAAAGCAAACCCCCATCCCGAAAACCAAATACGCGCGCCGCCCGCGCCCCATCCCACCGTGCCTAGACGCACTCCGCCGCGTCGTCGAATCCGTCTCCGACGGCGCCACCTACAACTTCTGCCTCGTGAACTACTACGCGAGCGGAAACGACAGCATCACCTACCACTCGGACGACGAGCGGTTTCTGGGCGCCGAGCCGACGATCGCGTCGCTATCTCTCGGCGCGAAACGGGACTTTCTGATGAAGCACAAACCCCCGTCGACGCCGGCGAAGAGTGCAGGGCGCGACTCCCGACCGTTGAAATTCCCGCTGGCGTCGGGCGATATGATCATCATGAGGGGACCGACGCAGGCGAATTGGCTGCACAGCATTCCCAAACGGAAGGCAGAGGTGGGAGGGGTCGGGCAGGGGCGGATTAATATCACGTTTCGGAAGGCGATTGTGCCTGGGGGGACGGATAATTATTATCGCTATAATGTCGGGGACGGGGGCGTTTATCGGTGGAACGAGGAGAAGGGGGAGATGGCGTTGATGGACGGGGAGAGGAAACACGAAGCAGAGAGTAAAGAAGGACAATGAGTCGTGGGCTGCATGGAAGATCAATCGCCCCCAAATGCTTAGCAATAGCTAAATGTTCGATCACAAGAACATCGACTATCAGCAGAAGGGGCTATAGTTTCCGTGGATTACGGTCGACCCCGAGCATGACGTCGCCAGGCAATGAGGCATCAACGCAGGCCGCAGCATCAAGCGGACGAAATCGATCCAAAATCGCCTGGTATTTGCCGACGACAAACTGCAAACGGCGGCAAAGGAACCAATTCGTCTGCTGAATGACGTGTGGTCGAAAGTTACTGCCCAAGGCAAGTGTCGGATCTATACGGGGCTTCGATGACCTTGCAACACTTAAGTAGCGGACTAGAGAGGTCTCGTACGATGTCGCGACATAGACACAGGTCGGTATCTGGACCAAAAGCGAGCAGTGCCGCAATGATTGATTTTTGAAAACGGTTAATGAGAGGAGAGTTTCTCGGTAAAAACAAAGGCCTAATGGCATCTCTGCGAAAGCGAATCAATCAATCAACCCGGGTCCTCTTTGGCTGCGCCTCCCGGTGCCAGCCAGTAGTACAAGGATCGATGCCGCTTTCCTTGCAACATTCATAGATAAACGCCTCGGGAAATTCTTTGCGGTTTTCGTCCGAGTCCATTGGGCCATGGCAATCCTCATCGTGGTCGAAAAAGAAATCGGGATTGGGGTAACCGCCATCTTCAACTTGGGTTAGCATCGACAAGGACAAGGGCTAAATGAAAGACCGGGGTATAATATCGATGGAAAGGAAAGACTTTCGGATACACATACCGGGATGATAAGTGCAACTGTTCTTTGTGTTCTCGGTGACATCAAATTCCTTCCCGCAGCTCGCGCAGGTCGCGTAGCGTGGTAGGGATCTCTTGGAGCCGGTGGTTTGCTGCTGGTCACCTGGCTTCTCAGATTTCGCGGGTTGCTTTTCTTCTTCATCGGCCGATCCATAATCGGACGCTGGTATGCCAGACGGCACATTCGGAACTTGATGCACGCTAACAAGGAGCAGATCGGCGAGCGTTTGACGGACGGACGGATCTGTTTTGCAGACGGCTACCAAGATTGATCTCAGCATATCAGAGGAAGTGGAATCGATAGCGTGGTTGAGGTCGTCCATTGGATCATGCTCAGGGGCGGAATTGCGCTCAGGTGTGGCTGGTTCCATAGTGGTGAGTGAGTTTTTGAAAGTCCCACGGTATCTGAATTGGGTAGGGTTCAAGAGTGGCATGGCTTCGTTATCTAATTAACGTTGAGGCAACCGTTATCCCAGGCAGATGTCATCCAGGGGAGGTCGATCAATCTCTGGTTCAGGGGTTGAATGGCCAGAAAGTCTCCGCACGTCAATCCCGCAACAAAACAAGGTTCTCAATTGCTACCAATGAGCTATTGCCCTCTCGTTCAAATCTTGGAGTCACAAAGAAAACGCAACCACTTCAACTCCACGGAATACCACTGCGCCAATTTCCATCCCAGGCACCTGCACTCGATAGGATTATCCTGACGTATGACATGAGCGATTGCCTTTGGGGCCGCTGCGAGAAACCATACGCGGAGAGAGCGTGTTCTTGCCACCAAAACGCATATAAGCATGGACGAAAGAGAGCATCCTCTTGGGGATGGGGCATCCCAGCGAGGCGGTCACCGGACAGATCGATAGGAAACGCGTCAAATATGACTGTCAATAATCTCGATGAACCCGGAGACCAACGACGATGTGCCCAATTAAACCAACCCCTCAGGTACTCGATGCGACCACGTTACCAAAAGCTATCTGTCAGGGTAAAGGTACCAACGGCTTAGCGGTCGATAACAACAATCTCCCCATCTGTCCCTGGACTGCCCCCGCCGCTAAGATAGTCCTGTACCATGGACGTGATGAGGGGGTCGAATAGGTCCTCTGGGTTTCCCAACTGCCATTCGTTTAAATCAAGGTCTAGATCTGCGTCGAATCCTGGAACAGCTTCGTCTTGCGTAACCTCCCGCTCATCTGATCTTGTTGAACCCGTTGAACCCCCGAGGACAGGAAAGACATCACCAGTAGGACTCGAAGAGCGGATCGATATGGCGTCCATGTGGAAATAATCCAGGTTCACCTGATCCTCGTCCCCACAGTCATTCGGCCGGGCGATAGGCCGAGATGCCTGGTCTCGGCGCTCATGGCCATGCTCTGCCCCTGTACCGGACGGCGTTACAGTCTTGGCGAGACGCCTCGTCCCAGTGTCCCTCACATCGATCGTCCAGGGTAAACGGATCCCCACTCCAATGGGCGGAATACACCTGACCAATTCCGGAAGGCAGCCATCTCCTGGCAGGCGCCCAACTGAAAGGCTATAATCCACGGAGGTGGAGATCAGGAGATATGCGCGCGGACACTGTAAGAAAGCATCGTACCAATCCTTCGCTCTGCGAGCCACATACGGCTGCGGTTGCACTTCTACAGCTTCGTCATCTCCGCTCCCGAATCTAGCCGAGGACTGCGTCGACGAAGGAGAAGTCGAGTCGCGGTCCCACCGGAGGAAGAGATGCTGCGCTGTGATGTACGCTAGCTGAAGGATATGATTGGTGCCCGTGCTGACAAAATCGGTCACATCATAGGAGTGTCCTGAGTGGCGAACGATTTCTCCGAGCACATCGAGACGGCGGCGTCTAGAGTTCAGTTCTGTCGATGAGGAGGAGAGCTTGAGGTCGATCGCGGTGAGGACGAGGGGCATCGCTACGTATGCGAGTCTAAACACGAATATTAGATGAGGCAGAATGGGCAGTGTGGCTCGGATGACTGACACGCTCAGTGGGAGACTCTGCGCTCGACCTTCGCGACTGAAATACTCCATTATGGTTGTGAGATCGCTCATGGCCTCTTGGAGTGTGGTGCCTATCTCCACAAGCTGGGAGATATAGTCCTGCCCAGCAAAGGCAATGTGGTTTTCGACGAGAAGTGCCTCGTAATGAGCGAGGTCTACTCGTGCAGTTCTGTCCCGTATTAACTCGCTGTCCACTGGATAGGAGGGGCACATACTGAAAATACATAAGAGTGAACTTAACAAAAAGGGTAACCGGGTCTGGCAGGTCCCCCTTCATCCAGCTGGACATCCTCGAACATATCTCCCACTGTTGCAAGGACTCTTTCATTCGACGAATCTTCTCCAAAGACTCTTTGAATTCATCGAGCGAGAGAAGAGGCGCGGATAGCCCATGCGAGGCGAACACAACGGATACCATTTCTGTCAATAGTGCCGCCAAGCGGCATTGTTCTTGGAGCGCTTTGAACAATAACCGCTTTGTACTTGGACTGTATACTTGAGATTTTCGGATCTCTTCCGCGAAGTCTTCCTCCTCAAGAGGCTCGACTCCCATTCCACAGTCGACAGAGGTGATTTGCGGGCGACGTCGGAGGCCAAGACACAGGCTTCGGTCGCGGAGGATGATAGACCACCAGAGCCGCTTCTTGACAGAAGCCTCTACATCCTCGGAGGGCCCAGGTTTGCACCTGACAATCATCGCAGCTTGGATCGCGCGGGTCAACCACAGGCTCCCTGCTTGGGGCTCATCTGCCGAGGTATGAAGTGACAGAAGGGTTGCGCCTTGGGCCTGTATCAAAGGCCTGTCGTCTGCCTTGAGATCGAAAAATATCTACGAGACTTAGCTTCCAATCAGCTAAAAGACATACTCGACTTACTTTGGCCCTTTTGTAAAACTCGTTCCTTGCGCTCCTCTTGTCCTCGAAGCCACATTTTTGAATCGTGTCCCTCGAAACATACGGACAACTAGCGAAAAGAATCGCCTGGAACACAAAAAGTGATATTGTTCTGGAGTCATCATCCTCGTCCAGCAGCCCATACAGATCCCAGACTTCAGCTTCGTCGAGAACAGGCACGTATGGATGAATGTGCAGAAAGTATCCTCGAAGGAAATCATCAATCAGCGTCTTGTCAGGAACACTCAGACACCCTTTGGCAGCTAGATACGCCAAATCGTCTTTGTCCAGGGAGTCCTGGCCACGAAACTGGAGAAATGGATAGGATGAGAAGATAACGTGTCCGGCGGGGATCGTTCGACACGCAGGGTCCATGCCGAGAGAAGGGGAATCATCGAAAGACGTGACCGCAAACCCCCTGAAGCTGGATGAAATGAGCGCGGCTCGATATCAGTTACAGTGGATCACATACTTCCGCGGTAGCTTGCCCCGAAGCACACATTCGGGACGCCCGTCCTGTCGACATCGCGTGCAAGGACATCCGCGAATGGAGGCATCACATCGGACTTTGCGATGGTGACACCATGAGCACGCCTTCGGTGCTCTTCTTGTGCGTCTCAACATCGACGCTTGAGTTCACCTTTTGCAGAAAGAAAGCCTATAGATCGAGAATCGCAACTGAAGTGACGGCAGACAGAACGAATGAATGTGATGCGGGGAAGAACAGCTAGAGATGAACTCAAACTTCTAAGCACACAGCTCGTGACGAGGCCAGCTAACCATAATGCCAAGTTCGACAGCATTAATCCGCATAATGGGTCTGATCGTCACAAGCTGGGGAAACGATCTACGAGACCAAGAGGGGGGAGCCCATTCGGGCTAGGGCTTGGCTTCTGAATCAGAATTTCTGACTCGAACTGCACGACTGCCAAGTCCATTCACTGTTCACGATACTGTGGCGAGGGTAACATGTCGGAACTCGCATAGCGACTGGGCCTGAGCATAAAGCCAATCCATATTACGACGTTGAGAGGTCTGATCGCCATACCCCGCTATCGCAGGAAGCTTGGCTCCCGCGGTCCCTCGGTAGTGGAGCATGAAAAGCTGGGGATGAGGCCACAGAACGAATCACATTCTAAACAATATCATCACGTAGATACCACACTCAAGAAAATCCAGCCTATCCGGCACCCTGTCTGTGCCACCTCGTCACATCTTATTCTGCAGTCTCCGCCGCATGTCCTTCATGTAGTACCGCTTCGGATAGGTGCGCACGAACTTGGGCAAGCAGGGATACGTCGCTTTCGTAAAGCCCACTGTCATTCGGTACGCGCCTTTTCGCATTTTGGTAGTCTTCAGTCCATACGCCTCTCGAATGCGCGGGGGAAGCAGCTCCGCCGTAATAAGCCGGATCCAAGGCATGAGGACGCGAAAATGCATCGGCAACTTATTGTTGAAGAGTAGATCTTTCGCCACGCTTTTCGCATTGTCCGTAACCTCCATTGTTTCTACCTGCTCATCCCAGTACTCCCAAAACGCCTTCCGACTTTCAGGCCATTCCTCCGGCTTGACGCGTAGCGAAACGGCCAGAACGGCGTACTCGCGATATAACCGCTCTGCCGTAACCTCGTCCATCGGACCAAATATCTGCTCGTACATGTCGGTTCCGACGGCATACAGTGTCGCAGCAACCCAGACCTGAAGCTGGGTGTCGTTGGCATCGTAGTCCGCTCCCTTGACAGGAGCATGAGCGCGATGCACCATGTCGATGACGGTGCGTTTTTCGTCCGGGGTGCCGAATGCCATGCAATAGACGAAAGTCATTGTGGTACGGAGACGGTCCAGGGGCCGGTAGGAGAAGTTACTGTGATTGTCCACCCCCTTACCGACCCCGGGCATGGCGACTTGGAGGAGGATGGCGGCAGCGCCACCACCGAGGAGGAGACCTTCCTGTACGACCTTTTGGATGTACTGGGGGTTCTCGAGGTAAACAGGAGAAGGTTTCTCTGATTCTGATGACGACATGGTAAAACAGTGGGCGTAGATTAACTGGTAGACGGGAAATTTGTCCTTGCCGCATGGTCGTACAACCTCCATCATGCTATATAAGTATACATGGTTTTGTGTAGCACGCCACAATCATATTCACCGGCCTGGCGGGATCAGATGTGAAGCTATCTTTCCAAGCCGCGGACCGCAGGAACGGCGCAAGGCAAGCCAAAGCATACATTGTGAAAGAGTACCATGCCGATTGGGTCGTGTTGGCAATCGAGGGGTGGTAGCGGGGTTGAAGAAGATCGATCCCCTTGCGTTGATCCCAATGCAGTAAACATTGCGCACCCCTAGTCCCTGCACAGGGGAAGAAGTCATGCGGAAGCATACTGCACTGCGTAGATAAAAGTCCGGAGATGTCACAATGAGCCTCGTTTATGGTATCTTCGTTCTATACAGACTTCTCACAATGCCTGTTGGCGATGCATACCGATCATCTCATAAACATGTTCTCGGCGCCAATAGGGGCGATATGGACCCAAGCGCTAAGAGCAAAGACGTCGAGAAAACCAAGAAGTTCGTGGATGGCAGTTCTGAGCATGTCGAGGCCGTTCATGATACAGAAAAACTTGGCAAGCGACAACAGGCAAAGCGGCATTTTCGACGATTCTGGTGCTGCTATCTCCTGGCGGCGATTATATTCCTAGCAATTTTCCTGCCTATTCTGTAAGCACAAATGGATTTCTTCTCCGAGGAGAGAGAAACTACTAATATGCGAAAAAGTTTTCTCGTCATTATCCCAGCCATCGCACAAAGAATAGTAAACGACACTGATCTACCTGTCTACAGTGCAGAGATTCTCGACCCAAAGCCCGACCGATTTACATTCTCCCTGAACACTGCCCTAGATATCCCCGCTGGGCTATCTGTTCGAACGGACCCTCTCACACTGCGATTGTTCAACCGTGCGGTGAAGCCTATCCTCCCTTACCTCAGTGTAGACCTACTGGGTTATAACTTGAAAGGGCACACAAAGATGGAGGTCACCCAACATGACACGATCGTCGAGAACGAAGACGAATGGGTTGAGGCTTTGACACAGGCCGTATACTCCAAGCGTTTCAAACTGTCAGCGAAGGGATCTACTACGGCCCATCTCGGCGCACTGAAGGCGGACTTGACTCTGGATAAGGATGTAGAGTTGGACGGTGAGTGTTCCCCGGTTAGCCCATAACTAGCCCACTAATGGTCTGCAGGACTGGACCAGCTCAGTGGATTCAGTATTGACTCTGCCCGACTACTTCTTCCGGCCGAAGCGGACGGTACGAATCTTCGGGGTGAAGCTGTTCTCCCGAACCACTCAGTCGTCACATTTGCTCTGGTACGATTTTCCACCATCTGAAACGAATAACAAAACTTATATACCCCAGGGAAACGTAACTCTCAATCTCAAAAGCCAGGACCTACTACTAGGAGAAGCGCTGATTCAAAACGTCATCCTCAAACCCGGCAACAATACAGTTGCGTTAAGTGGCCGACTCGATATTCGTACTATCTTGCAAAACCTTTCGAAAATAGTGGCAGCACAGCGAGAGGCCATATTGAAAGGCGAAATAGAACTCTCGGCCCAGGGAAATAAGACAGTATATGATGGACAGCGGATCCCGTACTTTGAGCGCGTGCTGAACAATCTGACATTAACGGCGCGAGTGCCGATCGTGGGCGTATTGATGGATACGTTGCAGGGCTTGGGTGGCGGAAATGGGTCTGTATGGCGAAATATCGAGAGTCTTGGGGATAGCGATAGCTTGTCAGGTCTTTTGAATGGGCTGTGATTTGATTACATGTATGGCCACAGGCTAAGATTGGTGTCAAGTGACAACTGCAAAGATCTATCAGATGTCAGCCAAAAGCCACACAAGCGGCAGCTCGGAGGCCGAGATCCGCTCAGTCTCAATCCGTCGTAGTGAACAATGACAGGTATATAAATGCCTCGGCCAAGTCAGGTAATAGGCAAGGCTCAATCATAACAATGTTGCAGTCAGAATCACCCAAGCGTACGATAACCGTTCAGACTCGCGAAGATGTCGCACGCCATAGCCGGTCCACTGACCTATGGGTGGTCATTGACAAAGAGGTGTACGACTTGACAAACTTCCAAGCAGAGCATCCTGGTGGTGATAGAAGTATGATTTCCAACGCGTTTTGTAGGGAGTTTACCGTTAATCTTTACCCAGTCCTGCGCAAGTTCGGTGGCCAAGATGCCTCGAGAATATTCCACGAAAATCATCGCCAGTCGCTCTTGGCTCGGTATAAAGAGCGTTTACAGATCGGCGTGGTTGAGACCGAGATCCCAGACAAGAAGGGTTTCTTGCGCAGGTGGTTTGGTTAGGAGAATCTGTTTTATGTCGGCTAAGCGTGTTTTCTGTCTTGATAGATGTTCTGATTCTCTTCCTTGGTATCTCGTAATGATGATGGTGTGAGTATTCAGTGTGGCATCTTGGTGCCTTAAAAATCTGGCTTCACTGCCCCTTACTGGTCATAAGCGGACCAAATGACAAGTTGGCGCCGCAATAAAGAACTGCACCACCGTAGAATTATCTAGCAGGACATGCCAGCAATGGTATGATCTTCAAATCGTACCCGATGAGAAACAACGGCAATGGCCATCAATCGTTACACGACAGATCAATAGAGCATTGCGAGACTGAGATCGAGGGAACTGCACTTGCCCCCCATGTTCCATTTGACACCCACAACAACCAGGTTTAAATGAACGTCAGATCACCCAATGGGCCTTCGCTCAGTGCAATACGGAGTTGCGTGCGGATAAGGGCTGACTCGAGGCAAGCCGTACGCTTCCATGATCAACTGTCGTACAGATGACAGTGGAGGCAAGGTTCTTGCATCAATGCAGCATTTGCGAGCTGACGAATGCCCTAGACGTGTTCAGAACTTCTCTCGCTTACTCTATCGAGAAGCGTTGCACATCCTCCACAAACCCAATGAGCACCATTCCTGCATTCGGCAAATTGCCAGTGGCGCCGCTAGGTAGTGAAACAGGTAAGAGGGCAATTCCCCAATAGTGGTCGCTGAGATTCAAGGTCCAGAGAAATATCCTCTAGCAGCTCGAGAAATTAAAAGGAGCTCAAACAGGTGCGTCGCGCAAGTCCAAGGCTGCTCTAATTATAAAAGGACCCCACGCTACCAAAGTCAGGGGGGCGCATAAACCCCAAGTTGCGCATAAGGCGAGCACAAGTCGGCATAAAAATCTTCGCCGACCGAGGGAAGTGGATCCGGGCACACGGTCTGATTGGACGGTCTGCCTACCCGAGCCGGTCATTCCTGGGTCGCTTGCCCTAAGTTTGGTCGATCGGCGTGTATATATTCTCCGCGTTCGTCAGTCCGGTTAAATTCGATTTCGCAGGAACTGATTTGGTGCTGATTGAACGTCCGGTTCATTGCCATGGCAGAAGTCAAGGATTTGGAAAAGGGCAGCGAGGTCGTCTCTGCGTCCGACGAGGAGCAGACCCTTCCGTCGCAGAACAAGGCGCAGTACGGTTCGGTGAGGGGAAATGCTGCCGATGCAGATCAGGTCGACTGGGATGGGCCCGAGGATGAGGAGAACCCCTTCAACTGGCCGCGATGGAAGAAGATGCGTCAGTTAGTGCTGATGGCCTTTAACACTTTCATCACGTAAGTTCATCCCTTGAATATGTCAAAATTTCGGAAATTGTGCTCATTGGCGCAGTCCTCTCGCCTCATCCATGTTCGCCCCTGGCGTAGCGGACGTGATGCGCGAATTCAAGTCTACCGATACCATGCTAGCATCGTTTGTCGTCTCAATTTACATCCTGGGATACATGGTCGGGCCGTTTCTGATCGCGCCTCTGTCGGAGCTGTACGGCAGAGTGCCGTTGTACCATGCATGCAATGTGTTATTCCTGATCTTCACTATCGCCTGTGCCGTCGCCCAATCCTTGCCGCAGTTGATGGTCTTCCGTCTGTTGGCTGGCATCGCAGGAGTGTGCCCTCTAACTATCGGATCGGGAACGGTGGCAGACATGGTTCCCAAAGAGAAACGAGCCGGAATCATGGCGATCTGGGCGTTGGGTCCCATTATGGGGCCGGTAATCGGGCCTGTTGCGGGAGGGTTTCTGGCCGAAGCGGAGGGATGGCGGTGGGTGTTTTGGGTCATTGCTATCGCTGTTAGTATCTCTTCTTATGATCAGGAGACGCTGAATGATATGTACTGACCGAACAGACCGGAGTCATGACTATCGCATGTATGATTTGCTATCGCGAGTCATATGCGCCCGTCGTGCTGGAACGCAAGGCGGCTCGTCTGCGCAAAGAAACGGGGAACGAAAAACTCCACAGCATCCATTACAAGGGTCGACTTACTCCTGATCTATTCTTGTCCGCTATGGCCCGGCCAATGAAGCTTCTATTCCGCTCCCCGATCGTCTTCATGCTCGCCATGTTCGCCTCTGTCACGTACGGCTACCTGTACCTGATGTTCACGACCATTACCCCCATTTTCGAGAACACGTATGGATTTTCACCGGGCGTTGCTGGACTCTCATACTTGGGATTTGGCATCGGGAGCGTCCTCGGTCTGATCATCTGCGGCATCGTTTCGAATCGCATCGCTGTCGCACACACCGCGCGAGGTTGTTTCACGCCCGAGTCTCGTCTCCCACCCATGCTCGTCGGCTGCTGGGCCATTCCCATCGGATTGTTCTGGTACGGTTGGTCCGCCAAAGCACAAACACACTGGATCGTACCGATCCTCGGCACGGGGGTCTTCGCACTCGGCTTAATGTCCGTGTTTATGTCGGCCAACACATACCTGGTCGACTCGTACTTGCGGTACGCGGCATCCGTGACGGCTGCCAACACTGCCCTGCGGTCGCTCGTCGGCGCTGTCTTGCCTCTTGCAGGACCGTCGATGTATGATGCGTTGGGACTGGGATGGGGCAACTCATTGTTGGCTTTTATTGCGTTGGCCATGTGCGTCTGTCCGCTCCTCTTCTGGCGGTATGGGGCCGCGATTCGGACACATCCACGCTTTCAAGTTCGGCTGTAATCGGCGATAGATCATTCTGCATGTCGGCAGTTCCATTTAGCGTGTAAAAAAGTGATTTCTTCAGTGTCGCCTCGGGGCGGCTTGCATTATATTGCATGGCATTGCATGCGTTTATTTAGGGACCATCGCTTAGTTGATAGAATACGAATTAATGCATTAATACCTAGGGTTAGGTTTTTGACAGGTCATCCAGTACCCGCCAGCCTTCTCAGTCTCAACGATCATTGACTATTCGGTGGGCCCCTAGCTTCACAAGCCCCACGCCAAAGGGGTGATCAGCCCTAGATTCCTGCCAAGATGCGGCCAGCAGCCACCGCGACCGAGTTCCGAGCAGCCGTGGATCATCGGACGAGCGGGGTTTGAATGTCGCTGGTGGAATGTCGTTTCTCTTATATTTATTTATTCATTGATTCATTCATTCATCCATCCATCCATGTCTCTGTTATCTCGGCGGCTCGTTCAAGATATCTTCATTCAATCCCTGACTCCTCCCGGTCATATCCACGATGATATTCGAACCACTAATTCGACACCCAATCCCGTTGACCGACCTCCTCTCCTACATCTTCTCCGACCCCAATTATAATCATGACCAGCCGGTGTGGTATCCCGTCCGTGATTTTGTGGTTGCGGCCGCACTGACTGACCGTCCACGCAGATGTACGTGGACGTGCACGATACGTCGCGCTCAATCTCGTATAACCAGGCTCATGTTATCATCCGTCAATTGATCGCGGGCCTGCGCGCATGGGGTGTCAAGAAGGGTGATTGCGTTGCAATCAATTCGTTCAATGATGTATATCCTCCTTCGATATATCTGACATCCCTGTGAAGCGACAGTATGCTAACCTCATGACAGATTTACTATTGCATGTTTGTCCTGGCCATCATCGGCGCAGGGGGTATCTTCACCGGCACGAACCCCTCTTACACGCCTCTCGAGTTATCGCATCATTTCAAAACGGCAGAGGTGCGATTTGTGATCTCGGAGCCGGAGCTTGTCGGCGCCGTTCAAACCGCCATCAAAGGGTCGCGGATTCCCGACCAGAACGTACGCGTGTTCAATCCCCGCGATCAGCCCATCCCGGAGGGGTTCCGGTCATGGACGGAATTCTTCGAGGCCGGTGAGGCGGACTGGGTATCATTTGACGATGAAAAGGTCTGCACCGAGACGACAGCCGCCCGATTGTTCAGTAGTGGGACGACCGGCCTACCGAAGGCCGTGACTATCACGCATCGGAATCTGATCGCGCAACACGAGGCTGTATTTGTAGTGAATCAGAAACCGCATCAGGTAGCCCATCTCTCTCCCGCTCGCTCGCTCATTCTCTGCCCTTCTGGTGACCGCCATGACCCTTCAGAGCTAATAAAATCAAGATCTCCCGCGTCGTCGCAGTTCCTATCTTCCACGCCGCAGCCGTGCCCTCGGTTCACTTCAGCACTCTCAAGGCCGGCCAACCGACATATATCATGCGTCGGTTCGAACTAGGAGAATTCCTTCGCGCAGTCGAGAAGCACAAAATCACCGATCTGGCCATCGTGCCGCCTATTGCCCTCTCAATCATCATGAACCCCATGTCCCGCGAGCGTCCGTATCTCAAATCGCTGAAATCAGCCGCCTGTGGTGCCGCGCCGCTGGATAAGGTGGCTCAGGCCAAGTTCCAGGCCCTGATGTCGGAGGGCGCGCCGTTCACGCAGGTTTGGGGCATGACCGAGACTTGCTGTGTGGCGACGGTGTTCAAGTATCCGGAGAACGACGACGGGGGTAGTGTCGGACGATTGGTGGCGAATCTAGAAGCGAAGTTCGTTCTCCCCTTCTTCCATTTTGCTTGGTTGTATCCCGTTCAATGACCTGCCTATGAAGCTAATAATAAATTGTCCAGGCTGGTGAACGACAAAAACGAAAATATCTCCGCATTTAACGTCCGGGGCGAACTTTGTGTCCGCGGCCCAACAGTCACACCGGGCTATTTCAACAACGACGCCGCAAACGCCGAATCCTTCGACTCCGACGGGTGGTTCCACACGGGCGATATCGCGTATTGTGACCAGCGCACGCTCAAGTGGTACATCGTCGACCGCAAAAAAGAGCTGATCAAAGTGCGCGGGTTCCAGGTTGCGCCGCCCGAGCTAGAAGCCGTGCTGTTGACCCATCCGCTCATCGTCGACGCGGCCGTGATCGGGCTGCGGGGGGTGGCGCCGGACACGGAGCTGCCGAGGGCATATGTAGTGAAGCGACCGGGGGCTGAGGGCGAGAAGTTGACAAAGGTGCAGGTGAGGGATTATTTGGAGGAGAGATTGGCGAGGTATAAAGCGTTGACTGGCGGGGTGAAATTTGTTGATGCAATTCCGAAGAATGCGAGCGGGAAGATTTTGAAAAAGGTCTTGCGGGAAGACAGTCAAAAGGAGATTGATCGGGGAGTGAAGCTGTAGAAATTCTCATTTGTGTCTCGGTGGGCCTTTTCCTTCGCTAGCGTTGGTGGCTTTAGTTCTCTCTTTTACGTTCGAACGTGGTACCTATCCTGTTATAACACTCCACCATATTTGCTCCAACCTTCCGTGAGCGAGCCATGATTAAGATCATAATCATAATATCAATGTCATTATCTCTTGGTTGGGCATAGATCAAATGACTACCTCGACCCTTTCTTCACTTTCCTCGAAGTTCTTTCAACGTTAACTTAGCCCATTTCACTATTCATCCTCTCGTCTCCTCTTATCATCTGATAGCTCAATATGCTCCACCCCGCCTGACTTACTCTCTAGGTCTTCCTTTCCTCCCAGTTTTGTATTCTCAATTTCATCAGCGTCGCGGGAAACATACGTCCTTCCCAATTTGACGTCTCGCCGCCAAAGGTACTGTCCGAACATGAAGATACTCCACCACATGACGACGAAGATGGTGTTGACGATGAAGCCTTTTCGCCACTTGGGAGCTTTAAATTTACAATATATGTGTCAGTGACGCTCCATTCCAGAAATTGAGGGAATATAGAGGGGAGAATAGCCTTACCTTCAACGACAGGGAAGACAGTGATCGGGTAGAAGCTGAAGAAAATCCAGCCACACGTCATCTAGAATTATGAGTTAGTAAATGATTATCATGATGTAAAGAGCCATCGGCCTCACCATTGCACCAGAGGTAAACGCTCGGGCCTCGGAATCATCTTTCATGACCATATTTACCCACGGAAATAATATCGGTGTCACGCAGGATGTGAATCCGAGGAGGTAGTATGCCGTGACTGTGTCCGAGTCAGTATCGTTGAGCTATTACACGTTAACGAGAAGAAACTTACAGTGTAGTCCAATTGGAATATCCCACACCAGCAGGCAGAGATTGGCAAACAACAAGACGGCTGCCACCACAGACATCACCGCCCAGAACGGATAAACCATGACGAGCGAGGTTGCGAGAATACCCACAACGATCGAAACACATTGCACGCCGGTCGGAATCATGTTGATCTCCGAGACAGTCCAAGTGCCGTACTTGTCTGCGCTGTCTTTCAACCACAGGATCATTTGGCCGGCGACATAAGAAGTGCATTGGAAACTGCAGGGAAGTTAGATACCTTGCGATTTTGATCAACGGGTGGATGGCGCACAAGATATATGTGAAAACCGCAACATAGAAATGCCAGTGCGTAAAAACACGCTTCAGCATCCTTTTCCCAATCTTCCGACTGTCCTTGACCCCCTCGTCGCGCATCCGTGCAACACATAACTTGTGATCAGCGTCGGTCAGCCACCAGACCTTGGGACTGGATGGTAGGCCCGGGAAGAAGAAGAAACTGCCCAAGGCGATAGGAAGACTGATACATCCGTCGATGATGAAAAGCCATCGCCAGCCCGCCATGCCGTGCACGCCGTCGAGCCTCTCGTGCGCCGCAGCCTGGAGATATCCTCCCATAAAAGATCCCAGGTTACTCGAGACGTACCAGACGCCGGCGCGCTTGAACATCTCGTCGCCGCGGTACCAGGAAGACAGAATGTACATGGTTCCGGAGGATACTGGCGTTTCAAGCACACCGAGGAGGAATCGGAGACCGTAGATATCGTGCTCATTGCGGAGACGGCACTGAATAAAGGTGAGGACCGACCAAGAGACTTCTGTTGCGGGGAGGAAGTATCTAGCGAGTTTCGGACGGGAGATAATCATCATAGACGGGATTTCGAAAAGCAGGTAACCGATGTTGTAGAAGGTGCCGAATAGGGAGTATCTAGCTGTGTGTTAGTCAAACGACAACAAGAGATACTCCTGATGACTTACTGATTGCCATTGAGCGCCAAATCCTCCTTCATACCCGACGAATATGCATTGTTAATGTTGACTTGGTCCAACCATTTGATGAAATCTAGGCAGTCAGCGCCCATACACTCATACCTTATTTCCAAACTTACAGGCCAGACAGCACAGCGGCAACAGAACATAATCCAGCTTTCGAAGAAGCCTCCTCTCCTCTTTCGAATAATGACTCGGATACCAATCGAAGAGGTACAGCCAGGCGACCCACAACGATCGGGGTTTCGGTTTATTTGTGGACGAGCTAGCAGCGGGGGTTTTGTTTTCGTCTTCCAACTCCTTCGGGGAATTCAAAGAGTCTTCACGCGCGACCTGATCCTCATTAACCCTGTCTTTCACCGCACTGCCCGTCATTCTGGCGGTCACTTGTCACCGAGCGAGAGCAACCCGTGAGATTGAATGTCGGTGACTGGCAGAGTTGTGGATCAGGAAGGATCTGCCTGGGGCATTCTCGCTATATCTACTACTTGATACACTCTGATCATTTCTATAAAGGCTATTCGCCAAGACCGTGTTGATGACGCTAAACTGGCTTCCCCATGCCCGAAGCCTCAAAGCTCGAGAATGCGGGGAGCTCGGAGCAGTGGACCCGCTCGGAGGATTGGGTGTGGAAGTCCGGGCGATCTTCCCTCCGAGCGTCGAAGGGGGTTCACAACGTGTTTGACTAGGTCCGGTCGTTCGAGCGTGAGAATTATCACATATTAGCAGCTCAATCAATAGATTGTCAGATACTGAAGACTCATCAATAACATTAGCATGCGGCGTTGGGGCGGGGCGTTGTCTTGGAATTGTGAAGTTTTATGGAAGAAAAATATATTCTTTAAAGAGCCTAGGAAAGGCTCATGAGAGGCCTCCTGTAAATGGCCTGATCGCTCATCGCCACTCAGGCTAGTCATACTAAATACGGGCAAAACCATCTGCGATGATCATATTAGTTATGACCAAAGATCAGTTGATAGATGGCTATAGTCGAGCATGAAGAGGTTACAGGCTGTGCTCTGTATAAGGAGGACTGGTAAACAAAGGTACTCGACCTCATGCATCCCAAACTTCCATGATATTTCCATGGACAGGGTAAGAAGCTAATGGTATAATCGACATACATTTATGTGTCATGAGAATAGTAAAGTTTACAACTCTCAAGTACTAACAAGTTCTTACCGTTCGTATTGAAGCCAGAGAGATAAAATTGTGACTCGTGAGCCCCTAGACAATTCTATTACTACTTTCAAGCAGAGATTGCACTTGATGAGCTATCGCTAGTATCAATTTTTGGTAGACTGATATAGCCGTTAAAAGGTTTAAACTCTATCGATGTTTATTTTCATCTACTCCACGCAACCGTTCGACCCCGTGGGGCGAGGGAAACTGCGGGGAGGCTCGGGTTTTCGGAGGATCTCATGCCAGTCGCAGGAAGAAAAGTCGCGGGACAAGCCAGCAACTCCCTCCGACTTGCTTCTTCTTCACCCCGAAATTTGGCATCTCCCACATGAATAATCGGCCCCGGCTATGGAGCAATACAACGACCAAGAATCGTCCGGTCTAGCCGACAACCCGGACAATTCTTCTCAAGCTCCGGAAGTGGGCCATGCATGTAACCCTTGCCGAAGACGCAAACTTCGGTGCTCTAGAGAGCTACCCACCTGTCAGCATTGTCGCAAGTCGGCCTATGAATGTTTGTATGAGGCGAAACGTGCCAAACCTGGCATGAAGGCCGGGGCATTGGATAATCTACACCGAAGACTTGGTGAGTAGTAATGCCCGAATCCAGTCTAGGGCACCATGTTTTCCTGGGAGTTGCGGCTGTGATGAGTTGTTTTTACCCGGCTTCTATTGAGATTCGAGTGGCATGTGCTGCTTGTCAAGCTCTGCGCTGACTGAAATCTGCTCCTAGATGGCCTAGAACGTTCGATCGAAAGACATCAAGCCAAACTGGAAAGCCTGGAAGCCGAGGAGCCGTACCAAGATAGCGATTCAAATGTCAATGCCATCCTGTCATCTCTTGCAACAAGTCTCCAATCTCTGAGTAAGCGGTCGACTCGACGGATTGTTACCCGAGATGACACTGGAGGCCCGGCGAAACGACGTAGGATTAATGACGATACCGATCCTAATCAAGCTTTCACGGCCATCAGTGTTCCACCTTTGCCCGAGGAAACCATCATCAACGCCACTATCGAATCGTACTTTCATCATGTTCATCCTTGGATACCGATTATCCACGAAGCTCGCTTCCGGAGGAGGCTCGATGATGATGATGAGAGGGATAAGCTCCGACTCGTCATACACGCCGTTTTTCTTGCCGCATCCCGCTACTCTGAAACACAGCCCGACGCAGTATCGCAGGAGGATGTCAGAGATTGGATAGTCGCTCAAGCTATGAAGCAGTCATCAGTTGAGGCCTTACAGGCCTTGGTCATTATTGCATACAATGACGTAGGCGCTTCCATAGACTTTTAACGGGCAAGAATAGACGCTTACAGATGCAGATCGGGAATGGAAGGACTGCGCATGCGTGGCCACTTGTCGGTTGCCTATCGCGCATGGTCGAGTACCTCCAGCTGACGGTTGAGCACGATGAACCCACGCAGTCGTCGTTCACCCAGCCATATAATTCGTTGTCCCGGCCAAAGAACTGGACGGAGGCGGAAGAACGACGACGACTGTTTTGGAGCATTTTTGCCCTTGATCGCTTCTGTTCAGTCAGTATGGGGTGGAACACCAGTCTTACGTCCGACGATGTACACCGTCGTCTACCGTGTGATGGCATTACATGGCGTAAAGAGGATCCCGTTGTGACGCCCTATATAGGGATCTGGGATAGATCGGCCGGTCGCATTGGGAATCCGATCGCATTTCTACCTTCACACCCAATGCCCGGTAGGGCAGCCGCAGAAACAGAAGGGGAGGCCGCGTCTGAGACGGCTACATCGCCGGGGGGAGCGACTGCGGCAGTTGACATGACCACGGTCGGAGCATATGCTTATTGTATCGAAGCAACCGAGTCTCTGAGTCGGGTAACGAGCTACTTCCTTCGACAAAAGGTCAATATGCATGATCAGAAGGCATTTGGTGCCTGGCTTACTCGATTCAAAGAGCTTGACCTTCGGCTCGTACACTGGAAGATGCTTCTCCCCCAAAAGTGGGCAATGAACGTAACGCAGCAGACTTCCTCAAGAATGGATCCGAACCTGACGTTGGCCCATTTGACTCACAATGCATCCATGATTCTACTTCATCAGCCGATCGCATTTCCCCTACCGTCGTGGCCCTTCAAGAATCGACTCCCTAGTCTCTGCAGCGTGGATACATGTCAAACGGCGGCAATCGAAGTTGCCTCCATAACGAACCAATATCTGAAGAGTTCAGCAGAAAACTGTCCGCTGAGTAGCCAGTTTGCATTTTGTGTTTTCATCGCGGCTAGAGCGTTGCTATTGTCCTGGCAGCATAGCCCAGCAGGCACCACCGTTGCGTCCGAGTTCTGGACGCTAATTAGCAGCCTTGATATCATGTCCTATCGTTGGACAGGAACATATGGAACCACTGAATTGCAGCATCATAGCCTCTTTGCCAAGTATTCTGGAACACTAAGTGAGCTGCACAGGCGATTCACTCAGGATGATTCCTTCTACATCAATCCGTCTGGATATACCACCGAAATAGTACATTCGACGACAGATGTCCGATCGCCAAGCAACACTCCATTTGGAACTGGTAACACTAGAAGGGTTTCTGTGCAGCATTTCTCCGATACAAGCACCATCGGCCTTCCAACCGATGGACATGTGCCGTCAGGTCCGGTACCAGCAAGAGGTGGAGAGGGGAATATCTCAACGCACGTTCCAGATATGCCACCCCAGGTAGCGGCAAGCATCGGTCCTAATACTTTTGCTCTGCACATGACAAATGCGCTCGAACAGGGTGGAGATGGTGATGATCCGATGGCAATATCGCAGATGTTGCTAGGTCAGCAGTTCACCGACTTAGACCGAGTCATCAGTTTCAACGATGGGATTTTTGGACCTGAATTTGAGGCGCGAAGATGGTGATTAATTGAGCTTTATGTATGATATATCTACTCTCGAACGACGAGAATAACCTAGGATAATGAACGCTTGACACACGTGACCTGTGTATTTTGAATGTAGACGCGCCCAGGAAGCTCCGTCATTTCTACACATATCTCAACACCCAGTCCCTTTTCTACCCGTCACCTTCATCAGAATGGCTTACAAATTCTATCGATATTAGGATACTATCGAGTGTCACCTCATGTGAAAATATCTATAGTGGCACAAGACAGCTCTGGTAACAGTCGTTGCCATGAAACCAACTCATCTTCTATCGGAGGTGTTATCTATTTTCCAAAATACAAATTTAAATTCTTCAGGATGACCAATCCATTTCTCCCCAACACGTGGCTAACGTACATTGAGCAAGAAACCGATCTCACAAGTGCGTCATCCAGAGCAGTATCTATTGAATAGGCGGCATACCTCTAGCGCGACCCTTTGTCGAAGCTATACGAATCCCAAATCAAGTAGCCGGTTACCGAATTCTATCAGATAATAGTCTCCATAAACCAAACCGTGATTCTGGTAGCGTCGTCGCGCATTCTCGTTGTTATTTGCCGTTCCATGTTTCAATATCGCCGCGAAGTTGGAGCCTTGAATGTAATCTTCAACACTGAGCTCGTTGTCGCCAACAAAGTGCGCCGTTTCAGCCAACGAGAGATCGATCGTATCGCGGACGATAGCAATGGCTGCGTCGAGGAAATGTCGAGCGAGAGCCTCCCGGTTGACACCCGTGAGTGATTGGGATAGAATGAGCAAGCCATTCGCAGCAATAACACCTGCTGACGAGTCTCGCAGCGGATCCACGACATCTACTGGAGCATCAAAGTCCCAAAGTGGAACGTGCCGACCTATTTTTCGCGTTGGTTCGCCGGGGAGACTCCTGTCCGTTTCGACCTCCACGCAGGAGGGTGCCGTTTCTAATCTATGGAGAAAATACTCCGCAGCTCCGCATGCCGCGTCCAGAAATGTGGCATCTTTAGTCCACGTGTAGGTCTGAGCGTAGCCAAGGATGGCCCAGGACTGCCCGCGAGCCCAGGTCGACTGATTGTTAAAACCTTGTGCTGTCCATCGCCACTTCAGCGCCCCAGAAGAGGGTTCGATATTGGCTACATGGCATGTTGAGTAGAGTTGCCCTTTATAGCCCCTTCCTTGCACAGCCTCGGGACGGAGATGGGTGTGTAATAGGGTGCGTGCATGCGCTGTCGCCATGTCCGCCAGGGTATTGTCTCCGGTATGAGCAGAGGCGTAATAAAGCAGGTCGAGGTTGCAGAGACTGTCAATGATGACTAGTAAGTTGTCACTCATGTCGGTGACAGTGATCTCTTTCTTGATCAAACAGTCCCAGCTGCGAATAGCACCCGCAGATGGTACGTATCGGGTAGCCAGACTGCAAGCAGCTTGCACTATTGATTGAAGGCTTTTCTCGTTCCCTGTGAGTTCCCACTCTCGCTTCAAAGCAGGCATCACGATAAATCCAATATCGTGCGTATCTGTTCGAAAGGCCATGTCGTGAAGGGGAGTGGCCCATACTTTGGACAGAAAACGAAGTTTGCTGCGGACCTTGTCTACCCCAGGGCAGAGGGCAGATGGCTGGAGTGACATCAGCTGTGGATGCTTGATAGATCGTTCCAACATCGCGAACAAAGATCCAGGGAAAAAGCCACACGTCCAGAAATCGGGCTCACGGAACTCGTACTGGCCTGCGGTCGGTCCATCCTGGGGGACAGTTTCTGGGAATCCGAGAATCTTTCCCGTGTCTATGTCGAAAACATGGGGATCCTCAAAGGCTCTTGATGCAGTGCTAATGATCTTTGCGACAATATTTTGAGAAAACAGCTCTGGTATGTTCGAATGAAGAACGGGTTTCGGGTGACCCTGAAATGCGGCCTCTTCAATATCAGACAAAGATGTATCACTTTCCGATAATTTGTCCTTGGGCGTCAGCGCCAAGTACTCCGAGGAGGATGATATACTCGGGGTGCGCGAAGCTGCAATCATCGTGGATTTTAAGATGCTTTTCGGATGGATGGAGGTATGTGTAGTTCTTGAAACCAGCATACGCCCATTGGATACATAGGCAAGATGCGCCTTACTTATTCGGGGCCCTCAGAAGCCCCGGAAATAGGCACCCACGAATATTATCGAATGCAATACTGTCTCATCATTCACTGTTCGATCATGTACTGTTTTGGATACTATGCTTCCGACAGATCCGACGCCAATCCTCCGCTGTCCGAGCTCTTTACCCCGGCCTGCGAACAACGGCACTAGCGCCTTGGAAGGTCATTCGGGACCGAATCACCCGACCCTGGCCCAGAAAAGCGGAGAAAGTGTGGAGGGCAATCCATAAGCTTCGAGGGGCTCTCTCGTTTTGCGCATGCCATCACGTATCTAATTTGGCATCCCATCGCATGAATAAACGCATGACTGGGACACATTCGCGCCACCATGCCGCCACTGGATGGTTTCTCCGACAATTCAGTCCGATCACGTCCAGATCTTGTTCGAGCCGCCACATCCATCATTTGCGCACTTGAACCATACAAAAGTAAGGGAAAGGCAAGGATAAAGCTCCCAGTCGCAACAGCTGCAGGGTTTGATGATGTCGCAGCACAGTTGGAAGGATTCGCTCGTCCCTTATGGGTGGTTCCGCTGCTCCTAAACGAAGAGATCGAGAATAGCGCCCATCTCGAATCATGGATTCAAGGTTTGGTGACTGGCACTGATCCTGAATCACCGGAATACTGGGGCGAATTAGAGGACGTTGATCAGAGAATGGTAGAAATGGAGTCGATAGCATTTGCGCTTCTAAGTAATGGGAATGCGTTTCTAGGGCCGATGAGTGAGAGAGCAAAAGAAAACCTCGCAAACTGGCTCAGACAGATCAATTCCCGACGCATGCCACAGAACAATTGGCTGTGGTTCCGCATATTTGTGAACATCGCGCTCGTGAAAGTACTAGGGGTGTCGCGTGATGATGTCCAGCATCAAATTGACGCAGACTTCAGAACACTCGACTCCTTTAAAATTGGAGAAGGGTGGTCCAGCGACGGCCTGTGGGGTGACGAGCGCAAGCAGGCGGACTACTATTCTGGGAGTTTTGCGATTCAATTTGCCCAGCTCTTGTACGTCCGATTCGTCGGCGATGAGGATCCCACAAGATGCGAGGAGTACCGTCGTCAAGCGCAAGAGTTTGGCAGTATTTTCTGGAGGTACTTCGACAATGACGGTATGGCTGGTTAATTATTCTAAAATTTAGCAATGTGGAAAGCTAATCATTTTGAGTAGGTGCCGCGATTCCATTCGGTCGCAGCATGACGTATCGCTTTGCATTTGCCGCCTTCTGGTCCGCTATGGCATGTGCAGATGTTCATTTATCAGCAACTTCTGGTAGTATTGGTGTCATCAAGGGGATGCTCTTACGCCATTTGCGTTGGTGGGCCAAGCACACGGAGATCTTCAACTTAGATGGAACACTCAATATCGGGTTCACCTACCCGAACATGTACCTGAGCGAGGCATATAACTCCCCGCAATCAGTCTATTGGTGCTTGAAAACATTCACGGTTCTCATGCTTCCAAAGAGTCATATTTTCTGGACTGTCCCAGAGCTACCCCATCCGCTGGCTCTTTGGTCCCCCTCTCCACAGCCACCGAACCCGGTTCAAGTCGCCTGGCCTCCAAGACACATTCTGTGCAATGCGCCAGAGCACCATTTCCTCCTGTCGTCTGGTCAAATGTCCCGGAAAGCACATAAAGGGCGAGAAGCCAAGTATGGAAAATTTGCATATTCGTCTGCTTTCGGGTTCAGTGTACCAGCCGGGTTTCTGCTCGAACAGCTGGCCCCCGATAGCACGATATGTGCGAGCCACGACGACAGTGAGAGTTGGAAGATGAGATCAGAACCATACAACGAAAGGTTGATAGACGTGAAAGTCAACGGTGCCTTCCAGCAAGAACAAATCATACAAGCCCTAGCCAGTGAATGGCGACCGTGGAAGTACCTTGATCTGTACATCACATCGGTATTAGTTCCACTGGTCGATGCCTTTCCCGGCTGGCATGCTAGAATCCACAGGGTCACATATCAGGAGACCCCGTGGATTGACAATATTCACATTGTTGATAGTGGGTTTGCTCTCGGCGCGGAGACACCAGCCGGTGGCTTCATCACTCCAGAGGTACGGTCAGCTTCAGTCACGGGCGCGGAAGGTTGTCTATTGATTTCGTCTGCCGGCGCAAGTGCAGTTGTCGACTTGAAACCTGAAACAGAACTGGCAGCGATTGATACACAAATAGAAGTCCAGAGCGAGAGTTTCGCGTTGAGGGCGGATCCAAACACGAATCTTATGTCGTCGCGAACACTGATACCCTCGATAAAGCACCATCTAAACCTGAATAGGTCTGAGCGAAACGCAAGACAGGAGGTATGCTTGGTATCGGGCGTGTTTGCCGTGGCAGCATCAGCAGGCTTGGATAAGGACACGATTCGAGGGATGTGGTCAAGACGACCTCGGCTGCGTGTGGAAGTTGTTAGTGATGAAATGAATATCAGCTTACTATAAGTGTTTTGGAATTGATTGCTCAAGACGACTCAGTCTAGGGTGTCAGAATCTCTCGAGCTCGCTCTTGATCGTGAAAGTACCCCGCAAATGTCCAGTTAGGCGCCTAATTAGAATTCTAACCCCATATCGTCTACCTCTGTCACCTTGCCATATCATCATCAAGAGTCCTTATAATCTTCACACATTTTATAATTTCCTTTCTAATCATGCGCAATAAACGCCAAGTCTGGGTATCCCTTCATTCTCGCGGTGCGCTCTCCCTCGGGGCAAATAGAACGCAACTGGGCTACGCCGCATTCCACTGGGGAATCCTCATCAGTCCTAAAGTCTCAACCGGCGCAGACTGCCATGCCTACGACGTAACAGACAGTATTATCCTCGACTCAAATAGCCGAACAAATCTCAACTCGCAGAATGACTGGCGGTTTCGTCACAACCCAAACGACGACCTAGAACGCAACGCAGGTATCCTGGGAATGGTCATGATAGGCAAAGTCCCGAATGACGTTTCGTATGACGAGATTGAGACCCATCTAGCATCTCTTCCGCTTCCGGACAAAGATGCCCAGCCGGCTCAAAACTGCGTGACATGGACGATGGCTGCCATCGGGAAGTTGCAGGGGATCGGGATAAGCAAAATCCTAATGGTTCCTTATTTACAAAAGCTCTTTGTGGACCTGTACCAGGCGGGAGCTAGGTAGATCCATCTTCTGGCTCAAAGTAAGCTCCGAATTGACGTCAATCACCATGAAGTTGTCATAACCTGTCCCAGATCCTGTGCCCAGAACACTATTCGGGCTGGGGCCGGAGAAAGGTGACTCGGCATTTTCTGTCGCATCACTGGCTGATCGGGTATAAGTTGGACAAGACCACTGACTAACGGCAGTGGCGAGTCCCTATGTATATCTCGGCCCATATAGCTTTGTTAATTTAGCGGTTGGAATGATTTTGCTTGATAAAATGACAGAACTCTGCCAACTGCAGACTCCAGAAACGACGGAGGGAAATAAATATCTTGTTGGCAACTCCCGTAGGTCCGCGTTTGAAGGCTGTGCATGTGGTCGGTACAATGCCCCAACGAGAGCCAAATAAACCATTCTAACAGATGGCCGTTGAACGTGTAGGATACCATCAGCTTTTGTTGCCTTCACCGAGTCGACCGTTGTATATTGGGCTTCTGGTGCAAAGGTTTGCCACCCACGCTTCTAATCTTTGCGCACACTCAGCAACTTGATCACTGCAAGCGATCTTTGCTGCTCAGCCTTGCCATACTTGGGATAAGCAAGCTGAACGGTATTGTACAGCTCGCGAAAGGCATGGCAGTGCGTACGTCGGAAATTCATTCCCAAAAGAGAAATTGATAGTTGGAAGGTATGACTCGAGATGCCGAGCGGCCCCTTTGCTAAGACTCTTCTACTGCTCCCCCGAGTTCTTCTAGCAGACATTAGATAGCCTTAACATAATTGCCAACGAGGGTAAGCAGGCACCCAAAGCCGTGAGCCAACAACATAGTTGAAAAAACAAAAAAAAAAACCTATGGAATAGTCCATACGAGATGTACCTACGGAACATTGATTCGGCATTCTCGGTGCCAGTACGTCGGCCCGAACCGAGATAAGACACCCAGAAATCCCGAAGAGGAAACGAACTAGGCAGGAGATCCCGATTGGCCGGTGCGATCGAACATTGGTGCCGAGTAAATTTCATTGATATCTGCAAGTCATTGATGTCTACCTAGAGGTATTTGAAGATCACACAAATAGCTGAGGTCATTACTCAATGTCTCGGTCAGATTCCGTTGAGATTTCCATAGTGTATGCATACTGCCTACGTGGTCTAGATAGATTGGTTACGGAGTAATGGGGTTTTGAGGACCGGTGCCCGGTGTCAGATGCAGATTTTGACATAGGAAGCAATCTTGTGGAGTCGCTAACTGCGTTCAAGCCATCTCTTGGTAAGTTTGGATAGAATCACATAAAAGTATAAGCAGTCTATATACAACCAAACTCTTCATCGCCAAGTCCTCAATGTCCGCGGCTAAACCGTATAGAATAATCCGTAACCAGCATTCAATACACGTTCATGACACTAATTTGACTGATAGTGCAACTTTTTCAGTCATTTGCTGGAGTTTATCTTATTCACGCATTATTATCACATGAAAAGCTGGCGCTACTAGGGTCGTCGTGGATGGCCTTTCCAGACGAATACAAACCAAGGGCGCACTATTCTCGTTAGATCTGACGCAAATCGAAAGAGATCGGAGGTTACTTACCATAATAACCCCAATCAGTATACAGAACATGTTAAGCAAGGTCAAGACAGTCTTTCTCCAAGAGGCGAACCACAGGCCCTTATTCATGAACAGCCAGAAGGCACCGGGAACACCGAAACTAAACCAACTAGCAAAAAGGGCAGTCTAATCATCGTTAGAATCTTAGAGCTACTCAGTAAGAGATATCTAGAGGGGTTGTCTTACCATCAAGCTAAGAAGGTTACTGAACACCGGGATAGCAGACGCAATAATCCATGCAATAATCCACAGGCCAACCGCAATGCCAATCCAAGATCCGATTGCAACGAAGTCTCGCTTCTGCATCCGGTCAGTGCCCGCGAACACCCGGGTATAAATTGATTTGCAGGCTATGTGGCCATTAATGACACCTGCAATGATGATCTGTGGATTTCGATTAACATTCCATTCAGACCGCAGAGAGAGGAAGGAATCTTACAGTTGGTAGTGCAATCCCATATGCGATCTTCGAGAGCAACGGCGAAAGTGATCCCAGCGCTGGAGAGGCAACGCTGTCCCCAGCATAGGTGTATATCACGATCGCTGCGACAAGATATATGGAAATATCGATACATTGAAGCAATGTGAGAGCCTTCGGGAAGTCTCTGGGCTCCTTCAACTCCGCGATGACACTGAAAAACGCATTGTGGCTGGCTACGGGATGTTAGATCATGTCTTGCAGATCAACAATTCAACATACCGTATGATAAAGCGATGTTCAGGGCAGAGGTAAATCCATTGACCAGGTTTGTCTCAACCGTAGCCTTCGCGACTGCTCCGGGGTGCTGGATGGCAACGGCAACCATGGAAATAATGACTGCGCTGAGGATGCTGATGAACGCTACTAAAGTTAGCATCGAGATGGGCCATTCGACATCTAATTACTCACAGGCCAACGATAGCCACGACATATTTTTCATTGTCCGCGGCAATGATAGGAAAAGCGACACGGCAAATCCCGTGATTCCAAAAGCAATGGAGCACGTAGCGTGGTTGGTGAGGGTGTTGAGAGCGACCGTGAATGTCAATATGTGGCTTCCCATCAAGAAGATCAGAAAAAGAATCTGACCAACGAAGAACAACTCTCGACCAAACGGCCCCATCAATACCTCCCCAGCATCGGCCATACTGGTTATATGAGGATATCTCCATTTGAACTGGCCAATAACGTAGCCTGTGTAGGAGGCTAACAAGCCCAAACTAAGCAAGATCACTATAGCAGGAGCAAGGCCTAGCCCTGCTACGGCTCGGGGTAGCGAAAGTACACCAAGGGATATCGTTTCTGCTACTAGAAGAAGGCCGCATTGCCTGCGTAAGGAGTAAGTGTTTCGCTCGAGACTCAGGGGCGAATGCAGGGATATGCCCATACCACCACTTCAGCACTTTGTATCTGACCTCTGCAAATTCTTCATCTCCGAATGCGTCTTGTCTTGGTTGCGTCAAATCCACCTTTTGATCTTCGGCTGCAGTTGTGTCAAACCCCTCCTCTCTAATTTCTCTATGACTCTCGATATCGGCTGGAGGAGGAAGGTCTATTATTTGTGATGGCATATTGTAAGGAATACAAAAGTTTGAATGATGATTCTGAGCTCTTAGAATATATCGAAAGATCAATATCAAGTAATACACAGCGATGTGCAAAAGTCTGTCACGGTGTTCAACTGTCGTGAAAAGATGGCAGATTTGTTGAGCAGCAAAGATAGAAGGCAGAAGGCAGTGGAGATTTGGGGAACCCAAATACGACGGACGGGATGGAGAGGAAGGCCCGCCGTGAGGGGGATGTGGATTCCCACACACCGTAAATGAGGTGGCTTCGAGACTGGTTGGCAATCTTAGTACAAGCACTGCCAGTGTGGACTTTGCTTATCCGTAAGGATCCGCTGAACAAAGATAGGACAACTGTTCTGTAATATTCCAATGATAGCCTATTCTGTAAGGGTTGAAAATGGGTGTGAGCGCAGGCTACAACCTTTCTCCCTAGTTCAACTACATGCACTGGACGCCCATCAAATGGTCGTACAAGTCTTGCATAGTGTTGATCAATATGTCATTCACAATTCATGGGATTTTGATAAACCATACCCCATCTCTACCCCAGGTCCCGCAACCCCAGATTCGTTGATTGTGTAGATACTGTGGATTCTATGAATAATTGAAAATTGTAAATAGCCAATCCTAGGAAAGTAGTTCCGGGTCCTCTGTCGTCCACACTGTCCCTCCCTGGCATAAAATGTCAACATTGCTACTACACCACGTCAGAGCTTACTAACATACAAGATGTGTTTACCACTGAGAGTTATCTACAATTGCAATCACTGCAAATTACTGCTGGGTTTCATTGATAATACGACAGCCTCTTTCACCTCCTAGACGTTACCTAAATGCTATCAATGTTGCCTGGCTTAGGGTTTGGGCTCACCTTCCCCACAATAATCCAAGCTCCCAAGATATCAGAATTATGATAAGAGATATCAATTCTCGGAGTGCCCTTCTATATCGGGAATGTGGCGGTTGCCACAGTCTCGTGGACTTGTGTATCTTTGATAACCCTCAATCTCCAGCAGTAACTCCCGCGGAGTCTCCTGCCGTTTTAGAAGTGGGCCTCCCGTGCACATGGCCACATGTTCATAACACCCTTAAGAAGCTGTTGCGAGTGGCTTTACCAATGAGATCAAAATGCAGAGTTATTTATGAGTCGTATTTGTTCCGGTTTATGTCCAATGATGTACGGAGACCTCCGCGGACTTGTTCATGCACTGTTCAATTCCCATATTCGACATCATACAGTATCTAATGCTCTAAAGTTTGAACCAGAGTATTCCCCAAGTCGGTTTTATTTTCCCCGATTCTCTTTCCCGTGCTGTATCTCTTTATTTTTATTTTGCTTCATTTTATTTCTTTTCATTATTATTTTTTACTTTTTTTCCTAATGACGTGGTACGTCAATTGACATCAGTAGCATCAACCGGTCTCGTTAAGCGAGCATTAAAATGCCTGGCTCAAGATACAAAATCTATTAAAACGTTTAAGAAAAACAAGAATAATGGAACAGCTTATTTTACATCACTTCCTTCAAGCATTAACCCCTCCCATCGAGATAACTGCCTTTCCAATACCACCTCGCCCATCATACACAACTTGACAAGCCTTCCTTACCGCGTCGATATCATCAAACTTGACCACGTTTCCCACAACAGGCCTCAACCCGCCATCCTCGACACACTCCGTCAAAAAGTCGAGATCCTTGCCATTTGGCTCCAACAGCAAATACTCATACTGAACACCATAGCGCCGCGCTTTCCGTCTCCGGTACGCGTCCAACAAGTTCAATGGAATGCGAACATAAATCGGCACGGTGGGCTTGTGTGGCAGACACAGTATATCCCAGTTCTGCATGTCGTTGCCAGACGGAAGGGTGGCGATAGAGATGATGTAGCCATTTGGTCGCATCAAGGGAAGGAATTCCATTGCCTGGCCCACTGTGTCGAAGATGAAGTCTACTGACTTGGGAGGGATGGCCGTGAGGGGATTCGACTTTCTATAGTCGATGACTAGATTTTCACCGTAAGTATCATAGTCACGGAGTGGATGCCAGTGCAGGACTTACTCTCATCAACGACTTTCTCTCCTAACAATTCCGGCACTTTAGGGACTTTGGCTGTGGAAACGGTCGTGATAACCTTTCCGGCCTTGAAGACGTTCTTGGCGAGTTGACACGCATACGAGCCTGTTCCGCTCACTGCTTTATAGTTAGATTCGAAGCCCAAAGTGAAGGGCAGAGACACATACATCCAGCCGGAATAAATACCGTTTTGCCTTTTAGATCGCCATCGTATCTCCGTAGAGCTTGCAGAGCAGTGAGGGCGGCCAGAGGAATTGAAGCTGAGTCTTCGAATGATAATGAAGATGGCTTGAGAGCCAGACATTCTTCTGGGCACCTGGCGTATTCACTCCACGATCCTACGATTATTGAATCAGTCACTGCGAATTACCCCTCGAGTGGGTTAACACCAAAAATTCAAGACGAACCTCGACAGGACCCTGGGAGGCGCGAGTACACTTCATCGCCAACTTTACATCTCGTGACTTCGGAACCAACCTCGGTGACTGTCCCGGCACAGTCGAAGCCAATCGGAGACGGAAAACTAGAACAGGTCAGTCAGTGAACAAAAACACATGATGAGCAAACGGGTACGCACGAGTCCGAAACCACCATTTTCATAGCTCCCCCTGCATACTTGACATCGATCGGATTAATGCTCCCAGCATGAACCTTAATAATGACATCCTTGGGACCTTGAAGCTCCGGCTTAGGGACCTCGAGCATCTGATACCCCGAAGGGGGCGAATAAGCCTGTGTGGCGACGGACCGCATAATTGCAAGATGTTTGCTCCTCAAATTTCTCGTCTGTCAACACGAGTCACGGCCGGAATATATACCATTCGAGCGTCAGTCCTTAGGGCTGAGGAGATCGCCAGAGGCAGTTGTATGATTAATTTGATTATCCAATGAACCCCGTCGGAGCCGGGACAATCAGTCGGGCCGACTAGCGTCGCTCGCGGCACGTCGACTAATCCGAAAAAGGTCGTCGTCAGTCCACTTCGGTGGCAACGACTGCCGGAAACGGCAAGGCTTGCGAGAATGGTGCATCTTCCGAATTGTTTGTCACTTTTTCTACCTTCCATCGAATTCTGTTGTTCCTGATGCCAGTTTGATGTTTCCTATTGATTCTATAGAGCACAAAGCTTGCTCGGATAGATGGATAATTAATTGTTATACTAATGTGTTCACAGTGGGAACATATTTCTTTTAATTGCTAGTCTTGATCGTATGGAATCTATGTACAGAGACATATGAACGCTATGTTGACACAAGCGGCTGTGGATGAGCACAGCGCTTACATTGATGGTCATACACCAGATCTCACAACACCGAATTATCGGCCTATCGGGTATCGCCAGCACATGTCCGTATGTCGGCGCTTAATACACCGCAGCCTCGTCTATCCCCCTTGGCCTAATGGACTAATATTTGGGGAGGTGTCGACAGAAACACCTTGGAATATCAATTTCTTCCTCTCCTTGTCGTGAGAACTGAATCTCTGTGTTGATTTTCACTACTCTCGATAACTGAAAGAAGTATGGTCAAACGAAAAGCCTCACTCGAGCCCCCGTCATCAGACCCTTGGGGGAAACGTCTCAGGAGAGATTCAGACACCTCGCATGATGACTCCACAAAAATACTGAATCAACTTGATTCCCAGTCCGCTTCCGAATCCGATAGCATCACAGAAATACGCGCCGAAGAAATTACCATCGCGATCTTCTGCGCGCTCCCGTATGAGGCTGTCGCTGTGAAAAATAGCCTCGATGAAGAATACACATGTCATCCGAGTTCCGTAGGGCCGCAGAAATATGTCTATTCTTACGGTCGGATTAAACATCACAAAGTTGTAATCGCCCGACCGCATTACATGGGAACCGTACAGGCCGCTCATTGCGCAAGTGCGGTTCGACAGCAATTTGTTAATGTACGATGTGCTCTTATGGTTGGGATTGGGGCTGGGATTCCCGATCTTCCGACGAGGGATATTCGGCTTGGTGATGTGGCTGTTAGTATCCCTAAGGATAGCCATCCCGGCGTTGTGCAGTATGATGCTGCTCAGACCGAGGACGATGGGTGCTATCTAAAAGGGTCGCTTGACAAGCCACCACCGGTGCTAATAAGCGCGGATGGATCGCTAGAAGAGGACGAGGAAATGGGAAGAAGCCGCCTTAATCGCTTCTTGAAACGAATCATCGCCCAGAATCTGAGATTCAGACACCCCAAGAAACGGGACACTCTATTCGATTCGGGGTTTCACCATGTAAACAGGGAAGCCGACTGCGAGGAATGTGAATCTCTCTGCGACCCGGACCAGATGACATGCCGCAGTTCTAGACAGCCTGTGGTCCATCGGGGCTTGATTCTTTCCGGTAATGGGGTGGTCAAAAATCCTCATGATCGACACAGATTGAGTCAGGATTATAAGGATGCAATTTGCTTCGAAATGGAAGCCGCTGGCATCATGGACGAGGTTCCCTGTCTAGTCATAAGAGGCATATGTGACTATGCAGACACCCATAAGCAAGATGGATGGCATCGGTATGCGTCTGCAGTAGCTGCAGCCTACTGCAAGGCTTTGCTCTACAAAGTCCCCGAGCAAAGAGACGAACATACAAAGGCATTGAAACGGTTGAGCAAGACCGTGGAACAGCTTTCAGGCCAAATAAAGTGAGATTGACATTCTTCTACTATCGTATGCTTCAAGAAGCTCATAAAAACAGGTTCCTTTACGAGAGGGTTCATGAGCTAGAACAATGCTATAACAGAACTCATCCTGAGGAAAGTGAACATGAGCTCAGCTGCCTCGGAATTGCGAAGGACAAGAGAGGATATCACGAAGAAAGTAGGCTTTGCTTGTTAGAGGACAGCAACGCGGCTCACCAGTACAGCCCTTTTGATCCCTTCGTTCTTGATGAACATACTTCGCCTCAGGAGCAGAAGGATAGTGAAAGACATCCTCACCCGCCTGGCAGCATTGAAGTTGGACAAGAAGTTCTTATCTCATAAGCATAGAAGAGTTTCCCACTCTCCTGGACTGTGGAAATTTTCAACAATTGAACGCAAATTTGTATCTCTACAAAGCGTTCACCTATAAACGAAAAATATGATGCAAATCTGAAAAATCCCTATATACAAGCCACACAACAACCAGACCCTACATACAAAGGCTAGTCTGTGTATGAAAGACGGCACGGAAAGTCCAGATCCTAACTCATGAACATAACCAAAAATCATGACAACACCATAACAAACATAAATCAAAATCTTACATGCCCGCTTGAAACAAACATAATAAATAACTGAAACTTGCTTCCAGTACCGCGCCTACCCAAGCAAAAAACAACCGGAGAAAAAGCCCAAACAGTCCAGCTTATTCGAGGTATATGTAAATCCCACATTTTATCTATTTCGATGTACTTTTGCGCAGGAGGGGGTGTGGTGATGCGTCTAGGTAGCGTTGTTGGCACAGGTCCAGCTGGCTTTGGAGGAGCTGTCGTGGATCGCCTTTCCGGAGACATAGAGACCGAGACCGCACTATTTCTTGTTAGTCTCCTGCTGGATAGGTAGATGAGTAGAAGGCGTGGAACATACGATTGCACAGGCAATTGCCAGAATGATCAGGTTAACGCAGGTGAGGAAGATCTTATTAGGAGAGGAGAACCATTGGCCCTTGTTCATGTACAGCCAGAAGATGGCGGGAAGACCGTCTGTTGCAGGTGATTAGTGTCAGGATCATATGATAGATAAGGGTGTACTTACAACTGAACCAACTTCCGAAAAGCGAGCTCTGAAATAGATGATTAGCAAAAGCAATGAAAAAATCAAGATTCGGGTGGTGACATACAATAAGACTCAGCAGCTGGTTGAAGACAGGAATAGACTCGGCGATGACCCAGGCAACAACCCACACGCCGAGTGCGATACCGACCCAGCTTCCAATAGCGAGGAAGCTGTTCTGATGCATGTGAACCGTGCCACGGAAGATGCGGACGTAGATGTATTTACAAGCGACGTGACCGAAGACGACACCAGCAATGATAACCTGATTGGGATTAGTTATGTACTGACAAGTAATGGTTGAGCAACATACGGTTGGAATGGCCAGACCATAAGCGACCTTCTTCATCAGGGGACCGGCGGAGGAGAGAGCAGGCGAGGCAACGTCGGGGCCGGCGTAGCAGTAGATGACCATGGCGGTGACGATGTACATGCAGGTATCCAGGACCTGAAGCATGGCGAGCGACTTGGGGAAGTCACGAGGGTCGCTCATCTCCGAGATGAAACCGAAGAATGCAACGTGAGCGACTGTCCAGGTTAGCGAATGGGCTTATATATTCGATTTGGAGAGTCGTACTGTAAGCGAAAACAATGTTGGTTACGGCCAAGAAGGCCTCGTTGAAGGAAACCTTGGTAGTGATATCGTTCCGGACGTCATCTGGGGCTTGAACACCGATGGAAATCATCGTGACAATGGTAGCAACAAGGATGGAAATGCAGGCTGCGACGATGTTAGTTGCAAATCAGGGACCATGTCAAATATGTGGGGTTCCTACAGGCAAGCGACATCCAGTACACCTTGCCCACCGTGCGCGGAAGGGCACCAATGAAGCTGACCATCAAGCCCACGACTCCGAAAACGATGCTGCAGGTCCCGTGGTTCGTAATGGTGTTGAACAACACGGTGAAAGTGAGGATGTGACTCGACATGAGGAAGATCAAGAACAGAAGCTGGCCAATGCCGAAGATCTCCCGTCCGATAGGGCCGAGAAGCAGTTCACCTGCGTCTCCCATGCTGTGAATTTGGGGGTATCGCAGCTTGAACTGGCCAATGACATAGCCTGTATACCACGAGATGCCCGACATGCCGAGGAGAATAAGAAGCGCTCTACAGAGTGTCAATCAGCATGTAACTTCATTACGTAAGTAATGTGGGCACTCACGGGACAATTCCCAAGGTTGCGACTGCGGAGGGGAGAGACAGAATCCCCAGAGAAATATTCTCAGCGATCATGACTAGAATAAGCAGGTTAGACAGCAGGCCCAGGTCAGTGAAAAGCGGCGAGGTTCTTACGCATTCCGCAGTGCCTATAAATTTGTCAAATTGCGGCTCGGCACCGAAGTAAAAAAAACATACGGCGAGGAGGGATGCTTACCACCACTTCATAACCCGATACTGGACCTCACCGCATTCCTCGTTGCCAAAGGGGTCATTGTCGGGGGGAGACTCGTTAGCTTTCTTCTCCAAATCAGTCGGGTCTTCGTAGACGTTGGGTTCATGGTGAATGGCCGCAGCGTCGAGTTCTTGGGGCGGGCTCATTGCGGGGAGGAACGAAGAAAATAAGGTAGGTAGAAAAAATTAACAAAAATTGGCTAAAGAGATCGAGAGAAGACAGGAGCGTGGTATCGTGAAAGAGTCAAGGCAAGGATATGTGAAGATGGTTGACCGCGCGCAACTTGGAGGAGGAGCGAAGGCTAAATAGTAAGTGATTTTTCCCATTTCTTCGTAGGGTTTTTTAGGTTTTGGCTGGTTCCGCGTAGTGGCAATGCGGCCGGCTGACTCAGCCCCGCCCCAGTCGCCCACAACTTATCGCAACCCTATCATGGATTCTTTCATTACACATTCCATCTGCTAACGTCGCCTGCCCCCGTCCTTGGGATCCGTCTGCATTAGACCTGACCTTGTTTGCGTTTACCTTTTCCAGATCGTAGTCTTGGCTCATTGCTCATTTTTACCCTCTCTCGGTCTCACGACCACCGTTGCAATGCAGCTTGGTGTTGCAAAACCCCCCCAACCCGGTGCGCATGTTCCTTGCCCCCGGATGACGTTCAAAGGAACATCTCCAGGTGGGATGGCCAGTGAGGTGTTTTCATAACGTACGTGGAATTTTATCGGTGGATTCGAAACCGTGGAGGGAGCAAATCCCCGCATGGCTCCTGTGGGTAATATTTTCTGGGGAAGGAAACAATCCCTCTTCGGGTACTGGCGGGCCCGACAGGGCCACGCTCAGCAGCTCTGCCCATCGCTCTGGTTCAATGAGCAAGGGGCTATTCTCGATATACCCGATTCAGTGGAGTTGGAGTTGTATGTGACCTCGTTGTACGGAGTATTTCGGCTTGCCCGATTGCTTGCGTTTCCGTTACATTTCGTAGACTGTTCATCCCTCGCATTGTGTGGAATTTTGCAATGATACTGAGCCGAACTCCGGGGTTCTCGGCAAAGGCGCCCAACGCCGAAGGAGATACGAAGGCAAACATCATCCAGCATCATCCATGATCGGTAATCCAGAATCGAGAGAATGAATGTACCGCAGGTCAGAAGCAGAAGGCGGTGTTCCCGTACCGGTTCCCAGGCCCACCAGGAGCCGGCGACCGGCCCGGGTCCGGTCGCTGTTCAACCATCGCCGGTGGAGCCTCCCCTCGCCGTGAATAATAGATATCTGCCCGCTTGGCCGGCCTTTTTCGTCGGTGAGCGCCATCCGAAGCGAGCCGGAAGTGTCGCTACTGGAAATGTCACCCTGTCTTTCGCCTGAGAAACATCCTTCTTTCCGCTGCCCTGTCGTGGCTCTGCGCGAGACAGAATCGGCCTGCGGAAAACCCCCTCGGTAGCTACCCTTGCGCAGTAATTAAGCCGCGATGATCCTGCATCACACTGGCCAATCGTTTCCCGGTGTAGGCCGGCCATGTTAACCCTATTACCATAAAAGAACCGGAGATGGAGTCCTCGGTCTCAGTCCGCGTGGAGCCTGGACCGGTCAGAGTGGAGGCCTCAAATACCTCTGCCTATACACGTGACTTTCTCCGCGAAACTTCTCCTTCAGGCTTCAGGGCAGCAAAGATGTCACGGAACTTTGCAGTTGTTCGGGGATAGCTCCCAAGTTATGCATGTCTGTCTTATTCGACATCCGAATAATGATGTTGTGTTGCACGCAGCGAGCGTCAGAAGCTTGACGCGGACTAACTTGACTAAGAGCGATCATGCCCAATCAGGCAATGTTCACGCGGGTGAGGCGCCTCGCTGCAGACTTGGCAACTTTGCCGATGCCCACGCCGACAATGGCATAACAACAACTGTCTATATCATACATGCAATATGCATAGTAGACAGCGGTTTATGTATCAAGTACGGAGTACCCTGCACGCGCACCTTATCTCGCGAACCCTTCAGATTTGGCCTCTTGGCCCTTGGGTTCATTTAACTCCACATGCCTCAGATTCCTCTAGGTCCCAATTTGGAATAGCACAGACTTGGCAGATCCGGTATTGGATGTACTGCCAACTCGGCACGAGCCATCTTAATTCTTTGTTTTTTCGAGTCATAAAACGTCAACGGAAGCAGTCTTGATAACGTCCCCTTCAATTGGGACCCAGGTAACTGTACTGGTCTTAGAATGGCTGATGGAAACCTCGAATATTCTTTTATTCGAAATAAACCGTCGCACATGGCGAGAATCAAAACCGTCGAACCCTTTACCAAATCTCGATCCTCATACCTATTAATCTACTCCTACCAATAAGCGTCAACTACCGATAGTCAGTTGCGAGTTGCCACACTCAGCCAAAGAGACATGCCCAGCCGGTCGAATGGCAGTCTTGGCTCCCAGTTCTGGATAACAGGTGGCAGTTAAAACGCTCTTGGCGCCAAAAAGAAAAATTCTAGAAATCTGTCTAAGCGGCCGGTCCCACTACGAATCTAACTAGAGCGAAGAAAAATTTGTTTAGCGAGGTTGACAGGTCCAAAATTGGGACCTTATCAGATGAAACCTTGGGTCTCGAAGCGAACGGTCTTTTGTCTTCTAGATCGGAGTCAGAATTGGATTGTTGATGGAGTTTTGTGCTAACTATCCTTGACTTATGATAGATTATGCAAACATTTGCATAATTTGGCTGAGCCGGGTCGAGCTTGTGTTCGCCATATAAGGAACACAATAAAGATTAATGCGAACTATTATTAACATCTGTTAAGATTTCCTTCCTCGGTCTTTTGGAAAAATAACGGTCAAGTAAACGCCAGCCAGGACGTATGTACATCCATGCGTAGAAAGAGTCCATTTGTAGAGCTCTTTATTTATTGTGCTCTGGTTGATTAGTGCTGATTGCGCATCTCACTATTCAACATTACGTTTTCATATTTTTATCTTCACCACTAAGGATCTATGTAGTTTCTTTGAAGGTGCGAGAGATCTAGCAGAGCTTAGTATTCTGTTCAGTTCATCCCGCTCCATCAGAACCGTATCCGCTGCGGAATATATAACATGGGGCTCGGGGTCATATCTTGAGCTAGGCCATAGCTACGAAGCTTTTGACGATGATTGACATGTCCATGATAAACAAGTAAATATAGCTGACTTAAATTACTTTACCATTAAGATAATTATAGAAGAAGGAAACTACCCGTTTCAGGTGCAATGTTCAAAAGTTGGATCTAAGTGCGACCCCAGGCGTCAAGTCTCACAATTACCACTATTCTATTCCACCACTGAAGGGATTTAAAGCGGTTAAAGACAAAATAGATGGCCAGGCCTGAGCAAGTAGGGCTGAGCATCAATGATCAATAGCAGTCATGTCTCTATTCTGATACACTTTTAAGCGATAAGAATTGCTTCCAACACCTTATCCGCGTCGTTTGACTCCGCTGTAACCATCTGGAACGACCTCTATCTCCCTCGTGAGCAGATACCGACGAGACTGATCCCCCAAAAGAAAACGTATAGCTCAGCAGGGCTCGCCGATCAGTCTTGCTAGATCCTTATCGTGCCATTGGCGTCTCCCGAGTTCCGACTTTTCCTTGTCAGCAAGAGCCCTGGATGCGATCGAACGGTTCAGAAGCACTTTTGAACTAAGTTTCCTGCTTTTTTGATTTACTGCAGCGATACATTTATCACGATTTTCCTTCGCCTAATTTCTAGCATTCCTATACGCTGTGACTCCATCCCGAAAAGAATTCAAGCTACCAGTCCGATGATGCGGCTGTTCAGGCTTTGCTTCATAGAAGATATCAGGTTTAGCCAAAAGGTATGGCTTGCATTAGGAAGATCAGAGATTTCAGGACTTCCTTGTCGAGACTGACTTTCAATCCTCTTCAGGCCGACTGGTGTACAATCACAAAGAAAGCCAGGAGCATAAAAGGAGGCTGTGGGGAAACAAGTATGAGTATATGTCGCAAATATATAGGAAATGAGTTGAGAGAAACCCTGGCTTGTCGGTGGCCAATGAACTTGAAGTCAACCATGCATAGAAATCCCCCATATTTGAGACTTTGTTGGTTTTGGGAGCCCGCTGGTCTCTACGATCCTAAGAGCAACAGCTACTTCGGCCAAGGCCGGTAATCCATAGGCAGCAGTTTCGGTGGTGTACAGCTTCGTAACGAGGCCGGTCCTGCCGGGTAATTGCAGAGGACCCTTTAGTTTCTAGTAGAATGGCCCCGATGGACCTGGAAAATACTAGCTATGCATCAATGCTTCACCTCTCAAGTTGATTAACTCAAGTTCAACCCCAACCCGTGCACCTAGCTCCTTGGGCTTGTGTGTCAATTAAAAGCACCAGTCGTCGGGCTCATAAAGCAGAACACTGGTTACGAGAGAGATGCGACGAAGGTAGGGTGTATATGCTATCCAATCAGTCAGCCAGCCATGATTGAAGCACTTTTAGCATAGCGGGATGTGTCCACTCCCATTCCGGCCAGGCTCGCTGAATTCCATTTTCGTTCTGCACTCTCAGGTCATCCGTAATCACTAGAGACTCGATATTCTTTGTGATCATGTTCTGCAATCGTTTTGTCGTATCTTTTGTAAATCCCACCAGTAACGGCCATGGCACTCGAAGTCTGTTAAACATATGAAAGTCAACGATCGATTGCAAAGAACCAGTCATCTTCACAGCAGGATAAAATGATCACCTCATCCAATCGAGACATTGGCTGAGATTGTTAAATCCGTCAGTGTGTCACTAACGTGAGTTATCGCATCAGCAAGCCGGTCAAGTGGCCTTTTGTAATGTAGCTGGCAAAAGTTGATTAATTGGAGGAGGGGCGTGGGCCTTTATCCAAGTCCACTGGATTTCAGAATAGAGAAACTGCTCAGCGACTGCGCGGAAGCTCTTATTGACGAGACATAGAATACGAAATACAACAGATGATAGTAGCTTGAACACTAAGGACAAGATGCCCACCGGGCAGGTGATGAAACCAGATGCCGCTCGGGGGCTCTACGGTAGTCAACTTCAGCAATAATCCGCAAAATACCGATGTTAAATCACATACAGGTTTCATTTCTGGCGATAGCGTCGATATTGTTCACTGCACCGCTTTCGTGGGTACGTCTGTGCATGCGAAAACAGCCTGCGAACTGATTCGCAGAAATCAATCGGTAAAGAAGAGCCAAAGGCGTGGAATGTGGTTTCAACACGGCTTAGCGATAAGTCCTCTGTGGCTATGGATTAGGGTCCGCCGCACCCGACACAGCGGTGCCCCACTTGAGGATCCATCGACTTTTGCCTGTAGAGGCACTACTGGACTTAGGCGCGAGGGTATTATTGTATGAAAATCAGAGCAGTTGACATGATGATGTTAGGCTGGCCGAGCATCTAACTTGCAGTACTACGTTTATCAGATCAGAGTTGAATTGTGAAATGATTTTGAGGATCTAGATAAGGACAACTGACTAGAAGAGTCCGAATAGCATTGCCTATGGATGAAACGCACACGTAGGATTTCTGCTTCATTTCATTACTATATAACTGTCTGTCATACCAGGAACTTAGCTGATCCGAAGTATAACGGGTGTCGCTCTCAAATGGCGCTCGTTCAGTTCAGTATATTTGGATAGGAAGCCATGCGGGAGATAGATCCCTACGCGGAGGTGACGTATGCTATACGACATACTTCCTGAGAAATAATGATAATGTTACGTACCCTAGATGGGAGCTTCTACACCGTCTGTATGTTTCTCAAAATGAACTTCTCTGGTGCTCTTCTTCAGGTTAAGGGTCAAACATGACATGTCATAAAAACATAACTTAATTACGTAGTAACACTCAGAACAATTTACTCCTATCGTGGAGTGCATACAAGACGATCTGTTTGCAACCAAGCTCACTCGTCCGGGGTCTGATCCAACTTCTCTGCTGCAGCTTGCTTACCGCTCTGACTCACACCTGGGTTGTTCTGTGCACTTCTCCAATAGTTAGTCTGGCTGATAGATTGCAGAGCTTTCACACATATGGACACTTACGCCTTGAGTCCCGCATTTACTCTCATCGGGTCTTTATCATAATGGCCCTGGGCGTGATGAATTTCTTCTCGAGGCCGATCACCGCCCAGTTCCTGTAGCATTCCCTGGGCATTTTGTTTTGCCTCGTCAGAAACATTGGGGTTGTTCAAGGTACTACCAAGGTTGTCAGCTAGTTTTACGGTTGATATTTGGAAATTTCCATCAACCCACGCCTTGTATCCGCGCAGTTGGTTAACCCTTTCTTCGGTAGACATGGTGTCGGTATAGATGGTTGAGAGTAAAGAAAGCTTTCAAGTGTTGCTTGATTTGCGGTCCTCCAGCGTAGGTCTGAGGTTGATATAGTGCGTCGAATGATCCCTTCATCATGACATAAGACCTGAAATGATGTCATCCTCGTTCAGAATTGACGTGGTCTGTCATCATCAGCTATGACGCTTTGATGATGGACTTTCAGTTTCTGTGAACACTTGTTAATGCGGGGGAACTCGAATACTAATACTAAACAGCGTAACCATCCACTATGGTATATCTCTAGAAAATTTGAAAACACGAACGAAGAAACCAGAAAAGACTTCCTGCAGTATCGCGTCCTTTTGCGTTTGCAAGGCGCAGAGTAGATCGGTCATCCTACCAGTACTCTACGTTTGTAAACTGATATATTGTTTAGAAGCCGAATTTGGTGGAAGTCTCACAAACAAACGATGTACTTATGTTGTGACCTCATGATCGCATCACCTCCCCGACGGCCATCCCGAGGCTTGAAATCGAATCCGATTGGATAAACAGCATATTCACGCCGATCCACACAGCTGTTGACCAATTACCGGTGTCCGGACTTGATTTGCGGCGTCCACGGGTGGGTCTTAACGGGCTATATCTTTGCCAAGATACATTGCTCCCTTTACTCCAATACGAATTCTTGAGTTGTGTTCTGTCAACCATTATAGATATCGCTCTATTAGGCCGGTCCTAATGGGTTTTCGGGAGTTATTACAAATAGATGTAAAAGAAGAACTGATGCCAACCAACAATGTCATTATCTGAGATAGCTAGCACTCCCGACTCGCCAAGCGTACGCCAGTCCCTGTCGCTAACAAGTATCCTAGCCTCACCGTTGAAATAAGTTTTGACAGTATTCAAGAGAACCGCTCTGGCAATAGCTTAATCTTTTTAGGGCCTTGCGACCGGCACTTTATTCTCAAGCTTCTCCTTAGGAATGCTACTCTTCTGCTTTTCTTCGCCTTCCTCCGTTGTCATTTCAGTTGGAAATTCCCTAGTTGCGATGCTGTTAACGCGGATCTTATATTGGAGGAAGTAACCTCGTGGGCTAATAACTTGTTCAGGTGGATTGAAGCTACCTCGCTCGTGTTATACGGGAAATGGTGCTGCGAAGTATTGACAATCCCCGAAATCGAGGACATCTTGACAACAGTACTCGACCAATCGTGATCTGTCCCCACCTGCGTTATTGATCAAAATATGCAAGACGCTCTCTTTCGACTAAGCCTCTTCGGCAAGGTTCTGGTGGTTTTTTCGAAGTAATATCCGCCGCGATGGGGATGATCTGAACGGAAATGTTCTTGGATTAGAGCTCTGCGACCTGATCGAGCTTCTCAGCTGTGCAACCCGTAATGTAGACCTTTCTTTGCCTGGTTGACGGCGAGAACCTGTGTAACTATCAGGCCAATTCATCGCCTGAATGCCAATGTCAGGTGAAGCTAATGGGCGATGATGGCAAGTATGAGATACTGCAAGAAGCCCACTCTATTCCATCCGCATTGAAATCCGGCACAGCCTCTGAGCTTTGGATGTTTCTTGCTGCATGTTTACGACAGTTCATCGAAAAACACAACATCTCGACAGAAGAGCTTCGCAAAACGGTGCTGGGTTTCACGTTCTCCTATCCAGTTACTCAAAACTCCATCACAAGCGGTATTCTCCAGCGATGGACTAAAGGGTTCGATGTCTCCGAGGTGGAGAGGCACGATGTAGTGGCAGACGTGCAAGATGTCTTTTCTCGAGAGGTAAGTTTAGCACCGTCTGCTGTCGGAGGAAGAAGATGATCGGCTAATTCGGTGTCCCAGGGATTGCCATTCAATTATCCGCTCTGATCAATGACACTACCCGCACACTCATAGCATCGTCTTCCCTTGACCCGGAGACGAAAATCGGGACCATTTTCGGGACAGGCAGCAATTCTGCATATATGAAACGATGCTCGGCTATACCAAAGCTTGCTAAAGACGGCGTTGCGCATGGCGGGTATACGGCTATTAATTGTGAATACGGGGCATTCGATAATAACCGACTGGTCCTTCCGTTCACTGCTTATGACGACCAGATTGATCGTGCTTCGCCTCGGCCAGGGCAGCAGCGTTACGAAAGGTTAGTCGCGGGATACTATTTGGGCGAGATATACGGAACGAATCCTCTTGGATATTCAGGAAAGAGAAGTGACATTGCTTGACGATCAGAACATCTCCCGCTTGCAAGAACACATCCTGGACTGCGTCTTTTTTGAGACGGTCGAGAACGACCCGAGTGAGAATCTAGACCGGTGCAAAGGAATCTTCAAAGAGCGACTCTCCCTACATGTCCAGCTAGCCGCATGGGATTTCTGCAGACATCTTGCACAGTTGGTTGGACAGCGGGCGGCTCGACTCTATGCGTGCGGAATCACGGCTGCCATGAAAAAGGCATCGCTGAAGGCGTGTCATGTGGCCATTGATGGTTCGGTCTTTAACAAATATCCCCAATGTCAAGACCGGGTCATGGAGGCATTGGAAGATATCCTTGAGTGGCGTCGCGGCAACACGCCAGCTGCACTACATTAGCATTCATGTCGGATTGTGCCTTTCTTCTATTCTGTGTATATTTGACATTCTTGACCATGTTTACGTCAGATTCATAATTGGTTGTTTGTTTACACTTTATTTACCGTGTTATAATCGGTTTAATTTTCGATATGTCCCAATTTATCTTAATCTTAGCCAGACTCAATGTAATGATATTCCCTCTTAAAACAATTGACTAGCTGTAGAAAGCGCATTCTTTATCTCGATCGGCAAACCCTAAATATAGCAACTGAGGCGCCGGGCTAATGAAACTGGCCAAGCGTTGACCCTATGTCTGCAATGAACACTAAGAACAATTGGAACATTGTAGAAGCAGCCAATCGTTCTTGCCAATTTCCAAGCGTTGTACCGTAGTTTATAGGAAATGTCAGGCAAGAGGAAATGAAATGACATGAAAAGGAAATGAGTTGTGGGTGAAACAACACTAGATTATGCCCTTTTCTTAATTCCTGTGAGCTGTGTGTATACGAAGCAAGGCGCTTTCAATTATTCCCGCCAATAGCTCATCGAAGGACGTGCCGTTGGTCTGAGCACTTGCAGGCAAGGGAGAATGACCGGGAAGCAGACCCGCGATTGGATTCACCTGTTGCACAATAAGCCCATGCTGACACATAAAATCGTGACACTCTCACCTCTAATACAAGCGGGGTCGAGTCTGCTTTGCACGAGTCAAACCGAATATCCACCCTCCCAGCATCCCTGCAGCCGAGCACATTCCAAGTTTCGAGGGCAAGTAGGCAGGCAGCGTGTATCTGAGGATCTGTTGTTTCTTGAATGCTGTAGTCTTTTATTTTCAACTGGCAATCTTGACTGGACTTGCTTTGCCAGCTGGCAAAGTTCTGCATGTCCAGGTCGTGGCCGGAAGAGGGTGACTCTTGCCATATGTGCTCTCTGACGCCAATGACACGGCTGAGTTGGCCAGTACCCAGGAGACTGACTGTGAACTCGCGACCAGCGAGAAACGACTCGACCAGAATCTCGTGGTCGGGAAACTGGGAAACCAGCTTTTTGACGGCTGTTCTTAATTCTGTAGTACTGTTGACTTTGTTGAACGAATCAATTCCTTTAGATGACCCTTCTGTCGCTAGCTTGACGAACAAAGGAAAGGTTAAAGTCTCTGAACCTAGTAAAGAATCGCTGCAAATGCACTTGGTGGTAGAAATGATGGTGAATGGCGCTGTAGGAATGTGATAATGATCTAGTACGATCTATTTGAGCGAGGAATTTGGCCGAATATTAGCCACAAAAAGGTACCATGAAGTCGGACACTGTACCTTGGTGTTCAATTTGTTTTGACATAATGCCATTGTTGCAGCATCTGCAAAAGTGTAAGGAACTTCATAGGCATCCAAGAGAGCTGGAACCTGCGCTTCTCTCGCTGATCCAAAGAAACCCTGCGCGATGTTGAATACCAGGTCCCACTCTTTCTCGCCACCAGTTGCTAAATGCTGGACGAGCGATTTGATTCCTGGGACCAGGACGACATGGTGACCGATCTTTTTCAGCGCCGTCACAATCCCGTCTACCTCTCCATCGTGTGGGAGAGCTGCGCAGTCCTGTTGCGAGAAACCATCTTGCAAGTAGCTTGACCGCTGCTCAGAGACAACGGCTATCGTGAGACGAGGCATATCTTCAAGAAAGTCAAGCGCAGTTGACGAGTTGATGGGGCAAATGGGAAAGTAATCGCCAAGCAAGACTGATTGAATGAAAGTTCTGTCGTAGTAACCATTTCTCAATAACTAGTAGTGTGAATTGAGGACCATTATCATGTACTATATATCATCACCAAAATAGAACTGCTCTTCATGGTTACACGAACCTGACACGTCAACCATCCGGCATCACAATGACATACCCTTTCAAACCCTAGAATTTAATTGCGAATTGTTTATCATTAACATTTATTATGCGGTGGTGGCTAACCTGTGGCTTGCAGGGTAAGTTGCCAGAACGGCGATGACATCATTATGTGGTACACAGTAACTGAGGGGAATGATGGCGACAGATTCCACGGCCCGGTTAGGTAACAGTTGGCCCTTCCCTCAAGTTCTTAATGAAGGCTCGGAAACTTAAGCCCATTATAGTCAATCTCTTATCAGAAGCGCGGGGATACAGTTCTCCAAAAAAATGGCTTCTCAAGGCTCCAACGTCGACCTCTTGATCGTCGGCGCAGGGCCTGCAGGGCTCATGGCTGCGTGCTGTGCTGCTCAGTACAGTATGTCTACTCGCATCATTGATGAGAAAGAGACTCGTACGCAAACAGGTCATGGTGACGGGTTCCAGACACGCACGTTGGAAATTTTAGATAGCTTTGGCCTGGCCGAAGACATTTTGAAGCAGAGCACACCTGAATCGGAGTCTTCCTACTGGGTGAGTGTATATGCTCGCTTTTGGTGTATTTAACACCTGGCTAATCGACTCTAGATGGCAGAGAAGAAGCCGGGCAACATCCAGCGTGTCAAGACCGAGAAATCCAATTCCGGGCAAGACTCTAGATTTACGAAGGCGTTACTAAACCAAGGTGCGACCGAACAGGTTCTTCTTGACTACTTGGAACAGAAACAGAATGTTCATGTTGAACGGTCAAAGCAAGCCAAGACACTAGATTTTAAAGATCTCTCTGCGAAAATAAGCTTTCCTGTTTCTGTTGGGATACGGCGATTGACTGTTGATGGTATTCCTCATTCCCTATTCATGTCCATCTACGGTTTAATAGATCCATCTCGAATAACCACCGAAACAGGTAGTGATGCCTCGAATCAACTAGAGGTTATTAATGCGCGCTATGTTGTTGCCTGTGATGGCGCACATAGCTGGACGAGGGACCAGCTAGGCGTCTCCACAGAAGGGGACTCTAAAGGCTCCACATGGGGCATATTTGATATAGTCCCTATCACTGACTTCCGTATGCTGTAACCTCTCTAGTCCCTGCTCTACTATGCAGATCTTCCTTTGACTAACTTGTCATCCTAGCCGATATTCGCCGATCTTGTGCCATTCACAGCGAAGACGTTGGAAGCATCATGACTGTGCCGAGGGAGAATCGGCTTGTTCGGTTTTACACTCTCCTTCACGATAGTACGGAGGAAAAGACAGTGGACGCCTCTGATGATGTCCCGCACACCCTGGTGGACATAGCCACAAAGGCGATGAAGCCCTACTATCTACACTATAAACATTGCGATTGGTGGTCACTTTATACGGTACGGCATTACGGAAGCATAAACAAGAACAAGCTAACAACCCGCTAGGTGAGAAGGCGTTTAGCGAGAAATTACAGGCCACATGATCGGTAAGCATTTGAACTTTCCACTAAATTAAACCCCCTAACACCGTGAAGAGTATTTTTGGTTGGTGATGCAGCCCATAGTCATTCCCCGCTAGGTGGACAAGGCATGAATGTGTCTATCCAGGACAGTTACAACCTGGTATGGAAAGTCGGAGCAGTAGTGACTGGCCTCTTTCAACCCGCCATTCTCGATACCTATGAGAGCGAGCGACGTCCTGTCGCTGAAGAGCTAATGCGACTTGATTCAAGCCTCGTACAAGCTTACGAGCAAGGGGCCAATGCCCGCGACAGAGGGGTTGCTGAAGTATGTGCGGAGTATTCTGGCTTCATGTCGGGTACAAGTGTATCATATCCCCCAAGTATTTTGATCAATCAGCGTGGTCGGTCGGAAAGTCCTTCTGCAAGAAATGTCAAACTTGGCATGCGTATTGAGTCAGCTCCGGTCGTTACTCATATTGACGGTACAAAAACACAGCTCAGCCGAAGCCTCGTTACCAGCGGATCGTGGAGGCTGCTGGTTTTCCCAGGTGATCTACGACGCCAAGCCAGAATGGATATGCTGACACGATTTTCGGAATCCTTCAACAAGCACCCTTCACTGGCATTGTTGAGCAAGAAATTCCCCAAGAAGACGCGGGGCTTCGCACTTGAGCCTGTTCTCATACATTCTAGCCCAACGACTGCATTTGATCTCTTGGCTCTACCAGATATCTTCCACCCATTCGATGAGGTATTAGGCTGGGATTACTGGAAGGTCTTTGCTGATGAGAAACCATCTTCGGCTGAACCGGGCCCGGCCTATCGGAGATATGGAGTTGATGAGGAAGGTCCTTGTTGTCTCATACTCTGTCGCCCAGACCAGCATGTTGCTTGGGTAGGCGATTCCGAAGACTTGGATCCCTTGGATAAGTACTTTTCGGATCTTCTTTGATAATCGTCAATACCATAATTTGTGTTCGCATTGAATCCTGGCATCGATGTTCGCGTGCATTATCAGAAAGAAACGCTACATACAAGGAGACTTATGACGATAGACTTCCACCCCAATACTCCTTGAGGGGTATAAAAATTGTGTTGCCCGTTTTTCATACGTAGCCCAGTCACTTGGGCTACAGATATTAGGAATTGGTCGTCCCCTTATGTACATGTGTGTACCAGTTTCTAGAGCCAGACTGGTCCCTTCAACCGCCAGAGAACATGAATATGAGCCATAATCGAAAATAACTCAATGTCGAGTCTAACAATCCGTAAGCATAATATTGTATAGGATTCATGTTTTAAACTTAATATCTAATTCGAATTTCATCTCAGAATTGAACCAGAAAAACACTCCCGGAAATTTCGGACTGAGGATTTCCGAGCAGGATTCAGTATTTGAAAGATGTTCCCAAAGGATTAACATACATAGACTCTAATGAACCCACTCCCGGAGTTCGCCTTACAAGCATCGAAGTACCTCGGTCTTTGTAAGATTAATGGGTCCACGATCGGTGTCGTTGATCGATCTGCTTAGGCACCGAAGCGCCAATCGCGGGTGGGCCCTGTTGACCAGGATCTCCGGAGTAGTGATCATCACCTTGGCTGAACCACAAGCCATTTAACTCAATAGCTTAGTTCAATCATTTTGATCCTCTTCATAAAAAGGCTTGGTACATTCACAGTACAATTCTCTTAGTTAAGCATCTATGAGATAGGTAGCTTTTATAGGATCATTCAATATAAAGGCCGCGAAAAGTCTTGCACGCCCACAATCAAATGGGTATTATTTGTTTACGAGTTCTATAGTTAAAGACCCATGCTTTCGACCAGGGTCTCAGGTGGCGGCAAATTTCAAACCACTTCTACCATGAAAAAGAAGCCATGCGATTGGAGAGCGAACCGAAATAAATACTTTGTGGGTTTTGTGATTCCCTTACTTTCCTTGTGAGTGAGACAATGGGGCATTGGCGAAAGATTAGGCGAAGGACTTGACGCTAAAGCAACTGGACAATGGTAAGCTAGTAAAGGCCCTCAAAGGCTCAAAGTGTGTAAAAACTTTCTATGTTGCTGCGACTCTGGCTGCGGTCGAAGATTACAACCCGACTACCTACCTGCCCTTTGACAAGCGCGATTCCAACCTTGCTAGCGAAAATCATAACCCGAATGTCAAAACTACGTTAAAAATTAAGCCTATCACCAGCGGCTTGCGCTCGACTATTAAGTACCTACGCGCCCGTGATGGCAGCCGGTGGTATTTGCGTGGGTATTGCATGTATCTAGCCTTTATATGGCTCGAGCTGGGCATCGGTATATTTGTTCCAAGGATCATTCCGACTCCTGTTCGCACCCACTCTCTTCTCTCTGCAATTTTAGGAGGGTTCGTTACTAGCATGCTCCTAGCCACCTGGCAGATGGCCTGGGAGCATAATGTCATTGCCCAGAAACCCCCTAAATGGAATTACCGGCGAATGCTTGGTCTTCGCAACTGGCGTAGGATTGCGCCTGCGGCAGCTCTATACAATCTTATCATCTGTGGGGCTTTCTATCCGCTTGGTTCTTACCTACAACCTTTTGGATTCAGCTTTGGCCTTACCGTTGTGGGCGTTGTTACCAATCCGCAACCTAATGACTTGTTCAGTTTTCTGGTCCCCGTCAGGCCAGTGGATATGATCATTCCATTGATTTCCATTCCCGCTAGGGCAATCTTCATCCGAGTGGCTGCCTCTATGCTGCCCGAGGAGAACGACTCGATTGTGCCCTTTGACCGCCAGTTTGGGGGCAACGTGAGACCACACAAATTGGATGGCAGCAGCAAGCTCGGGATAAAGGATGCCTGGACAACCTTCGAATGGGATGCTATGATTCACTACACCAAAGTCGCTCTAACGGCGATTGCTATCGACCTTGCACTTGCCATTGTTGGGCTTCTTCTAGTATTTGGTGAGATGATGTTGCTGATGCCCACGAGCAAGAGTCCCATCTCCCGCTCTTTGAAGCTCCGGAGTGCATCTAGAACGTCACTACTTCCGATATCTTATTGAACGCTTCAAGCCATTTACCATTACAGGCATATCTTCTAGAACATTATGTTATAGCCTAGCTCACGTCAGCACTAGGTCATCAGAAATACCAATCTATAGCACGTCGTGTTTGAGTTAAATCATAACATAATCTTACCCCTTTTCAGTCCCTTCTAGAATTAATTTTCTCTCTCCAAGTTTCTGAGTAGTCTGTTGCTCAACACCAGCCTTATATATTAACACTTTTGAACTTGATTGTTAAAAACGCGCAGCGTAAAAAGTTTCTCGGCCTGAACAGGTTCTCTAACTCTTGGAAGAAGGCAGTCTTCTATCATGCTAAGAGGTTCGATATCTTTGGTGCCTCTATGTTACTGAATGCTGAGTCGGTTCGGCAATTAATAAACACCTGTTTGCAGATAGGTTAGTATTTGCGAACAATAAGGCGGGGGGTGACTCTGATACTCAGGTCCCGGCAATTACCTGCTTTGTGAAGAGTATCCCTTTACTTCTACCTGGTAGCTCTCGTAAATTTGGCCTTTGCATGCTAGCTCAGTTACATGAGAAGGTGGGAGGCTCGATGACGGGATGGCAATATAACGGCTTCAGTCAGAAGGTCTGTCGGAACACCTCCCGAGAATCAATTAATTGACTCAACAGGATCCTCTGATTTGTACCCCGCACTCTAATCCCTTGAAGAAAGGTGGGAGTAGTTTGCAAAGCTCCGAACCCCGCGTTGAAAGGTTATTATCGGTTTGCAAACCCGGTGCAAGCTCGGACAATCGACTGTGGTCAATCCGGTTCTCTCCGCTTCCACGGCCGCCCAGATGCGGGGAAATGAGATTTAGAAGGACGCAACCTGGGGTAGGACCTAAGCTGTGGATCTTCCTATACTGTAGAGGAAGGTGTACCCCGTATGCGGGGTATAGATGACAGAAGCTAAGTAGCCTGTTGGCTATTCTTCCTATTATGGCTCAGCCAGATCCTGCTCGTTGACCGGTGTCTAATCGGCGACTATTCAATGGCCGGCGGAAAGTCAAAAGAAGAATGTGACTATCTGTCCTGATGGAAAATGCAGCATAATCTTCGCTCCAGAGAGTGTTCGTAGCTGACTTGGCCCGAGGTAATTTCGCAAAGACATACGAATAGTTGGTTCAGCATGGGGTGACCCGCCATACGCAAGTTTTAGATTTGCGATTGATCATGTTCCGTTCGTGACTCGGCTGACTCGACCCCCGAGGCGGACTCATGCTAGCACGGCTGAATGATGATGCACATTGGCTCCGTCAACGCAAGCGTCTCTCCTATGGCTACTACAGGGATCAGGCCATCGGCATCGCAGCCGACCCTTAGTCCTCCTGTGACGGATATCTATCCAAGGTCGATTCTATAGGCCACCGGTTACTATCATTCCGCGGCTCGAAATGCCCTCGAAACCAATTGCATACTTATAGTATGTGCTTTGATCGGACCTCTGCTCTCATTTCTAGATATCTGTCAGGAGTAGCTCACTGAGTAGCATTTTCATGACGAGAGAAGCCGATCCTGTCAAGAATCCATTGTGATTGTCCGAGGATCATTTACAACTGATTACCGGCGTGTCGCAAGAATGACGAGTACAGTGTTACGAGTTTCCTCACATTCCTGTCTGGCCCCCGTCGCTGCGGTAGATATGGTAGAATTCGGAGAAAAGACAAGATACAGGGGCCCCGCGGTGTTAGGGCTCTAGTTAAATCGCAAGAGATGAAGAGACAAACACTTGGAGAATAGCTAGTCATTTCTCCCCACTATGACGAGAAACATGTTGAAACATGTAGAGATTTAGTCGATCTTGATATTGAACTGACCAACGCCCGTGTTGCGCAGTTCTAGTCGTACTAGCCAGATAAATACAATGACAAGTAATTGACTTCATTGATATATACTGCGTATACGACATCAAAATTCAAATACAAGCATGCCAATGCATTTAAGAAAGGTCATCCGTAGCACCTAGATTAAAACTTTGCCAGCCATGGAAAATACATAGCGACTCTGCGCTAGATACCTATCTTCTTATGCATGAAGATTCTCATCGTCCTCCTTCTCGCCCTTTCCAATACCCACAATCCAGCCCATCTCAGTCCAGAAACCTGGTGGAGTATTCGTAAATTGAGATTCATAATTGTCCACAGTCGGTCGCTCCCAGATCAAGTCAATCTCGTTGGGCTTCAGGAATCGACTTCTGCGGATCAGTTTCCATCCCAGAAATAGTATCGGCGCAACCAGTTGCATGGTGTAGTTTTGGAAGAATGTCTCGACATTCCAAGGGTCAAATGCGTGGTAGCCGTAAAAAATCAAAACTAGTGAAATAACGAAAAGGCCGATATAGGCGCAATATGGTTGGAAGTAACCAACATAAGGGAATGACGCACGGTTAATACCTTGCGCTTGACATGCCCGATAAAACTGGATATAGGTGATACATATGACGACATAGACGATCAGAATGCCGGCGGTAACGAGAGAAATCAGCCATGTCAAGACATTGGAGGAGCTGTTGGATAGTTGTAGAAAGGACAAGAAAGGAAAAGGTATCACACATAAGAATGCGTAGATGGGAACTCCATTCTTTGTTGTCTTGCGAATAAAACTCGGTGCGTGTCCGTCAAGCGCTAAGCTGTAGATTGACCGGGTTGCACAGTATGTCAAGGTGTTGCCGGCGGAGAACACGGTCACAATCAGCAGTGCGTTCACAACGTGCGGGAGAACTGGTACGCCCAGATTGGCCATAGCAATGATGTAAGGAGACCCAGCCGCGCCGCCGGTAGTGCTTTCACCTGTGAGATTGGACTGGAGTGTTGAATCGTTCCAGGGCACTAGTATACCTACGCACAAAGCGCCCAAGACGAAGAAGGCACCAAAGCGGAAGTAGACCGTTTTGAAGGCCTTCTTTAAGACAACACGGGGGTGTTTTGTTTCGGCGGCGGCAACGGAAATGTATTCCGGGCCAACTATAGTGAAGGCTGCGGACCACAGACAGGATAGGAAACCCTCGAATCGCCCCAGGTTACCAGTAGACCTATACTCTGCAAACGCACCGGGGTGGTTCCAATACCGAAATCCGTAGGCATCGCGCTGTGGATTGCCACCGACCATAGTGACGAAGGTGAACATGAACAGAATAATAATTAGTATGACTTTGCCGCCGGAGAGCCAAAACTCTGCCTCGCCGAACAACTGCACAGCCAATACATTAATGATACTGTTTGGTAATCAGTGACCAAACAGAACAAGGGATGGAACACAGTAAGTCTTTTATCAAGAAATGAAAATTGTAGTGATGATTTAAGCGCTTCCACGGTCAAGGAATCTTATCATAGTTGAACTGGACTAGGACGAGATACGTACGCGTAGAGGACAATACATGCGACGCAAACAGCAGCTGGCGGGATGTCGTCTCTCCAGTAGCTAAGCAGGAGGTTGATTGCCGTGATCTCAAAGGGGATCATCAGTGCCTCATAGAAGAAGAATGTCCATCCGACCATGAACCCTAGAGCCTCGTCGACCCATTTTGCAGCCAGGCGAATGAAGCCACCGGAAACAGGGTGTAGGACGGACATTTCCGAGATACAGTTGTTCACACAGGCGAGTACTAGGCAATAGAGCGAAAATGCAACAAGCAAGCTACCAGGTCCGCCAGCAGCTAGGCCATTGCCAATGCTCACAAAGAGCGCAGTTCCGATTGATCCACCGATGGCGAGCAGCTGGACCTGTCGATTACCTAGTCGCCGTTGGAGATTATGGGCTAGAAAAACTTGGCCTTGTTGGAAGTCTGACTCGTAATGATGCGGGTTATCATTCGGTATCGGTTTAGGTGCCATGGTCGAGAATAAGGGTATTGGAGCACAAAGACTGGTTTCGTGGCGCGAGGGCAGTTGGGCAAGCTCCAAGCGGTTGTGATAATGGAAAGTCGGGCAAAGGGTTGGCTTCTGTAACGACAAAGACGATTCGTGCTAAAACCGGTGCTTTTGGGCAATAGTCGATAAATCAGTACGATGGTTTGTGTCAGATAAGCTCAGGTCATTCCCTTCGATCGTTCTTATATCGTTCTTCCCTGTCAGATCAGCAATCCGGGGTTGCGGAGGTGCAAGGATTAAACCCCTCTTTTATTAAGATCACTGGAGAAAATTAAAAAATTTAACATAAAGTTAAAAAGATTGGAGGAATGAATCACTCCTCATTCGACGCCGTAAACGTATAACAGGCAGCCGTTGTTTAACCTTGATCATCCATTGAAAGGGCAGTATACCCATTTTGTTGGCGCGATATATGCCAATGAAAACGCTATCGTGACTAGTTCTGGTGAAATTTTCAAGTGCACATCTGACACTTTCGTTGTTGGTACCATCATGAAGGGGTTGTTGTAGAAGAGAATCCGGCGTCTGGTTGGCAACAAGATGACGTAGATGACTTTGGATGTCCTACTGTCTCCGCATGGGTATACCGCTATTCAGTTGTTCAACCCGATAGGCCAACAGTAGGGCACACCCTTTCTCCTTCGTTTATCTGTCTCTGCTCTCATTCGTGCTACCCTACCACAGATAGGTGGTGGTCAGACGATGACACAGATAGCTATATAGTCCAACCTATCAGACAATTAACCCGACAGCAAATAGCCAGATAATGATTTGTTGACCAAGGGATGCAGCGCTGAACGTACCACGTATGCTATATTTCAAATACACCTTAGTGGACATGCGAAGTATATTGCCACCTGGCTATCTTACCGACTTTTTTAGCCAAGACTTCTCGGCATACCATAAAGGGTAAGAATAATGAGAGCACTAGTGAATATGGAAATGTTTAGCTCGGACCCGGTACGCGTGTGTAAACGCCCGGCGACTTGGCCCGATAACAATACAATCGAGGTTAGATGTAGAGAAAGAGGAGAACGCCTCTCAATACCGAGGGTTCTCATTCAGCATTTCAATCAATTGCCAATTGAGAGCACGACCAATGCATCCATCATTTCTCTCATAAAGCAAGCAAAATACCACTCAATATAAAAGGTAAACATTGCAGGTATCAGGCAATCTACAAGGCTGGTATGCCCTCGGCGGAGGGGTATTATCAACATATCACACAAAGCAGAGAATGGAACAGAAAGAAAGAACCGAAACGTGATCATGATAGGGTGGCATCCTTCTTTGGATAAGACTTTCGTTGGATGACGGTTCCGGATAATTTCGGCCTGGTTGTGCTCTAAATAACAGCTAGCTACTTAGCGGCTGTCTCTTCTTTGTCTGTAATGGGCTGTCATTTGTTATAAGGAATGCGTTTAAAGAGTGCTAGTGACCGCGGCGTACATGATCAAAGCCGGGAGGGCTCCCGATAGTGTTGAGCGCGTTGCGGGGGAGCACACTCTGCAAGTTCGAATGTGGAGATGCATCCGATTCTCCTGTTGGCAGTGATCGAACCTCGCACAGCTAGTCCTAGTGCTTCAGGTAAGAATGCAACGCCCGTTCTAGTGCACATTTTTGCACTTACCCTACAGAAAGAAATCGTAGGGGCCCCTAGTCACATTCTGCTTTCAAACTCGATCTCGTTCTGTGGTTGCATATCCTAGATAAGCCGAAGTAATTTGTGCAATCCATTGGGGCTGGAAATAATATGCGCAAAAAAGTAGAATGAACATTTAGTACAATTGAAGTACCTACTAATCATATTAAGGAACCTAATAGCGATACCCACGCGCAGTGTCATAACCATAAAAAACCCTTAGTTAAGTCTAGCATCTAGTAGCCACGATGGCGGATCTCCAGTCGTCTTCCCAGTACACGCAGCATCTATACACATCTCCAAGCTACCGAAAGCAAATTTCCTCCCAGTCAGCCCAGGTCCGTAATGGATATACTTGCCCGAGTTAGTCATAATCGTCTGAGTATTCTTCGGAATGACTGGCTCTTCGATGGAACACCAGCAGGTGTCCTGGAGGAACTGGATTCCAAATTTCTCAAGCTCCTCGATATAACCCGCCTGCAAGGCAAGACTGTACTGAGAGCGACCACAGGTAACGATCACAGCCACGTTATCCTTCTTAGTTCTCCCTCGACATAGCTTCGCTAGCCCTTTGATCTCCCGGCAGGAGAAGTGGGGATTGCCGAAAGAAATAAGGTCAATCTCTCGCGGTTCGGAGCCATGGTTGAACTCATCCCAGATTCCGTGGAGACTTTTCCGATCTACAACGACGGACTGGGGGATTGCACCCTCAGGGCATGCTGCCTCGAGGGTGGGAGCCTCCGGAGTCAGGCCGACCATGTGAAACATTGGGGCGCTAGAAGAAGTCGCAAATGCCGCTGAGAATGCCTTGAGGTCGTCACTGGTCGGGTTCAGATGCTCTAGTCCAGTAATAACTGGAATGCGAGCCGTTGCAATTGAGCCGAGAGCGTATCCTAAGATCGGCCAGTATGAATCGTCGACCTTTTTGGGTGGCGTCACTTTGAGCCAAAGAGATGCAAAGCGATTCTCGTCTAAATAGGCTCCTGCCTTCGGTGCGCGCCCCGTCAAGGCAATCAAAGCCTCCAACATATTGGGGTTCTTTAGTGTCCTTGCACCAAGCACACTGTTGGCATAGATAACGGCATTAGACTCTCCCCAGGCAATTCGATCGCCTAGCTTAGGGGCAGTCTCCGAATTATCTTCCCTCACTCAAGAGGGGTGGTTCTATATATTCCAAACGTATAGTTTGAGAGGTGGTTGACTTAGAACATCTTTGAGTTAGGAAGTTGTCCAAAAGTGGAACTAGTAATGCTAGGGAGCACCCTGGATGCAATTAATTCATGGACAGAATAACTCTTTTTAGAGATGACAGTATATACAGCATACATTCGGTCCTTTTGCCTAGCAGCTCCGATGAGCAAGATCCATGTGTGAACCATGCCGTTCATAACTTTCCCTAGAGACGGAGCACAATCTTTCCGATTTGTTTGCCCTGCCAGACATACTCGACAGCCTCCTCGGCCTGCTCGAATGGGAAGACCTTGTCAATCAGATCATTAAGTGGCGTTTGGTCCGCCGATAGAGCAGCGCAGAAGTCCTCCATATCATATCTCGAACCCGCATTGATGCCCCTATAGTTCACGTCAGACTTTCTTTCTGTTCCCAAACATGGAGTATCATCGCTCTCACCTGAGATTGATTCTCCGATCAATGATAGTTGGGACCAGCTCCCGCAAGTCATTGGGGTCCTGTTTGGAAAGGTAGCCGACCTGACTGACTACGCCGCCACGTCGAGTGCATTTCAGGCTCTTGACCAAGGAGCCCGTTCCCCCGTTCTCAACAACAATATCCACACCGATCCCACCAGTGAGCTTCAACGCCTCCTGGTCCCAGTCTGGAGTCTGAGAGTAGTTTATGGTCAGAATTGGCGGATTCGAATATTTTTCTTTCATTTGCTGCAGCTTCTTGTCGCTTGACGAGGTCAAAATTACTCGAAGACCCGCAGCTCTTGCAAGCTTGAGTGCAAACACGCTGACACCTCCAGTACCTGGTCCAATTGTAAGTAGTGGTGTCTAGTTCAGATGCGATGATACGTACCTTGGATCAACACAGTCTGCCCAATGCTCATGCCCTTCAACGCCGACCACGCGGTAACACCAGCGCAAGGGATTGTGGCAGCATCGACCCAGTCAAGGTACTCTGGAAGCTTGCACAGAACATTCTCATCAAAGATGATATGGTCCGCCATCACTCCGTCCTCATCTGCTGCGAGCCAAGACCTCTTCACCTCGCGCCCTGAGATGTTTTCGGTGTCAGTGATAGGACCAGCCCTATCACCAACCGCAAAGCCCTTCACTTTATCCCCGACGGCGATAACCTCGCCGGCGGCATCATTGCACAGAATTCCATTTGGCACCACCGGCCACGGGTTTCCTCCATTGGCGATGTTGGCGTCACGATAATTGAGTGCGACCGCATGGACTTTAAGTAAGATCGCGGTCGGAGCCAGGGGCAGCGAAAGGGCTTCACGCACGAGCTTCAACTTGGGTGTGCCGGGAGTATAATCGTCTGTCCGCCGAAACGCGCGACGCTCAGTGACGTTGGAGGGAGACATGATTTTGATTGGGAGAAGCAGAAGAGATTCAGGGCAGGTTTGGGTAGTTGAAGGGATTTGAGGCAACTATCAGTGGTCTTTATACTGAACGTTCTATAGAGGTTGTTTATTAATCCACGAATTTCCCGACGTCATAGCACTAACCAGGATCCGACCAACCGTATCCACACCTTACCCCTCCATGAGGCTCTCATTATTTCTACTGCACCTGGAGTAGTGGCATATATGTAGTCCTTTTCTCTGCAACTGCTCACAACTCCGTCAAGCTTATATCTTACAGTCAAGCGGGGGTCGATCGGTTGCCCTCAACCTCAGCATGAAGCGATCACGGCCAACTCTCGGAATCCATCCCGACACGCCAACAATTGATTCTGCGGGGTCGGCTGTTCTGTACTTCGGACCCCGCATTCTCTCTACCAGCAGATCTGTTAGGTAGGATAACTTTAAGAAATCATATCTCAAGGATATCTGCAATCGTTCATCGAAATAATATACCTCGTCCGTCCCTCCCGAGACCATGCTAAGAAGTGGAAATGCTCGCCCTTGCCCCACTCTACAGATGATGGAGTGATTTACAAGAGGTGTCTTGTGCTATGGCTCTACATAAAGTCGGAAACCAATGGGTACAGACAGAAACGAGGACTCTACACGATGGAATAAATTCCAGCTTATCGATGTAAGGCTAGAGAGCTCTAGATGTTTTCCTACGCTCATAATCCCTCGTATGGCAGATTATTCCACCTACTTAATCAACCCGTAGCCAGAAAAGACAATCTGTGTGTCAAGGAGATTCCCTGACCCCAGGTAATGTTAGCGTATTTGATTCTGATCCAATGAATTTCACTGCTCAGTATGCCCTCGTAATGTCTCCTTCGAAGTTATAATTAGCATATTTCGCTGAAAGATCCTTAGGCTATATTCCCACGTGTAGAACTGGTTTATGATGTGAAACTCCCATGAGAATAGTTAGTAGAGTGCCTCTTACTCGAGACGAATTGATTGAAACTTAATAGTTCATGTCTACAGCAACGTCACTTTAATTTGAAAACTTGCGTACGAACAGCAACTTTCCATCAAATGGGGAAAGAGGGAGACAATATGTATAGCTTAAGAACAGGGATAGTATATGCTAAATAAGGCAATAATAACCCTTTTCCCACAGAAACCTTCTAGCTCGCAGCAGATATTAGTATAAGATGCATCGATTTCAGATACACATTTGATACACAATACGCGGTTATCCCGTAATTTATACTTTTGAGGCCTCTATTGTTAACAGATTTTTATCCCACCTTCAAGTGCATATCTCATTTTATAGACCTAACTTGGGATAAAGAATCGCTAATTCCCAATAGGGTAGTTTCTGTAATAGATTTAGCCCGTCAACGGCTTTCATTCATGTTGCTCTAACTGAACTAAAGTCATGAGACTGACTCGAGATAGGATGGTCACTTCATGAAAAAATAAATCCGACAATGTGGTCGCTGTGAGGCCGGCGGAGAACACAGAAAAAGTTACAAGGGTTATTAAACGCATAGCTATTGTTTCTCTTCTAGTATATCCTCTGCGGAATCACGACTGTCCACGTTTATCATTCCTCCGACCGCCAAAAGTCAAGATTACCAGATAGAGAGTATCATCTGCCTTTGCGATTGGTTACTCAGGCAGATCTGGCAGAAAAACAATAAATAAGTTGCTTCAAGACTTTGAGCAAGTATATGACCACTATTTGGCTACTCAATTAGCCGGAACTATGGCTTTTACCCATGACATAGTCCCCTAATTGAATTCTCATCTCCCTTCATTGAGTTGGCCAAACGACCCCGATTATATTGCGTTCGGCCTGACCTTTTCACAAGAAAGTAACGGAAACCCTCAGATTATGTTCCAACACCTTCCTTCCATAGTCAGCTTACGGCTCACGACGTGTTTAATAAATCCATGGCTATTTCATCAGCCAGTGTTCATTTCACTAAATCTTCCTCTTAGGGTTAGAGAGGAGAATAAAGTTCAAAGGGGTAAATGAGGAATCCTGCTCAGCTACTGGAGAATTGAGCCGTGGCGCCTATTTCAAATAGGGATTTGACGGAAACACTCCGGCATATTAATGTAATAACGCGGTGATTCCAAGCCACACGTGTACCTGTGCTAAGTCCTGCAGGGGTAAGCTCTAAGTGTGCAAGACTGAAAGGAGCGGCGACTTATCCTGTCCAGAGTATGTACGGGAAGTTTGACACCAAATGAGAATACATACGGAGAAACGGACGAATGCCATCGATATCCCTATCTGAGGGTGAGCTCCGACGGCTTTACGCGACAAAACGATCAGCATTATTGCACCGATTGTGCGAGGCAAATCGCTTCGACATACGCTAGACCTACTCAAGAAAGTAACCTCCACATCTGATGCGGCAATGGAACGCTGCTCATAGTCCGTACGTTTGTGCTCTGATAATGACTCTACTCCTTGCTCTTTAGGGGAATAAGAATTCCGGTCTCTTAGCTCTACCAACAAGGCCGTTGAAAAAATTCTTCATGGTTGCGAGGCATGGTTTGAGACGCTTGCAAAGCCCTTATTCCTAGGTTGCAGGTGATATAAAAGGCCGTATGTAGTCAGCACCGTATGCCTCCATGCCATTCCTATTGCGTGATACCGAACTCATCTGACTTGAACTCCACCACCGGGTGGATATTAAGCAACCAGGATCAGGACACAACTGGGAGCGCGGAAGGCGCAAGGCGGGACACTTTTGATATTGTGCAGATAACAGCTAACCTATAGTGGACCCATTCGGTTCATTCTAATATCGGGGTGTTGGTCTGCGCGGCTCTAGACTGGGCACTAGGATCCACCAGCGCCTGCCGCTAGGGTCTCTAAGAAGTTACAGTAAAAAATAGTGCACACCCCGTATGTGCGTTTCCTGACAAGGCAAAATAGCGTACCACACTATGCTCAGTAGGCAAGTTATCTCCGTAACCAAGAAGACGATACTTTAAGTATATATCCTACGCAGGGAAAGGAACCCGCCTAAGCACGCAGAAAATTGCAGGGGATTCTATTCATATATATAATTTTATTATTGTCTTGTTTATTGCCGCTCGGAAAATCCGACTGGACTAGTCTACAAAAGCCTGGCGATCTAGAGAAGCCATTTCGTTTCCCCTCTTTATTGTCACCCATCCGGAACCGCAGGGATTACGTCCATCATGGAGAAGACTGACATTGAACCGCGGGTCGTTGAATCTCGATCTCCGACTGATTTTGATCCAGAGTTGGAAAGGAAGCTGCTACGGAAGTTGGATTGGCGAGTAATCCCCGCATTATGGTTTCTTTTTCTTATATCCTTCATGGATCGGTCGAATATTGGGTGAGCGATCATTCTTCTCTCAAATATACTCTACAACTGAAAAATTTAACAAGGACATAGCAATGCGAAAATTGCAGGAATGACAAAGGAGTTAAATCTCATTGGAAACCAATATAATCTTGCAGTCACTATGTTCACCGTCGCCTACGTGATCTTCGGGATGCCGGCAAACCTGCTGGTCAAGAAGTTTGGCCCTAAGATGCTCGTTTTGTATATGTTTACCTGGGGTGAGTTACAAGACATCTTCCTGTAATCAATCCTGCTAATAAACTTGTATTATAGGTCTATTCGTTATGGGACAGGGTCTCACTAAAAGCGCTACCGGATTGATCGCCTGTCGGTTTTTTATGGGAATGTGTGAGGCTGGATTTGTTCCTGGTTCGTAAAATATGTCCGTTCGATAATTTTGAATATCTATTGAAAATGTTGATCAGGCTGCGCATACTTAATTGGAAGCTATTACAAGCGCGACGAGTTCCTTCGACGTTATGCGATCTTCTTCAGTGCCAACATGGCGGCTGGTGCTTTCAACGGGGTAGGTTCGGATGGATAGAGCTTTCTAACATTTGCTGACTATGAATAGCTTTTCTCGAGTCTCTTGACTGGTCTGAATATGAGCGGATACGCGGGATGGAGGTGGTATGTCTTGTTCAACGTTATGATAAGAACTTTCCGCTAACCCTGTAGGCTGTTCCTTCTCGAGGCTATCATAACCATGGGTGTCAGTGTCGTCTGCTATTGGGTAGTGGTCCCATTCCCTGAAGATGCGACATTTCTAACAGCGGACGAAAAATCGCTGCTACTGGCTCGCCTGCAGGCCGATGGTGGTGGTGTTCGCACTGACCCTATCTCCTTCAAGCGTGTATTGGGCATGGCAGGTGACTGGAAGATTTGGATCTGGTGAGTTCTCTTGATGATTTTCATTTAGTGGCCGATCGCTAATGGAGCACAACAGTGTCCTAGCATACATGGGTGCCGAAGAAAGTGCCAGCTCTCTAGTCGCTTTCCAGCCCACTATTCTCAAAGACCTCGGATGGACGAGCCGCTCGGCCCAGGTGCACAGCATTCCGGTCTACGCCGTCGCGTTCGTCTTGACTCTTTCCTGCGCCTGGCTCAGTGACCACCTCCGTCGCCGTTACCTTTTTACCATGTTTGGCGCCGCATTGATCATAATTGGATGGAGTGTAGAGCTGGCGCAGGTACAACCCGCCGCAGTTCGCTACATGGGCATTTTCTTCGTGGCGTCCGGAGCCTTTATCATGATGTCGAACACGGTAGTGTGGTTGTGCATCAACCTTGGTAAGGGCGTGAAACGGAGTGTGGGCATGGGTATCCTTCCAGCCTTTGGCAATTGTGGTGCCTTTGTGTCCGGCAACGTTTTCATTACCAGCCAATCTCCCAAATACCCCGTCGGGTTTGGAGTGGGTCTGGCCTTTGCTGTGATGGCCGCTGCAGCTTGCACGGTCTACTATTTTGCCCTAATGGCGGAGAACCGTCGGCGGGACAGCCAGGCAGAGAAGGACTCGACGGCCGAGACTACCAGCGACGCGGATCTTGGCGATGCGCATCCGGATTTTCGGTATCAGCTGTAGATAAACAGCCTAAACCGTATGAGTTTGGGGCAGTGTGTTTTGATACCGGACATTGTGTTACGATACTAGTGCTACGTTGATCAATAGTCATGTTCATCTAAATTCATTTACACAGTACAAGAGCTATCATTAGGGTATGACGGCTGAGTTAGTGCATCCTTTAAGCTTTTGCCATTCGTCTCGACTCAGCTGCCAATGGGGGGTGGAGTTGCCCTGGCGGAGTCTGACCAATTTGAACCCTAATTGTGGACCCACAGCGGGCCGAACCAACTCGGCCGCGGTCCGGAATTCAATAATCAAAAGTTACATCCGTCAATCTGGATTTATGTCGCGTGCTCTGTAGTCTGTATATCGTACATACTCAGTACTACGGTGTACATAGGCAGTCCACGATCTTTACACGTAGTTTATCAAAGTATCCTCTTTCGGTCCGTAGTGTGCACACACCATGGCTAATGACCGGATGCTTGTGGATCTCCTCCTACGGAGTACCTACTCTTTCAATTATATACCCCTGCTCAGCTAATTGAACAACTTGCTTCTAGTGCGAATGGGAAGGCAAATGCCCCCTTCCGAAGCAAATCACCTACACGGAACAAAACAGTCCCAAGCAAATAGCTACCGTGTCTGGCGTGGTCCGAGGCCAAAGTCAAGAATTTTCTCTACTGAGTACTTGTAGGATGCCGGTTACCCAGCGTGGAGACTGGAGAATTCTAGTATACTTCCTGATCCCACGAATCTGGGAGCCATAGCCAGTAGGCCAGAAGTATTGAATGCACCCATTTAAAGCAGTGAAATCATTATAAGGAGTGTTCTTTTTGCTGCATGGCGGACGTCGTGGTTGTCTTTTCGTTTCTTTCCATGTAGCATCCGACTCTTCCAAAGCTCAATTCACAATCACACTCTTTTCAGTCTTTTCTTTTTGTTTATATTTTTGCGCTCTGCCTTCTTTTCTTCGTTCCTTCCAGCGACCGGGGCGGCTTCCCGGCCATACAGATAAAGCCATGATGGAAATGCTATCGCCGGACGAAGTGCCGAATAAAGGTCCATTATTTGTCCAGGTGACGGGGGTTTTGACGGCCCTTGCAGGTGTATTGGTGCTCTATCGACTTATGTGGAAGGCACATATAAAAACCAGCCTGGCTGCTGATGATGCACTCATTTCCGTGTCGATGGTTTGTTTACTGAGTTCCATGTTTCTGAGTCCAGCTGACCAGAGTAACTAGGTATTCCAAATCGTGAATACAGTTATGGGTGATCTGGGTATGTGATTGTCGGTCCTTTATTCGTTTCCCCCTGAAGATACGCTCTAATAACAACACACAGCATGTCATTATGCTTTCGGTCGCCATCGGATCGACGTCCAGCGAACAGGGGGCAACAAGGTCTTAGCACTGAAGGTGAGTTGCTTCATTTTTAACGTTTCCTAAAATCCAGACAAAAAAGACAAGACGGCTAACCCTTTGAAAACGAACAGTTCTTCTGGCTCTTCCAAGTTTTCTACAAACTCGTCCTTGGCCTTAACAAACTATCCTTCCTCGCTTTCTACCTCCGTCTGTTCCCCACGCGCACATTCCGCCTCGTCTGCTGGACCAGCATCGCCTTCGTCGTCTCCACTACATTCAGCTTCGTGGTCGCCACCATCTTCCAATGCATCCCCGTCCGCGCCAGCTGGAACAAAGACATCCCAGCGAAATGCGTCCAGAACGCTAGTTTCCGCTGGTCGTGGGCAGGTATCAACACAGGGCTCGATATCTGGGTCTGTCTACTACCGCTCCCAGTGCTTGCACAGCTCCAGCTCGACCGCACCCGCAAGCTCGGCGTCATGTTAGTCTTCTGTATGGGTCTCTTCGTCTGTATCACGAGTGTCATCCGGATGTCGGCCATGGTAGCCAGTACGAAGACGCACGATCCGACATGGGGATCATTCGACGCACTGATCTGGAGTGCCATTGAAGCCAGTACAGGAATCATCTGTGCATGCTTGCCGATGTTGAAACATCCGATTCAGAAGCTTCTTCCGGGCTGGTTCAGTTCCCTGTCGAATGGGTCGAGGAAGGGCCGGAGTCGGTCAAGAGCGAATTATCAAATGAGCCGGTTGGGGTCGCAATCTGGGCTTCGGACTACTGCTCATGCGGACGAGGAAGACTTGGATGCCGACGCTGGCAGCATTGGTAGCCAGGAGCGGTTGGCGAAGAACCAGATCCTGATACAAACGGATCTTAAGATGCATAGTGAGCCGGCTCACTCGTGATAAAGTGTACTGCACATTATCTAGGGGTTAAAATAATACACATTCCCTTTGTTGGGTTAAGCTTTTTGTGGTCCGCCAGCGAGATGGTGTCTCCAAGATACTTTCGGGCAGTCTCGGTGTCATTCTTCTAATCCTAATTACTGTCTCATCGTGATTAATCTTATGTCGTAGTCGTAATCGAGCTTTGCGCCAAGGAATCGAAACTAGACTTCATGTCTCCCGCTGCTTGACCCACTGGTATTACCCTAGTATCCACGAGGACCATCCGATGGCGATAGGCCCGGGATCATCCAGGTAGGAATGTTGACCCCGATTCAGTGGACTGTAGGGATCGGGAATGAAAAATAAGAGGGTTGGTCTCAGATCCTTCATTTCATCTTGAATTTCACCCCCGTTTTGCTTCCATGAAGACAAGGGATATGGCAAATAAAATGAAAGGTTGTTCCACCATGGCCAAGAGCCCAAGCTTTGCAAAGACACAAAGTCAAGCTAACTCTAAGCAGCGCCTCTGCCGTCGTGGCGAAAAATCTAGCCGGTTTCAATATACACCGGAGGAAAAACGCTCCGCTCGCTCTGTCACACGATGTTTCGATTACTAGTCCCCATGATCCCTGTCAAAATAATGATCTAGTCGAACAATTAGTGGCAAAGGCGGGTCTCACAAAGTACTCAGTAGGCACACACTTCCAATAGAACATTAGGTGACCGGCATAAAGGGAAAGAGTGTGCTGAAACCAGCATTCTTCTTCAGCCCACCCTCGTCAAAGAAGAATTGCAAAATGTACGATCGAACGAGCGCTTTCATCGTGGCTGATGCTTTTCTGGAGGCCCTAGCGGAGGTAGCTCTTTCCCCTTCCTTTTTCTCTTCGACTGTTCTATCAATTGATATGTCGCAAATGACAGGCAGGCGTCGATTATCTTTTCACTGTACTTGGCTCCGATCATCCTAGTATTATCGATGCCTATGTCCGCCGCCAAAATGATCCAGCCAGATCATATCCCAAGATGATCCTGTTCCAACACGAGGTGTGTTCTTTCCCCACCCATCCAAGGATCTGCACTGGGCAAGGAATCTGTCTCGTGCTGATCGATCGATCAGTTCGTAGCTATGTCTGCTGCGGATGGTTACGCCCGGATCAGCCATAAGCCAGCATGTGTGCTCGCGCACGTGGACGTGGGGACTGCAGCGCTCGGTCAGGGCTTGCACAATGCATCTAGCGGACGAGCCCCAGTCGTAATTTTCGCCGGTGTAGCGCCTTCCACGCTGTTGTGTGAGGCTCCAGGCTCCCGGTCAGAGCATGTGCAGTGGTACCAGGATATTCGGGACCAGTCCGCTCTCGTGGCCCCCTATAGTCGATACAGCGCGGAGATCAAGTCTCCGCACAACGTCGGGACTATTGTGCATCGAGCTGTGCTTATGGCAACGACTGGCTCGCCGGGCCCTGTCTATCTCACTGCAACTCGCGAGATTCTGGCAACTGAAATTCCCTCACTGGGGTCCCGAAAGAAGCCCGTCCCATCCTGTCTGCTGGGGTCACTCTCCCCGGAGGGAGTGGCACTAATTGGGGATGCTCTGCTAGACGCAAAATCGCCTTTGGTTATAACTGGTTATCTGGGCCGCAACCATCGCGCTGTCAAGGAGCTGGTCAAGCTCGCCGATACCGTTCAAGGGCTACGCGTGTTCGACTCCGAGCTCCGTGAGGTATGTTTCCCAGCAACCCATCCCGCGTGCGTGACGCGAGGGACTGGCGCCGCGCCCGCTGTGAAATCTGCAGATGTCATTCTAGTGTTGGATTCCGACGTGCCTTGGATCCCCCGGCGGGTGCAGCCGTCTTCCACGGCGGAGATCTTCCACATAGACCTCGATCCGCGTAAGGAACGTATGAACGTGTTCGACATCGGTGCTTCGGCTACTTTCCATGCCGATACCTGCGCCTCCCTGATCCAGTTGAATGCATACATCGCGGGGTCATCTCATCTCCCGGACCACCAAAAGGGCTGGGCTTCCCGCGCTCATGAGCTCCGCGCGGCTCACGCCGAAGGCAAAAAGCAGATCGACTTCCGCGCAGCCCAGCTCCTCTCTAGCCCGGATAAGCCCTGTAACGTCGACTTCCTCTGCGGCCGTATTCAGGCCCTTGTGCCACAAGACACCATCTTTGTCACTGACTCGGTCACTAATCAAGTTGCTATGATCGAGCAGCTACAGCTCACGCGTCCGGGATCCCACATCACAAAAGGGGGCAGCGGACTCGGCTGGGCCGGTGGTGCCTCGATCGGCGTGAAGCTCGCAACATATCGCTACGATCTCTCTGATCGACCAAGTATCCGTGCTAACGAAGCCGTCGAAAGTCCGTTCCTGTGCAGCATCACTGGTGACGGCAGCTTTGTGTTCTCGGTCCCCACGGCCGTCTACTGGGCTAGTCATCGTTACAGGTGTCCTTTCTTGACGGTGATCTTGAACAATGGTGGCTGGAATGCCACACGTCAGTGCCTGGCCGATGTTCATCCCCAGGGTATGGCTGCTGGCCTGACGAATCAGGATCTTGGCATTTCGCTGGTTGAAGACGGACCGAATTATGGAGAGATCGCTAAGGCGGCGGCAAATGGAAACTTGTGGACGAGGCGAGTCATGCGAGTCGATGAGTTAGATGAGGCCATCAAAGAAGGTATTCGAGTTGTGTTGGAGGAGAAGAAATCGGCGGTTCTGGATGTGATCATTCAATAACGTATCTATATCTGCTCGGTTTCGTATCTTTCGTTTTTGCCAATGTTCCTAAAATGATGGATGCATTATCAGTCCTCTTTTCATCAGCCATGTCGGTCTTTATACAATTCGAACACAACATAAACTCCGATCTTCATGCCATAACATATGACTCGCCATATCTCCTTATGAGAAGCTTGTGATGGCGGAAAACATGAGGCTATCATGAAACCAACGGAAATATTTACGTTACCTGAATTTGAGACCAGTGCCGAGCATTATCCCCCCAGAGGCTCCTTTTAGCTGCAATCGGTCAGTCTCAGGGTGTCAAGTTGAGTAGACGACAAACTAGCGATGGAATAGAATGCTTGAATTGCTCTGATCTCATGGCTGGATAGATCCACCGGGGTCACATGGACACTAACCGTATTGGGATTAGGCACCACCCGAATGCTGATGTGGAATGCCTCAGGCAGTGTGCCAAGCATCGCTTTACCCATGGCTACTTGGATTGCTCACTTTTGAACACCTCTTTCTTCTTCCTCTACACCTTTATCATCATCTTTTTTATGTAGCTAAAATCACGGCTGTTCGTATCTTCTACATTTGCACATAATCCTGGTTATTACTTCCCTACGTTCAACGTACTGTATGCTTAACAGTTCGGAATGTAACGAGTTTGCTTGAGTAAATAAATATATGTTTTTAGCCAACAACCTCTATTTTTGAGCCCCGAAATCCTGTTATTGAATTATAACTATAGCCTCAAGCTATTATAGAGCACGGGAACCTCGTAAATACGTCGATGGATTATGGGTGAAAAGAAATAGCGATGGCGAGGAAAAGTGTCCTTGAAGAGGAGGGAACACCGGTTTGCATGGTCTGCTTAGTTTGCATAGTTTGCGTGGTGGATGCCATTTGGACTGTTTGAATTTACATCAAACAAACAGGACGTATTTGAGCTACTTCGTTCCTGGTATTCCCTGAAATCCCAACGACGCCAAGACCCTGTCCAACACTACGAGATCGGCATAAACCCCTTGACAGGCCAAGCCCACCACCACGCTAAACGCCTCGGAGAAAAGCAACAAATTGCGGGGGAACGGAGGGATTATGGCGCGAGACTTCTGCCATACCTACGCCCGAACAGCAACACCAAGATCAGGATCCAATTGAAAAGCACTAGCTACACCGCACCAACGATTCATCGATCAATTAACCGCACGAAATCATGACGCCAACCAGACTAAGGCCTCCGGACGGAGAAATTCATTTAACTTGGAATGATGCAACCCCGCAGTTTCGGGATACAATCAGCCGATGCGCGACTTGGCTGAGGTAGTGTTGGGAATTATAAATTGTGAAGGCATTTAGCTGGGGCCTGGATGAGGAGTCTTTTCTGACAGTGAGACTTGAGCTGAGATTCGACAGTTCTGCAGCCATTATGTTGCTCTCTTCCCTTGTCGGCCTTTCCCTGGTCGTTGTCGCGCAGGGCAAATACATCGTGCCTGGAGGGCGATGGCGCGATACAGATGGAGAGTTGGTTAATGCGCATGCGGGCGGCGTCGTCTTTGACGACAAAACGGAAAAGTTCTGGTGGTTCGGAGAGTATAAGACTGAGGGACAGGAGGAGGGCGGCGGAGTGTCGGTCTACAGTTCCGACGATTTGGCGACGTGGGAAGCTCATGGACTTGCTTTGAGTATGGATTCTCACTTATCTGTTGCGCGGTTCGTCAATATGACAATTGAAAGAAAGAGCTAACACGGGTACTTAGAACCCGTCGAAGGACATGATTACATCTCCACCAAGCATATCATCCAGCGACCCAAGGTGGTCTACAGCGAGGAGGCGGATCAGTATCATGTGCGCTCAGCCTACTCAAACAAACCGCAAGCTGGCTAACAATGAGAACAGATGTGGTGGCACGCCGACAACTCCTCGTACGGTTGGCTTCTACAAGGCCTCGCGACATCGAACAATATCTCTGGCCCCTACAGCTTCGTTGACGCGACCGCACCGCTCGGGAACTGGTCGCAAGACTTTGGGCTTTTCACGGACTACAAGGACCACAAGACGTATGCACTGTATTCCAACGGCGACCGCAAGGAAGGACGCGATGTGTATCTCACCCGGTACAATGACAACATCACTGCTTTGGACGAGGTGGTGCATCGGTTCGACAAGTACGATCTGGAAGCGCCAACCATCATCCAGACCGACAGGAGTTATTGGGCGCTTATGAGCCATAAAACTGGATACCGACCAAACAGTTAGTCAATGATACAAATAATGAGGGAATTGGAACTAACCGTTTTGACAGATGTGGTTGGTTTCAGAGCAGATTCGCTGAGTGGGCCCTGGTCGCAGCCATTTATCGTTACGCCGTTGAACACGCGCTCGTTCAACTCGCAGTCTGGAAACTCACTGAGGATTAAGGGGTCGAAGAAGACCACCTACTTGTATCTTGGTGATCAGGTATGACCAATGTCTCGACCTATAGTTATCGGAATTGCTGCTAATAGAATCAGTGGGACTCCAACTCCCTGTGGGAGAGCCGATACATTTGGCTTCCGGTTGAAATTGACGAGAAGAAGAATAGTCTTGAAGTTGTTTGGAACGACGTTTACGATCTCAACGTGTGAGTCTTCATATCGAGCGCCTCGCTATAGAAACCACAAAAAATAAAAAATAAAACAAAAATAAACAGAACTGACTCCCGCAGGAAAACCGGAGAGTGGAAGCCCATCAAGGGAAAGACTTATTCCGCAAAGAGAGCCAAGACGAAGGGAGACGCATTCAAGCAGGAAGCTGTACGTTCCAGATATTGATGAAAGAAAAGGTCATCCGCTAACCGCCCAGAACTTCGCGACCGACGGAGTGATTCTCACCGGAATCTACGGCAACGACAGCACCGTGACCTTCGAAGGTATCGAGGGAACCGGCAAGCCTCAATGGGTGTCGTTCTACTATCAAAGTAAGCAGCCTCAACACACAATCAGAATGTTTTACTGACGCGACAAATCGAAGACACTGACGACATGGGCTTCGGCGACCAACGTAAGTCTCCTCATCCCCTATCTCGAATTCCCCAACCGCGGTCTAACCGATTTATACAGCGGCAGGAACCCCCGATCGCATCGGCGGGTCTTGGCAACTCCGTCGCATCAGCAGCGTCGTTGTGAACGGGAAGACCGAGAAGGTGGAGACGCTATACCAGCGCGACACGCACAAGGGCATCATCCTCTCTACTCCGCTGCAGCTGACCCTGGAAAAGGGGAAGAAGAATACGATCACCGTAGGGGGCCTGTATAACGGATTCGACTATAAGGGGGCGGATCTGGATCGGATCGTGGTGTATCCACCCGAGTAATTGAACTCAAATATGAACAGTTGAAGTCTGTCAAATTTGGAAGGTCATTTTGTATGACCGATGAAGGTTCAAGATTGCTTCCGTCGTACCTCGAGCAGCTTATGGTAATTGTGCATGCTTCAGGCTTCTAAACGCGTCGAAAACTGGCTGCTTAACGCAAACGACAAGAATATTAACACTATTACCACTGGTCCAGATAAAATATGCAATCTGCTGCCTAGATGGATTCTTGCCAATAGCTATGGAATCCTTTGTTGACAGGGATCCGAGTGGACATCATACTGTAGTTTGTAGGGCACGATCTAACCACGCCATTAGATAGATCAGCCAAGGCCCAGGATTTCAATGGTCTAGGTTCCTTTGACGGGAAAGGGCAAAATCGAAAAGCAATCCAATACAATGAACCTTGTCTGTGATCTTGATTTGATGATTATGCGTGCACACTCATTGAATTATGGCGATAGGGATCAACCGCCCCCAGTGTTTAGCTCTCGGTGGAGATCCACCGACGATGGGGGCAGTATTCGACGGTCCCGAATTCTCATTGAGCCTTGGACACCGGAAGAACTCCCCACCTGAGTGATGTAGGATGTTAGAAGTACGACTGCCATGAAACACTCCCCCAAAGTTTCTTGAATCGTGATAGTCGGCTCCGTTGCACTTTGGCGATGGGTCGACGGTCTGGCTCCCTTTGCGTCTTTGTTGACTACTAGTCGACTTGCAGCTGTCCGGATCATGACCAAAAATCAGAGCTGCAGATGACTGGTGCTAGTGTTCTTGGTGGAGGCAATAATCTGGGAGATAGTCAATCCTGCGCAGTGGTCATGAATTGAGGGTTCGTGATGTGCGCGAGCCGCAGATATAATAAATACGATAGTCAAGGCTACTATATCCCTACTTCATCCACTCCTATCTAGTCTTGTGACTAATTGCCCTATCTAGCTTGCCATGGCCAAACCAGAGAACAAATCTGCTCTTGTCTTCGGTGCGAGCGAGATTCCAGGGTGGGCTGCGACAAAGAACCTCCTATCGTACCTATCTCCCACGACTCCCGCCTTGAAGAGAGTGGCCTCCCTCAGTATCTGCCACTAAAACTGTACTCAGGTATTGACCTGCGAGTAGCCGACAAATTCAAGTTGAACTTTGATCCCCGGGTATTCGACTCGCTAAAAAAGGACATGGGCCAGAAAAGGTAAGTATTGAATGAACCGAGTGGAGGTATCAGACAATGCGAAACACTCGGCAGATTTCGCGCATATCTGCATCTATGGCGTTTCCCATAGCGAACGCCCAGAGGACATAACAGATGTTCGTGACGCAAAGGACTTTTTATGAATTATCTCGATGATCTTATGGCCAAGTTTCTTGTATAACAAAGATCACCTAGCCTTTTTCCAGACTCTTTAACCGATCAATGAAGATCACACATTGACGAGGCTTTTCTTGTGGAAGGCCGGGCGTGGAAGAAATTGACACAATACCGGAGGTAAGAAGTAGATTTGCGCTCATAGGATGATAGATTCGACAGCGTTCAGGCCTTTTCTTTGGGACTATCTTTTGTTTCTTTCAACACGAGAAATCGTTGGCAGAAAGCAACTTTAGGTATCCAAACCTTCACGAATGATCTTCATCAGAAATGTTGATTTTCAAGTTATGGCAAGTTGGAGTAGTTCAAAGTCTATAAGAATGAGATATATATGGAAGAAAAAAGACAATATTATACTCGAGAGAACGAACTGAACAACTGATTATTCATCGTCGAGAAGAAAAAGAAAAAAACACATCATGTCTAGACCCGAAAAAGGAATGGTCCTTCCAGGAACCACAACCAGGAACGAGCATCTTCATCGGTAGGTCAACCTTCTAAACGCGGACAGTGGTAGCGTCAACATCGATAGTCTTCCACAGAAGGTAAAGGTAGTCACCGCCACGGTCCTCGTTGATGTCAGAAGACATGCCCTGGAAGCCCATGTCGGCAAGAGCATCAGAAGACAGCGAATCTTCGGAGCGGTACAACTGAACGTCGGTGATCTTGTCGGAGTTGTTCTCCTGCGCCTGAGGGAACAGGTAGCGGTACTCGCCTCCAGCTCCAGACGCAAGGTCGTCACGGTCCTCCTCTTCGCTGTCCTGGATGACGACCTGCACGTTAGAAGCGGCGTCGGAAACCTGGGTAGTCCAGACGGGAACCAGCCAGACGTAGCTGAGAAAGCCAAAGAACAGATTAGCGGGCTCACATTGACAAACAGGAATGAATCTGAGGGGGGTCTTACTCTCCATCCTGGCCCTTGTTGATGTCGGCCTTGCCGTTGTCGACCATTCTGATGGCGTCACTAGGCTCGGAGAACTCACTGTCTCCAGTCTCGACCTGTTTTACTCTTAGCGAACTATAATCTTACTTTGTGATGCATCGCATAAGTATTTACCTTGATATCGGAGAGGAAGCGGTTCTGTTTGAGAGTCACGGTGAATTCAACCTCACTATCGTCCTTGGCGTCGGGCCCACCAGAGACAGCATCCGTGTGGATGGTGATTCCGGGGCCATCGAAGATGCGCTCGTAGATCTTGAAGCTGTCACCTTTGCCGACCTTGACTGTTCGAGCAAAAGAAAGACCGTTAGCCAATGAACATCTACAACAATTTTTCAAGCGATAATTATTCTGGATACTAACACTCCTGCTCGATTGAGCGCGATTCACTGATCGTCTCTTCGGTCGAAATCTGCTTGACGCTGGACAAGGCAGTCTCCAACTGAGACGAGGTCTCCATGCCCGCGCTGACCTTGGCTTCGGCGACACCGTACGATGCGCCAAGCTCGATTCCGGAGCTGACGGATTCAGACTCCGTCTTGGTTACCGAGCTGGTCTCCTCCAAGAAGTTTGAGCGTTTGATCTCATAGGAGGTATCGATAGTCCGCTTGAACGATGACTCGGTGTTGTCAGGGTTCTCAACCTCCTGGAGGAGGCTGTACCGGAAGCGACCCTTCATGGTCACATCCACCGTCTTGGGCTGGTCACGACGGGCGACGCTGTTTTCCACAGGAATAGCACCCGTCAAGGGCTGAATGGCGACGGCCGTGAAGAGGGCCGCGTTGCGAAGGGTGGTCCACATTGTGAATGAAGAAGAGGATAAAATATCAAGGAGAGACTATGAACAGCAGAGTTTTATTAAAGAATGGACGGAAACCGTTTTAGGCCCGGGTGATTGGAAAGTGAGTGTAGTGGTTGAGGTTGTCCTTTTCCTCTTCGACCATTCTCCAGGAATAATCAGCAGTTTATATACGTTTGACAAGTTCTTCCCGTATCGGCTTGGCCGTTAGCTTATTTCTGATGCTCATTCAGCCAAGAGATTCAAGTAAATCGAAATCACCACTCTGAACCAATCATCGCACAAGACGAGGGGGCTCTTCTGTTGGACCCCCTTTGCGTGCTGTTCAGGCGCTTAGATCAAGACGGCCTAACGCCAACTATAGTCGCTAGTATATTTGAAAGGTGGTACTGACGTGAGAGACAATGGGCCAGGGGGGCGGAGTAGAAAGAAGGCTGAGAAGGAAGGAGCTGTTTCATCAGATGTCACCCAAGATTCTATTGAGTGGATTTCGCTCAATGTTCGGTTTAGCAGCTTCATTGGTCGAATCGTATTTGGAACTTCGGGCTCCGGGGTAAAGCTGTTGACTGTAATGGAGAAATTACGCCTCAGCGGGTCTGTAAACTCTTGCTAGAAGACAGTATCCACTCAATAACTATACTCCGTAGCCATCATTCATGTGGTGACCTTTCGATGAGAGGGCTTTCCTAACAGCCTCTGAAGACGCCCCCGTCAATCTGCTCATCGCACAAGAGAAAAACAAACTGAGCGCCAAGTCACTTTCAAGAATAGAATCAGGCGCGTATACGGTGTATGCCGACGCTCTGGGGGGCAGAGCTGACTCCCGTCTGAAGGATGGGAAAGTTCAGGGCCAATGCGCACGCCAAGACATTCCGCGGGCGCGTCTTGGCAGGAACAACTCCACCCGTCCATGCAGGACTCCTTATGATAACCATGGGCCCATTTATCCAGGCTGAAGTACCGGGCGAGAAATAGCAGACTCTGAAATAAGTGCAGTTGCATTTTCGTAAAATGGGTGGCCGTGGCGTACAGTGAGAAAAGCGGCCGTGCCGATTCTGGTCGAGCGAGATGGAAGAAAAATGTGGATGACGTGCCTTCTAGCAGCGTTTTCGTTTTTCCATTGTTAAGCACCCATATGAGAAGCAGACCCATGAGTTGGCTTTCTGTCTATCCTTCCAAGAGTAAGGATCCCCCGGCACAATTCAATTTGCATGTCCGTCCGCACGGGAAAGGGGCAGTGTTTCTCTGGAGCGAGATGGGGGCCGTTTCAGCCGAATAGTCGACGATTTGGCAGATCAGCCGCCCATCAGCCTCACCAGGCAAAGTCTCAGGGAATAGAGCCACTTATTGATAATGCGATAGTCCGCTAGGACGTTGTCTTGTACAAATCGTGCAATGATTATCTCGATCCACCAGTTAGACTCCAGTTAACGGGTCGTGGACAGACCCATCACAGGCTTGAAAGAGAAGTGGGAAGATCAGGGATTCCGTCTCCGAAAGACTGGCTTCGCCCCCATTCTAGATCATTGCACAAAATCACGCTTCAAAAGGACTGGCATTCTTGGACCCCAAGACGGCAAGGGGGGATGAAGATTATGAGACCACCGAAGTAATGCCGCAGTACTGTTTGGCCTTCATGAAATGACATCACATCTGGGTCTTCTGGAGATTCGATGAAAGTCTTCGGGTCGAGGCAGACACGATCACGTGGACGCATGCCTCCATCATCGCCAAGCAAGAATCGAACTTGATTACTATGAAGCTTTGTTGACGATGTTTCTTTTCCTTCTCTCAACTTTCCTATTTCGAAATTCCCACTTCCTTGCCCCCATGCGACCGCTCGAAGGGTCTTGTCGGATCGCTAAGTGGATGGTTCGGTTACCCTATTTAGCATTCTAGCGTTGCCAAGAGGCACGGCTTTTGCGGAGGACCCACGAGAACGAAAAGAAAGGGGATACAATATGGGCTCTCAAGGCCTTTGCGTTGAGTTGCTAGGTCCGGTATTTAGCTCGCTAGGTTTGGAGGATATGTTATCCTTGCGACAGGTCAGTCGTAAGCAGTCCGTCGCTCTCGCATTGATGGGATCAATCTATTAAGAACAAACATTAACATTCTTAGGATCATTCGATACTATTATCCTATCAAATACTCTCTCTCTTGCGACCGTTTGAAATTATGTAGGCGACCATTTCACATCACAGCTTCTCATTGAGAGGATGAGGAGGGATGCAGCCAGCATCCAGATTGCCCGAACCTGTCTCACAGCTAGCGATAGATATGACTGTGTACCGTTCTGGAAGCTACACCAAGTGGCGGTGGAGCCTTTTACATCTTGAAGGGTGACTTCCAGGTGGCCATGGCTGCATGGTTAGAACTGACGGAGATCATCTTCATGAGAATTGCATCACTACAATGTTGATGGACTCTTTGCAATATTCCTAATAAACAGTAACGCGGGTTTCAAAGGCGAGAATACGCTTATTACTACGCACTACGGCTCGCAGCGTACAGAAACTGTGAGATGGGGACATTGGACCTTCGCGGTAAGCAACTATTTCCACGCTCAATAGCCACTGTTCCAAAATAGATTACATGGCTTTCATATGATTGAATCTATTAACCACTTGTTGTGATAGCTTTAAATAACTTTTTCCTTCTTCACCCAGGATTTGAGGATGAGCCCATTCTGCTTCTTTTCCATCATCCAGTACTTCAAATCTGTCACATTATAGACACACCTATTCGGCCAAAGGAGGCATAACTGAATCGAGCGAGCAAAATACAGTACATGATGCAAGGCTCTGCTAGGCGCAACGTTTGCACGGAAACGATTTAACACAGGGTTATTTCTGGAAAGCACTCCAATCCAACTAAAATTACCTAGCTAGGACAAAGAAAAAACAGATTTTGGGCTTAACTCTCAAAAGTAACATAACGAACTTCGCAAACTCAGCAAATTCAAGGAAACAACAAGACAAATCACGCACCTGCGCCAGTGTCAGCCCCAACTCAAATTGGTTGCACCATTGACCTTGCCATCTCAAGCTCGGAATTTGACACAATGCCTCTATCCACCAATTTCTCAATTACTCGCACTGTCCAACCCTGACTGTTTTCAGTGACAGACTCCAGGTCCGGTGCCTGAGGGGGTGGCTCGACATCTGCTACCTCCTTCACGATCTTTGCCTCCTGCTCCGTTAAAGTAGCCAGATCGGATATGCTTAAGATATCGTGGCTCCGCATCCAAACCAAACGCCTTGATGGATGATAACCCATAATTGCTCCGGTTCCCCTAACCTCATACACCGAGCCAGGCCCATTCTCGGGGCTTACAAACAGACACCAATGATTGGGCTTATCTGGAGCTATTTTCCGAATAACAAGAGAGAGTTTGATGTCCCCTGATCCGAGTGGTGGCAGCTCGAAGGGGCATTTATCTTCAAGCCATGTCTCGGTTCCTACCCGTCTCTTAAAAGAGCGGCCGTTAAACTCGCAAAATTGCATGAATCGGACTGTCTTAAAGGGAGTACTTGAAGTCGGATAGTCACTCATTTTCTCGAGACCTCAAGATTCTGTCTTTTGTCTAAAAGAAGATTTGTCAGAGCTCGCCTGATTTTATCACTCGAGATGCTTTTGATGAGTTAAGTGAGCAATCTTCTTCTGGTGGTCTTTCAATAGACTCGCTGTGGTCGCTAATAAACTGACTCTGGAAGGATACTCACGTCCTCCTTTTATACTGTTAATTTCTTTGTACACCCCATACAAGGGCTGTGTCAAGTCAGTGGGAAATCTCCATGCAACGAAGAGTCGCAAAAGGTACCCCTGCAGGTTTGTCGCCAGTGACAAGGTTCAATCAGGGAGAAATCCCTTATTGCGTCTAGGTCCTACAATGCCGAATAAAGCTTCCAACACCTGGCTGTCAGTGCGACAACTACGAAGCCCTATCTGTTGCGTAGGGATTTATCCGGACTCTCATAGAGCAAGCATATAGCCCCGTTGTCAAAAATCAAAGGAGCAGTTCAAGAGCTCCTTTGCTATTAAACCTCGAGCTAACAGGGTGTCATTAAAAGCTTTTTCTTATTAGTTCTCGCATATACCAGCTGGTCGGAAGCCAAAAGGGAAAACCACGGTTTACACCCATGGGGGCAGCATAGCCCCTCAGAATAACGGCCAGAAAAAGAAATCTCACAATGATCGATAGATCAATGTGATTGGCTACCAAACCATGGACATAGAACAAAGGAAATAGATAACACAAAGAAATCAGGCAGACCTCCTCTATCATTTACGCAATACTTAATCCATCAGGCACATTCCGGCTAAAAAGTCATTTATCGTTAATTGTTTTGATCCCCACTTCTGACGTGTGTTGAGATTACGACCTCTCGCAAATCCCAAGCAGCACCGAGCCGCTGAAATCTTCCTCCATCACCAAGGTCCCTCTATTCAAACAATATTTGATCTTTACAGAATGGCCGACTTCCTGGGCGGCTTACCTCGTGGGCTCCGAAACTTGGACGAAAATCGCACGTACGTGGCAAAAGCCACGACTGTCTCGCCATGGCTATCATCCGTATGCCATTTAGACCTCTCCCCTGTTGAAGAGTTCATCAGAATTCTACGAAAACACGTTGGACGAACTGTATGGGAGTCAAACTGCTCTATTGTATGGAAATACGGAAGCGGCGTGCAACCATCAGAGGCTGAAGCAATGCGACTTGTGATTCGAAACGCCTCCATCCCTTCGCCTGAAGTAATTTCGGCGCATTTTGGCCCTAGGGAAGGCTTCATTAAAATGGTTCGCATTGATGGATCGACACTGGCAGAGAAGTGGGATACACTGGATGAGACCAGCAAGGAGTCTATCTGCCATCAAACGTGGGACATTGTTTCCCAGATCAGAGCCATCCCGCGGCCACCAGAGCTAGAAGGTCTCTTTCTCTGCATGGCCGATGGCACTCCCTCCAAAGATCCAGTATTCGAGGATCTTCAAGAACCGGGAAGGCCTTTACGAAGCGACTCCGAGGTGCGAGCTCGCATCGTCGAGCGTTATCATCAATGCCGTGGTCGTCGCTATGCGACTGAGCTACCTAACATGTTGCCGCGTACAGATACTTCGGTGTTCACACACAGCGAAATTGCCCCTCGCAACATCTCGATCGACGAGCAGAATAATATTGCCGGGCTGCTTGACTGGGCATCGGCGGGTTGGTATCCGGACTATTGGGAGTATGCGCAGATACTTAGACCTACCCCCTGGGGCGATTGGTCGGAGTGGATGGAACGGACTGCGCCGCAGAAGTGGGATATCAAGGGAATCAATGTCTCCCGGAAGGCCTTGTTTTAACCCTTGTTCTTGAACCGTCTGTTTTCTCTTTGGACCTTATGTTCTTCGCTTTAGATACTTACTGTACTACTGCCTGACTCCTTCTAGAATGCTCCGCTTTCGTTATTTAGGTCAATTTCCTTGTTTCCTTTTATCCTACTTTTTGTCGATCTCCAAACATCGTACCGTGATGCATCATGTAAACTCGGATACATACTGCGATGTATCCCGTCGAGAAAGAAAGAAAGCAACAATGATATTCAACTGTTTCTTTTCAACAGAATCATCTTAGACAGATTTTTGAACTAGAACCAACCTTCTCAAGTGTCGAATTAGCTCATCAACTGCGAAATCCTGTCCCTTGTAAACCTAAGCAACTCAAGAAGATCACCATCAACCTCACGCCAATAAGTTATCCTCCCCAAGCGTATTCTGCGTATACCTCGCATTAAACTTCAACACCCTCTTCGCCTCATTGTAATCACGAACGCTGAGTGGTAGAGGCTGCTGGCTAACGAACCATTGCACCTGCTCCGTGCAAGGTGGCGTAGTCAACGAACCAGTGTAATTGTAGATAACGTTCCCTTCCAGATGTCTACTCAACAGATGAAAGTCGGTCGGTCCAGTATTTGTTGTGGTTCCTGCTTCGGCTATTTCGTTGCAATGATTGAATATAGAATCGAAGGGGGCGAAGGAGGGTTGGTTCTCGACGAGCTGGAAGAGAAAGCCGACGACGGCGGTTTCATCTTGGAATTCGTTAGTATGTCGGTTATTATGACAATGATGCGGTGGGGTGGTGGTGATCGCTTACTTGCAGTCTGAAAGACAAAGTGCACTTCCATGGGAAAGTACTCCCCGTTGATGTGATGCTCGCTTGGAGTGTGGAAATGGAACTGTTTCAGAGGGTATTGTTTGTTTCTTAGTCTCAGAGACCCTTGGGCTATAACCTCCAGTCCAGCACCTATGTTTTCGAAAGTGGACGCATTTGCGTTGGGAATGTTGATATGAAGGGTACCAGGGGCAGTGTAGCTAATTTCCTCCGTGATGATATCGATGGGGGACTGATGACGACCGGAAGCACAAGCTCCATTCTTCGATGGATCTAGGTCATGCCAGTGAAGGGGGCCGGTGTCTCCATTGTATGTGTAGTCCTTGACTTCCACTTGAGAGTCGCGTGTGGTAATTCGAGAGCGATCAATAACGTAAGTATGAGCTGTGCTAGCCAGTAGAAGAGCCGTAAAGAGATTCATTCTGAAGATGGATGAAATGGAGATGTAGGAGGCACGATATGTTTCTTAGAGAAAAGCTCTTTCCCATATTGCGTCGCACCTAAGGTTATATACTGCCTCTTCTAGTGGCACTGAGTAGCTGATCCACTTTACTCCGGTTGTACGATCAACTAGACTACCCTATACGGCCTTACTCTGGTCCGCTAGGTCTCGTAGCGACGTTTCCGACGGTTTTCCCCGACCAGCCTATCGACGTGGCTGTACTAGAGTTCCCCCTAGAGCCGATAACATATTCACTGGAGCTGGGGGGGCAAGGTTCCACGCGAAGATGGGCTAGATCATTGGCAGAGCGCTGTCTTTAGCAAGGATATTCACATTGACGGGGCTCTAAGACCCTATTAGCGCAACAGTCCCCGCAAAAACCGTCATCAGGATCGCAGAACATGGTGCGGGACAGCGATCAATGCATGACGAAAGCGTGGGAATCGAAGACAAGTTCTGACATGCCAAGCATGCGCGTCTTGACTGACGTGGGATCCTGGTTTCCAACCTCGCGTGGGATTATGTATAACCGTTATTGCTTGGCTCGTTTAACGAAGTCTTGGATTCCTTATCCTGCGCGAGGTTATGCGTAGCTTGCTGTACACCCAACGAGATAATATTTAGTACCTGTGGGAGGCTGTAAAGTCCTGATGTTTGATGGAAATACGCCCAGTAACTACACGTCTGTGCAAAGAAATTGTCGACATACTTACTGATTGAGCTAGAAAGTGGAGGTGCTTCGGATATAGTACCATTCTCGTACCCGACTTTCTCCCGAGAATATTCGCCAAGTCCCTCTCCACATTTTAGGTCCTGCTCCTCGCCCACGATACCGCCAGCCAAGCGTCGGAGATTTAATTGACAGGCGTCTTGATCCTTGGCATGGAGATTCCGGCTCATGATTAATTTGAGGATTGCGTGAGTGCTCCATATTGACTGCACGCAAAGAGCGGCCCTTTTGGGTGGGGTGGAAAACACCTTACCTGTCTAGGCTTAGCGTGTCCAGTGACCCTCCCATTTGTAGATGGCTTCATCTTGTCCTGGACATGCAAAGCCACCCTCATCCTGCTCAGATTAAAATCAAAATACCATGTTTCTTCCACTGAGTTGATGAAGGAAGCTCCTTGCCCTTTCTTCCGACAGAAGGCGGCTTGCAGGCAGGCTGCTGCCAAGCTCAGAAATAACTTAGATTCGTCAGGGGCTCAAAACTTGTCCCATCATGATCAAGAGATTCACGGTTCGCTAGCATCAAAACGATCTTTCAAGATTTGTACTAAGAGCTCAAACGGTAGGTTCTTTATCCTTTGGCTTTCCATGTGCCCTAGATTCACAACCGCCTACCCCTATTTCGATCCTTCCAGAAAGTGTCAAACTAAGGAAGATTATAGGCAGTGGGTCCAGGGCTTGTGGCTTAGGAATCCCTCATTGAAGACACGGGACACCCCGGGCCTTGAGACCTGGTAAATTGTCATATGTATCGAGGAATATAGCAGAAACAGCTATGTCAGGACTGGAGAAAACATCGCGCCACGAGGCTCGAGAAAAAAGATGTGCATTGAGTCTAGCTGCTCATGTCCACGTTTGTCATCATTCTAATTAGGTTATATGTCTACCGAAGATTGGCATATGAGCCACTGCGTCTTTTCCATGGCCTCATTTCTCGGATCCTTTTCTTCCACCCCGTTCCGCTATATATACCTATATGACTGCGCGCTCCGTAAGAGGACGGTTTTCCACTATCCTCTTATAGGAAAGCATACTCAGATCAAGTGTCTTGAATCCTCCGTACACGACCAACTCAGCCACGCCGCGTCCGCAGGCCGGAGCCTGTTGACTGCCATGGCCAGAGAAGCCGACACAAAAGAACAAATTGCTAACTTCGCTATGTGGGCCAATAATAGCATTCTGGTCAAACGTGTTGAACTCATAGTGACCCATCCAGGAGTTGGTCACCCGTGCACTGGCGAATTGAGGAACCCGGCGAGTGATCACCGGCAAGACCTTCTCTTCCCAAGCATTTTCCGCGAAGCTGAAATCCTTCACATCCACCGCAGTGTCGGGACCAATGGGTGGGCAGCCAACCAGGTAGTCTTTGGCGCCATAGGAACGGAGATGGACACCCGATGGATCGATGGTTAGGGGCAAGTCTTGCGGGAGTGGCTCGTCGACTTCGAAGATGTAGGTGTACCGTCGTCTCGCCTCGATGGGAAGATCGATCCCCCCTAGTCTCGAGACAGTGGCCGCGCGAGTTCCTGCAGCGTTGACCAGGTTGCCCACCGTGATCCGTTGTCCGCTTTGCAACTCGATGCTTTGCACTTGGTCTTTCTGTATATTCACACCAACGACTTCGTTGCTGATATACTCCACCCCCTTCTCACGGGCTGTTCGACGTAACCATTCAACCATTCCGAAGGCATTGAAAGCGCCCTCGTCGACGAGGTTAAGGCTCCCGGCATCAATGTCATCCGTGAAGAAGAATGGGTACCTTGCCATGACCTCGGCCCTTGATAAGATCTGCGTGCCAGCTCCACAGCTCGCCTGCAATTCCTGGTCCTGTTTCAACACCTCCGTGAATCTCTCCGAGTCCGATAAATAGAGGTACCCGAAGCTGCGGATCGGGGTATCCGGCACGCACGCGTCCGGCGGGAACTCGTTGCCGAAACGTTTGACGAATTCGGCGGCGTACTGGGCAATCTGGACATTGATAGCCGTGGCAAACTGTTGTCGCATACAGTTGTTACTCGCTTTAGTGGCGGAATACTGTAGCGATGGGTCCCGTTCGACGACGAGTACTGACCCTTTGAAGTCAGGGTTCGTGACCAGGTGCCATGCGATGGAAGAGCCGCTGGTGGCACCGCCGACAATCACTACATCATAATGCTGATGGAGAGGAGTGGTGGGGAATTCTTCGGTCGACATATTGGTTTTGAACAGCTTTGAAGCTGTTTGAAGGGAGGGCAATCGGGGAACTCGGTGTATCTTTCAATAGAATCCCTAGCTTTTGAAGCTGATAACTTGAGCAGTCTCTAGCCATTCCTTTCGGTTTATATAGTGCGCGGCATCCGCGTCCAGACGCACTGCGTAAGGTACACCCACACTCCCCCAGTATCCTGCCAAATCTGTTGTCGTTACAAGCTTCCTGATCAATATGCGACTCATAATCTCGCGTGCCGAAACAAACACTTCCAATTATGTCATTCAATACGTCATTTCCCTCGTCGCGATAAACTGCCAATTTGGCTGGAGATGAGTAAGCGTATGTGGGCCCTCGGACTATTCCGGCGGCCACTCGCCACTGGCTGGAGAGAAAGAGGCAGGAGTCCCCGACAGCCCAAAATGGACTGTCATTTTATCAGCTTCCTAAAAGACTAGATGTACCCCCTTAGAACGCAGCTTTAGTAGCAGTTTTCAGTTGAAATTTTCTGTTTGAATATTGTTTCCAAACTGACCACGCAACAATGTCCCCTCGCATCTTCATGTACGTATATAGTTGTATCCATCTTCTCTTGAAAGTAGAAGATAAGCGCTGACAGTGGTTCGTCTTAGCACCGGAGCAACAGGATACATCGGCGGCGATGTCCTCTACGCTCTCACCGAAGCATTTCGCTCCTCAAAGATCATGGCTCTTGCCCGAAACGAAAGCCGCGCAGCTATGATCAGCAAGAAGTTTCCCACCGTGACTCCAGTCATTGGAGACCTTGACTCCACAACCCAGATCACAAATGAAGCCTCCGAGGCTGATGTCGTTCTCAGTGAGTTGCTGATGTTAACATCAGGAAATAGTTTTCACTAATTCTGGACAAACCTAAGACCTGGCCAGCTCCAATCATCTGAACAGCGCAACTGCTATCACGCAAGGATTAACACAAACCAAACGCCAAAACCCAGGTGATTCATACCTTTCCCCAGCTCTACCTAGCCGGCTTGGATGAAACTCTAACAAAATCGTGGAATTCATCAGTGTGGATCCAAATCGCTGGAGCAAGCCTCCTCTCTGGCCCCGATATTGCGGCGAATGCCTACGGACAAGCGCGAGCCCAAGAGTACAACGATCTCCACGGCATCGATGAAATCCGAAAGATCATCACTTCTTCCTCAAAACGCGCTGTCGACAATCTTCTCCTTAAGCTTTCCGCTTCCCAACCGCACGTTCGAACAGCCATCATTTATGGTCCATTGATCTATGGCCGAGGCCGAGGCCCGGTCAACCAACGCAGCATTCAGCTACCCGACCTTGCAAAAGCAACTCTTCGACATGGCCATGGTATTCAAGTCGGGAAGGGGCTGAGCTGCTGGAGTAACATCCACGTTTCGGATCTGGCCAAGTTGATCGTGTCGTTGGTGCAGAAAGCGACATCCTCTAGCTCCTCGGGTGCAGGACTGTGGAACCAGAATGGGATTTATTTTGCGGAGAACGGAAAGATGGTTAGTTATGATTCCAGAATATGCCTTTCATTCTTTGATGGATAATTTTCTGACGTCTAATGTTTAGCCTTTTGGAGAGATTTCCAAACGAGTGTCTTCGTTTGCTGCCGGGAAGGACTTGATCAAGAGTCCAGAGGTCCAGGAGATCGACGCAGAAGCTGCAGACAAATTGACTGCTCATGGTGCTGTGCTGTGGGGAACGAACGCTCAGTATCAGGCCGTTCGGGCACGAGAGCAGCTAGGTTGGAAGCCGCTGGGTCCTAGCTTGGAGGAAGAAATTCCTAGGGCGGTTTTGGAAGAGGCTTCGCGGCCTGAGTCGAAGATCTAATCATCAATCTGCTTTTTAGAAAATGTCATGACATGTTTTTCAAGTTCATTCTGTAACCATGTAATATCATGTCGCAATGATAGGGCATCTCTCATGCTTCATAACATCGAACCAACTCAGTGTATAATCCTTCGCCTCTGCTCGTGCCTTCCAGACACATTGTGCAGTTCCGGCGGCCGCAGAAAACGGGCCCAGAGACGTCCGATTCCCGGCAGTGACTAACCAGTCTAGTGATTTGGACTGCAGGTCAGGTTTTAATGCTTCACAGGCCGCCATAAACCCGGGCCAGATGATCGTTTTATCACTAATTGCGCTTCCCAAATGGGCGTTATCGCTGCGCACCAGGAAATCCAAGCACTTTCGGACAGTATCTTGAAGAATCCATGCGCTGATATTGGGGACGCGACGATAATAAAACAGGATCAAAGCCTGGTGCATCGCTCGAGCTTGGAAGTAAGTTGTCTGGCCCTCCCTGCTCGCCTCTTCCCTCGCCGAGAGAGGGGTAGATGGCGGTTCCCACGACAGGATGTACTGTTCGAGAGCGCTCGCCCGCCGCTTTAATTCGTCCGTAACACGTACATCCACAGTTGGGCCTCTGTGGAGTAGTTCTTGTTCGTTAGCCAGACGAATGACCTGCGATAGGAGGGCCAATAAAGACTCTGGGATTCCGTAGATATCCTCAAACAGCGTCTCGTTCCACTGGCCCATTATTTCCAGGTGGATATCATTGTGGCCGATTTTGTTACCTTTCTCCAACGCGATGTCAATCTCGCCATCCAGAATGTTGTGTGCCATGCGGAAGCTTCTTAGAGAGACTGGAGATGACTCAATCGAGAGCAAGCTAGAGCTAGGCCGGTCTGGACAGATGTTGAGAAGGGCACATCCGCATGTACTTTCGGCCATGATACGTATATAGGTGTAGACGTGGTGTAAGGATCGGACCTTGACCGACTTGTGGGGCTTTGGGAGACCGCGTATGCGAATTAGATATTCTGCGTCAACAAGGAAAGCCTGTGCATTTGAATTCTCTCCGTGGAAGATCTGAGCCGTCGCATTAGTAGCTTGAACAGACCAACAAGTGATTATCGAAACATACCGCGAGCATAACCATTGACAAAGTGGCAACTAGGATTTCCTTATACTTGGCTCGTCCAGGTCCCAAGACCTCCTTGTTCATGGCCAGCCCTAGATGCTGTGCGGCGATGTCTTTGAATCTCTTCCCCGATATATTCAAGTTCTCGGCAGACTCGTTTCGTGCATACATGTGGAGGCAGCTGGCAGCCAGAAGGGAATAGAACAGAGATAGCCTGGTATGGCTAGTTGTTCGATTAATGCTGAGCTCCGCAAATGTACTCATTGCACTAGGCAGATAGATTGCCTGCCAGGGGCACTTCACGGAATTTCTCAAAGGGAAAGACAAGGATTGAACGTTCTCCTTGAAATAGCGTAACAGATCAGGTGCTAGAGGAGGGATGCGCTTGCTCTCTTGAAGTGCGGGTGAGGGGCTAGGGCTCAGATTCGTCAAAGATTGCTGAAATGCAATTTCGTCGGGCCTTCCTTCCAGGCCTTCTGCAAAAGATATGTGAAGGTCGTTGGGTGTAAGTCCAAGCGGCATCAGTGCGCTTACAGGATCTACGTTCTGGTATTCCTCAACTAGATCATACAACCCAGCCAAAAAGTGAGTGTCCCCGGGGGTAGCGGAATTCGTGTCCAGTGACTCCCAGATAGCATCCATCTCGAACTCGTGGGGCGGCATATCTAATTGTGATGGAGTTGCAGTGTCGAGAGACGCCCCATGCGGGGCCATGTTCAATAGACCGAATGGGCCTTGAAACGAGCCCTCGTTACCGCTCTCCAATATCGTCAACGCAGTACTAGCGGACTGTTGGCCAAGACTATCTACCATCATTTGTGTCATTCTCCGCTGGTCCGCCACTGGTAGCCGAATTAGCCATGACAATCACATAGCACGCAACGTGAATCAGTTACCAGAAAATAGAGGGCGCCGATAGATCCGAGCTGTGTTATCATGGGCATCATCGTCGGCCCAGCACAATTGGCGCTCGTATCCAAGACACTCCAGATCTTGTTGCTGACATTTCTGGCAGACCGGGCGGTTTTCGTCGCATTTTACATGACGACTTCGACAGGTTCCGCAGCCAGTAAGGGTGCGGTTGCGTCGCAACATCCTGCATGATAGTTTGGACACTGGCGCGGTAGTTAGATGAAGGACTAAGCAACCAGAAACAGGCCTAGTTCGCCATCGACCACGTGACTGCTATCGGCTTGGGAACAAAGCCACGTGATCCCAACTGTCTGGATGCGGTCACGTGGTTCTATACTACATTGAGCGGAAGCCTGGCCTTTTTCGAGAAGAAAATAGTCGAGGGGCAGTATTATGGTGATTGAAAATGCAATGCGGGAGATTCAGGTGCCAGATGCAGGTTGTCTTTGCTCAATTCGTGAACCGCAGAGTATATGACCAATCGAAGTGCTGTTCTAAATACACGGAGTAGGTAATTGTTCTAATCAATCCACAAACGGAAGAGCTCTAAGCCATGCCTTGCGTTCATTTTCATCCCTAGCCTCGCGAAGTAAAAACCGCTGTACTCCTTCATCGAGTTGCTTTTTGGAGACCTCATAATCGACTTCACTAACCCTACCGTCCCAATGTTTGAAGCACCCAGTGTCGTGGATGCATTCATTCATTAGTTCCACACCCTGAGCCCACAAGTCTGCATCCGTTGCCTGTTGCTGCGCCTCGGCAGCTGAATATTGCAAGGGCCACGGTATTACTGGCGAGCCGTCTGTTTTCACGCCAACGATGTTGGTCCATTCTTTCTCCACGTCTCTGAGGAGGCTAGCGAGGCACGGTTCGTAGTCCATCAACGTCAACCCGGGAATAACACTCACTTGATGACGGAGTGTATTCTGACCCTGTAACGCTTGGAATACCTCTGGATTTGCTTGGCGAGATCGGGCTAGGTACAGATTGTGCAATGTTTGGGCCTGGTGCAACGCCTTGGCTTTGTGTTGTTCGTCTGGACTGAGGGAATCAAAGTTCGCTGGAAGATGGACCTTTCCTAATTCTTCAGGGAGAGGACCGTTGTATTCTAGAAAGGCTGGACGCGTGGCCTGCATGAACAGCGGACAGGCGCTGACAGATTGCCAGTCAATAATTCCGAGAATCTGGGTGGGCTCGTCAGGGGCGACGAAGATATTCTGCAAATTGAGGTCTCCATGCCAGAGAACAGATGAATGAGTTTCTGGATGCTCCGGGAGAACATTAGAAGCCACCTTGAGGTACTGTTTCAGTGTGGATAGCTTCTTTGCAGTGTTAGGTTGGTATTGTCGAGGTCCACGGAACAATCCCTCCGGCATTAATGGGTATCTAAGATCTGCTTTCGCAGAAGCAATCTCTCTGTTTGCGATTGCTATCATGAAACCTCCGGGTGTGCCCCCTAAATTGGCCATCCTAGTTAACATGCGAGACACACCAATTAGAAGTGTCGGATAGGCAAAACACATACATGGACCACGATCAATATCCAGATCTGCTCTCCCAAAATCGAAAAATGCACGATGGTTGGTCGGTCCGATGCCGAACTTTGAGCTTTGCACCTCATTTCCGGCGCTGTCGATGTACAACGAGGCCATTGGGTTGGGCCTTGCAGGGAGATCCTCCTTGTAATACAAAGCCCCAACCTTTCGAAACTTTGTTGCGGCAAGTGACTTCTCGATATCGACAACCTGCAGCACAATCTGGGCTTTCTGTTTTCCTTTCATGCTTCCCCACATATTGCTCAATCTCACACCAGCTTGTTTCTCCATGATGATATACTCAGCTCCAACAGCGTTCTCTGACGCTCTAGAGCTCCATGCGTAAACCCGTGGAACTGATAGACCGAGATTATTCCGCAGCTATTGAAGTCAGCCTTAGCTATAAGATCCAAGCAGTTCCAAGGGAAAAGAGGAATGATGACCGTACGAAGTCCATAGTTGCGACCTCACTGGCTGTGGTAAAATGAGGTCTGCCTGCGTTGGGATTCGGTAGTTTGGCAATAACCTCTCGCCCATCGTTCATAGTAAACATAAATACTTTGTTGTACTGCCCCTCCGAGATCTTGACCACTCGAATGCAAGATTTTGATCCAGTGACAGAGGTAGTCAGCTCCAGGAGTTTTGGCAGGTTAAACTTGACGTAGCGACATGCGAGTTGCTCTTTCTCGCGCCAGAGCCATCGACCCGAAGTGAACTTGCTAAGTGCCTCCAGGTCATGCGTCGTGTCTAGTTTGCGCAAACTCTGCCGTGATTAGAGATATTCGATCGTTGATACTAGACACGTTATTGCCTCATACCTTTCTGGTCTCTCTCAGTTTGATGAATCTTGCGGGTAAGGGAAGAGAAGTCGGATTTCATCGGTCTTTCATAAAGATACAAACACATGAGCAGATGGTTATTCAGAGAATTGCCCACCATGGATCTGCGTAGTGTCTTCATAAAGCCATCGAAAGTAGAAGCTATGATAGGTGACATTCCAGAGGTCCCTACGGATGAATCGACGTGAATGACTGGAGGACTGATTCGGAATATCTCCCCGCTCGGACCTTTCTTGGCGCCTACGCCCTGTCTACGCAGGTACTCTCCTTCATGGAACAAGGATATGAATTTATTACCTCGCCGTTAAATAACTGCTAGCTACTCGGTTATTAGAGGCAGTGCCTCCTTTTTCTAGGCGACATCTGATCCCCTCCATGCATATATCAAATAATGATCATATCAATCCACATCAAGCCACCGCCCTCAGTTGATCGAGTGCCTTCTTGAAGGAAGTCTCTGTATCCAAGGGCTCACGGAAGATGTCTGCACAAGCTTCATTAGCATTGGTACATCCTCACAAGATTGCTTCAGCAGATACGAGCATACCTCTTAACTTTTGTCCCAGTCTTCCTCCTCCAGATCCTCCCAATCGAGAGAGCAATTTCGTCAGATCCGCAGTGATCCCCTCATATAATTTCAGAATCGAACAAAACTTGTCTGTCTGTACGTTGAAGATAAAGCTTGCCTCCGTCTGCTTGCCGTAAGACAATCGAGCCTGCGATCGGGCTTCTCAGCTAGTTAATGCAAGCTCCTTTTGATAGGGAAGAAAGAAACATACTCAACGCGTTAAATTTCGGCCACTTGAATTGACTGGAGGCTAGTCCATCTTTCGGATTCTTTGCAAACGTCGCCCACGCATCCCGCATATAAGCTGCCGCCTTAGCTTCATAATCTGTGTCATCGACCCCGGTAACAGCAGGAGCCGTCCCAAAAAGCGGAAGAAGATCCGAGGTATGATACGCGGACCCCACAGGAACGATATACGTGTTGCTATAGTTCCCTCCATAATACCTATATCGCCAGACAGGGACGTCGTGCTGTTTTCGATACCCAGCAGCCTCGGCCGCAGGACACGTGAAGCCCGCCAGTGTGAGAATATCACCTAGAGGCTGGAGGATGTTCATAGGAAGCGCGGCGACCTGTTCTGCCGTGAGGTTGGAGTACGCTAGCGCCGTGATGAGGAAGAACCCGGCCTCGTTGTCGGTGTTCCCTGTCATGAAAGGAATCCGAGCAAAGTTCCCGGCTTTGCCTTCGGCTGCGATATCATTGGGGACGACCTCGCCGTCGCCGACAGGGAGGAAGCCGCCTACTAGGCCTTGGCTGCCAATTGACTCGATGGCTGTTAAGAGGTCTTCCTGACTCTTCGATCGCATGCATGACACCGTATCTTCGCCGGCCTCTGAGCCACCGCATCCGAGAGTGGTGGACACATTGAACCAAGCTTCGCGGATATCAGCGGTGCCAGCCGATGCTGAAAGCGATGAACTGGCAGCACCAGAGTGTGCGATCAAGCCGTGTGCGATAGGGTCTTTGGGATAGCTGTATGCCAGAAAGTCTGTTGATAGGCCGCCAGCGGACTGTCCAAAGACTGTAATTCGAGTTGGGTCGCCTCCAAAGCGTTCGATGTTATCTCTCGTCCATTCCAGGGCAAGTCGCTGATCCAGCAATCCCACGTTCCAGGGTTGGCCAGGCGCTCCGGAGAATCCAAATATGTTGAGACGATAATTGAACGAGACGACTACCACATCGTTCTCGTCTGCGAGGATGGAGCCGTCGTAGACGGGACTTGAGGCACTACCAATTGAGAAACCTGCATAATCAGAAGAGTTCTTGCATTGTCGCCAGTGCCTCCTCACCTCCACCATAGATCCAGAACAGTACAGCTTTCTTCTTCTCCCCCTCCTGGGGTTTCGTCCAGATATTGATAGTTAGACAATCTTCATCAAGAACGCTGTCTTCTTGCGAGAGAGCTCTAGTTATCTTTTCGCCGACAGGACCACCGAGGTGTGCCTGGCGCATAGGGATGCGATTCGAGGGGCAGTCACTATTATTGGTGAGTAATATGTCCATCGCAGATGCTCGATTACTCACGGACTCTGTAACTTGTTAGCTGCGATATGAAATCAGGTACAAAGACTCACATAAGACGTTGCATCAAACAAACCACTTGCCCTTTCCACTGCAACGGGGGCCGCAAAGCGCAACTCACCCTTGGGTGGCTTTGCGTACGGAATGCCCAAGTACTCGGAGACATCAGCTCGCAACGATGAAGCTTTTCCTTTCAGAGTGCCGCTGGTCGTATTTACCGTGTCACCCACGGTAAATGCATTGACAGTTGAACGCGACCAGATGATCGAGTAGGAGAGGATATAGATGAAAGCCTGTTTCCAGTACATGGTGACAGATCGCTTAGATGCTCTATGGCTTCCTTATAACTTGGTGACAGGAACGGCCATGATGTATGTTATATACCCAATCGTGCGAGTTCAGCCGCGGTTTCAATCACTACAACTGCAGGACAAAAATGGCTCTTCTTGACCGAGGCTTCGAGCTTGTATCAAACTCGCGTAGGGATCGGGTCTCAGGCCCTTGGCCAAACATTTTTTTCCAGGATGTATCAGACGATGGTACCATCCATAACCCTGAATGTAACCTTTCAGCCCGAGATATGGAAGAGTCGTGCCCTTCAGCGGAGCCGGATTCCGCTAATGAAGCAATGCCAATATCTTTACTTTCCTCGGCAAAATGCCTTGTCCTGTCTGGTAGGTTAGCTCCTGCAGATGGGATATTAATCGCTCATTCTCGACATGATACTCCGGCATTCAATTGGAGCGTTCCCTGTCTTTTGCCTATATTCGGTACATCAACCGAGGCATCCAGCTGCTTGGCAGGTTCAACATCAGATCGCCGACAATATGGTTTAATAAAAGCGGGGTTCAGCAATACTAAATGCCGATGGACGGTAGTTGTTCGGATGTTTCAGATATGTGGAGTTGACTTAGGGATTTACATCCAGAGTCGCTGGTCGCAAACTAGTAGAACAGTCGGTAAGACTACTCCGAGTAAACAATTATTACAATAGCCTACCTTAAGCCTACCGTGGTTGTTATGTTTCACATGAGTCGAACATCATAATAGAAAGACGCGACTATCCCTTCTCGTTCTCGCCAATCTTCCTCTTTTTAGAACTTGTACCCATGGGCCCAAACATGCTATCCAATTTCTGCTGACCCTTCTCATGTTTCTCAACTTTTACTCTCTCCGAAGCGAGAACCGGAGGAAGCCCCTGCACTCTTTGTTTGGCATCATCCAATAACTCAACCTCCCTTTCGCGCTGCTTCTTGACAGTCGGAACAGACCAGGAGTTCGATCCTGCTGACTTGTATGCCAGCTTATACTTGGATCCACTGAGGCTCGTCTCGTAGGTGTTCGCGTCGACTTTCTTCACATACTGCGAGATGTGAGCCCAATCCTACCATCGCACTTACCTCGCCTCCGCCGTATCGCACAACCAGTTCAAACCAAACCAAGAAACCACGGTAGACCATACCTGATGTCCAACGATAAACCAGTGATACTCGGTACCAACGGGGGCGCCACTCCCCTGGGGCGCATTCTTCAGGCGTCGCTTGTTCGTTCGAAAATCGATTTTCCACAGATCCGGCTCCTCCTTCGTTTCCTTCCACGTTCCCGGCTCGTAGGTCCAAGTGTGAGAGCCTCCGACCGCCATCCCCGAGTAAACCTGTCCCTTGTATGACTTCAGCGCGTTGTACCCCCCTCCTGTGCCGACAAAGTCATCTGAATCGCGTTGGTCGCGTCCCATGGATGGTTCGCTGATCCCCATTACATCCGCGGGTACCTCGTCGTCCTCGTCCCAAGATACGGTGGACTTGGTTATCTGGGGACTAGTGATGGGACCGGGTGGAGCCTCTGCGCTGGCTTCCGGGACTGGGGCCGGGTGGTCGTCAGTGCCAGGGTCATTCTTCGCGGACGAGGGAGGCGACGGTGGATTCAGGTTCTGGCGTTGGTCAGTCGACCCATTCTTCTTGACACGTTTGGGAGACATGGAGAATTCTGTCGTTGGATTGGGGGGTGCGAAGAGGAGCAAGAAGGCAGATGAATGATACTCTGGTGGGGACAGGCGTACGAATATGGCTGCGCATCCCCTCGGCCATTGACGTCATCGGGCTCGTCTCCGAGGATTCCGCAAGTCTGCCGAACCCAACTCGAGAATGCTGGAAAAGGGATCCATATGATCGGCGTCTATTTTTAACGTTGGACATGCCTTTCACTGCGATGGCAGTCGCGATGGCAATGTTGATCGTGTGGTGCGTGGTGTGCATTATGGAAAATCCAGCGTCCTCCAAATAATATTCACTATGTGCAGCCGACTATTTGTGGAGTGCAGCAAAGATTTGCAGGTTATGCAATATCCGATGCCCGTGATCAGTCCGGCAGATGCCCGAAAGGACCGACTAGAGGGATTCGAGAGTGAATGCTCAATTTGAGTAGCACTACGGAGTAGTTGGCAACTACAAGAAGAAAAACGGAGGGAAAGAGATCACCGCCACAACGTCATTCCTCCCTGACGGACAGTCCCGTGATTGGCTCATAGCCACATTTCTCTCCGTCGGAATTATGGGGGAAGAACAATAAAATTGCTACTTGCTAGTTTGTATGTACTCCGTAAGGTGTACGGTGGAGGACCGACTGAAGAACACATCCACTTGGCGCCAGGTGCAGCATGACGGACGAACCATCGTCAGCCCCATCCCTCCTGGGCTCCATTCGCACTGACGCTCTATCACGTCTATCACCGAGGCGGAGGGGGAATGAAGTGCGCACCCACGCCATGGGATGCGCCACCAAGAGTCTCTCCATCGACAGCTGACCTCATTCCAAAGCATATCACTTTCCTCCCGGGATGTCGTTCTATTTCCGTCGTGTCGCATCCCACCCAGATTTTCCCTGCAGCGAAAATGAGCCTGTATCTCCACGCCCCAAAATCTCGTTATAAGTACACAGTAAGTCATCCATCCGGGCACCTCTGCCGGTTATCCAAATCCTATACAGTCAACTCTCTTCCGTCACGGATTTGATTCTCATCGGCCTTCCTGCCATCCCTGCACGGCACACTCCGCCAGCACTAAACCGCGTTAGCGCTCCTGCATCATCTTCAGACTCATTTTGTTTCCGACCCCGGTCTTGCTCCTCCTGAACTGCCCCTCCGCTCATCTCCCGTTGATCCACCGTCGCCGTGGATATATTCTCCGTCGTCTGCCTTTTTCTTTTCCTTCTTCTTTTCTCTTTTCCCCTCTTCTCTTCTTCTTCTTCTTCAAATCTTAGTACATCAGTATACCCTCCTCGTTTCACCTTTCCACCAGACCAGAACCTCCATATGGAGAATAGGGCTTACTCTCTCATCCCGTGACCCCTGTCCCTCCAGTCTCTCGATCTCGACCGCGACCTCTCCTCAACCAAACTCCAACCACTTTGAGTCACCTCAACTTAACCCAAACAAAAGAAGGAAGAATGCACGAAATGCCTTCCAAATTCATCGAACTTCTCGATCCTGAAGACTCGCCTCTGAAGATCTCCGACTCGGACGTCCGTCTCGAGGATGTGCTCGCCTCACACGACGCGTTCGTTAGCCGCCGACGCTCCTCGACGCAGTCCTCCTCCAAAACCAGCATCGAGAAAGGCATTGAGAAGGACCGCGAGCAGTCCTCGTCGCCGCCGCAGCGCTGGAAGCGATTGAGTAATATCTTGGTTCCGGCGAAGAGGGCGTGATTATTCCGCCTGTCCTCCGTCCTTCGTCGGCGTCTCGTCTCGTGCGAGCTAGCGACCAAGATACTCATACATGCGCATATTACACCTTATACCCTCCATATATACCTGCGTGTGTGTCTACCAGCACTTATACATATATACCTACACCGGTCAGGTCTGAGACAGGAAAGAGAGGATAGAGGCACGGCTATCTACATCTAGAGTCGAGTCGAGCCGAGCTGGATTGTTATCTCGTCTACCTACACATCCACCCCTCTTATGGTTTTCATGAATGATGGATACGAACAAAAAATTATGGATATGATATGATATGACTTTCTTAGCGTCATTTCACGTTAGAATTTACCTGCTACTGGCTTACGTGCTTTCTTTCTCTTATACCCGACTCGCTCTTCCTACTATTCTGGCTCCGAATCTAAATGACCGATCGGCGGAGTCGCCTTATTGATTTACGCTGTTGACGATCCGATACAATACAATACGATACCCATTTGCAGCTTCCTACTATTTATCTCTGCTAAATTTTGGCTATTTTACATTACCTTACCTACCTTGCGACTACTTGTCACCAACATTCTGTATCCAAAACCAAACGAAAGCAACAAAATCCAACAAATTCTCCAAACTTGCTTCCTTTCCCTCATCCATGCCCTCGGTAGAGAATCCCTCCCTCCCTACCACGCGTAACACAAAAAGGAAATTCTAAAATCATCTGCTTCGGCACCCGCCACCCCTCTCTCTCCAAAGAACCCCGAAAACAAAGAACATCTCTTTGAATCACCTTTCTAGATACAATAACCATGGAAATCACCAGCCCGGCCCAGTGGACGGCCTAGAAGTCCAGACAGTCCAGACACCGTAGGCAGGATAAAACCCATTCTAGAGCCTTGTCATGTAAGCAATCAAATAGTAACCACAGCGAGAACGACAAACAATGCACGGAGTAACTTAAGTGCTCCGTAAGCAAGCAAGCAAGTTAATTTCTTTGTCTCGGCTCCTCGGCGGTGCCTAGGCACACCGTACACCGTTAGGTAGCACGGAGTACGGAGTACCTACCTAGGGACCTCGCAATGTACGGAGTATGTACCTAATGTAAGACAGGTAAGGGGGGTGGAGGACACCGGTTTGATTATCATTGGTCCCTGGGGGAAACGATTTGGTTGGGGGCTAGGGTACCTATGTACCTACCTAGGCCGGACTTGCTACTACCCACTAGCAACCTATGAGAATCCCTGCCATTGTCATATTACTGTTGTTGTTATAGGTACACAGCGTGGGTGATAGGTGGGACGGGTCAGGGATGGATTCCGTGTGATGGGGCTTGGGGGTTTGGTGTTGGGGGTTCTGGGCTGTGGAACGGTGTAGTGTCGGGGGTCGGAGGGTCTCGATCGTGCCATTCCTGAAAGTGAGTTGGATCTGCTTCAGTAAGCTTTATAGGGGGTCTGGTATCTCAATTGGGCTCATCGAGAATATTGAGAAGGTTTGGAATTGATAATTTGGTATCGTATTATACTACGATGAATGGAGAAAAGGAAGTCTGTTCTCACAGAACCCGCACAGAAACATACGGCACGACTCGTACAACGCCAATCAGTCCGTTATCCACGGCCCCTGGAACGTCCAGCTCCATCAGCTCGAACTCAGGCGACCGGCCGGCACTTTTCAATTCATTCAGCATAGTCCGTAAATAGTTCCACATGGTAGAGGGCACTTCGACGCGAACCTCGTTCCGTCCGCGGACAACGTATTCTCCAATGTCAATCTTGGGCGCATTGTAGTCGAATGCGGGGACGCGGTTGTTGTTGATGAACACGCGCGCACCATTGGGCGTTTTGGGAAGGAAAAGGTAGGCTCCGTCGGCGGATTGACGCTCGTCAGAGACAGGAGGCCAGGTCAATGAGGTGGAGTAGTAGCCTAGACCGGAGGCGTTGGCGATGGCTGGGATCTGTTGCCAGGAGATGAGAGATGAGAGGTGGTGGGTTGTATTGTGCTTCACAGCAATGGTGGATGCGTCAGAGAGGTTCGAGGGACGCTTCCAGTGCTCCACAGTTAGTGTCCAGTTGGATAGGGTATACGGTTGACTTGGAGTCTTAGTTGTGTGATCGATCGTCCTGCCGTTCGACAGTGTAAGGGGAGTATCATCTGAGTCGGCTGAGATGTGAACTTGCAAATGTCTGGTGCTGCTGCCATATTTATAACCAATGACTGATGATGGCGCCTGGGTTACGTGAGGTGAACTATTTCCTGGCACGAAGCCGATGATAACGGTTTGGTTCCCTGCCAGCTGAAGCGGTATCACCGTACGTCCGGCCTTCTGCTCGTACTCAAGAACAGGGGTTTGCTTTCCGGTCCAAGTATCGAAGACATAAGGTCGCTTAGTTGTCGCCACGCTGATGCTGCCGGTTGACTCGTCGATGTCGGAAAAGAGATACACAAACTCAGTACCATCCGGGTGTGACCTCCAGGTCGGATACCACGTCCCATTGCACTGCACTTGCACGCGTGGTGTGATTCCTAGATCAAGAAGCTGTGTCGCAGTCTTTCCCAAAGACACAATATGGACATTACTTGTTTCTCGTAGAGACGAGATCTCCCGCGTCAAACCCTCGGTATTTCCATCCTTGGAGATGTATGCGTTTGGAAGACCACCTGACAGGATGATCGGCAATCCGGCGCGCGCAAAAGACTTGATGTCTCGCACCGCTTGGCTGGTAAGATTGGCTGAGCTAGGAATGACCATCGCGCGGAAGTTCGGGCCTTCGGGTGCAAGGGAGTCATTCTTGACGTGAGCCTGCGGTAGGGCGAAATTGTCGGGTGAGAGATACAAGTATGTGAAGCCTTTGGATCAACGTTAGCAAACCCACCCAAGGTCATAAGATGCAAACTTATTCGTACCTTGCTTGGCAAGGTCGGTCTCGTTGTAGACAGTCGGCCAATATCCATCTGTAGCCGAGTCCTTGTTGTAAACGACCACATCAATCTTGGACTGTCCTTTCTGCTGGATGTACTGCACTCTTCCCATATAATTGAGAGCCTCTGATAAGCCATGATCCCAGAATGGAAGCTTCTCCGAAAATAAATCAGCAAACAGATACCAGAATGGTGTGTTCCCGGGCCATGTGGTCGCTAGGTAATCGCCCGTGTAGGTCTGCCCATGCAGCACAACCTGATTAACACCTCCAGAGACAGCACGACTAATTTGCCACAGCAGGTCGGTGATACTGTGCTGGTATCCCTTCGACTCGACGCCTCCCATTTCATTAGAAATGACCCGCTTGCCAGTGAGGACGGCAGGGCCCGCGAATTGACGGTATCCATCAACGTTGTCTTCAAATTGCAGACTTTCGCATTCAGGCGCGTTCACCACGGGTATACTTGCCAGCGCATCTAGAGGCAAATTGTACGACACTTGCGACGAGAACTGCAAATTCATCCCGTTGGCCCAGTCTGTCAAGTGCTGAATGTAGGCGCGGTATCCCTCCTGCAGCGCACTTCGAAAGTCATTGATATAGCCGATGCCTTGATCCGGGGTATCAAGCACACATTGTATCGTACCCGGAGCACCACTCTGAATATTGATGTTGTTGTTCTTGTACATTATCAAAGGAAGATACGTCTTGAGGTTGTAGCCGTGTTTCTTCATGAAGATATCCGGAAGATCGCGAGTCCACGACATATTTGACTCAATCTCAATGCTATCCTCCCAGCCTTTAACTTGTTAGCCGTCACAGACTCTCTTCTGGATTTTCCAACGTACCATAATTGCCAACCGCAGCAAGAAGCGATTTGACCTCGTCTTTAAGGATATGTTTTTCCCAGAATCTAGTGACCGTCTGTGCGCCTCGAGCACTGAAGTGATCCACAGCGAATGATCCGTTGTCAAAGATCGATCCAGAAGCATTACTCGTACTTGGATAGTTGGTGTGCAAAGTCAAATGCTGGTAGAACGCGAATAATCTGTGGCCTTGGCCGCCTGTCGCAGTGGGAAGCCTCAACTGCAGTTGGCCTGTTGAAGATACATTGCGTGACCATTCCTGTAGCGTCTCATTCTTGAGCTTATATTGTGTGTAGTTCGGCTGTGTTTCGAAGATAGGGATTCCAGCTCCGGGGTTGCTCAGGTTTCGACTGGACAGCACTTGGGCTGAGACCACTGCCACCAGCTCTCCTCGGCCCCAGCCAGGAACCAGGCTACTAAAGACGCCATTCGATGGGACGGCAGCTGATGCATACGACTAGATCCCAATAAGTCAGCGTAAATCAATAAATCTTCGATTATATTGGACACATACCAAGTCCCACTGGAGACCTTCATCATCAACGCTGGCTGGCACACCCTGTCCTGCAGCCGGTCCTATCGAAAAGTCCATCACCATACCCGCATCCTTATGGGCCCGGAGAGCAGCCTCGAAGATGTCCAGAAAGTCAGGCGTCCCAAACCCATACTTCGACCAGTCTGCCCCAGGCACAGACTCTCCGTAATTGTAGTAGGGAACGAACTCGACGCCACCAGCGCCAATAGCTCCTGCGCTTTTGATATTCTCCTGAACAATGGTCGCGTTCACGCTGGCATCTGGAAGCCAGTAGCGAAACCGAGGCCGGATACGGCTCGAGGGGTTCTCAAAGCTCCCATAATCCAAGTCCGCATTGACTTGATCGTTCACTGCCGCCAGCCCATACTGCGGTAGCAGCAAGGTAGCGAGAAATGCGAGTTTTCTCATGGTGGATTGTATCTGGTGGATGCGGCCTCCTGTTCTCACCCCTGCGAGCAACCCAGTTTAAGTTCTAAAACACGCGATTAAAAATCGTCAACCATGATTACAGCATGTTCGGTGAATCACATCCCGAGATAATGATCGTCCGGAAATTCCGAGGTGGCCCAGTTCGGGACATGACGAATGTGCTCCTCCTTTCTTGGTTTACTGTGGACCCGAAAAACCGTTTGGTGCATAGACAATAGTGAATTCCGAGTTGAGAAAATCCCTCTTGACTGAAAACAAGAGCACAAGAGGTCAAATATTCCAAAAATGTGTTCATAACCACTGCTCATTCTCAGAGCCCATCACCACCATCTCTGACCTGCTTACCGCAAAGTACTCAGTAGGTTTCCGGCTGAACGTCGGATGATCGACACGCATAAATGGACCGTACACGTACACGTATACGGTGTATCCGAGACTGAAGCACAGCGTCATCAACTCTTATGCCTCAGGACTCGGTTCTCACCGACGAGGACCCCCGCTTCCCGGCTTCAAAGTGGAGAATCGTCAGGTTTAGGCTGTGTTCGTGGGGTAAGGTGTGGAGAAGTCGGGGTCGCTCTTAGCGAGACCACTAGAAATGCGTTTAATCTGTAGGTACATTGCAGGGAATATGATGATGAAAGTCGGGCACGAATGAAAGAGAAAAATCGGAGAATGAAATACCGAAGGCAGCTAAATTATCGCTTTGAGACATAACGGTCAGGTGACGTCAAATCTTCCATTTAACCTCCCCTGCCACCAACCATTTCTCTGTCTTACTATTCCAGATAACTGGCTCTGAGCTGTATTTCTTTTGTAGGTTGGCAAGATTCTATCAGCTCAATATGAAGAAATATGTCTACACCCGGTTCTCGGATACTCTCATTCAACTGTCCGTTAACTTCTCCTTCCTCCAACGCCAACCCAAGGCAAACGGCGGTCGAAGAAAGTCCAGAAGACAGTAGACCGGTGTAGCCTTGGCGATGCTCATGCTGGGATCATTCAAAGTATTATAGTATTGAACATTATGTGAGTGTCTTGTATCAGGAGAGCTAGCTTCGTAGCTTTATCACATACAGCGAGACACGTCCAAAGCCATGTATCTGGCAATAGATCTCTAGCAACCGTGTGCCGTAGAACAACCCACAACCGGTCAAAAAACAAACTACATGGAGCCGAGACTGTGGGTTTGAGCCTGTGAGAGACGGCAGAAAGCAAACAGTGATAGGGCCCAGGAATTGATCCAGAAATGCCAACTGATACATCCGTCGCAAGGCCAAGCTTTCGCCAGAAATTGCCTTCCAGACTGCCTTGAAAGTTCTCTAACAAATTCATGACTTTGGTAATACCTGTATTTGAACTGCAATCGAGGGGTGGCGAAAGTTATTCACAATGCTCAAACGAAAATTGTTTTGTCTCTAAACTCGTTGGCGATATGATCAACGCAGGCTAAAATATCCAAAGTATAACAAAAGCACTCTCATCCTCGCTGATTGAAGCAGTACACAAGGAACGTGGGAGATGTAGCACATACTCAAGAGATACTAAGAGGACTGCTTGTTGATCCCCTCCTCAAGGATCCTTAGCACATGGCTCAAACCACGCAAGGGTCCGACTAAAGCAGGATGGTCTATATCTCCTCCCACAAAAAGATATATTTTCTAGTGCATACCAAACAGTATTAGATGCAAGTCGGTCGTGGTGGGATTTGTGCATCCTCTAAAGAACTCGGCAATGATATTGATCATTGCAAGCCCACATATGCGCAGATAATCCCTTCCGATCTAGGCGTACGCCAGTGACAACCGGGAATCCTATTTATTTTGCACTGAAATCATATCGCGATATTCAGAAGGCTCGAGGTTCGAAACTCAGCTTCCGATATTGATCCTTCGATATCTAGATTATGGAATATCGCCAGTGATCTCGCTATGTACGGACTCGCAGACTGAGAAACTTTTTCCATGTGCAGTATTCTGTTCAACAAGATCGAATCGAGCATATCCACCAAGTTGAAGACAATCGCAGAGGTCTCAACACTTTCCTACTCCAGATGAAATGATTTAGCATCACATGAAGCCTGCACAGCCCGGGCAGGAAAGAATAAAGACTTGCAAAGCACAGATGTATAAACCCCCGTCATCTCGGTTTTTTCTTTCACAGATGCCCAATCGCATTCATCGTCCTCATTGAGATTGGTGCAAAACGGCGCTGGCCTAAAAGCCTCACGATGTCGTTGATACGGCAACTGAAAGGTGGTGAAATGGATCTTTCATGTGCCAAAAGTCCGAAACATAATTGTCTACTCCGTAAATGCCTCTTGCTGATACGCTAAGATAGGATCGTCAAGGCCCACCACCGGGCCTAATCGTATCCTCAGCTAGCCACTGCTTAATCCCAATGAGTGAATTATGAAAACAGAAGCGCACTAGAGCCGAACAGTCAAGCGAGTACGGAGTAGACCACTGGAAGCCCCGTAGAACGGAAAAGGAAAGGAAAGAAATGTCTCAACCCGACACTACCCGAGTGATCAACATCAACATCAACAAAACGTCCCCACCACATGCAAAAGGCGGTCAACGCCCTCTGAAGGCAGAACGACACGTGCCCCTGGCGACGAAAGGCCACCATACCCGATCAGGCAGCACCAGCCCCGCATGGCCGCATCAGCCACAAGCAAAAACAGCCCAACATCACGCGTGGAATGTCTAGAACGTCGAAGGAGAATAGGTCTCGTGTAGGCTAATTGTGGGATTTTGTTGTTTCCGTCGTGTTCTACAAGAAGCTCTCTTCTACGACAGGTCTTGTCTCCGTCCTATAAAGATCAATCAATTAGTTGAAGACGCGCGAGATGTCGACCACCCCGATTTCGAAGCCAAGATCCTCAACGCCGACGGTGTTCGAGCAGCAGCGCGGAGAGCTAGTTCGGGAGATTGCCGGTGTACGTATCCTTTCCCAGGATTTATGGACTGTCAGGGGCTCACATGATGGTGTCGCTAACTTCGTTCAGGGAATGGAGCAAGTCCTTCAAAATATCAACCGGTTAAACCGGAATCTGGAGAGCATTATTTCGGTGAGTGGCTACGTACAATTTTTCCCCTTTTTTGCCCGGCTCTATAACCTAACAGCGACAAGGTGGGCAACGAATTCGGTTCCGTCGAGGCCCTGTGGTCTCAATTCGAGAATTTCATGGCCAAGCCGGAACAAGAAGCCGAGAGTGGCACGAAACAGAAAGAACATCACCAAGATGAAGGCCAAAGCGAGGTCCATGAGCAGGACTCGTGAGCTGCCTGAACAGATGATGGGAAATGGGAGATGGACTACCGATTGAGTTTACGTATTGCATGCCAGGGGGTGTTCCGGTCTAGTGTTTTTATGGTTCAGTTTTATGTGCTTTGTTTATTACAGGGAGACGGATACCAAAATATGAGTTAGACAATTTATTGATTCAGTTACATGGGATTTTCGCTTGCGCCAGTAAACACCCACCCCATGCATGCGGAAGAGTGGCCTTCAGACCGAGTTCGTGACAGACATCAAGAATTGAAACAGGGGCCAGGGCTCAAGGAAAGCAACAATTGGGGCCGGGAGAAAGGGATAAGGGGATGGGATAATCGTGATTTATGGAAACATTCATCAAGGGACAATAACAGGTATAACAACATGGGATCACATAATCATCAGAAAGCCGCCATTACCAAGAAAGGAAGAAACAAAAGAAAAGACAAAAAGGGGGCAAGACAAATAACAGTCTGGGAAAAATGACAAAAGGTCGGGTCTCAAGGGAAAGCCGCCAAAGCAACCAGGCTTTTAATCGGCGTACATCAAAACAAACAGGTAAGGCGCGAGTATAGACGGAGAAAGCGACCACGATACCCAACGGATATGGCAATCTACAAGATCTTGCAGGTACGCTTCTTGACTTTCTTGGGGCCGGCACTGGGGCCGCTGCGTCCTGCGCTGGGTTTCCCGCCCGAGGTATAACTTTGACTGTGGTTCCAGCCTTCCTCGGCGTTCACAACGGTGTCAACTGCCATTTGGAAAACCCCGTCCACTCCGCGCATTTCTTTGCTGCTGCATTCCACATATGATGCATTCATTCTCCGAGCAACTGTCTGTCCCTGTTCTGGTGTGACTGGGGTGAGACCCTGGGTCTTAAGGAGCTCAATGCACGTTCTTTTATTCCGCAGGTCCGACTTCAACCCTACCAGAATTATCGGTGTGGTTGGGCAGAAATGCAAGACCTCGGGATACCACTAGTATCTGTGAGAAGTTGTTTTTCCTAGCTAGATTGTCTGGCTTGACTTACCTTGTCCATTACATTCTCCAAAGACGCAGGGCAGTCAATCGCAAAGCAAACAAACAACAGATCCGTCTCAGGGTAGGAGAGCGGACGCAGACGATCATACTCTTCCTGACCAGCAGTATCCCAGAGAGCCAGCTCGACCGTCTTTCCTGAAGCCCGATGAATCGTTTGCGTGATGTAGTTTTCGAAAACGGTGGGAACATATTTCTAGCCGCACATTAGATCCACATTTCAACCAAGGATGAACGTGCCTGGGAACCCACCTCTGGGAAGTATCCTTGCGAGTAACTGATCAAAAGACATGTCTTTCCGCATCCACCATCACCCACCACCACGAACTTCTTCGAATACGCCGGTGGTTGAGTTATATTTGTCGCCTCCGATGCCCGACCGCTTGAAATGCTGGTATTTGTGCTCACTGTGCCGTTGCTCACGCGGACACTCTGACTGCGTCCCCGGTTGTGTCGTGGGGTCATCGAAGGTGGAGGAGTGGCGAGAGAATGGCGTCGCGAGGCTGCATACAGTTGGTCGTCGTACATCTGACCTGACATATTGGCGAGATAGGAAATTTTGAGGAGAACGTGGTGTCCAAGGCAGCCGAAAATGGAAGTGTCGGTCTGACGAGACGAATCGAGATTTATTGAATATTATAGATCCACAGCAAAATGGGAGGGGGATGCCGGAGATTTTTTTTTCTTTTTTTCCCTGTTTTGTCTATCTCGTTCGATATATGTCGTCAATTCGCTTGCGGTGTAGAATGATCGAGTATGTAGAGGGATAAGAGTGAGGCGGAAGACGAAAGGGAGAAAGAAGAAGAGGGAGAATCACGAAGATCGCAAACAGAACAAAGGAAGAAACGGTGGAAGAAAGGGATGAAGGCCAGGCTCAAGTTCGAGATCGCTCTTCCATGGCTGCTCTAACAACGAGCTCGCAGCTGACGTGAAACCGATGTTTACGGGCCGATGGGCTGCCATGGCAACGCCGCGGGACAGATGACGCACCAGCTCCGCTGTCACTCCCCCCTTCCCAGTCCCTGAACCAGTCATCACCGTTTATTTTTAGTAGATTCGCCTTGGTCTGGCCTGTCACCACTCCGATCGAGAAATCGGATCCTGTTTTTTTAGTGTCGGGGGTGACCCGGATAATCGACAATTCAATCTGAACGTCCACGACCATCTTGAAACTGCGATTCTTGCAGGACCTTGGCAGTAACAATGATTCCTTGCCCTACGGTCCTTTGCTCCATAAATCGCGCTAGTAGTATCCCCAGCAGCCTTGCCACAATGGCTCCAAGGATGGGCTCTTTGTTTGTGCCCGGTTTTCCGGTGTTGGGGAAAGTAGATATAATCCATTGTCTATTTGACTAGCGGAGTTGGAGCTCCGCAAGTATCAAAACATAATGGAATCAAATTGCAAGTTGAAAGAACTACTTGGACGACCCACTATGTACTGGAGATAGCAAATTATAATCGCTCGGTTTGAGACAACGAACAGAATTGAACCTTTGTCTTGATACCACATGTGAAGGATATGCACAACGGAGGTAACAATATCTGTCCAATCATCTACAAGTAAATCTATCTCATATGCAATCAAGAACACGGTATGCTCCGAAGACTACAGAGTTAGTTGCCTCCTACTAAAAGATGACCTGCATAGTTCGCAGTAGTGCTGCGGCTGAGTGTGACGACCAGCACGAGAGAACAAAGAGCGGAGTTGAAGATGCTGCAGTCCAGCCTTTAATGATAAAGCTGCTCGGTGGTTTCTAAACTACGTGAAGCACGCTTTGAAATGTGCCCAAGCTCTCTGGTTTGGCCGTATCCAACCAGGCGGAACGACAACCATTCCGGCTCTTTGAGGCTGAGGCTCCGTTTATTAAATGTCCTTAGGTCCAATATATGGGACATTCTCATCACTTAGAGTATCTAAATGCTCTAGGCATATAGTAATCTTGCCTTGCATTGCAAGAATCAATAGTTGTATTTCATACTTCATACGCCGTAGGTGAAGTAAATATACATCAGCTATGGCTATATGCGGACGACCTGTGACAACAAAAAGAAGAATAAAATGAAGACAGATATTACCAGTCTCAATCCAACAGTATCCCTATATTCAGTGATATCCCAAATAGCATCACCATCAATCGTTATCCTTCCGAATTCGTTGTTGACGCCTCATAGTTAATCAACTACCGGATCTGACTAAGCGCCCGCACACAAGGGCGCTGACCGCCAAAGAGCCAAACCGCTTGGATACCGCGGGACAAATTATGATGACCCGAGTTTAGTCCCATTAATCAGTGTCCTTCCCCCCTGAGGGTATACGGAATCCTGCAGAGACGCAAGCCTCGCACGTTCGTGCGTTTGAGCATCCGGAGGCATTGTCACCAGTGCTGCACATCCTGAAACCCGACTGGATCTCGATCTATGGGGTAATCCACAATCGCTTCTTCCTCCTCCAGATCGTTCCGGATACGGCCATCCACAACAATGAGTGGCAAGCCTGACGCCGGCCTCCGCGGCCTCAATCACTGTACGTCGAGTCTCCTGACCTCGGCGCATTCCAATAGATGACATGGTTGACGTCTTCTAGATCAGAGACAACTTCCGTCATGGCGGTATTGGCCCCGACAAAAACTGTTGCCTCTGGTCCGGTTTGAGACGCCGTATCTTGCCTGGGCGCAAGAGAAGGTGCGGACTCCGACTCTCGACTCCTACTTCGCATTTACGGCCAATTTGGGAACCCACACATTTTTCATGGTCTTCTTGCCGATCTTGTTCTGGAGTGGATATAATAGCTTGGGCCGTGGGTAGGTGCTTAGAATCCAACAATAAGATCGGATCCGATCGGCTAACGTTTTGCGCGCTGGTAGAATGGTGAATCTATTAGCATCCGGTGTATTCTTTAGTGGATTTATCAAAGATTTGCTATGCCTCCCACGCCCACTATCGCCGCCGCTGCAACGGATCACGATGTCCGGCTCCGCTGCTTTAGAATACGGCTTTCCTTCGACGCACTCGACAAACGCCGTTTCTGTCGCCGTGTATGGTCTCGTTCTGCTTAATTCAGAAGACACAGCCATGAGTCCCACCGTCAACTTGATCCTCCAAGCCATAACTTATCTCTACGTCTTTTCCATTGTGATTGGTCGCTTGTACTGCGGAATGCACGGATTCTTCGACGTGATTGTGGGCTCGTCGCTCGGCGCTCTCCTTGCTTTTGTCCAATACACGTACGGCCCGATTATGGAGGAATATGCGCTCGCAGGTCGTAACAAAGAGGTTCTGGCTGTGGTGCTGATCATCCTGGTTCTCGTTCGCATCCACCCCGAGCCTGCGGATGACTGTCCCTGTTTCGACGATAGTGTGGCTTTTGCGGGAGTACTGTTGGGTGCCCAAGTAGCATACTGGCACCTTGCACTTACCCAGGCCGAGTTCGCGGTCGCCCCTATCCCGTATCGCATCGAGAATTTGGGAATTATCAAGACAACCCTGCGTCTAGTCATCGGGGTGCTGTTGCTCTTTACATGGAGAGCGAGTGCGAAACCTTTCCTTCTACGGATTCTTCCTCCAGTATTCCGCGGCTTGGAAAAGCTTGGTCTCATTCTTCCTCGTCGATTCTTCACTAAGGCTTCGTAAGTTCAATCCCGATCGTGAGTTGATCCAAGGATTCGGTAATTAACAATTTGGAACCACAGCGAGTACACCAAGGTTCCCGCGCACCTCAAGGATCACGAAGTCCTCCCCAGCTTCTCCGATATCCCCTCGATCCTGAAAAACATCCGCCACCCCAGGCGACGCGCCATATCGGTCGGTCCGCAGTCCGAGGCCGACGCCTACGAAACGCTGGCATATCGTGAGAAGCGCAGACGGGAGAGTCTATCCAACGGCAAAATGGCGGCGCCCGTGCCCGAAGAGACGGAGGACGATCACAGCACGTCCAGACTCGGCGCAACACCCCGACTTTCGCGCAAGCAATCGAAACTGCACGATTTCGAGAACATGATGGGCACGGGTAGCCCGCGCATTGCGACCGGAGTCGACACTAACTCCCGCCTGTCGCCGGAGACGGAGCCCTTCCCCGACTTGGAACCCGAGCCCGTCGAGCCTGACGAGGATGAGGTTTTCGCGCAGATCAAAAAGCCCCGTGTGCGATATGACGTGGAGGTAATTACCAAGTTGGTTGTCTATTCCGGTAAGATCTCCCTTGTTCCTGCGAAAATTTTGGGCCTCGACACTGATTATGAATAATAGGGATTGCATGGATTGCGATGGACTGGGCGCCTTTTCTATTCGAGCACATCGGCCTTGGTCCCAACTAAAATAGAGGAGCAGCAATGACGGGCTATTCCCTCACGCTGGGAGGTACCTTTTGATCCTCGGTTCAGCTAATCGAGCCGTCCGGGCGATCGCTGTAAAATACTTCGCATTCTTGTATATATGATTTTGAAGGGCGGGTTTTTGGAGGTAGATGTACTATGACATGTATTTGGAAGTCAACGTGCCTGACGAGACTAGAAAGTATGAATTTTATGCAGATATTCACAGATACTGGCGTGACTATTCTACGTTCTAACCCGGGAAATTCGAGAGCGACAAAGATAATTTTAGGCCGCAGGAAGATGCCTTATGCCTAAGGCCAGTAACTTGCAGACGAGGCAATCCGTGGTCTTGTATGGAGCAACGCGTCAACAAACCACAACAACTTCAAAATCACCACCAGTCATGGCTCTTTTCCGCTGTGAAGAAAGAATAAATTAAACATGATGATTACGAGAAAGATAAGACGCGTTTAGTCCCTTAATCTATCCTTGGAGAGACTTAACGACCTGAAAGCATCTTTTGTGGGGAACCTGCCCTCAAACATATATATCTTATCACCCAGGATTGGCTTCCCCAATTCTTTCCAATCGCGTCATACGGAATCTGTACTCAGTGCTATTTAAAATGCCACAGACCAGGGATTCAGTTTGGAATTGTCTAAACTAAAGGCTAAATCAACCCTAATAATAGTTTCCATCCTATCTGACTGTCATACTCCGTCGTGGAGCTATCTTGACATACTCCGGGGTGTCTCCCCGCGGGAGTTCCTTGACCAGCTTGTTGATTGATCATTTGGTGTTAGGTCGTGAGGGTGATGTCTGGGTGTCAAGTATAATCAGATTATCGACAAACTCGAGAACTCGAGCATCGAGTATATCAAGACAGCTGATCTGATATTCATAGCTACTGTACCTACGCAACAGGCAAGCAAAAACGAAATAGAGATGACGTAGTTGGAACCTGCAATCTCCGGATCTGCGCCTTTGCAGTTTCTTGGGGCTTAGCCAACGCACGGAACAAGGTGGATACTGGCATGATCATGGCGACACCAGCAAACGTACGATGAGAACAATTTCCTGATTGATTTTGGCATGGTTACATGGGTTAGATTCTATGACACTTCCCTCGCCTGCTCATTTAGAAGCCGGCCTTACGCTGACTAGGCTGGGAGAACATCGGTCTTACGGTTTCTTCGTGGTGAGTCCTTCATCCGATCTAGCTCGGACCAAGGATCAGAGCTTGGTGCTCTCCAAACTACTTGTCTTGGGATCAGCGAATACAGAGGATACTACTCCGTAGTGAAGGCTTGAGATAGAATGCGACAACGGGAGTCTTCCTCCTTGTCGAGACGAGTCCGTAGTGGGCGAGGTCTGGGGGTCCTACTCTGCCCAAAAACCTAGAATCTTATATGAAGATCCCGGGGAAAGTTACTGACCCGTCAACATAAAAGGAGGCTCATAGATAATCTACGGGAGAGCCCGTCGGCTGCGCTGCAGAGACCATGGGACTAACCTGAGGCAGCAGACACGTGACCAGCCCAAAGTAGGCAAGCGCGCTGCCGCTGTTCACGGCTAAACCCGAACGGGCACCTTCACGTCTCCGGACCCGCGACAGCTGGGAAACTTCACCTCCGCGCTCAATTGGCCGCGACTTCACTTTCTTGCTAGTGCTTTCCCAGAGAACCACCATTCACCACAGCGACAGTCGCAATTGCCCACAACAACAGATTCACTCATGGACTGTGAAGGTAAGTCCTTTTGTTTTGATTTCCCTCTTCTCCCACTTCTCCCACCTTTCGTCTCTCTTCCACCACCATCTTCCTGCACCGTCTCCAGCGCAACATTTCCCAAAAATCTCTCTGCTCCCTGCAAATTTCCTGCTTTCAAGCTCTTCTTTTGTTTTACACACTCGAAAATCTACACTTCCCCAAGTTTTGGTTCAATTTGAACTTCAAACAAAGCAAAATGGCTGACATCGAGATGTCGGATCAGTACCACCCTGTCGATGACGAGGACACGATCATGCACGACGCCAGCATGCTTCCTGCCGACGAGTCTGAACTGGGGGTCATGGATTCTTCTTATGATCCTATGGACATCAGTCCCCTCCCAATGAGAAATCGATCTCCTGTTGGCGCTCAGCCCAAGGGCACCGTCCCGGGTCACCTTACCAACCCCTCCGCTGTTGCCTCCGGAACTGGCCAGAACGACGCGGCGCCCGCCTTCCCCAAGTACAATGGAAGGGGCTTTTTCCAGAATCTCACCCGTTCTCCCGTCATCCGTGTGACTCGACGATTCTCGCCTAGGTCCCCAATTCACAACCCATACCTTACTACCATCGATCCTGCAAAATCGGTCCTGCGACCCCTGCATTTACAAAATCAAACTCCTGTCAAAGATCCCCTCGAGAGAATGAAACGAATGTTCCGCCCCCGTGACAAAGGGTTGGTGATGGGCAATTCGTCTGAACAACTCTCCGAGAAGAAGATCGAACAGGTCCCCCAAATCAAAATCTCCGAACCATCCACTGAGGACAAGCCTGCTGCACAGAGCTCCAAAGACGCGACTACCCTTCATCTGAATGTGAAGGAAACGTCTTGCAGCTTTCAGTTCCCGTTCAGAGTTCATGAACCGGAAGCATCCCGGAAGAGATGCTACAACGAGGGCCCAGCCCACCCCTGCAACTACCAGGTTCCTGAAGTGGCCGGTCACATCAACACCAAGTATCGCCGCGTGAGCATTAACGACTTTCCGGTCTCGGCCATCAAGGCGAATGACAAGCAAAAGTCCGCCACTCCCACCACTGCTCCCAATGAGCCAGCTCCCCTCTCAGCTCGCAATGAGTCTCCTCACTCTCCTCCCACCCATGATCATCATGCGGCCTCCGATCGCATAACCGATGCGCACGCCCAAAACGGCCACAGAGCCTCTACTATTACCACCCCTTACCACATGCCCGGCGCGTGGCCCGAATCATTTCCTGTCTGCGATGATCCTCTCTATGCTACAGTTGAGGACGCTATGATGACAGGTGCTATTACTACTGTTCAAGACGATATTATTATGACTGATGAAAACGAAAACCCCAAAACAAAAGTTAACAACATGGCGATCGATTCCATGGAAATCGATGAGCGTAACCAAGCAACCCAAAACATGGACCTTGACCAGAATGAAGCCCCTTTGCTGGAGCAAAATGCGAACATCTGGCATGGCTACTGGCAGGCGGCTTACCAGGGAACCACGAAGGCAGTTGGCACTTTGCTCAACTTCGTCAGAGACACCTTTTCTTCCGCTCCCTCGTTTGGACCCGTTGTCGACCAGACCTTCAGCATCTTTAGACGGCGCCGCCGTGCATCTCCCGAACATCGTCGCGCATCTCGTGAATCCTCCCCCTCCCATCAGCACTCCCCGACACGAGCAAGCCTTCGTTCGCTGCCCGAAGAACAGCGCCACAAAATCCGTTGCCACAAATGGCGCAGCGACCGAGGGTTGGCAGGCCCAGTTGCGCTGCCTTTCCCTAAACTCCACATTGATTACCCCCAGTCTCCCGCGTCTATCGATTCATCTTCAAACAACTATCAGAAGATGTCGGGGGCCATGTCGCCCAAGCAAGCCAAGAACCCAAAATTCACACACAAGCAGAAGGGGAAGCGCATGCACCGTAACAGACATGAACGTTCCAGCTCTAAACACGATTCTCGAAACGCAAAGGGTAAAAGGTCCTCCATGTACGGCGTCCACAAGCGATCTGGAAGGGCCACCCCTCACAAGCAGCCTGCTGCAGCTAGCACTCAGCCAAGTCAGGCATGGGTTCAGCCAATGAGCCCCAATGTTCATCGTCGAGTGTTTTTCGCTCATACCCCCCCAAGAAGATACCCCGAGCTGGCCGAGAAGGAGCGGCAATACGCTGCCTGGAGAAACGGTCTCGGCGAAAAGCGCAGAAAGGAGAAGGAACTCGAAGCTCAGATTCAGGAGGCTGCGCGTGCTGCAGCTGCGGTCCGACAGGAGGCAACGGGCCCAGCAAACGATAAGCGCACATTGAACGAGAAAGAAGCCATCAAGGAAAAACAGGAAAACCAAGAAAAACAGGAACAAAAGAAAGGTCGCAAAGTCCATTTCGCCGAGTCGCCCAAGTTGCCCACTGAGATTGCACCGCACCTTCGTTCTGGTGCATTGCAAACCAAGCCAGATGAAGCACAGAAGGAGAATATCGCCCCTACGACTGAAGAAACTGAGAAAGCTCCCGAAGTTATCGTCGAGAATGTCCCAGAAGTTGCCGTTGCCAATGAAGCGCCCCCCGATACCGCTTCCGAGTCCGAGACCGACGAGGATCCGTGGCTTCGACTTGAGACCCCCTTTGGAAGACCCGTTTCTGCTGTGAGATTGTTCTATCCGGATCCCCAGCCACTTCCTGCTGGTAGAACAGAATCCATCTACGCATCAGAATGGCGCGAAATGGAAGAAGAAGAGAAGCGCAAACAGCGCCAGACACGTATCCGCCCCGACGGCCCTGCCGTACGTCCACTCAGTGAGGTATGGGAAGACAAAGTCTCCGAACTCAGGCGCTTGCCCCCCAGTCGGAAGGTTGCGACGACTCTTAACGGCGATCCCTTGAGCCAAAAAGATCTGGCGACTTGCTACACACCCATGGCCTGGTTGAATGATGAGGTGATCAATTCTTACCTCGCCCTTATCATCGAGTACCTCCGCCGGACCCACAACAACGCGGGCCGGCACGACAAGCCGCGATTCCACGCATTCAACTCGTTCTTCTTTGCGAACATGCGCGACAAAGGCTATGAGAGCGTCCGTCGTTGGGCCTCCCGAGCCAAAATCGGGGGCGAGTCTCTCCTGAACGTCGACACCGTCTTCGTCCCAGTCCATCACAATTCCCACTGGACATTGATCGTTGTGAAGCCGATGGCCAAGACCATCGAGCATTTTGATTCTTTGGGCCCGCCCTCTCGGAGCCACATCGCCGTGATCAAGTCATGGCTCCGGGAGGAGTTGGGCCCAAAGTTTCGGGGGGACGAGTGGACGGCGTTGCCGTCCCAGTCCCCCCAACAAAACAACGGAAGCGACTGCGGCGCTTTCCTGCTTTCCACTGCCAAAGCAGTGGCCATTGGGCTCGAGCCGATGTCCTACGGCGCAACCGACGTGCCATTGTTGCGCCGTAGGATCGTGGCCGAGCTCATGGCCGGTCGTCTAGAGGGGGAGTTTGACCCCGCCCATGGTGGAGAGGTGCTGCTCTAATTGGGGGAATTAGAGCGCCTCTTCCTCTCCACCATGGGGACGACCGAAAGCGCCGCAGTCCATCAATGTCCAGTGGGGACAACTGGGACGAAGACGGTGACGTTTTTTATTTCAAGTTTTTCTTTTTCTTTTTTCTTTTTTCGTTTGCTTTTTGTTGCTTTTGTTGTTTTTTGTTTTTGTTTAGCGCTCCGGCGCGTGCATCCATCGGAGTTTGTCTATCTTTGTTAGAGTATAAGAAACGGGCATGGCGTTTGTTGTCCGAGTTGCATTTGTGTTGAGTGATACCCCGTCAGCTGAAGCTTTTAAGCTCCTGACTGCATTGCAAGCGTTGAGATTAGAGACCATTAGCGTGGTGTTTGTGTACAGGACTCTGTTTTTTGATTTTGTTGGATAGGCTCAGCTTACATCCATGGATGTGGATATTGATGTATTACAGACAGGGAAGCCCATGTGTTCGAGTAGTTTTGTATGATTAGAACACTGAAAGATCGAACTTGGAGAACGCTATCTGCGTATCGCAAAGTTAAATTGTATCATTCTGCGTAGCGGTTAGCTTGTAGTGCTGAACGGCAATTATCTTCAGTCATTATCTTCTTCAACCGCCATCTACAATGATGGATTAAGGTGACGATGAGCGCAGCGAGGTTATACGAGACATTTCAGAACGAACAGAAAGTCAGCTAGTATTCTCATTTTGGCGTCACCAGGCCTTCAGGCTAGCACTGAACTACGGGCATCAAAAACTTCTAAAACCGATGGAAATCTTCTCGAGGTCTCGCAGGGCAGACATGTGGACCTCTTCATCTAGTCAGCCGCCACGGCAAACGCGTAGACCTCCCAGTGTCACTTGTTGAACCATAATATTACGTCTGGTTACCTATCTGATGGGTGAATATCTAGGAGCCTATACCGGAGAAACATAGATAATCTACGCCGCGTCTCATCTCCATTCAATCTCCGCCCACGTAAATCCCCTGTACGTAGGGTATATTTCAGTCGTCCGGACTGAGTTAGGCAGCGAATTGAGTCGAGAGATCAAATCAGTTATTTGACCGATGTAGGATCAGACGAACATAGTCGGTCGCTCCCCTCCAAACGGCAATTCTGCGCCCTAAATATGCTCGGTTGGTGGTGGCCCACTTTGTATGGGAAAAGGGATCCCCCCAGAATCACTTTCGGACACCCCATCGATTCCACGCACGATTATAGGCCGATCGAGGTTGGTGGTTCCGTGAGAGAGATGGACTGTGATGCAAAGTTCTTGTTGAATTCCTGCTGAATCCCCTGGTTATTCCCTCCCTGTTGGCTCCGTCAGCAGGAGTTGGTGGTCTGCGGCGTGCCTTCAACTCAGCCAACTGGCATAGTTAGTTGTAGATAGTTGAATCTGGCGATGTCCGAAAAGGTGCAAACCGACGGTATATAATACTGGCCGTGACGGTAACGTTTCAGCGCAACCCGAAAGTCTTGGCGGTCAAACCGAAGCCAGCTGACCCCTCAGGCAGCCACTGACGGCGTGCAATCGTGCCACCTCAGGCAGAACTCGCCTCGTCCGATTCGGCCAGCGCGCATCGATACGCCAGGGGGGTATTGGTAATACGCAACCTCGTGTCTCCAGGTAAGTAAACATCATCAGTGCTGTATTGGCAGAGGAAGACGATATACTTATTCTCAGAGTAAAATCTTAGATCCTACAATTGTAATCTCTGAATATTCTATTTTTTTCTCCCGATCATTATGACTGATCCTGATAGCCGCCGACAATGAATTGCGATTAGGGCTGCCAGGTGGTCAGGCGCCAAGCCGAGATCCCGTGTTGGCCACGAAAACGACGGTCAAAGGAGGGGGCGACTTTCTCTCGACCGTCATCATCCATCATTCACTATCATCAGCCAGATCACATCCACCCCCAACCCCATCAAATCCATCGTTTTCACTATCAAAATGGACGTTGTTCGTTGTTAAATCTGCTGGGTGACGTCAGTGAAGTTGAAAACCCGTCGAAATCATCGAACTCTATCCCTATCCCTATTACTATCCCTATTTATCACTACCGCCATCACTATCTCCCGTCATGACCGCCACCCTTGAACGCAGCGTTTCTCGAACCTCGAGCATGTCGGTACCGATATCTAGCCCTAGGCTCTCGCTAAGACACGAAACCACCCCGCCCAGTCTCTCCGATCCCGCCCTATCCCATCTCCATGACCGGTTAACCCTGCTGGATTCGCGTGTGCTCGAATTACGTTCCACAATCCTCACCAAAGACGGCTACATCGATCGACGCAATCGTGAGGACGAACACATTCGCCGGGAATTTGAGGCCCATCGCTCGATCTCGAGCCGTATTGATCTGAACGTTGTCGCGTTGCGAACGGATGTCGACCAGCTAAAGTCAGGCGTATTCCAACTGAAATCGAGCATCGGCCAGTCCGGCAACGAGACCGTGTTCCTACGCAGCGATGTTGACCGTCTCTCAAAGAATATCGACCAGATACAGTCCGACCTGAAGCAGCTGCAGACCGATGTCTGTGGATGCAGTGTGGAGATCAGTAAACTGCATGCGACTATCAGCCAACTCCGAACCGATCTGATTACCCTCCAACATGAAACCACTCGCCATCTGAACTCGGTCTTCGATCGGTTTTCTCTGATCGAATCCCGTATGAAGCATTCGGAACGCGTTCGATTCAACTCGCTGGCTCATACAACACACGCTCCCATAACTCCGGTCCCGGTCGTTGAAACCGACGGATCTTTGCAATGGCCCGAATATTTCCCCAGGACCGTGTGGCGGTTCTGGTGTTTGAAGAAGCGAAGTCGGGGTGAGTGAAAGAGATGATAAGGTAGATTCGTGGGGTTTCTCTAACAGTAGTGTTCCTGTCTAGTCAACCGCTTGGTCCAGTTAGCCGATTTCTACGAGCTTGGAGGATATCAGTACTGGGGTCGGATGCATCAAACCGAGTCGACGTTCGGAAGTGACAGTGAATCGAGCGACTCTAGTGACTATCCTTCCAACTTGACCCGCGCCGAGGCCGTCCGCTTATACCCGGAGGCGGCTCACCAGGCTCTGGCAGCAACCCTAGGCTTGGTGTACTACAAGATCCGCAACGAGGTTGGAGAGGGTCCGAATGCCCATTTGCCCGCCCGTCCTCCGAAGCGCCAGCAGGAAGAGGTGGTCTCGGCCCACTCCGGTTCCAAACATAAGCAAGTGAAAACGCGTCGGCCTAACGAAATGTCGCCCACTGCTCTCCACAAGCTGGTCACTGGCCCCTCTTTAGAATCGAAGTCCATAGTGTCTGAAGAATCGGACAAACTCGGATGGAATGCTCGTTCTGAGACCTCTGACGAGGCCATGAGCAAGCTCCGAGGGATCGTTTCCGAGGAAGTGGGCACATTGCTTCGGGCTTTAGAGCGAGGTCGTATCAAACTCAAACCTGGCCGGAACGAACGACCGAATCTTTCGCCTACCGAATCCAAGGGCTCTCGCCAGAGCAAACTTGGCCTCGACGGGGCGCAAGATGATGACGAACGTACCTTACCAAACACTATCCCCACCGAGATAGTCTCTCCTTCCTCTGGAAAGACGGAAGAACATGAACTTCCTGATACTGCATCTAATTCTACGAGTCCATGAAGGACTCGTTGACAGTTGATTCACTCAAAGGTAGACCAGTCGCCGGCGGCGACTCCGATAATCTCGCCGAGACCGGAAGGGAAGTCTCCGCGGTCGAAGATGCCGGCGAAGACGCGGATATGGCGCTCTAATAGGTGGACTGTCCACCATCGAATGATACTTTCTCACTGAATCGTGAGGAGCCTTTGGAATGCCTTGGCTTCTAAGGTTATGATAAATTAGCAGCATCTTGGGAATCAGGTTTGGCATTTATGGCGTCTTTTGGATATGTATTAAAGATACCCTTTTGGTTTGATTATTTGGCGATTCGTCCGTAGCTTTTGAATTCTTTGATCTATTTGTTCTGTTTGTTTGTCATTTTAGGAGCAATTGAGCAGTGATATTGACATATGACCCTACAGTCTCGATGCCGAATGAATCGAGATACCATTTGTCGTCGTCGGAATGATACTGCGATATCCGGACTTGCCCACCGAGGTCCGCCTGCGATATTATTCCTTGTAAAGAGCGAGCCATACCTTGCAGCTGTACGGATTAAGCTTCCAGCGTCCCTGTTAAATTTCATTGGTAAGTCCCGCAATTGTCAACCTGTGATTGGCATCTCCTGGTTTTGATCAATCCCTATCCCCCAAGGTATCCAAGAAGGGATATACAACCAGGTATATCCACTATCCCTAGAATATTATAGACATTAGTCTGTGACTGGTCTTTATCGAGAGCCTCTACTACTCAGATACTGCAATTCACGAGAGGTCTATGGCACCATTGAAAGAAATGAAGACCTCAGTGCCCGACGATACCTCTACTGAGCTATGCTCGTCTGGCACGGGTGCCCTCGATAATGTACTGCATTGCAGCACAGATACAGATGTATATCTTACATGACTACCTTCGAGACATTGCTGGATTATATCATACCATACAATAGTGTGTTATAACGAGCGGATGTCCGACCCAAAGCTTCAACAATGCACATCGACCAGACTCGAAAGATAATACAGCTCCACAAGCTGCCAACCACTCGAGAGCCCTCTTGTCTTGAATATATTAATCTTGGTAAAGATAAAAATACGCTGACTATCGATGAGGTGAGTTTATTATGGGGTTGACACATCCAAGTAGTCGTTCGAATTGGCTGGATTGACATACACTATCTCCAGTCGGTGACAATCCTTTTCTTGATCATGTGGAGAGCTTGATATTCAGTCATCTCTACGAGGACGCCTGACTGATCTTCCTTGAGTTACCATTCTCTCATTTTGTCCGACTCACCCCCTGGCCATCCCAGAATGTCCCGGGCAGTTGTTGCAGGTCAAGTTCCTCTTCCATTGACAGGGAGGGGAAGCTAGTCGTACTGTCGGCTGAACAGAATTGCACCGATGAAAGTCGCGAGCCCCCTAATATCTAAACAGGGGACGATGACGCGATTCAAGAGACCGTCTAAGCCCATGAATAGCAAATATGTTTCACGAGCAGCTCGAAGTATCGCTGTAAACGCCTGGTCCATATAGGCCAATTGGACGTCGCCCTTACTTGTCAGCACTGAATGGCTGTGTCCTTGAGTCGGTGAGCCCTTACGATCTTTTACGATGCCCGTCTTCAGCACGACGCCCAACTCACATTGGGGCAGGTTTATCTTCAACGTATTGGTGCAATTGGTCTATGCGACGTAAATCATATAAGGAGCCTTACTCTTTTTCTATGAAAGCTCGTAGAATAGTTTTACATAGTACTGATTGGTCACTACTGTCAAAAATTTTGTATCCATGCAAAAAATGCGATCCGTTGTGAGGAACCAACCCTGAGTCCAGCTCGGGAATTATATTACAACCAAAGAGAATAGATTGATCAATTAATCCGCTGCCACTGCAGGAATGGGCTCAAACAGATCCTGTTTTAAGACCTCCAAAACCTTCTTTTCGTCAATGTTCGTAAGATCTTTCGAGCCAGGTAGCGGCTGTGTCTCAACCTCGGCGGTTATTTCACTAATCTCAGGCTCTGGGTCAGGATGTGTACGGGTGTACTCCTCCTCTAGAAGGAATCGGGGGTTCTCGGAGTCGGTATTAAATGCTTTCGGAGACTCATGCAACACATAGATGGTAGGGAACTCCAAGACAGTACGCCCTCGGAGGGCCGAGGTAAAATTGATCTTGGGCGATAACGGAATCAGAACATTTTGCTTGGTAGTTGTTCTCGGGCGGTGCAGATAGAAAAAGACATCACGGTGGGAGATGATCTCGGCAGATTGTGTTGACGATTGTTGACCTGGAGCGTCAGCCGACTGTGTCTCGTTCTCGACTGGCGGCGTAATCGTGTCTTCCTGAGGCGTTTGTGTATCTTCTGAAGGCCCGCCGCCTTCAATTGTTTCAGAAGCAGGCTCTGGTTCCTTCTCTTCGCACTGCTCCGACGACTGCTTCTGCTGCTCTTCCATCTTTTTCTGCTCCTTCTCCTGCTTGGGTAGAGGATAAACTCGATCAAAAGCCTCTGCAATGGTACTCGACTCAAGACAATGTCTGCTCCGCTTCTGACCGTCGGGCATAATCCACTCGACCGTCCAATTCAGACTTTTAGCCCTACACACAACCATACCAGTTAGTATCATCGCCTCCCACAAAACATGGCAACTGTAAACAGATAAAACGTACTTAGGATGCCACCTCGACCCATTACTCTTACTCCGACTCATCCCCTTCGGCGCCCGAATAACTTTGACGCCTGCATTCTCAGCACCGCGCATAAACGCCGCCTCGCCCCTGACCATTCCACCGTCGTTGTTCGGTCTTTTTCTCTTCCGCGCGCCGTCGCCCTCGCTTTCGACTTCGTGTTCGAGCCCCACAGCAGCAACATCGGTATACGTGTGTCGCTGCGGATCTACCTGGATGCCTCTGTTATCCGCATCTCGTTCGGCGCGTTCGATCTGTCTTTCGATGCCCGTGATGAAATTGAAGTCGCGGTCAAAGGCAGCTTCGGTGGCTAGTTCGTTGCGACGGAGGTAGGCTGCTGGATCGCGAACACCGGAGCATTGAGACCAGAGCTTATGACGGCGCGAGCAAGGGAGAGAGCATGTGCGAGTTGAGCAGCGAGGACAGCGGTATTTGGGCGCGTTGATATGACTGTTGTCGAGTTAGGATTTGTCGCGATAGCGATGTTGTGCATGTGACCTACCAGATGGAGCAGAGGTCGGATAAGAGAGCATCCTCTGAGCTAGACATGTTGAGCTATAATATACGAGTAAAGTTATGCAAAGAAATGAAATGAAAGGTTCACAGAGAAAAATGGATGCGAAGAGAGCGAGTTGGAGAGCGGCGGAAGAAAAGTTGGAGAAAAGTTTCGATGCTTATCGATAGCGATCGATGCCTCAGGCCGCTATGGGTCTAGCCTTGTATAGATTGGGGACTGGCCGGCCAGGACTTAACTTCTTCATCAATTCTATCATAACCATCGTCGCTTATCTGTTAACATGCATGATCGACAAAGCTCCGAAGTTCTGATAGAGAAATCTACAGCCATGGATTGCACCAGATTAGCTCATTGTGATTACTGATCTTCTCCGCAGCGATTTCTAAGCACCGCTTGCCAACGCCCGCATTGAATGACGACATACGCATGGATATAAGTATGAACCCCTCCATCATTGATCAAACAATAATCATCATATTAACACAACCTACAGTTGAGTAAGGAGTATCATCATCATGTCTGCTAAGCCCATCGCTGTCGTCGCTGGTGTTGGTCCCGGCACAGTATGTCCCCCAATCTATTCATACTATTTATACAACCAAAACTAAAAGATCCAGGGTGCCTCGATCGCGCGCAAATTCGGAAAATCATACAACATCGCAGTACTAGCTCGGAATCCGACAAACTTTGAAGCCGTTGTCAATGAAATCAAATCCAACGGCAGCGAAGCCATCGGCATCAGCACCGACTTAACAAGCTCGAGCAGCGTCCAATCCGCATTTGATCAAATCACTCAGAAATATCCAGACTCTCCTTTAGCAGCGGCAGTATTCAATCCGGGTGGTGGCTTCGTGCGAAAGCCGTTCTTGGAGTTGACGGAGGAGGAATTCGTGCAAGGATACGATAGTCAAGGGTACGTTGCACACAGCTCTTGTCGATACAGTCCATGGTCACACCATACTAAGTTGGACACGGAAGCTAATCGTCAGAATAGAAAAGGAGCATTTAATTTCGCCAAGAGCTCACTCCCTCTGCTTCTAAAGGCTAAGCACCTTCAGCTCCCACCGACCTTGATCTTCACCGGCGCGACAGCCAGCATCAAAGGCTCCGCGACCTTTTCAGCTTTCGCGACGGGCAAATTCGCCTTGCGCGCGCTGGCACAATCTCTAGCTCGCGAATTCGGCCCTCAAGGCGTGCATGTCTCACATGTCATCGTCGATGGGGTGATTGATATTCCTCGCACGAAGGAATGGAAGTTCGAACACGAAGATGCCAAACTTGATCCTGATGCTGTGGGTACCTTCCTTGGGAGTGCATCTTTCACATGCAAGGGCAGAGACTAATCGTGTACAGATTGCGGACTCCTACTGGCATTTGCACACGCAGCCTCGAACAACATTCGGATTCGAATTGGACCTGCGACCCTATGTGGAGAAATGGTAGCGGTTTACGGATACATCGGAGTAGAAGGCCATTCGAGCCGTCCAGGCTTTCAGGCGATAACAGTGGTCGATCATACGGTTTATAGCCATATTCCGGCGGGATGAGGGGTAGATTTAATCTAATGCAGCGTAGCTTATCACATCATCTCACTGAAATAGATTAAATGAAGTGACAATGTCTCATTGTCAAACCCAAATCGGGCAGATCGGCAGGTCCGCTGTCTGGGATACTAGCGGGATCGTCAACGCGAGACGGAGTTATCCTGACAGCGTATTGCTATAAGAAGTCCAAGAAACGCACTGTAAAAAGACCCTGATACAGCCCGATCTCTTTCTTCAATTGACTGTCCACTCTTGTACAAAATACGATAAGAAGGAGCAGAAAAAAGATGCACCTCCCAACCACCCTCCTCACCTTCCCGCTTGCGGCCTCCGCAGCAACAACCCTCATCCCAACGACTGCCTTCTACTCCGTCTCCTCATTGGAAGAGTATTTCGCTTACCTCTACCCCTGGGGCTCCGACCACAATGGTTCCGCCCGGATGAAAGGCAACTCCACCGACCAGGAGTACATCTCCGTGGCAGACGGGACCTTGACTCTCGTCGCGAAGCGCGTTTCTGGTGAAGAGCCTACCAGTGGGGGCCAGGAAATCAACTACCTCTCTGGAGCGGTGCATTCTGCTACCACTTTCACGGTGGAAGAAGGCTCTGGATTCAACATCGAGGCGGAGTTCCAAGCTCCTGTCGGCACCGGCACTTGGCCTGCTTTCTGGCTGAATGGGGCCAATACCTGGCCGCCTGAGATTGATCTGGCTGAGTGGAAGGGTGAGTTTCTCCGCTCAGATATCAGTTGCATATTGCATAAGCTGCTTGGGACTAATGATTTGGTGACTCTGCAGGAACCGGAGACATCAGTTTCAACACGTTCAATGTAAGTTCTTTTATCCTACACATACATACAGGACACGAGAAACGAACTAACAAACTCAGTCATCCTCTGAAGTCCAAGCCCTGGACACGGAGTATCCATCGCCGGATGACTTCCACACCATTCGCACCGAGATCCGCGACGAAGACGGCTCCAACATCTCGGTGGCATTCTACCTCGACGACAAGCTCCTGACGACCCAGTATGGCGGAGAATATGTTGGAAAGCCACTACATCTGTGAGTCCATGCACTTCCTTTCTCCCATTAGACATTAGATCGCCGAAAATTTTATTGACGGAGTCCAGGATCATCAATTTGCAAATGGAAGGCTCGTCTGGAACCCCGGGTCCCTCGGAAGGTGAGTCTTGTATTGGCTCCTTGATTGCGTGAATGGTTTTTGACTGAAATGATTAGACACGTACTATCGTATTCGGAATCTTTCCTTTGAACAGATCTAGGCGAATAAACTATTGAAAGGGGAGAAACCATGTGTAGATAGATAGGTACATTCTCAGTAGCTCGAGTGCTGCACATACTTCCGCCCTAGGCATAAATGTAAACAACTCATGCATAAGCCACATGACTAAGCTACATAACCATGACAGCATCCCCAGCTCTTCACAACTTCTCCTCACTTCTCCTCTCCCCCTCTCAACTCGACTCAATTCCACCCCAAACACATCCAATTCATCCACTAAACAACCAAACACCAACCCGCCACCTCGCTCACACCCGACCAACATGGTCCTCGACGACGCCTCCCCCCAGGCCACAATGGGCGGAGGAGAAGGAGGAGGAGCAGGCGGAGGCACCTTCGTACCCGAAAACACCGAATTCCCCATCCCGAAATTCTACCCACGACAAGTGCGCCCGGAGCTCGTGGTCCGCCCAGATTTATTCATCATGGCCTTCTACCCGGGCCCGTGGCAATGGCGCCGAAAACTCACATTCACGCTCAACCGCCGACTAACCAACATGGAAGCCATCACGGAGCGGCCCCTCACGCAAGACGAGATCGACGCGATGGTCACACACACGAGTCGACGGGTCTATCACGAGCGATTCGGAGCGCCGCTGGGCCTGGCGCAGACATATAACTCGATATGCAAGACGCTGCAGAAATGGGATACCTGGCGAGTGTATTACCATCGGGAAGGGAAGTGGGTGCATCCGGTGGATGGGTTCAAGGCGTTGCGGGACATGGCGATGGCGGATTCCGCGAGCGCGGCGAAACTGCTGGGGACGGTGGGGGTGCGGGGGTTCTTCTGGACTCTGCTGGCGTTGACGGCGTCGACGATGGGGGCGACGTTTATGGAGACGCTGAACTTGGCGATGGATCCCCGGTTGGCTGATTTTAGGGAGGTGGCGAAAAACCAGGATCCTGAGGTTAAGAAGCGGAAGGCGATGGAGGCGTGGAAGCGCGAGGCGGCTGAGAAGGCGGGCAGGATTGTTCCGGGGATTGCGGGCGACCAAACGAACCCAGGAGCGGAGCAAGGGCAGCAGCAGCAAGAGCAGTCGGCGTCGGCGTCGACGAGTTGGGGATCTTCATCGCCGTCGCCGTCGCTACCTCCTAGAGCTCGGCCGGTTGCGGAACAGTCTCAGGGTGCCAGTTTCTTCGATGATGACGATGCCAGTCCCACGGCTCCGGAGTACAGGCATGCCGAGGGCAGGAGCCAAGGCGGAAGTGCCTGGGACCGGATCAGACAGCACACTATGTCAGGTTCGCCAAGCCAAAGCGGCCAGAGTCCACAAGCCAAGCAGGAACAGGGAGGATGGAACTCATGGCAAGGGGCATCGAGTTCTGGCTCTGGCTCTGGCTCTGGCTACTCCTCTTCAAACCCGGATTGGGGTAGACAGCGGGAGCGTGAACAGTCGCAGGCGGAGTTCGATCGGCTGGTCGAGGCCGAAAGGAATGCCGGTACTGATTCGTGGAGTGCTGGAAAGCGTTGGTGAGGTTCGATCTACCCTGCCCAAGGCTAGTGATTCCACGGAAGGGATGTCTTATTTTCAATGTACGTTTAGCCAATCTCGCCTATTTTCTTACTCTTTCTCGGTGTAAATTCTCTACGTGTGAGCGCTTCAGTAAATCAATAAGGGGGCGCATTCGATTATCCAATTATATGAACCTGGCTATAGCACGGCATACCTATGGACCAGGAACAAAAACAAAGTTCACTTCCTAATACACGGGTTGAAATGACTTTTCCTGCGCTCTTGCAGACCCGATACAGATACGAGAGAGTGTAAGAAGAAAAGAATAAGTAAATGTAGACAGAAAGGTATCAAGTCGCTAGGACACGAAAAGACCCAAATCTGTCAGACTATCAAAGAAAGGGTATAGAATCAAAGATAAGGAAAAACAGCTTTGACGGTAGTTATACCATTAGGATCTGGAATAGCAAAGAAAGAAAATCATGAACCACAAGCAAAGGTCGTTAATCGTAAGATCCAATATTCCAAATATTCGAAATTCATCCATAACAAATAAAGTAGTGAAAGAAAGGAGCAATCAAAACAAGGAAATTCATAAATGACAAACCAAAGGGGCGAACTGCATTACACCCGACTTTCAGCCATTTGCACGCTTTCGTAAGGTGTCTGCATCTCGCCAGCTGGCACCCAGGATTCGGGTCCACGGCTACCCATCCGGGTCAAGTTGCGGATTTTGGAAGTGAAGCTTTCGTTCACACTTCGACCGCGACGGTGATCAAAGGACATTCTACGGCGCTCGAGAGATGGTCGTGTCTCCATATTAAGCGCCGGAGCGGCGGTCATTGCACGAGGGAGCAATTTGCCCATGTTCTCATTATCGTCAATGGCAATATCAATGGTGCCGGAAGACTCTCGCGGGGATGCGCTGCCCGACGATAGCGGAACGAACGGGGGTGGCGGCGGGGGAGGAGGGTTCAGGTGCTGCAGCTCTGGTAGAATGGGTGGGTTTTCGACCTGCTTCTGTTGCATGGCGTTCTCGATAGTTTCCTCGATGCTGATGGTCACGGGAGAACCCCCGTAGCTGTAGCCACCTGACCCGCTCATCTCCCGCGAGCCCCCCCGACGATGGCCCGCATTTCGACCTCTGCTGGTTGAGCGACTCCTGGGAAGACGCGGATTAAATCTTGGATGGGTGGGCAGGTCAGTGGGCACGGGTCCTGTCTGCTGGTTTTCGGGCACTGGCACAGACATGGACCGGCCGATTCGCTCCGCCTCACCCATGAAATATTTCGGGTCGGTTAGAAGGGTGGCACTGTCAGGCACAGGCGGAACTGATGGCACAGTTTCCTCGTATCCATTATACCTCGGGTGTCGCATTGCCTTCGGAGTTGAGGGTAATCCCGGCGGGCCGCCTGATCGGGACGAATTGGAATCAGAGCTACTTGGATATTCGGGCGATCCTTTGCCCGATGAGACTCTGCGCCGTCCCGGTGTCCGGGGTCCAAAAGAGTTGACCGAGAAAGGTGGGCTCTCCAATGCGCTCCGCGAGGGTTGCAACTCTCCCGGGAATGGGATATTGGGTGCCGATGGATTGCGCGCAAGCGAAAGGCGTCGTGCTTCCAGCTCTGCGGCGGCAAGCTCTTTCCTCCTCTGTTCGGAGAGTCCAGTCGGTGGCACCGTGGCTGAGTGTATTTCCCTGGCCTGTTCTGGAGACAGCATGCTTGCGATCACCTGGGATTTAGGATCTAAGACAAGTTCATCACTGCCTTGACCAGCCATCATCGACTCTTCTTGGTCATGAAGCGTGTGTGGTCTCGACTCGTGACCTTGACGGCTGCGAGACCTCACCCTTGTGCGTTTAGTGTCCGGGGAAGAGTCGCTGGTAGCGCCGGTGCCTTTATCTGGCCGACGGCTACTACTTCGCTGTTGAGCTCTGAGTCGCTCTCTATCACTAGTGACCAGCCTCAAGGCGTCATCCGTGACGGACATCGGGATCGGGGAAGAGGGAGACCTCGGACGTGACATCGGTCTGTCCATGCTGCGACCTCTTGAAGGCTCATTCTTCTCCAGGGCCACGCGACTAGCCGTGTGCCGACTAGAAGAGCGGTTGTTGCGGCGCTCTGAAGAATTCCTGGATCGGGGTTTCTTCACTCGACTTGTGCTCCGTGCTTTGGATGCAAGCTTGTTTCGGTGGCTCTCCTCATTTTTCTCGATATTGTGATAATGAGCCACCTCCTCTGGAGACATTGGAACTGGAGAAGAGGGAGAGCGCTTGGCTGCAGGGATATAACGGTTTTCATGTCGTCCCCTGGTCTCTTGGGAGGTATTCCTAGAGTGATGCCGTCGGGCAGAGCTCTGACTCGCGGCATCGTCCGTATTCCGGCGACCACGGCCTTGGGAGCGGTGGCCGTGGGTTCGTCTTGCATGGTAGTTTGCTTCATCAAGACTGCTTATATACTGGTCGATGCTCCGACCACTGACACTTGGACTCTTTGCAGAGCTGTAGCCGTTCAAAGTGGATGCCGGGCTCCTGAAACTGCCCATCATCGGATCCGATTGTTCATGCAAGTCTTCTTGGGACGAGTCCGCGTGAAGCAATTGGAGCTGCAAGCTGTCCGGCTTCCGATCTCGAGATCCCATTCGGCTATGAGATCGCTCTTGGAGGGCATCGAATATACCCACAGAAGGGGAAGGAAGGCCCTTAATGCCTGCGAATTTGTCTGAACTTGCTTGAACCGCGGTCTGAGGACTCGGCTTATAGCTTTCATCCGGATCGTAGCGCGCGGAAGTCAGCAAATTAAGCGGGGTTCCTTTCTGCTTGGGCTGTTCTTTATCTTGAGGATCGTCATTTTCCGAAGTTGAACTATAGTCCTCAGGCTTGTTGAAGCCGTTGGAGGGGAATGTTGGCGGGTGCACATCCACGGGTGTCTCTCCAATAGACGGGAGTCGTCGTCTTGAGAACCCTGGTGTTCCCGTTCTAGTATTCATGGCGTTGTTGAGACTTTGAGTATTATTCATCTTGTAAGACCCAAAGCCTCCGGGCGAAACGGCGGATTCGGCGACGGCAGATTCGGCGATTGGGGTGATTCCAGGAGCATTGGTCGGTGTCCGGTCATCAGACTTGAGCCCAGGGAATCGGAATTTCTGGTTTGGTTGAGAGTCGAAGGACGTGATCAGCTTGAGTGCTGGGGTTTTGGCTGGTTGCCGCAAAGTCCCTGAGCCTTTGGGTTGAGGGTTGGGAGGAGCCAGCAGATTCGCAGGGTTTTGGAATTGTGGCTCCGGGGATGTCATTGGAGATCTCTTTGAAATTACTTCTGCGAATGAAGCAGCCTGTTGAGCAGCTGGCGATGTCCAAGGTTCTGAAGGTTCCACTCCTGTACACATAAAACAGCGGATCGCAAGCTGCTGTTGGGAGTGGGAAACAACATGCTCTCCCCAACACCTCACTAAGAAGGATTGACGTTGCCAATCAGTGGGTGTAACAAGACAGGCCATCAAAATTGCCTCCATGTAGTAGTTCTGCGACACATACACCTCGATGGCATCGTTTCTGTCTCCAAGCCCGAGCAGAACGGTAGCCGAGGTATGCACGTCGCCAATTTCCAGTAGCTTTTGGACAAAAGCCTGTCCAACTTTGTTAGCCTGCGACTCACCACTCATCTGGCTGAAGGCTAAAAGCATCCAATCTGCGGTAGAAGCAGGGCCCGAGGAAAGCATAGAAACCATTTCGTCGGTATCTGATTCTCCAAGCCACTGTGCTAGTACAATGGCGCTTGGACTCCCGGGGGTGTGACGGCTGACTAGTTGAGGGATTAGCAAATGAAACCATTAGTGAAACTATGCACGATGAGACACGTACGTTCATCGTTAATCAGTCCATCAATGTCACCCTCCCAGCCAAACACAAGGCTCAACATTTGCTTTCGTAGGTCATCCGGGGTCAAGTGCGATTCATCAAGTGGGCGATGTGCTCTGTACGGCACGTCATTGAGGCGTGCACGGGTGAAAGGAAACAGGTCGATCGGTTTATCGGCAGGACTCAATTGAACCTCGTTTCTCAGTCGAGAGCCAGCACCAGCACGCGAGCTTTTGACTGAAGACATCGACACCGACGAAGCATATGCATAAGACGCGCCAGACGCCTGGGGGGTCTCTCTGCCACTGGCTGAAGTCATGGAGAACGAGGTACCGGTATGACCGGATCTGCTGGGTGGCGAAAAGGGCATCATTCTGTACTTGCCAGAGGAGGCCTTGGAGCTTACTGAGTTGGCATGGCTGCGGGCGGAGGCAGGGCTAGTGAGGTCCGCACGTTGTTGTCGCACAGCATCAATGCCACTCGAGTCATACGGAGCACGTCTGGTTCCAAATAGCGGACCTGACTCGCGCATATCAGGGGCCTCTTGCAGAGTCCGAGGTGACATGGAGCGCGTTCTAGCCTCCTCCAAAGACGCAGGAACAACCCCAGCAGGCAGATGTTGTACATTGGCGACCATAGCTGGATTTTCCAAATCATACTGCTGCACTGTATACTGAGGACCCAGTGTGAATAGAGTGGCTGTCGAGCCATAGCTAGCAAACCCGCGAGGATTTTCGATTGTAGGAACCGGCTCCGAAGTGACATGCTTTGTCCTGACGTCCCAAGACCATGTTTCACTGGATTTTTTTGAGCCATGCGTTTAGTTTCTCTGGTTCACTCGAATGGTTCGTTTGGAAACTTACCCGTCCAGATATTGAACAATTCTTCCGTTCTTTGACCAAGCCATCCACTTGGGCTCTTCAGAAGAGGAGGTATCCGACCTCTTCAAAACTCGAATTACTCGTGGTGGCTCCTTGCCGGGCGGTTTTGCAACGCTCCAGACCCTGAGATCACCATTAGCCGCCAGGGTGGCTAGCATGTCCGACTTTTGCTTTGATGACGACGCATGCCATGCCAATGATACTATCGGGGACGGGCCACGGGAAGTAGTCATGGTATGGAGAATAGTAAACGTTGGATGAAGCGTTGTTATCAAGATTGAACCATTTTGGTATCTGATATTGGTCAGTTCACTTCTCTATGCTTTCGGTTCACCTTGTTCTTTGCCAAGTGCTGATGGTCACGTACCCAATAGCATAAGTCCGACAATCGGACCCCGGCGCTAAAGCAGTAATGGGATCGAAGATCGTACGGCAAGATATGTTCTCAGAGGTGGACGGTTCAAAGAGAATCACATCACCCTTTTCGTTTCCTAGCATTACACACGTGTCAGTACTGAAATCGAGAATATATCGACGAATAGACATACCAAAAACCACATTCCCATTTCGCATCCACGATGCAACCCGTAGCTGTTCGAAGGAGGCAAACCGTGCGATTGCATTTCCCGTGAACAAATCCCAGACAATTGCCGTCTGTCCGACATCGTAGCTGACCACCAATCTCCCCGCACCTCGTTCACTAACATTATCCACGCTTATGAAACTCACATCCTCGCCGTGGCCTTCGAACTTCCGTTCGATCGCAAGCGTATCATGATGCAGGCATAAGATAACCGACCCTTGGGCATATAAAAACAGCGAGGCCGTCGACGCACAGGGTCCGAAAGCGTTAGGTGCAGGTACATGGGGCTGTGATGGCATTGGAGGCGCCATTGGCTTGGAATTTGTAGCTCGCGGTTCCGGGACGGGGTTTCTGTTCCATGCCAATTCGACCATTCTTTCCAGCCACGCCAACTTGAAATTGGTGTACGGTTCGTCAGGGTACTCTTTTTCTGCTCAGTCCTTTTTATCTCTGTACGAGACCTGTGAGTGGAAACCTCTTGAAGTGTCCTTTTGAAAGATGCCGAGTGTTTACCGCTTCTGAAAAGAATCTGGTCTTCCAAATTCCGTCCAGAAAGCCGAGGTGAAACAATGTGTGACAGGACAAACGACGTTCAAGAGCATCCCCACAAAAGCACCATACCCATTGATCGGGAACGAATAAGACAATGAATTGTTGGCACCGGCTCGGCTCGTCGCTGTCTCAACCTGCCACAATTCTAGATGTCTCTAGAGAAACCGAGACACTGCCCACTATGGTACCTATGAAAGTCTAGAGGGGCACAGAGGATCAGCGACTAGGTCAGAGAAGGATGACAGGAGAACCGACAGAACGGTCCGGACAGCGGTATGAAAAGAGGGAGGGGGGAGGGAAAATAAGAGGGTTAGAAAAAGTAGGTAAGATTGTTAATTTGGACCAAGGACAAAGCGGGACGGGTGAATATGCAGGCGAGGAACATAGATGCAGGAGACAAACCAGGAGGACAAGGCACTCGGCAGGTTACCACGTTGGTGACATATGTTTCTGGAGGGAGGAGAGGGGGAGGGAAATCAAAGAAAAAAAAGGCCTACCTGGGCAGAGAGGCGGGGAGAGGGGAAGAACCAAGCGACAAGAGCTTGTAAAAAAATAAAAAAAGAGAGAAAGACAGGGTATACGGAGTAGTATGATTTTCGGTTTGGTCTTTTTGTCTCAACCGATCCTTTTTAATCTTTATAATTTGATAATATTTTCATTATCCTGGCCGTCTCGCGATCTGATCCCGTAGGATAGTAGGTTTCGTCCGTCTTCACATCGACCATCCAAACAGATAGGCCGGCGGGTAGAGAGCATCCGTCCGACCATCTGAGAGGTCTCCAGAGGCAACGGCACAAGAAGATCGAAATCTCCAGCCGTCGAGCAATTGGAGCGTACGACATGGAGACGGACGGGCGCTACCAGGGACAGGAGGGCGTGGAGCAGGCCGTTCCATGACTTCATTAGCGGACGAGTAGCAATGGCAGCGAGACGGGCACACCAACGAGCATGCAGCAACGGGCCATGATAGTAGTCGATCCTCGGCGGCACGACATGGATTCGATCGCATGTTGGTGATTGGCGGTGGAGAGTGCAGAAGGCGTTTCTTCACGCTGCACCTCTCATCACCTCCCCCGGCCAATCACGGCACGTGCCCCAACCTCAAGTGACCTGCCCGGCGCGTAAAATGCCACTTCTCCCCTTCGATAGGCACGCCGTCCACAGGCCGTGGGCACGCCGTCGGGGACGTGAAATGCTGTGGCTTAACTGCCGTGCTCAAATCACATCCTGATCCTGCGCGATATTAATAGACCCCGTGCTGGTCCCTCTGCGCCTACTTTCTTGTCGGCCTGTCTAGTATACCAATGGTATAATACCCTGGGGAGGGGAAACCCTCTGCGAAGTAGGTTCAGTGGTCGTGCCTATCGACCGGTGCTTGGAATGGCAAGAATTAAGAAGCCGAAGCAACAGAGGGAAAAAGGGGGGGACGCAGTCATCAGCGAATGGAAAGGAACAACTCTCTTGATTGGATGCGATAGCATCTGCAGTAGTTGCAAATGACATCAGGGGTTTGTTTCGAATTCAGACACATGCCAACCGGTATAATTGATGGGAAATCGATCAGTCGTGCATATAAGCCTAATTATCATCTACTCCGTATGTCGCTCATCATAACGAGCCTGGCGGTAATCCATCCATCAATCGGCGTTGAACCCCGGTGGAGCCTCTTGGGAGGGGAGTAAGGAAAATCGACAATTTGAAATTGAACGTCGAAAACAGGAAAGGAAACGATCACAAACATCGTACAGGCACAATGTTCCTGAGATTATCTATACGAAGCGAAGAGTGAGCGTTCTCTCAACTCTGCTCAAAGCGGATGCAATGTGATGGATGTGATCAACCAACAGACGGTTGTGATTTGCCAGCGTTGGCGAAAAGGATAAATGGGCTATTGCGGGGGTGTCCGAGAGCTCAGACGGTGACGAGAAATTTGGTCCGATGTGATAACGAGGGGGACTCATCCTCCCGTACCCACAGTTGATGGAATTATACGAACGATGGGGCCTATGATCTTGATGTTCGATCCCTGAACCAACATGGAAAAGGAGTGCTGTCACGGTGGCGGTTTTACTGTCATGCCGTCTGTAGGAATTAAACTCCCGAAGGCCTGGATCGTTGACCGCTACCTTGACTTGATTTGGGTTCGGCCACGGTCATTCGTAAGACTAAAGATAAAGAGTAAGAAGGAGGGATGGATCCATGGATGAGGAGTAAAAAGAGTTGCTGGCCGGTCTTGGAGAATATTGAGGCCTTGATTTCCAGGTGTCAATGCTGAGTCATTCCGGCGGGTCGACGATAAGATAAATCCCTTATCGGGCATATGTCGGCCCGTTGAAATAAATCATTTTGATTCTCGATCGCCGGCGACAGCACGACCCTAGAGAGTAGACCACTCAATTTGTTGGACTGATAACTTAATATCTGGAACCCTTTCTTTCGAATCCAATCATATATTGCCATTCGTTTTTGGTATCCCTCCGCGAGACCACCTTCCTCCGTCTTCACCATGGGTGTGGCAAAGAAGACCAAGAAATTTGCTCAGGTACGTGATTCTCGTCTACAAACCCGGGTCGTCTCGAGAATCATCAGCTAATGCAACACGCCCTCTTAGGTGAAGCGCGCTATCACCAAGCGCGATGAGCGCGTCAAGCAGTCCGCCGCCGGCAACAAGAAAGACGACAAAAAACCCAAAGACGAAGTGATCCGACACATCCCCAATGCCCCGTCGAACATGTTCTTCGCCGCCAACACCGCCCTTGGACCTCCCTACCATGTCCTCGTCGATACCAACTTTGTGTCCCACTCGATCCGAGCGAAGACGGACCTGCTCACATCGATGATGGATCTGTAAGACTGGCCTCGTTCGTCTGCCCCGAGGCCGAAATCATTGGCTTACGCTTCTACGAACAGATTATACGCGAAATGTATCCCCACCTTCACAGACTGTACCATTGCAGAACTCGAAAAGCTCGGAGACAAGTTCCGGTTGGCGCTGCGGGTGGCCAAGGACCCCCGATGGGAAAGAATCAGATGCAGTCACCCCGGCACGTATGCTGATGACTGTATAGTTGACCGGGTATGTGGCACACCGTCTCTGTCTGCAGTCAGTCAGAATGCTAATATCTTTCCATAGGTGTCGAAACACCGAATCTACATTGTCGCCACGAACGATAAAGACCTGGTCCGTCGTATCCGCAAGATCCCCGGTGTACCGATCATGAAGGTCGCAAGAGCCAAATTCACTATCGAAAAGCTACCGGATCATTTCGAGTAAGATGGGGAGGCGATGTACAAATATTTTTTCAGTTCAGTTTTTTTCTTCTTATACCACACCTATACCAGAGCATGGAATACTGGTTGAAAAGCGCAGGGAAACCAAAAAGACCATGGGAGACAACCCAAGTAGTTCATACTACTATGATAATGAAAGTGATCATGATAGATTAAACAGCTAGTGCCTTGTTCTTTTCCATACTCCACATAATCAAGTTCAGATCGAGATGAGTCAGTGTTCGCATCCTGGTCGCTGAATCGGCGAATCTTGGCCACTCATGACAAACCGATAACGGCGGCTTCCACTAAAAATGCGGGGGCTCCATCCTTTCTCTCTCCCAGCCTTGAGTAACACCCTACGACTCTTGACGTCTCTTTCGCATCTGTTTCGCATAGCCACAAGATACCACAAGCACTGGGAGCTCTCAATCGCAAAAAATGGCCCAAAACGAGACAATCGTTGTTATCGGGTATGCCACATGCCGCCGATCATGCATCCGCCATCCACTTCCAAAGTATACATAAACTCAACTAACAACCACCCTTTAGAGCCGGTGTAATCGGCCTCTCTACAGCCCTACGCATCCAACAACACCTCCAACCCTGTCAATCCATCCTGCTCGTCGCACGCGACTTCCCCAACACCACCTCCCTCAACTACGCCTCGCCATGGGCAGGCGCACACTATCGCCCCGTGCTGGGCTCCTCGCCCCAATTCCTGAAAGAAGAAGCGCAAGCACAGCGCACATACGAGCACTTCAAGATCCTCGCGGCCCAAGAGCCCGGTTCGGGCGTGCAATCCCTCGAGGGAATCGAACACCTTGAGTCACCGCCGGCGGAATACCTCGACGAGACGAGCGTGCGGAACTCCTACGCGCATCTCGACGGATTCCGAAGGCTGTCTCCAAAGGAGCTTCCGGGGCCGGTGAAATGGGGCGCCAGCTATCAGACCTTTGTGATTAATTCGCCGGTCTACTGTGCGCACATGCTGCGCCAGTTCGTGTTGAAGGGCGGCCAGACGAAAGAGTATACACTTGCTAGCGTGATGGAGGCGTTTCATTTGGCAGAGAATGTCAAGACGGTGGTGAATTGCTCCGGGATAGGGTTTGGGGATCCGAAATCGTTCATTATTAGAGGTACAGTCCATACCGAAGAGCGCATTTTTGCTTGTTCTGTTTGCCATTCTCTCCATATGCTTGAAACTACCGATGCAAGCTGAGCAACAATCGACTAACCATGACCTAACAGGCCAAACATGTCTCGTCCGCAACCCATGCAATGTAACTCTCACGCGCCAGAACTCCGACGGTACCTGGTCTTTCTGCATCCCGCGTCCCCTCAGCGGCGGGACAATCATCGGCGGCACGAAGCAGCCACACAACTGGGATCCGAATCCGTCGATAGAGATCCGAAGCCAGGTGCTAGCTAACGCAGCTAAATGGTTCCCATTCACACCGGAAAGCGAGGGGAAATTTGACGTCATCCGCGACATCGTGGGCCGGCGGCCAGCAAGGGAAGGTGGAATGAGGATTGAGGCGGAGAAGGTGTCGGACGATAGGTTTGTTGTTCATGCTTATGGGGCTGGAGGACGAGGATATGAGCTCTCCTGGGGGGTAGCTGGGGATGTTGTCAAATTGATGCGCGATAACGGGTTGGTGTTGGAGAAGGCGTCGCTCTGAGTCTGAGTATAAGTGTTTGTACTTTGTTTATATAACTGGCTTGGGACCTTTCCCAAGCATGATTCGGCTGAAGAGCAAGGGCGTTGTTTCATGATCCGAGAAAAAAATGCTTGGTTCATTCACATAATCAAACGAACATTTTTTGTAGATACAGAAAAAAAAAATGGCATAACAATCATGTCAGTTCTTTCAGCCACACATCCAACACACGATCTATCTCAATCTTGTGTATCCAGGTCGTTTTCGACCAGGTCCATCCCTGCCTCCAGGCATAGCCCATCCCAGCAATCGGATGGATTGTAAGGGAAGACAAGGATGAACGATGACAAAACAAAACGCCAGTGCTAACCGTCAGAGCCCTCGGTCGCGGAGATCTATACAAAGTCATGGTTTGGTATCAACAAAACAAGAACCCAAAAGAGCATCACTGTATCCATCTTCCATCAACAAGAGAGCAATACCAACGGGCCCGGACAATGGCCTGGTACACCGGTTCCAGTGTGAAAGAGGTCCGTAGCCCCCTAATCCCAAGATTCCTTTGATCTTCTTGGGTAAGAATCGCACAGACTTCATCCTTGGCCTTCCTGTGCGACTGTCTCATCATTCGAGATGGGTAGCGGTCCCCCGTGTAGCTTCGCCAAACGTTCTTCTTCCTTCTGTTCACGGATTCTCTCGGTCTCCTTTCGCAAGGCCTCCAGGTTGAAGGCATCGTCGTTATCTTCATCCTCGCTGCTCTCATCCTCGTCCTTCCACTCTCCGCTTTCGAACATCGATCGTCCGGTGGCTTCCTTAGCCTTGCGGGCTTGTTCCTCGGCGGCCTTCTTGTTGAGACGGTCCTTCTTCCACGCGGCAAAGGTTTCGGGGGTGACGGGTGTCAGCTCGCCGGTCAACTTGTGTCGCTCGGACTCCAGCCAGTCTTCCAATGTCAGAGTGTTAAGCGGGGATTTATCCATCAAGGCCTTCTCTGCCATCCTCTGTTCCCTCGTCTTCAGAACGAAGCTATAGACACAATTAGTATGTCTAGCGGACAGACAAGATGCAAAACGAAGAGCAGAACATACCCAGGTGGCAAACTGTGTTTGTACATGCACTTGTCACCTCCATTGGGACAGACCCAGAACCAACCATACTTCTGGTTCTCGACAGCTTCGATGAAGTATTTGCAGACCTTGTCGGTTGTCGTTCTCGGGTTACCGTGCTTGCTCAAAATGACCTTGCGGAGCTTCTCCTCGTCCCAGCTGTCGATCGTATCTTCCTTCTTCTTCTCTTCCTCAGCAGCCTTGACGTCACGAGAGTCGGTGTACAGATCCTTCTTCTGGGCCTTTCGCTCGATGTTCAGGTCGTGACTGAATTTACACTTGCGGCCCTTCTCACAGTTGCCCTGCTTGAAGAAGACACAGAGCACGGTCTTGGGGTCCACGCCAAAGGGCACCTTCTGTACCTGCACGGGCTTGAACAGCTCTGCAGCCTCACGCTTGGCTTTCTCCTCGGCGGCCTTCTCCGCCTCACGCTTGGCCTTCTCAGCTTCCTTTCTCTTTGCATCCAAAGGCTTGTTGGACTTTGCTTGCGCCTCCATCTGAGCGATCTGTCTCTTCGCGGTAGAACCTTTTTTCTGCACAATGACGAAATATCCATGTTAGTCTTCTACTCTCACTTCTGACTTTTAAATCACCAACGGTATCAGATTCGAGGATTATCGCAACGTACGTTTTTCATTCCGAAGGTCTAAACCAGTACCGAAAAAAAAGAAAGGAATTAGCCCTATCTGTCTCTGTCGCATCATCTCATTTTCACGCGATCGGTACAAACCTTATCCTCGACGGTGGCCTTCTTCTTCTTAGGCTGGTCCTGTTTCTTGGGAGGCATGATGAACGATTTCACTGTTTCCTTTCTCCTCTAAAAAATAGTATATGAAATATGCGATAGCAAAATGCGCGCCAAAAGACGGCAGTGGCGGTCGATTCGCTCCTCTCTCAAGAAACCCAAGTGGGAAAACGGGAGCGCTAAAAGGTGGGCTGAAAAAAAAAGCAAAGCCCTTCGTAAACACAAACGGCTAATCGAAAATAATCAAGAGAGGATAGCGTCTAGCGTCCGAATATACCCTTAACGACTTCGACAAAAGGAAAGAGGGGGATCAAAAGAGGGGGGGCGTTTTTGGGTGGTTGATCTCGGGAAGTTGCAAGTTCAGTTCGCTCTCCTCCACATTTTCAATGTGGTGGGTTTCATCCTTTCTTAGCTAAGGTGCGTGTGGCGGCACAACCACAAGCAGACCTGTGACGAGACCACCCAATCTCTTTTTTTTTTCTCCTTCCGCCAAGGGGTCAGCGACCTACCATCTTCCTCGTTGCTGCTGATATAATGATCTTTCATATGATAGGTCATCCTACGAACAATGTTGGTTGTTCTAACTACTTACTCCGTACTACGTATGCAATCGAAGGTTCTTGTTGTCCAATATAGTGAACAACTGCAATTTTATTTAGGGCAAGACGACGTAATAGGCTCTACTTTTGATACACACGGACCATTTTTCTACAACTGAGGACGTCACTTGAGCCTAGATTGAACAATATCACAAAACTAGGCAGTATTATTACGGTCGCCATTCGACCATTTGCATCTTCCTTATCACAGTAGGGCGCCAAGATAGAGGTACTCTAGCCAGCAACCCTGCTCTCTCAGCCCTACAGAATTATTAGATTCCATAATTCAGTTATATTGATCCTAACAACCGATAGTTTATCACTTCGCCATCCATTCCGTGAATGCGTTCGGGTTCGAAAAACAATAATCCCCATTTGATCTCTCCTCTTCACGTCATAATCGCATATGAACCTGCCGTAGCAGTGGCTAACCATCATGGTCCCGGATAAAGCAAGCTTGCACAAGTTTCGTCGTTCGTCATCAGGAATTTTCATTGCTTCTTATTTTGTGAATCATAAGTGAATCCAAAAGCTAAGCACATTTCACCATTTAAGAGACCTCCTGGATCTTGGCGTTAGAGCCCTCGGCCTTCTTGTCGCCCTCGTCGAGCTCGGGCATCTCGTCATCATCCTGCGCCAAATTGTTTAGTTACTAACCCAAGTGATTGATCAAGAGCTGTTCAAACATACCGAACCCTCCTCGGCACCGCCGGCGCCGGCGTCAGCACCGCCCATGCCCTCAAGGCCAGCGCCGAGCTTAGAGAAGTCAATGTTTCCGAGGCCACCCTGGTCACCAAGGCCCTCGAAACCACCGAAGTTGTTGGCGTAATCCTCTTCGGGAGCCTCGTCCTGCTCATCCTCATCGACCCACTATAATACCATATTAGCATCTCGCTCATTGGGACTATCGAGTGGGAGTGAGAGGCATACCTTGTCAAAGTCGGTCTTGAGGAAGTGAACCTTCTGCTTCGTCTCCAACAGACGGGGCCAGTATTCCTCCTTCAGCTCCTTCTTTCGCAGGACCAGCTCGACTTCACGGTCGCTGTGGTTCGTCTTGGAGTTCTCGGGGTCGATCTCGGCAAACAGATCCAACGAGACCTCGTACCTCACACCCTTCTTGGAGTCTCCGGCGAAGGTAACATTCTTGGGGGTGATGTTGAGGGTGGCGGAGGAACGGGGAACATCGGGAGCCTTGAGGCTCACGTAGAGGTAATTGCGCTCGGCATCAGTGCTGGAGGAGCGCTGAGCCCATGTGACTAGAGGGGTAGCCGTGTCAGTGAAGAGCGCAAAGTATATGAAAAATGATCCGTCATGATTCCCACACCCAAGCAGGCACCGTCAAGACACATGATATGTGGTGAAGCACGGTGGTATGTTGAGCAAAAAGCAAAGCGGGGAAGGTATGAGGGACCGCAGAATTACGTACCTTCAGGGTGGAGCTTAGGAAGTTCAGGCATTGTGAAGGATGATAGATGATAGAGAGGTTATATGAAAAAGAGAGAGAGATGTGATAAGTCAGAAGGCTGGCGGGAAAGTGGTAAGTTAAGACAAGGGAGAGCAAAGCTGGGGCTGGATGAAGAAAGCAAGTGAGGCCGGCCTTCGCTAGTTGGTTAAGGACGCTTTCTTAGCTGATGATCGGCCTAGAAAGTACTGGAACTCTCACCTGCCCGCTGTTTGCCCTGTTTGTCTGCTTGCGGCCTCAGGCCGGGACGACGTCACTCTTCCTTCCTATTCGGCGCATGCGGTGTAAATTACGGTTTCATTACGGAAATGGCCAAATGACTAAGCGCTCGGCGCTCAGAGGCCAACTCCAAGGGCCGACTCGCTCGCTGGCACCGGTGATCTCCCATTTACTGACCAGGGCAGACTGACGACGATGCGAACAGCGACTCGAAAGAGGGTTCTCCAGACGACTGTGTGACTTGATCTCGATCTACTATCTCCAGGCTCATCTTTTTGTTGTCTTTCTCCTTCCAGCGTGCTGCCTGTCATTTCGGACTTCTGCCTCATCCTCTCCGAATCGGTGCCCCGCAAGGGCCTCCTGTCATTTGAGATAACACCGTCATCTCCGTATGATAAATCACCTTGAACTGTTTTGGATAAAGTAGGGGAAACTACTTTTACCATAAACCTTCACGATCTGTATACACAGTCTCCAGTCGACCTCACCCGCATAAAGTTTTGATCATGGAGACTCTCAAAGCGGTCTTTTTTGGCCCTGATCCTCAGACGCAGGTATGACCCACGGCAGTTGATCTCGAGCGACCAATCAAGGTTTAAATTGGGCTAATTTGCTTCCCCATATAGATGAGGAAATGCAATCAAATCATCCGTGCGAATACCCGCCAATTGGATCGTGACATAATGCAACTAAAGACTCTCGAGACGAAAACACGACAGTATATTGTGAACGCCTCCCGACGAGGCCAACGGAACCCGTCACAGGCCAAGCAGGCCCAAAATGAGAGCAAGACGTTTGCACGAGAGCTGGTGCGGATCCGAAAGCAGTCGGCCCGCCTGACAACAAGCCGGGCTCAACTTCAGAGTGTCCAAATGCAAGTGAACGAGGCCTTTTCGATGCGCAAGATCCAAGGGAGTCTCAAGAAGTCGACGGGGATCATGAAAGATGTCAATACGCTCGTCCGACTGCCCGAACTATCAGCCACAATGCATCAGCTTTCGACGGAGTTGGTGCGCGCCGGTATCATTGAAGAGATTGTGGACGATGCGATTCCCAGCAACGAACTGCTCGAAGATGAGATTGAGGACGAAGCCGACGCTGAAGTGGACAAGGTCTTGCAGGAGATTTTACACGGCAAGCTTTCCCAAGTCGAAGACATCAAGCCGGAGAAGCCCATCGAGGAGGCCCCAGCTGTCGAAGAGCAATTCGAGGATCAAGAAGCTGCTCTGGCACAGATGAGGGGACGACTGGAAGCTTTGAAGAGCTGAGAAGCGAACAGAGTGGGTCAATCTACGCCGATCGCGCTGCCCGGGTTTTACGACAGCATGCAAGGTTTTACTTTTATCATGAGAGCATCTATAATTGTCGATGTATTTCCGTACTGTATAGGGAGTTCATGGGGATATGGTGCTTGATTTATTTTATTCTATGTTTTTCCACCAATAAATATGTCCTAGGGCTGGTCCTATCATGAGAATCATGGTTTTCTATCATTCTTTGCTTTCTTGTTTTGGGTGCACTGTTTGTTCCTTGTTCCTACACTGATACGGAGTAGATAGGTACTGTCTGTTTTTTGTATATTGAATGCAACGAAACAATTGTGGCGACATCTGAAGCTGGACTAAAAATCCATAAAACACTAGGCCTGCTTGATTTTACCTTATCATAGATACCTTACTATCTGCTACGTACCTACCAGTCAAATGTATTCCGGAGGTTACCTTGAGGCAGCAATGCGGATGGCGAATAGAAGGCGGGCGTCAAGTCACGCATCCGGCGGCGGGTAACAACCCAAAGCGGCCTAGCGTTCCCAGCTCAGCCTCTGGCGCTCCCTCTTCTCCCTCTTCGATCTCCTTCCGCCCTGGCTTATCTTCCAGTCATTCTCCCATCCTCTCTCGCTCTCCTTTTCATCATCCCGCACCGCGTCTTCCATCAATACGTGGCGTGTTCTGTCTGCTACTCTATCTTTGCTCATATTTCCATATTAAACTTCGCGTAATTACATCCTCCTACGCGCTTCCGAAGCAAACTCTTCTTACACTCGACTTTGAGTCTCCGGTGGCGCAATACCTATCACCCAACGCCCGAAAAACACTCCTGTACCCAACCAGTCTCTCGATTCCTTCTTATCCCCAAAAATGTCTGGCAAGCTCGACAAGTCTTTGGACGAGATCCTCGTCAACCGTCGTCAGGGTGACCGCCGCCGTTCTCGCCGTTCGGCCCCATCCAAGCCTGCTGCCAGTGCTGTCCCGGTTGGAGGAGTGAAGAAGACTACAAAGGCTGCCAAACCTGCTGGAAAGACCGCTCAGGCCGGTCACCCAGCTTCCACTGAGAGCAAGATTATGGTCAGCGGCTTGGTAAGTTTTGGCCTTCTTGCTTGGTCTTTCCGTTTTCCCGATGGACCCGCGAGCTAACCTTTACCAGCCTTCCGATGTGAACGAGGCCAATATCAAGGTATGTTGATCGAGAGGCCTTCGCCTTGGGCTTTTATCGCCATATGTTTTTCTCGAGACCTTTGAGGCGCAACCGGCTTTCATTCGCGTTCCGACCTTTGCCGCGCCAATCGTATATTCCTAAGATGACCCTTCTTTGGGTCGTTTGCGCAGGCAGTAAACTCCTTCAAAACCATTTTCACGCTACATTCAAACTAGCGTCATGTTAAATGAGCTGAAGTTGAGTTTTGCCGTAGTCTTGCGTAAAGCGTTGTCCCGCGCGAAGTGGCCATGAACTTTCGTGTCTGAGGACTTACGCTGCAGACTTTGCCGCGGATGATGTTTGGGACACATCGTGTTTCTACTCCGCTTGGCCGCGCTTCCTCCTTTCTGTCACAGCATATATAAAGGGTGTTGGGCATCAGCGAGCGCATTAGCAAACGAACAGAACAATAGTATCCCAAAATAAGCGGCATGCAATCCGCCATGGGAAAACCTATCCACGGCCTAGCGTGGAAATGTCTATATTTGAAGACGGGCGAGAGCATTTCCATGCGACCGGTGGATGGCTAGCCTTGGATTCTGTTACAAACAGGCTACAGAGGGTGTCCGGGGGAATACAGTGGTTCAAAATCGCCGCACAAGGAAGCTATTGTCGAATAATGCTTAGGCTTTTTGGACATCGGTCATGGATTTGAGCAGTTCCCGGTTTATAACGACAGGTGTATGAGAAAGAATTTGCTCGAACATCGACTGAGGTGGATCAACGCAGGAGACGCAAAACGGTGTTCAATGTCCCCAAGAGTCTTTGCAGCCATGGCTGGGATATATCCTGCGCGACTCTCGACGTTGAACACTAGGTTTGTTTGTTTCAAGAAGCACTATCCACTACTAACTGTCGCTGTGTGCTCGCTGGTGCTCATTTTCTGTCGATAAATTCGGGGGTCCCTACGCGTTTTCCGATTGCGTTCGCCGGTTCTTGTTTTCGATTTGGTGAAAGAAACATCAATTGGCCTTAATACTAATCGTGTATGCTGGTGCTCTAGGAATACTTCACCAAATCCGCAGGACCTGTCAAGCGAGTCATGCTCACTTACAACCAAAACGGCACGAGCCGCGGTATCGCGTCTATCGTTTTCAGCAAGCCCGATACTGCCGGCAAGGCTGCCAAGGATCTTAACGGACTTCTCGTTGATGGAAGACCCATGAAGGTGAGCTTTGTCTGGACCGCTACCCGCCAAGTGTTTCACTGTCTAATTCCGTTTCTCGTCAGATTGAGGTTGTTGTGGATGCGTACCATGCTCCCCAAGTCCCCGCTCCCAAGCCCCTCAGTGATCGTGTCGCGTAAGTTCCCAGCATCTTGTTACATGCATCGACCAGTATGTACTAAGCCAAGAAATAGACAGAACAAGTCTCAGCCTAAGCCGGCAACAGCCGCCAAACCCGCTGGCGCTGGTAAACAGCGTGGCCGTCGCCCCCGTGGCCGCAACACGAACCGCCCCAAGCCCAAGACCGCTGAGGAGCTCGATGCCGATATGGTTGATTACTTCGCTGCTAACGAGAACTCCGGTCCTACCGAGGCCAGTGCCCCTGTGAATGGGAATGCTCAGCCTCAGACCAATGGTGGTGGCGAGGACACCGGCATGGCTGAAATTTCTGTGAGTTTACCTATCGATCCTATGTGATGCCTTGCATCATGCTAATGAATTATAGTAAATTTTTTGATACCTTTCTATTCTACGGCAGATGCAGGTTACCTCTGTCGGTCATGAATGACAGTGTGTCTTTTAACCACGTATTCTGACTGAAGCATCGCGGTTGAAAATGCACCCTTTCAACATTTCAATATCTCCTTTTTTTCCTTTTCGGCTTCTGTTTTCTTCCATTTTCTCTTTTCTCTTCCCCACACTGTCTTCTTCCCGTTTCTTTTATCTCTCTTCTCTTTGCTTTTCATATCTTATCTTGTTTTATCTTTTTATCATGTTTTTACTGGTATCGGAGGTCATGGATAGGAAACTGAGAAAGAACTGTACTTAATAAATCAGCAGATTACCCAATAAACAGCTGGAAATCAACAGGAACTAATGCCTCTGTGCATATACTTGTAACATCACCTCCGTCATCGTATATGGTAGATTTATAATGCATCATCCTCACGACTGCCCTCAGATTGTTATCTATATCTTCCCTCTACGTTTTAACAGCACACAGTTCAACGAAACCCTTGAAACACTCCGCAATCTGACTTGAGTCACACGTGATGGAGCTTAACCTAGACCCGCTCCATTCCAAAGAGCTAATTCACGACATTACTCGGTACGATTGAACAAATCCAGGCGAAGCACGAAAAGGCTGTAGAGACCAATGCGGGGAAAAAGTACAAGATGAAACTGCTTGCGGTCACATGTAGAAAGAAGCATAGAGGAATTCTCCAGTCATTGGTGACCTTGTTCGAGCGAGAATGGGGAGTCTCCCAACATGGTGCAATTGAGTAGGGCTTGAGGTCAAATGACGTTCGCCGACTCGACCAGTAATGGGGCAGCTAATCCGGCTATTCCAGCTCCTAAGAGTTGTGCACATAGGATTTTCCGGACAGAGAATCCAGCTTTCAGGTTGAAATTGTAGAATTCGGAGCTCAATGTTTGGATAGTATGAGCGCTCCCGTATCCAAATGAAACATTGCTCATGATCAAGATCTTCGCATGCAGCTCGATGTTGAAATGATAATCCGGGTTGACTTAAGGACAAGTCGACCAAGACTGATATCTATCAAGGGTAACACATTTGCAAGAAACACGCCAAATGGGTGGCTAGAAGCTCTGCAACCAGCGAAACAATGTACGAGTGGATCTTGGAGCTACAAGAACCGGTTGATACCAGAACCAAGGATCGTAAAGATTATCCCAGGTGCCACATGCTCAGGGCGTTGACGGACATGCCTGGATCGACTATCCCAGGAACAACCGCCCGAACTATGCAAGCCCTTTGTTATTCGGTTTTTTGGACATACCTTCCCTCGAGGAACGGTGAGCGCTCCAACTCATTATCAAACACTCCCTTTTCGTCTCTTCAATCACTTGGGGTGGTGCACCCAAGCGTCCCGGCAGGTTTCAAATCTATATCAATTCATGGGTCTGCATTCTTTTCGTCGTTATCCTCTTTAGGAGCCATTTTCTTACAATGGATGCTGGCAATCGCTGAACTCACAGGTTCTGGGAAGACGAGAAACCATGGTTCTTAAACGTGACCATGTCCATACTATAAGCATATGCTTGCAAAGCTTGGGATCTTTATCATTCCAGTCATATAAATCCTTGATCAACATACTGCCAACCGCATGGCACCGGTAATACATAAAAAAACTTGTTTTTAGCCCTCAAGCCTGCCAGTATCCCGCATCTCCGTGGTGCATGGTAGCACTGGGCTAGGCAGACGTGGCGGTTCCATCGCGAAGTCGACGGAAGGGCTTCATATCATGTGCAGGGCCCCCGAAGGGCGAAGGCCCCTGTCGAGCGAATTTTTGCAGCATCTCCATCCGCCAGGATAAAATTCCAGGAGCCGGTTAATTGTACAGTCGCATCCTACACGTGCAAAGAACAGAAAGCAGCAGGGGTAGAGCAAGAAAGGATATCGAAAATAGACGATGGGTCACGGCCGAGAGACTTGGAGCATAACTCAATCCAAAGCATAGTTTACATGAGGCCCTTTAATTTGAAATGGGGTTTGGATGAGACTAGAACGAGCATGGGTTTGCTGCGATATATGATGTACTTGGATATGAACTCACGCCTTTCTATTGAAAAGATGAAAAGAGCAGAGGGGGTTTTATACTTTCCAACATAAGGCTGGAATCGTGTAAAGGCTGTCTCAGGCTTATGGTGTCAAATATCTGAACTATAAATATAAATTGGCCGGATGGTGTAGTTGGTTATCACGTATCGTTAACACCGATAAGGTCCTGGGATCGAGCCCCAGTCTGGTCATTTCTTTTTGTCTTTTCTATCCATATCTCTTATTACTACCATTAAACTACTTCAGGTCTATATAGATATGAGTTGGCCGGATGGTGTAGTTGGTTATCACGTATCGTTAACACCGATAAGGTCCTGGGATCGAGCCCCAGTCTGGTCAGTCTTTTTGCATTTTTGTTTGCTACTGTTAGTAGTATCACTCACCATCGAAGAGATAATAGTCGCTGGAGTTCTGCCATGTAAGCAGGTATATACAGATTAGACACATCATCAGTCCCCAAGTCTTGTGTTGAAGCCCCAGTATCTACCTTGATGCTTGACGCCGAACGCCGAACCTCCAAACTAATGGTATTACTTTTTAAAGCTACGAGATACTAAGAGTCAATGTCGCTTAGTATACGTCTCCAATAACCATAACTGTATCAGGCGGTAGGTGGTCGGGCTACTGTCGATATTGTAGGATTATAGGCCGTGATTTCTGTAGGCGCTCTACATACATATAATGTACAGCACCAGGCATTTCGCTGTTTACAGATATAACTGTTTTATATTTACAACACCATAGAGGATCTCGTTTTTTCTACGGTCATCCAATTGGATCAATTCCTTCGGAGAGGGAGAACGGAAGTGGCAGCAAACTATGCGTATAGGTATCTAGTCAGATACCTCGATTTCCGAGCGAAAGATCTGGTTTTCAAACTTCGTTTCACATAGGGAAAAGAGGCTTTCTAGTAGGAATACAGAATCTCTTACGGCCGTTATACAGAATTGGGCTCTTAGCGATTTTAGATATCTTAAAGATTTGTGCGGAACTTTGGGCTATTATTTTCTTATTCGTTATGCGAAACAGCAATGTCGGATAAAGATATTATTTAACAGTGCTATAAAAATTTAGAGCGTATAAAGGAACTTGATATAACTAGATATAAGATATTACTCGTGACACTATTATAATATATTTACACAAGGTATAAATATCTTCTTTTTAGTCTAAAATTATGAAAATATTATAAAAAAAGGAAGTATATTATAATAGTTGAGACTTTAATTATGTCACTAGAGGCCTTTGGACCGGCAGTACCGAAGCCTCCAAGAGCCCTACAGCTTGGCCAGCTCAATGATAACATAATAAACAGCTTAAATAGAGAAATCAATAGTTATCATATTGCATATCTCTCTTTCTATAGTGGCTCAATCGATTAATCATCCTAAAATCAAATAATTTGTTCTTTGCAATCTACAAATGTTCCTTTTCTCATCATATCTATATCTATTCTTACACTCAAACCATAATACATCCAAAATTGTTTCAACATATCTAATATCTTTAGTTGAAGAAGTCAAGTGCCCGAATAAGAACCAATCCTTTGCCAGACTTCCCCTTACAAATTGCCTAAATCCTATATTGTGCAATCTATATATATAGCGTCGGGGCAACTCGAGGAACAATTAAAATATAACAAGTAAGAAAATTGCTTGCTATTTGTTATTTGAATGGAAGTAAAATAGATTAGCAAATAAAAACTGATATTTTCAATAATTTAGACAATAATATAAAGATTCTTATTATCCGTCTCTTTACTTTTATAAACTAATTAGCTATATATTCAAATATCATATATGGGCTTTAATCAAGATTAAGATATTAAATGCATATATTGAGATATTATCACAATTTACAATCTGAGATATTTCACACAAGGGTTTCTGGAATATTATATGAACAAAGTTACACTACATCAGATAGCAAACCCCAGTTCTTAACAAACTGAAGGATTAGTAAACCCTAGTTCTTAAGAATTCAGAGATTTTCAGTCTATTGATGATATAATCGCCTCAGCTGATCTATGGATAGCCCTTTCTCCCGATCCTGAATTAATACAACAGATATCAGAGTTATTAAATAATTCTACAAATATTCTTTTCAACTTGGATCTTATTTCTCTTAAAAGTATAATTACTCAAAATAACCTCTCAATGTTCCTCCGAGGTGCGAATAAAAATACAGCTAAATATATACTAGCTTTAACTTCTATCAAATCCCAAAATACTAGATTAAAATATATAAGTATTCAAAAGGGATATTGTTTGACTATATCTGGATCGGAAACATCAAATAATCCCACATATTTAACGCATGGACAGTTAATCACAAGAGCAACAGAGACATGCTTAATGTTAGTTACATTAACATAATACATCGTCTTGTCCGTTTCTCCACGTCACTAACATTATCATATCCCATCAAATCTCCATCTATTCTTTAAAGGCTTTAGTACTGGAAGGCTTTGCGAGAATATAATAAAGAAAGCCGGGTATAATAACCTAAAGTAAAAGTGTCAGGGTCCTCCAAGGAGACTGCTGACCATGAGCTTACTATATAGTACCTTGACTGAATGACCCCCTTGGTCATTCATTGAGCTTTTTGGTATGTAGCGCAGTTGGAAAGTCAACGACTAGTGCGTAACAAAAAGGAATCTGATTCTAGAACGAGCAAGAGACCATCAAGCACTCAAAATATATCTTTAATGATAGATATTGATATAATATAGGCCGCTATTTCTAAAAACCTTATATTTTCTATTGTTTCCTAAATTTGGAAACCGATGCTCTTTAATAAAAGAGATATTTCTAAAGCGCATTCGATTAATATAGATTTGAGATTTTTATTAATATCATAAATAAAATTATATTAATAATCTTCTTATTACTGTGTCTATAAAAACAACTTCGCAAGCTCATCCATAATATAATTATATATAATAAATGAAGTGAAACGATCTTAAAGCTAGATTTCAAGTGAAATAAGATGAGATACTGAGAGTGTCTGTAAAGAAAATATTTAGCAGTGTAATCGTATATGGAGCACTTTAAAGAGATCGATAAGTATCTCGTAGCTGTAGCTCAATTTTATATACTTTCTAGCCGAAGAACAGAATCTGAGCTAATATGTTGAGACATAGTAAGCGTTATATGGGTGCTGTGCGCGACTTGTAATAAGGCATTAATATCAATGGGATAAAGACGTTGTCTGTGATGCCCAACAGTTTCCTAACAGATCACTAGCGCACTTTTCAGCGCAAGGTGCCACTGCCCCCTGGATGGTCATCTGATATAAGTCTGCAGAAGTTCTTAAAATAATAAATAGACGTTGAACAATCTCTTGATGTCTGGCCCTGAAGTGCACAGGGCTAATAAGGTACGTATAGTGTATGATACAGCGGCGACAGAACCTGACTGATTCACTTAATAAGGGCCCGCTTGTTCGGACAGATTCTATCAAAGAAGCAGTTTAATCGGCAGTAAGTTACTTCCAGTTCGTGCGCTTTCTATTGCTTGATTCCTACTTTTAGTTTTACTATAGTTTATTACTACTCCAACCCAGCATAAGTGGGCAATCTCGGTATACAGGTTTTATCGAAATTGATTGATATTGCTCCCCCAGCTATATCTTTTTCAATATATCTTCCAAACCCGAGTGTACCATTATTACCCAGCCTGTTTCAACCAACACCTGTGAGAGACATTAGATTATCACCTTTAGTCAATGTTCCACATTTTCCGGCGCAAGCCTTGAGCAGAACAAGATTCAGTAGATTAAAGACCGACCCCGTAAGTTCTTGATGTTATTGAGTTTGTCATCACAGATGGATATCCAGGAATTGAAGAGCTAAAGGCTTTTCTCTGGCTGCCTAAGAATCTTATAGTACTATAAGAACAGTGTATTTATACACATTGGGTGTCAGTGCGATTATACGAGGAAAATAGCTTTTATTTTAACACATTATAGCTCGGTTGTACTCTGGAACTATAAGATGAAAGGATACTTTTCTAGATGGCTAGTCCTTATTTATTTCCATGTTATTTTAGGTTTATCATGTCAAAGATTAAAAAGATTATATATTACCTGGCCGGATGGTGTAGTTGGTTATCACGTATCGTTAACACCGATAAGGTCCTGGGATCGAGCCCCAGTCTGGTCATTGTTTTTACTTTTGGACTGTGGTTGGTTCTTCCTATCTGGAACCAGCGGAGACGAAGTCGTCGCCAATATGGATAGTTGTAGGTACGGAGTAGTGGGGACGGGAAAGCACCGCGACAAGAATTTTTATTTTTTTTTGCCCTAACGGCAAGTCGGTATCCAACCAACCTACCGGGCGGGTGTAACTCACCACGGAGTTCAACATGCTATTCTATTTTATGGCTTTACGGAACTAGTCAGGATTCCAATACTCATCAACTCATCTCGGACGGCCACATTGAACGCCTAGACGCCCGAGATCATTCTAGCTACCCAGGAGTCAGATCAGCACTAATTCAACGGCCTAGTCTCTTGAAAAATCCCTTTGAATGTATAGGTATGTGCAGGATAGAAACGTTGAGATTATAGTGGTAACTAGCGGACGTTCAAGGCCCTCAGTCCATATACATCCTGCAACAGATGAACTTGTGGCCGCTGGCCCATTTACCAAACGAGTGGCACCCAAAACTAGGTCAATCGTTGCCGCCAAGGAGCATTGGTTTTCCAATGGAGCTTTTCTCTCTGCAAGAATAGGGCCAAGGGGGATCTTGTGCGACTTCTTCCAGATTGTAGGGTTATTCTGGATGCCTGTGCAGATTTGCGGACTACATTAGCACGCATGATAGACTACCTCCAAACCTTGTTCAGCAACCTACCTACATCCAACACGTATGCACTTAATAGAGGTTTCACAGATGAGGGGAAGGTAGTTGTAATCATGACGCGGCCCGTTGAGCTGGCAGGTTTATATTTGGAGTGGCTAGATGCAATGATGTCTGCCGTGGTGGCCATATCCTAGAGTGCAGTGATCCCCTCTAATTCTCTCACCTCATGCTCTTCTGTGTTAGAAATTGTTGACTCATTTCTGATCAAACTATTCAACTCATTCCACTCCAGATAATCAATAGAATGGCCAATCTGATACTCTATATGTTCGTTGTCTACTTACTTGCTGTGGGCCAGGCTTTTGGAAACCCAGTCAACAATAGACGCAATCACACACCGTGGCATTTTGAGGCGGCCAACTATACTCTAAGAAATCATACCATTGTTCGTATCTTTGAACTCGGTATAGCGGTATCTAAATAACAAAGGGTGCATAGAAACCAACAAGCTCGCCCCCAGTTCGATTCAAGTATCATAACCCTAACCCGCTTCCCGCTTCTCTACGGAATACTGACCAATAAACTCGGCAGCTTGTCCTCCTCTTATAGACACTGAAGGCGGCAGATGCTACCCCCACCCCCTTCTGAGAGAGTCTCTATAACTGTTCTTGGAGCCGTAAGCTACAGGGCTTACTTAAGTAGTCCTGGGGCCCATTTCTAGTGCATCGCTTCTGTGGATTGGGTGTTGGATCACTACTCTGTCTATCCGGGCAATAACTATGGAGTTTCCGGTATGTCGAATAAGCCCATGTTAGGATGAACCTGACTGACCCGAGTCCTTGCGAGAGATATTTCTTTAGTAAGAGGGAATGGGGCTTTAATGCTGCTTTTCAGGATTCGGGATCAGTTGTTGTGAGTTGGTTGTCTGGTAGGCTAGGATGAACCTGTACTTAATCATACACCGAAAACAAAGGCCTTGGCCACAGCATGGTGATTAGCCTCGGGACTATGAAAGTCAACCAGATATAAAGAAAATTTGGCGGGTAGGATTGAACAGGGGCTTACCAGTAGAGAGGCGAACGTGCTATATGCAAACCTGTTCAACATGTGATGCGCTCCACAAGGCTCGTCATAGCAGTCGGAAGAAGCTTCTTGTTAGAAAGTGGGGAGATATTCAAAATAACAGATGATTCTGTTACTACTAGAGAGTAGGGGATAAAATGTCAATTTTGTGAAGAGAGTTCGTATTTGGAGTGCCATTGAGAGTACCACTAAGTATATAAAAGACTGGCCGTTATAACTACCCGGATGGCTATATCTTTGATATCTGGTATTGAGGCTTCTGCTTTATAAGACACTAATTTGAGCTATTCTATAACAAGAAGGGGATGTGGTTTAGTGGTATAACGTTCCCTTAGCATGGGAAAGGTCCGGGGTTCGATTCCCCGCCTCTCCATCCTTTCTTCCTTTTTTGCTTTTTGCTTCTAAAGATTAGACTTGGTTGCATTGTCACAGGCTTTCAAAGTATTTTGTATAACAGTGGGAAAGAGTTGCCATTGTTAACTTTTTTCGCGGACGTGCAGATCGCCATAGCCTGTGCTTGAGAAGCTTTGCAATGATTAGCCCCCACCACATTAAACATGGCTAGTACCTACTTTCCCTAGTAGATCATATCCGAGTAACGCACCCTCGAGGCGGGACGTATTACTTCCATGAATCTTGCTAGATGCACGACTGGTTAGCTGAAGGGGGGTACTGGTCTAGTCCACAGTACTGATTGCTACTTGGTTTGTCTAAATAATTGCTCAACTCTGTCACTCAAACGAAAAAGCTGATGGGTGGTTTTGTTTGGCTATGAATATAAGAACTGGTATGTGCGATGTTTGTGAGGGTACAATGTTATGGTTTGACCTAAACATTGTATAGTTATCCAAGAAAGTAAACCATGAGAAGTCTAGCCAACAGTATATCTGCTAACAAAGTTGCCGGTTTACTTATCCGCCTTCGCCAACCATGAATGCACTCCAAAACATGTTGTCTGCTAGCGCACAAAACATGGTTATGTTAGGTAATAGTTGCGCCAAACTAACAGGCATTGATCAAATACACTTTCGAGCATGTAAAAAACTTCAAGCTTCATCACATGATGTATGTGAAAAGGCAAAAAGTCAATGGGATGGAGAGGCGGGGAATCGAACCCCGGACCTTTCCCATGCTAAGGGAACGTTATACCACTAAACCACATCCCCATTGGATGGGGGACGTGTCAAAATCTTGACACTATGAGGCAATGCAAAAGCGCTACCATACAGAGCCCTACCTAGGAGTAACAGAGGCCACAAACAGATAAACTATAGCCTATAATTGCAGCGAGAACCTGGAGGGTATCTCTGCTTACAAGCTTCTCTCTATTGTTCAGATTCATAAACAGCACTTCTTTGTTCCAATAGCCGGGGGTATCGCTGCGGCATGCCATCAAACAGTAGCCGACTATGCTATGCCTGTTAGGGTCTATGTAGTACGTTGACTGAATGGCCTCTATGTCATAAATTGGGCCTTTTTGGCATGTAGTGCAGTGGTAAAGTCAACGGTCCGGTGCCTTACAATTCCGTAGAGCTTGCGTTAGTTACCCAGGCATCTTCATCCTTCACCATCAAGTTCAACATAAGCATATAACTTGCATATGTAGTGTGCTGTACTACAATGTAGCGATGCCAATCCGCATTAACCAGGCATAGTATGATAACCTTTTGCCCACCCTATCGCATCCCAATCACATGCAGACGATATGTCATTCAGCTGGATGTTTGTTTATGCTTGCATTCCTTGGTGTGGTCTAAACCTAGGTGCTGGACAAAAAGGGCGTCGGCTGGGTGATTCAACCGACCGTATCACCCATTCATATCGTAACTGCTTGATCAAAAGGACCTAGACACCTCCCATTTACCTAGTACAAAAACGCAAAAACAGATGACCAGACTGGGGCTCGATCCCAGGACCTTATCGGTGTTAACGATACGTGATAAACCAACTACACCATCCGGCCGATTGATGAGATACCCCTTCAAGATTTGGCCTCCTGAGCCAGTGTTCAAAATTCGCTATCTTAGCTACCGGCGCTAATCTCTAACGGCCCTAGTGCTGTGGGTTCTGTACCCACTGGGACGCCTTGATGCCCTAACAGCCGGCCACTTAACCCCTTTGGAGTTTAGTGTGTTAGGCATGTCTATCCTTGACTCTTGTCCATCATAACGAAGTAGAGGCTTTCAGGAGACCGATACTGCTCATAAGAATTGGCCGGGGACCAAATTAGGCGCAACTACAAAGATAAGGCATGTTAGCCTAGTTCATAGTATCAGAACGCAATGGTTGCACATAAAGAACCTCACTCTTAATATGTTCTTCGCCTACTTATAGACATATCTATGGAAGTATATTTTGTCTTATGTTGCTGCCATGGAATATAATTATGGTACTAGCATCAAGATCAGAAAAGAAACTCATGGGACCGTGAGTGCCACGAGACCTTTGATCTGAATTACACATACCAGCAAAGACAACAGAAACATATGGGTCCCATGGACCCGATCCTACCGAACAGATCCTACAAGATCAAATGTACGCTAGTAGTAGACATAGCCATCCTGAAAATCAACAGGATACGACGCTGGAGCTTTCATCCCGGTGATCTGGAGTATTCTACACGTCTTGCCAATATCTGAGAGCTACCCAGCCTAGTCACAAGATATAGAGGAGGATGGCTGGTCTTGTGAAATGCCAACTATTGAATCCTCTTAAGACCACCATAAAAAAGAACAGATCTACCATAAATTTGAGCAGTTTAGTTTCCTCTTCCACCAGGGAGAACACAATGAACGATGCCAAGGCAATCCTAATGGTAGTCATACGGTACCTGTATATGAACCATGGTCTTTTATGATGTTCATCATGTGGCCTATGGAGCGGTCGATTCATCGCGGAGATCATTCGAGTACTCCCCAGGCTTGGAATCATCACATTAGCTCTTTCTATAACTCTCTGGTCTATCTTTCGCTTATACTCCCTTCACCGAAAATTATCGATGGTACCAAACGCTGGATCGAGCGCACTGAAGTAGACAAAGGTTAAAGAATTCAACGCCGCAGGGAAACAAACAGTAGAAGTGACCGATAATTTTCCTCTTTTTGGTACTATTGTTACATGTCTTTTCTCAGCGGTTTTGGCAATACTGGCCACAGAGAGAAGGAGACTGGTAGCTTTTCTTGTAGGAGGCATATTGCGGTTTGTTTGCCGCAATTGGGAGTTGGCTGTCATGAATCCACATCCAATGACCTCACCCGGTTCTGATGAGACAACGGCATAGGACAAATCTCTCCCATGAGAAAAAACACCAAGAAATTAGGGGTTCTTACCCAAGATTACCCAGATAGAAGGGCCTGCGGAGCTTTCGGCTTGATAAAACTTTGTTTCCTTACCCTTAACAATAGATGCACTGTTTTGGTCTCGTCATCCAAAGGTAGCATTTCCGAAGAAACGACTCGCGGGCCTATCACATGTGTATAGGAGCAACTGGTACTGGTACTGCTTTCACCGTGGCTCCGGGACACGATTTGTTATATCTATAGTCAAGTAGGTAACAGATAATTCAAGATACCACGCTGGATCATATTGCAATCGAGGGCAAGTATGGGGCTGACAACATCGGTATTGGTTGAATGCTGCCTACCTATGCTATGGAGCATGAGTGCCGATGACTATAGCGGAAACGGAAAAGGGATAGAAGCCGTACTTGTCATATACATGCATATGCTGTATTCTAAGTTTGAAATATGGCAAGGGCTACTGCCAAAGAATATAAACACACACACACACACCAAAAAAAATCGAGTACTGCTAGCATGCTAGCACCAAGCATTGTGAAAAGACCAAAAAAAGAGATGACCGGACTGGGGCTCGATCCCAGGACCTTATCGGTGTGAACGATACGTGATAACCAACTACACCATCCAGCCAGTTGATGAAAAATATTACTCATCTTCTGGATATATAACTATAAAGTTAAGTTCTCTTGGAAACTTTGTAGATAGTATAATTGTGTATTGAACCCCATTAAATTAAGAAACTGTTAGAGAAACCTCAACCCTCAGATTATAGGAGACCGCATACTGCTCTTACTGCGAGGAATGATCATGTACACTCATCATGCACCCTCACTCCTAGCTTTCGTCCTGTAGAGTGAATGGGCTTTAGTCTCTTCCTACGAAACTCTACTCTACTAGAGGTATTGAGTAGTCTCGAGTACGCCATTTCGTATAATGTAAATGTTGAGATTGGTCTTTCCCATTGGTATCAACCAGTCATCCAAGGAAATGAGCTGCCTTGTACTTATTCTTATACCCCCAATACTAAAATCGAAGCCCGGAATGACTATTAATTTTCCTGGTATTAATTTTGTCCTAGTCCCCAAAATTCACTACTGATCAGTGAATCATCCCAGCCTGGAAATCTTGGAAATTGAATCACTGTTTCCTATGATGGTAAAAAACAACAGCCCAGAAGGCAAACAGCACATCTGATCCCCACTCAAACTTTCACGCAATCAGCAACCGAGAAATATGAGCAGCTACACTTATCACTTTTTTGGTGATCTTTGGCTCGAACCTCCAGAGGATCACTTGGATCCACACGCTCCAAAGCGATTGAGAGAACTTGAGCCTCTAATACAAGAGCTTGCAAAACGACAGTCAGGTGTGTAAATGCCGTGGAAATGTTTGCCTTTGAACCATTAAGCTGATCATACGATTTTGGACCATGAAAGCCTCTGAGAACGATATCACAAAAGAATCCAGGGATTTTGAGGCCCGAGAGGTAGGAACATGGAGAGAACTTGGAGTTGAAAGACCCCGGGAGCTTTTGCTACAACCCAGTGGAGATGTGAACGCCTCGGTCGCTTGCCATCTGCACAATCCCACGTTCTACGTCAAAGATCCCTATTTCCGAGAAACGGAGAATAAAACTAGTCCCACCATACAGCAGCTCAACCAGGCTAGGTCATCAAGCGAGAATACTTTCATCTTTGATCATATTTGCCGACGTGAACGAACCGATGATGTTCTTCTGTTCTACAATCAAGACATATACCGAGTCCACGAGGAGTTTATGCTATCTTTAAGGGAAAAGATGACGGCGAAAGTTGAGCTTTGCTGGGGTAAACATGTGCGCGAGCGATTGAAGGCACTGGTTAACCTTGTCCCGATCAAACTATGGGGCAGTTTCAGGGATGTGGAAATTTTTCTGGAACTTGAGGAACAACAAGTGATTCGATTCATCTTGTTTGTTGCGTACCCCCAGTTCTTTTTCTACCATGGCAGCTATACGGACAATGGCATCCATTTCATAAAAACCAAGGAGAGAAAACAAGATCTTTACTTAACAGTTGCCTCAAAGCTGGGTGGTACCAAATTCAATCATGGGTTCTATGAGAGCACACACCGACCGGCACTCTACGGTCAGTTTGGAAGGGAGATCAGGGAACTGGTAGACCGCTTGGAGGCAGAAGCAGATGCCCAATTGAGAACGGCTTTCCCACAGAGGTACCAGGAAATTCTATTGGTCTCCGAAACTTCCGATAGTTTGTTGCAGGAACCTTTAGTGACTACTCAGTTACTGCAGTCAGAACTGATAAGAGGTGATTCTAGACAAGAGGTACGTATTGCTAATTACCCCATTGGAACAATGCATCGATCTTATATCGGTATAGACATCACGTCGCACCCAGCAGCTAATTCATATGACCCACACTTTACTTGAGGCCGCCGGAAAAGTGATGGTGAACAGCACCTCTTTGCACAACCTAGCTGAAATACTGATGTTGTCTAAAATTACGTCTGATTGGGACGACATCTCGGAGTGGGACGAGGTTCCAGGCCCACTTCTTGACTGGATTCAGCAACAGGATGGACTCAAGATTGATCGAAGCCAATATCATCTACGGATGAGTTGAGAACCGCATTGCCTCTCCTTTCCCCGACAAATGACTTACAATGCGGTCTAACAGTAATGCAGATGGTGTTCAATGTGGCGATCTCCTATATTTCCAGAGTCAGAAAACAAAGGCATGCCAGTGTTAAAGACCTTATTGTCCCTGGTGTGGAACCTTACAACATTATGCGTCGAAAATATGCACGCTGCGGCGAGAGAGTCCTTGACGATGCAATCGCATATCACGAAGCGCAAGGGAACTTGAGAAGGCGATGGAGCTGGCATTGATGGGTGATGTTAGTTCAATGGCGCAGGAGCCCAAAAAGAGAAATCTCAACCCTAAAAACAGGCTCAAGGCGAAATAATTTTTGATTTGACAGAGCCTGGGATGTACCTAGTATCGCAGAGGTGCCAATATAAGTCCAAGCCTTATAACCAATAGCGCGATGTATGATATATCCTGTAGGCAGCCAGTTTTCGGCAGAGTAGGCCTCGCAAATATCGCCACAGAGACAAGTTCATATTCCTGCTGTATCCAGCAAGGGTTCGTGAAGGCCAGGGCATGTTTAGGCTAAGAAAGATTTGCCTGATTAGGGCACGCTGGTTGTAAATATCATCTTTTCTTCTCTCACCGTTGCCCAGCGGTACTGTACATATCTATGGCTGGAGCTGATAATACTGGGGTACTTTATGCTGAATTGTATCGAAAATATAGAGTTAGTAAAGCACCGGTCAATTAAAAGTATATGTTATTGTATGCAAAGCCTTGAAGCATAGGGTGCATATTTCCCTTGAGGCGGGAAACGGAAATCGGGTAGAGATTGTATTTGCCATGTACTCCGTATGCTCTATGATAATGTTCGGGTATTTTTATAATAGCAAAAAACGTGAATTGGTTTAGTGCTAGTGACAAAAGATATGGATGGAAAAGACAAAAAGAAATGACCAGACTGGGGCTCGATCCCAGGACCTTATCGGTGTTAACGATACGTGATAACCAACTACACCATCCGGCCAATTGATGAAAAATGGTTTCTAACTTTGCTTTCATGAGCCAGGGCACAGGCAGAGTGTCGAAGTAGCCTAGTTACAGAACCGGCTAGACCTGTGGGTGTTTATATTGGTTCCTGCGACACGTAGGTGTTCCCGGCCAGGACGTAAAGCAATCATATCTCCAGGTATGAACCCGAAGTCCCGAATCTGCTACCATAACCAAGACTAACTAACATACCAGCCTTGCCCTGCTAGAAAGGCGCATCTTGGCAACTGATGCCCAAGCCGAACCAAGCCTCCTACCGATGATAACATCTAGACTACTAGGCAATAGGCATGTTGCGGGCTCGAAGGATGTATCCGGAACCGAGTGAACTCGGTCCTTGAAACCGCAACATTCACACTGATCATGTAGCCTGGAACTCAATCAACCACATATGATCCAGTTCTAGTAGTCGTTCTCACTAGAATTGGATACCATGCAATTGTGGGTAGGTATTCGAATTGAACTAGTGTTTCAACTATCTAGGATCTATATTCACATCAGCGGGCGCAGTTGACAGGCAGAGCACCACTAGGAATATGGGTAAGTAAAGTAGACAAAAGCGCACCGAATGAATACAGGTGACAAAAAGTTAAGGAAAGTCATCAACGCGAGGAAGCAACCTTGTCCGATACTCAAACAAGGCAATCCCAGTATCCTAGCTAAGCTTTGATATAGTCTGCTATCGATACCTTTCTATCAATTACCCTGCACTCCCGAACAACATCGCCTCTACCCAAAAGAAGACCTCCCATCCCAACCTGCAACCCAAGCAACAAACAAAACACCCTTGCCAACAACACAAAGGCAAAAAAGCAAAAGAGCAAAAAAGAACTTCGGAGTGGAGAGGCGGGGAATCGAACCCCGGACCTTTCCCATGCTAAGGGAACGTTATACCACTAAACCACATCCCCGAAATGGATATCCGAAAAGGAATGGAGAGGCGGGGAATCGAACCCCGGACCTTTCCCATGCTAAGGGAACGTTATACCACTAAACCACATCCCCTAATCGGATGTTCTCGGCCTGGAATTCTGACATCATAAGCCTAAGGCTAATATTAGGGTCGTGCTTTCCTGATCGGGTATGTCAATGTGCATGCAACCGGATGACGTGCATATGGCATGCATTTGCTAGTGGGTGATTGAACGATGGAGGTTTAGAGTGCATGAAAATATGGCATAGCGGAGTTTGCCTTGTCAATTCAGCTGTACGCTGTAATCGTTAATAGACCACAATCACAAGTAAGATTATTATTATATTATTTCTGCCATTGCCTGTAGACTTCGATATGAGGAGATGACCGATCCCCTGGCCGGAGGACTTTGAGGAAGTTCCACAGAAGTAGGATGGACCATAAGAACTCACGTCCTGCGTGTGGTTGTAGCCCCCTCGAACCAAGCGCCTCTCCATCCTAAACATGCCTATTCGGAACCGTTAAGCCAATCGGTCTGCTACAATAATACCCGAGGAATTTCCCGACAAAGTTGTCGTCAATGAAAACAGTATCTGTATATTGAATATTCATGAGTTTTCCATCGTGATGCGCCTGGATAATCCTTGCACGTTCCGGTCCAAAGTACGATACGACCAAGAGCTAGAAGAATATGAGCCAGTATAGAACTGAGGATTTATGCAGGGGTCTCACAGGAAGAACCAAATGATGCTGATACGACGGGAAACCCATGCGGGTTTCCATCATCCTTACTATAGCCTTGACCTCGCTCACGGTGAGCCTAGCGCCGGGGTCTTCTGTATCCACTCGCACGTCCATTATAGCATGCGGAACCGCATGAGTAGGATCCTCCAAGCAAAGGTAAACCTTCCAGCGATTATGCCGAGATCTGGGTTCCAATAATTGTAATTCTGGGTTAAACGGCCATTTCCCCTTGCTATATGGACTACCAGCGGATCTGAGTGAGCATTCTAGCCATCCGAGTTCATATAAAGTGGAGCACAAACCCTGAACAAGAAAGCGAGGTGTTGTCAAATACATTGAAACCTTCATCTTTCAAAGTGTTGATTATGCTGTTGTGAAAATTCGAAAGAATAACCGGGAATTGGCCACGGGGGCGGAGGCTCTCCGCGTGTTTCTTCAGAGATCGCAGCCCTTTGTTCCCTCCCTCCCCTGAATCATACCGAGCAAATTTCCTCGAGCGCTCGATATCGGCAGATTTTATGCCTTGGGGAATAAAGAAACACGGCTTGAACTTTGGAAACTTATTAGTGGTCAAGGGCACTGTGGTCGCCCGAACCCCAAGCCTCCCGAGCTGCTCGTTCTGGAAAAGGTTCCTCGGATAGCGCTCTAAAGACTTTCTAATCCTAACGATATCGTTGAAAATGATCTGGCGTTTGGTATCCATGGTGAGGCGGGTGAGGGGCTGGTGCGAGTATGGCAAGGGGGTGGGAAGTGTTGGTTTGTTGAAAAAGGTTCCATTGCGTTACAATCCCGCTAAACTGGCAGAGCATACGAAAGTATTATGTCAATAGCCAGACTAGACATAGCGAAGGGTTATTACTAAACGCCTCCAACCATGGGACATCAACCCTTCCTTCCAGATATTGTTGAACGCACCGAGGGCAAAGTATAAATGCACAAAGTTGAATGGTTGAGCAACAAGAATCGGTGCTACATACATTCAACGAAGAGCACAGAACCAGCCTCAATCAGAGAAATTTAATCGGCTGATTCGATGGATTGTGATGGAGAAGAAGGTGATGTGCAGGTGCGAAGTGATGCGGAGGAGGCCAAACGAGGAGGGGTTTATAGTCGCCCACGGGCACATGACACACCATCAGCTGATGAAGAATCAACCGGCCAGAACCCACTCCGTGAGGAATAATCCATACCTGCGCCAAACAATCACGACGACGTCAAATCCGAAGAAACGCAGGGCCATACCGATATCCATCATGGAGACGCTCGTCATCACCCCCGCCCTCGACCGTATATTCCCGTTTCGCAATGGCCTCCAGATCAATGAACACCTCATATGCCTTGAAGCCAACCACCGGACGCCGCAGAATTACTTCACGGTCTTCCTCATCCTTGCGCTTGAACTCGAGCACACACAGTGGGTCGATAACAATCAACAGAAGCGTGATGGTTATATAAGTCGTCCACAAGAGAATGCAGGTGCCTCGAGAAGAGTAGTCCGAGAGACCGGAGCACGTGAAGGCTCCGAGAAATATGAACAGCAAAAGATAGTAGTGGCTATAGGGGCGAAAATAGTAGATGTTGCCTGGCAGGCGTCGGCTCTGGGTGTCTTGGGAAGCTTGGGCTGTTTGATGCATGGTTGCTGCCCGTGGTAGGAAGGCAGACGAGGGCAGTTGATGTAGGTTGGTTTTGGCTTTGATCAAGCATCGAGTAATGCGCGTAGTTGCTTGTTAACAAGAGGGGATGTTGATCCTTACCCAGCTTGTTTAAAACCAACACTGCATATAGTTTCTGTCTTCTGATTTGCTGCTATTTTTGAGTATGTAAGGCTGCGTCATAAGCTGTGATGTCATGTATCTGGAGATTCGCAAGAGGAATCATAACTAGATGCTAGATATACTCATAGACTACTTGACGTACGATCTGAGAAAAGTTGAAAAGGTTTCAGCGAGGATACATGGATGACACGATTGACCGAGCAGCCAACACTCAGACAATGGTCGTTATCCCCATTGAGGATTTAGTCTAGACTCTCGGATTAGTTCAAATACGAATACTAAGCTATCTGTATGCAAAAGCTGCATCTACAGCACCATATACCCGGACAAAACCACAGCTCCCGCAAGTAAATATCCCATCACGAGCTCGACCCTCTCAGCAGAGCCAGTCTCGATTGGCGTAGAAGCAGCAGCGCTCGTCGAAGCCACCCCGGTCGATGTACCTGACGCAGAGGAAGAAGAAGAGGAAGAGCTACCTCTACCCTTCTCGCTCTTTCCATCTCCCTTCCCCCCCGAAATCCCCGTATCGAAAGGCGGCGACTTCTTGCTGCCTTCCCGCCCACATTTCTTCACAGTCTCCCATCCCTTTTGCATTTCAACCGTCGAGTTTCCCAAGGCACTATCCATCATGTAGTTACTGTATAAGACAGCATCGTTCTCCTTCTTAGAAAAATCTCTCAGCTCGGGATCTCCGAAGGTCCAGTCGTTGTAGGGATAGAAGTGCGCCGTCCAGTAGTACGCTAGAGCGCAGTCCCAGCCACAGGCGAAGTCGGAGGGAAGGTAGCCGCTTTGTTGGTTGTAGCAATTTTTTCCGTGTCTGTGAGGGATGCCTCGTATCAGCGACTGACTTGATGCCATCTTTATGGATAGGTAGAAAGAGAACAATGCATACTTATCATTCGCACATCCCCTCACAAACATATACTGAAACATCAACCCCACCGTCTCGACCGGAACATTCTCGGTCCCGTTAAACCACAAGTATCCCTTAGCTTTGACCGCCGCGTCACCGGGCCCGCTGCACGCATCCCTCACGTTCTCGATGTACTCGGACAGAGAGGACTCGCAGGTCGAGGTGCACATGTCGGTAAAGTTTCTAGGCTCCATGGTTTTCAGGTGGGTGCGCGACTCGTGGGCGTTGACCAGGTTGATGAGGAATCCATCACATTTGATGTCGGCGGCGTAGGCAGATTTGCATTTGACCGAGGTAGTGGTGGCGAGGTCGGAGGTCGTGTAGTTCCAGTGATTCGTGTGAGTATCTAGACTGAAGGATTGGGTGAGAGTGGGTAGGAGAAGGAGGACTGAAAGGAGAAGGTTCATTTTGTGGTTGCAACCTGCAATCTCTATCATAAGATTTGGTTATTCTATATCAAAGAGTGAAGAGCGAGTTGGACAAAAGAATGAATGAGGGATGAAAGAGAATATAGAAATCTGGGGCCAGGACATGGTCCCCGGCTCGTTTATATTCTGAATTAGAAATTACTTGTCCAGAAGGCCGCTTGTGGTTGCAGGGTTCATGTGGTCCGACGCAATCCCGAGCAGCCTTGAAGCCTATCGTGCCTTTCAAGGGCAGGACTAGCTCGCGGTCCGGTGGCTCGGCGGCCCCAAGCTGTCCAAGTAGGGACAGAGCTTAACAACCCAATCATGAGACAGGAAACTGCTGCAAGTTTGCTAGCTTGTTGAATACAACAGCTGGTCGAACGCATAAAAAAATTGAAGAGATTCTATAGAGGGCATGGACTTTCGAATACTTGATTCTATGCTCCGCGTCATGAAGGGGAGGACCAAAAACTACGCCCCAGAGACCCTGGGGGTGGGTCGCAACGGCGCCAAATAGTAGATGTCGCTAAAGCTTAGCGTTGGAAATTCCCTGGTCTATCAAAGATTCGCCCAATCGGCTATCTCTATCGACACTCAGTCCCCTGGGGTCAACGGAGTAATAAAAAGTAGAAATGGACTAGGCTTGATTCATTGAGATTAGGAATTCGATCATGCTATTACTTGAATATACACCCGAGAGACACATATACTGGAGGTTCGCAAAAAGGACCTTTACAGATCCCTCAAATAAGGCCTTGAAGATGATTAGGATCGAAAATGCGATTGGCAGCACTCCACTTCTACGACCGATAACGCTGTACCGGCCGGCTATTTACAACAACACTTGTGGCCAACATGTAAAAGAAATTCATTACCCATGTGCATGGTAACAAGTTCCTTTGGAAGAGCAACAAAGGATAGAAGAGACAAGAACTAAAGCAGCCGACATGCTGGGGTTTGAAGTGTTGGCGAGCAGGCCTCTCTAGTTGGCGCGGTAAACCAATCGATTAGCCCAAGGACCACTGACTGCGAGATTCGCCCCAAGGGATTGAAAAGGAACCAATAGGAAAGAAGTGCATCCGAGTCGGAAAAGGTTGATGCTTAAAGGAAAGTGATCTCTAGTGAGGGACATGAAGATCAGAGACAGCATCTCGCGCTGAAGAGTCCCCAGAGGAAATGATATTGAGTGATGGGCTTATGATGAGCAGAATGTGCTGCTGGATACCTGAAGAAATTGGGGCAACGGACAAGGACAGCAAACATAACCTCTCAGCGATAAATACCACTTTGCAGTCAACCATGTGATTTTAAACCTGAGGAATTTCGCTGCGAACCAAATGCAGACCAAACCATAGCACAAGACATGCGACGTCTGTAAGCTTCCATTGGCAGAGTTCTGTGCATCAGGTATTAGTCAGGGGCTGCAGCCATGTAGACAGGGATTTGCCAACTTATGACTTTTCAGAAGCACATTTACGAAGCTCAGCTCCTGCCGTTTTAGCGCGTGTCGTTTGTCCTACTGCTATTCATGATCACAGATGAGCAGGAACCAGGACAGTGATGCGCTCACTGCTGACGAAACCGCCGTAGAAACGCTCTGGCGCTTGAATTGCTCAAAGAATCAGTTAAGGGTTGCACCGGCTTAGATTCAGGCTTGCATGGATTGAAGTGTTCCCAAGAAAGTGATAAACTTTAAGCACTACAAGTTCCAGTCTTAGATGCTCTGTAGTGAAAGGGCGTGAGTAATAACCTAGGACGCTCTGTGGTCGAATTTCTCAAGGATAGGAGTGTCAGGTGTTGATACCATCCCGTCTGCAGAATTTTATCAAAAGAATAGACTGAAAACATCGTAGGGTATACCTCACATGTCAGCACAGCACACAAGGCTACCAGACTAACTACTAATAAATTCTGCCATCTTGAGGAGAACAATATACGCATTAGTCTACCGGCCTTATTCCCTGATGCAACTCACATGAAGTCCTACTCCGTGCTTGCTCTCATCACCCGACGATCATCCGGCTCCACTTAACAACGTTGACTACCAATTCCGATCCGGGATATCCTTGCAAAGACCCACAATCATGCTGTCGAATTAATAATCATTAATAATTAGTTACCTAGGTAAATAGCAATATATATGGTTACTCCACGGCGATCTCTTATCACAGAACTCTTCCCCCTCCTTTCCCACCTTTTTAACCAACATCAACAACAACCCCATCCGCAAGACATCAACCAACCACCTCCAAAATGCCATACAAAGCTGTAGTCATGTATCCGAACGAAGCGGACGCCACCTTCGACGAAACCTACTACAAGCAGACGCACATGCCCCTGGTCGAACGGATCTGGGGAAAATACGGCCTGACCACGTGGCATATCCAGAAATACACCAACGACCTGGACGGAGCGCCCTCGAAGTATTCGATCACGACGACCTTGGAGTGGACGAGTGAAGAGGCAGTCCAGACTGCTCTGAAGGATACCGAAAGCGCTCTGATCTTCCAGGATATCCCGAATTTCACCAACACGAAGCCTATTACTCTCCTCGGAGGGCCTCTTTAAGTGGACGGAAGAGGGTACGTGGGCTATATGGTGCTTTCTTCTGCAAACAGGTCACTGATAGGTGGTGTCTAGGAATTATTGGCTTCTACCCGGGAAATAATCTTTGAAATGAGCTTTGTATCTTAGTCATGTTATGGATATGAGGAAACGGGATGAATATCTTGATGAATGGAATATAAGATCTATGAACCGTGCATTAATAGCTCTCTTCTTATGATATACGCGCTCTAGACGTGTAGTTTCTGCTCAGATTGAATAGACCGACAGCTCCGTTGATAGGACACAGAAGCGGAACGTAGTTTTAGGCATAAACTCTACGAATTATATCGATCACGCATCTGTATATTGAAAGGGTACTCTGTCTGTCTCTTGCGTATTGGGTAATATAAAAGCTTAGCGTATTCCAATTTTCATAAAGTGGAGCGTTTAGCATCAAACTAGTAAGTTAAACCTCCTTCAGATTACAAATACTAGCAAGATAAGAATCAGATGTCGTGATGAATCCTCCTGGAGTAAGGGGCCGTAAGCAATAAGATCGTATTTACAATCATTAATAATTGCTCATTGTTTACATCTATCTCATTTGTAATGATTGGAATCAAAAAGAACGGGAGATGTGCTATATAAAGCTCAGGAAAAGAATCATCTATATCGATATCAGAGACCAAAGAGAAACCAACTGATTCCCACAAACACTAACCTGCTTCCCGCCTCAAAAGACACCCTGACCTTCAGAATGCCTCAGAACGAAGCTGCGTGGATTCCGGCTGCCTCAAAGCCTTTGGTAGTAGACTCTGCGCCGGTACCGAAGCCTGGTCCTCGGGAGATAGTGATCAGGAACCACGCGGTGGCCATTGTAAGAATGGAATCCATTTGTTCTACAGGAAGGTTTTACCTACTAATATGAAAATAGAACCCCGTTGACTGGAAGATTCAGTAAGCATATCGAACTCTTGAATACGTGTGGTCCGTTAACTGTAGCAGATACTACCAAGGGGGCTTTCTGAAGAACTATCCCTTTATCCTCGGAACCGACGCTGCAGGAACAGTCGAAGAAATCGGCGAGGAAGTGACAAAGTTCAAGAAAGGTCAGCGAGTTATTGCGTAAGTCAACCTGACTCAAGCGCGCCTTAGCATTGAATCGTTATTGACCCGATAGCACCCAGTCACCTAGTGGGATTGAAGACATCCGAGCCAGCCAACAATGCATTCCAGCTGTATCCAGTATCCGATGAGAGACTCACGGCAGCCATTCCGGATTCCCTGAGCTTCGAGCAGGCGGTGGTTTTGCCGATATCGATCTCGACAGCCGCCACCGGACTGTATTCTCCCGATAACTTGAACCTTCCACTGCCATCGGAGGATCCTAAGCCCACTGGCAAAACACTTTTGCTTTGGGGTGGAGCGTCGTCCGTCGGAACCATCGTCATCCAGCTGGCTGTTGCTTCAGGGTTGAAAGTAGTCGCTACTGCATCTCCAGCCAACCACCAATTTCTCAAGGAATTGGGTGCCAGCGCCGTGTTTGACTATAAATCTCCCTCCGTTGTGGAAGACATAGTCAAGGAGCTTCAGGGCAGTGATATTGCCGGGATCTATGATGCCATCACAACAGATCAGAGTCTTGAGCCCGTTGCAGCCATTGCAAGGCAACTGGGCATTCACGATATCACGATAGTGAGTTACCGAAAGGGCTCACCTGAGGGAGTCAATCTCAAGATGGGTATGTTTTAGCCCCATTATTCACGTTAAAATATGTTACATACCTGACTTTGAACTTCGCATAGTCATCTGTTATGCATTGGCCTTCTCCCCCCACGAGAAGATCGGTGAAGCCATCTGGGGCGAGTTTGTGCCAAAGGCTCTTATCAGCGGGCAGTTGCAGGCAAGGCTTGAGCCGTTTGTGGTTGGTCAAGGGTTGAGTGAGATCCAGCGTGCAGTGGATCTCCATAAGGCTGGAATATCGGCTAAAAAGGTTGTTGTCACTCTAGTTTGAGGATTGAGTTTCTTCGACATGTCAAAAAAGGTCCATGATCCAGATGTCCATTCCTAGTGAAACAAATGTTATAATTTCATTCACGCAGTCTCCAGGATTTCAACGAACTGACCAAGAAGCTAGAGCCCCGGACAAACGATCGGCTAAACCTCGGAGCAAGTTGATCATTTCAATTGCACAAACACAGCTTCTGGTAATAAACCTAGAGGATTACATATATGAAAATATGATTGATATGTTCTGGTCCTTTGTTGGAGGCAAAAAAAAGACACCGCAAGTAAGACTGGTAACGCATGTACAGTTAATAATGATCCATTTCTTGACAACATCTTGATCTATGAGCCAGAAACCGTAGCTAAATCCCCCCTGAGGCCACGAGGTACGCTCATCAATCCCGCCGTACTCCCTTAGTAGATCGATTGCTCATTGTTTCTCTATCAAGAAACAGCCTTATCTTAGTTGCTACAAACATCTTGGAAAAACTAACACGTCCCGACCTACCAGGTTATTGCATACTCTGAAAAATTGATACAAGTCCAGAAAAGTGCTAAAGATCCACCATCGGTGAACCACAAGCTTCGAAGCCGTGTTATACCAGAAGAAAGCTAACGGGCAGCCAGCTCCTATTTACTTTGGCTGTCAGTTGTGACCTGAGGTGGAATTTTAGGTATAGAAAGCCGTATCCAGTGCAAGAGATCTAATATATTATTCGATACCCACTGCCTTGAAGGTCACAGGACAGAGACAATACCTTGAGTGAGAAGCATTCAGTAATTAGGAAAGTTATATCGTATAGCATACTGAAAGGGATTATCCACAGTAGACAAAATAGTATATCTACAGGTATATGAAGAACTACATTAATGCGTCCGACTGCTCACTTGTTAGGCCACAAAAATCAAGCCATACGCCTTGGTCCTCAGAAAAACAGAAAGAAGGAAAGAAGGCAGTTTTAACTAGAAATTTATTCGATAAGTATTGTCCTGATGGTCTTTACAATCGAAATGACTCCTGCTAGTCGGCTACAGACTTATGAACTCACAGCAAAAGGATTGATTTTCCCCTCTGCACATTGCTAATGAAGAATATTGCCTATTATAGGAAATTATCAAACCAAACCTTTTGATCCGACTCCTTAATCCCGGTATGGCCGGCCTTATAATAGAAATGTATTATGAAGATGACTTCGCAAAAGTATCAGGCATGAGTAGATTCATGTTGCAGACTCATTAACACCTAAATGTTGATAAAGAATTATCCATGCCTGCCTTTTACAGATATAGATACCATACTTGTATAATACAATATCTTCTACATTCAGCTTCAACAAATTCATAAAAATAATCAACACCGAGCTAATGCCGATCGCTTTACATAACCAACGGCCACAAAAAAACCCCGCACGAGCTCCCCACCAATGCAGCGAAGATCTATGCATGACGAGAACGAGTAGTACTGAGTAACTCGTTCACCGCTAGAATAGAATCCCGAATAATGGCCCTTTAGCCACCCAAAACCAAATCCCAAGGGAATAATTTCCCGGGTTACATTTCACCGCATTTTCTTCATGCAACAACACCCGAGATAAACACATCGAGACATTATCAATAAAAGTAGGTAAACAAGTGAAAAAACCCCGTATATATAGCCTTAAATTTCGGGTAACACGGGGATTTATCCGATGGAGGTGGGGGGCAGTGTACACATAAGGTAGTGTCTCGGGTCCTGTTGACGTTGTCCTACTCCGTGTCCCAGATTTTTATTGCCCGGTATTAGCAATAATGGGAGATCTGGGTGCGCCACAGAAACGCAATGTCCTACGAATTATTTCACCGCCAGTTTGGGAAGTTGGTTTCTTTGTGGCATTTGCAACTTTGTATGTTGTACTGGACGTGGCCGGATCGGACCATCTATAGAAGGTGGAGGCTTGGCGGATTGTTACAATTACTTGAAGGGGAAAATGGGGGCTTTTTTTTTGGCGGAGGACAGAATGCTCGTATAGCTAGCTGGTTGATTGTCTTTTGCGACCCGACGCGAGGTCGGTTTCAGCCTGTGCGACTGGCATCGTCTTTCCCACGACGGAAGTTGAGTAAGGGGTTAGGGGAGAGCTTTCAGCTCGGGAATGGCCGTCGTCATGTTGCTCCTACATGCGTGTCGCTTGGAGGGTGCAAAGATCTCTGGATAGGGAAAGAGGACGAATGTTTATGATAGACAGCCCAGCGCGGCATCTACGAATGGATAACTTGCCGAAGACGGATAATGCCGAATAGGGAAATGCCTGAATTTATGAGTTTAGGTGATTTGATTATGCCTACATGTCATTGCATGGCTCGGATTATGAGGTTGCATTCCGGCTTTCCAATTATTGATAGTGGCAAGCCATCGCTTCCACGGCATCCTACATTCGTATCAACGGAGCTTTCTTCATACAGGAAGTAGAGAGGCTCAAGTAGCACGCAATACGGGGTAGCATTCATCTCGCAAGGGCATCACAACAGGAAGCGATAGGCATTTCCTCGCTACTCCTACCCTTTTTTTCTTTTCTCCTTCATACTCCGCAGCACAAACTGCTATACAAGGATTATTAATGAAGATGAGGGGTTCAACTCAAGAGACGCCGATACGGAAGAACTCGTAAGCTGCTCGGGGGCCTTTTAACCGAAGGAACGAATTCCCTCCCCTCCACCCGGCAATTCCAGGGTCCTTGTCCGGCGCCAATCTCCCGTTCCCAAGAAGCTCCAAGATCATTACTCCGTAGCAATTTCGCATATTCCATGAGGATCCAAAGGAGCTCGGAATCGCCACCGCAGCAGACCAAAATCCCACGGATGGCAAGAAGCGGATATCCGGACCCAAGAGCCCCCACTGATCGTCACTTGTCAGCCTAGAAAATAGGCACGCCCACTTCTCCATGGAGTACTCCGTAGCCGGGGAGGAATGAAAGGAAGGTAACATGGGGGTGTTGGTGGATTAAACGAAGACAAGAGGATGACAGTAACTCATTTGCCGATCAAGCCCAGCCTACCAGATGTCACCGTCACCACACCTGTTCCACCGACTGGTGACAAGGCCGACGCTGTACCGAAGCGTTCTCGAACAGCCACATTCTGATCAATGCCCCGATGATCGGCTTGGGTTACATGGCATCAACGGTGGTGTAATATTTTAGTCGGTGCTGACACGGCCTTTTTGTCATACGCTTCCCTGGCAATTGGTTAATTTTTTCTTGTTTTTTTTTCTATGTTCATTTATCCGATCGGTACTTGGGTACTCCGGGTAACTCGCTATCAGCCAGACACTTCTTTCGTGATAACATAGTCAAAATCGCGTTTGATTACTATGTTCGGCTTATGGGGCGGGCTGAAAGCCACAATATAATCCCCTCCAATCAGTCGGACTTGATGCCCTTCTAGAAGGCGAGGAACTGCGCCAAGATCATGCTGTTGCCGGTATTGGCGAAGTGAGGAATGAAAATGACCATATATTCTGCGATATCATGCGAGTATATCTAATCCGAGTCATAGCCCGATGTTTCACAAAGCTTATGGCGGATGACCAGATATAGCAAAGACAGTACCTACATCTTATTCAGATGGCGCGTAGAGTGAGACAAATGTTATGACGATCTTGTCTCTTTCCCCTTCTTTTTTTCTTCTACTATGATTTTCAGCCGCATTCAACAGTGCAGATGGAGTCATAAAGAGTGACTCAGGTGTTTATAATATAGTAGCTGATATTGTCAAGGGTTGTTTCCCTGATTACCTAGTCAGCCTGAAATCTATATGCTCTTTGGATCAAGCTCAATACTAGCCGCCAAGTAGTTACCACATTGATAAGCAAATTTGATATCCAACCTCGAAACTAAACGACTCGTATGAAAGATTCGAATGACTTGGAGATTTTGTGGCCTTGCATATGATATTCATTAGTTGCCCCGGGTTTACCATTGCAATGCAAATGTCCACGTATATCAGCCTTGGATAACGCATGACAGCAAGTTCGGAAGCGCCGTGCCGGTGAGCAGGCGTTTCCAACACATACTATCGAGTTACAACAGCAGAAAGCCGATTCTATTTCGATGACCGAGCGTACCTATATTTAGCGTTAATAATGAAACATACATGATATGGTCTCCTTTACTGAACTGGGTTGTCTCATACACAGCGGGGTAATTACTATTTCGCACGATGCGATTTCAATACCTAAATGACAAGCACGGGTGGATAGATACCCGTGGCAACAGCATCACTTACTTGCCTTGGAAATCCAAATGTGAGAAGCGAGGGATAGCATACCCAGTGACCTCATCGAGCACAAGACCGACCGCCCGACCCCAACGTTCCCCAGACGGGAAGACCCCAGAATCACGGAGTGCGGAGTAAAAAAGAAAACATTCAACTTGTCGGCAACAGAATGATGCCAGCATGTGCCAGACTGGGTGACACTTTTTCTTCACCGAGGATCTATCCGTAGGTACTCGCCATATCATCGACAGTGTTTGGTACATAAGGCTGATAGGTAAATATGGGGTGCATGATTGGGCACGACAAAACCAAATCGCCAGGACGCCAGGTCAGAGGCTCAATGATGAAATGAGGCTTACGGTCATAATCACAATGCCATTAGCGACATTCTACCCTACTTCATTGGGGATGTGTCGCATCCTGTCAGTCATTGGATCGGGTTTAATTATAGTAAGCGCTGCGCTGCCTCGTCGTATACAACGTCGCACCAGCCTGAATGCAACGCCCACCACCACCATCGACGGCAGCGGCAGCTTCACCTGCACCCAAACCCTGAAATTCAACGGGAAGTCGTAATCGGCCATGATGTAAGCTTATCTACCACAACATCGGGATTGGGAGTCTGCACAAGTATTGAACTTTTTCGCCTGGAGGTGTGTGACGGTCATCTGAGCAACCTTCCCGACGGAAAAGTGAATAATAATCATGAAAATATATCCGAATGACAATTAATTACCCACCCACAATCTAAATTTACCCACACCAGCTCTTCGGCACCGCCGATCACCGAGGCAAAATCGAGCTGGACGTGGCGAGCACGAATCAGCATTACCCGATTCGGAAGTGAAGTTACATCGATCGGAGTATATTGGTGCCCTGCGATGGAATCAATGGAGGGGAAACACTGAAGCCACATGTAAACATCGCCCAAGGAGACGGTCGTTCCGGGCCTGGACACGCGGAGGAGGGAGGATTCCCCATCATCTGGGATGGAGAATCTGCAATATCATATGCACACATCAGCTCCATGCGTTCGCCACCTACC